GGTTGAATAAACAACGGTTGTAGTCACCTCAGTTGTAATGCCAAGACAAAATGGCCCGTTCGGTGATTTGGCCCGCTCGGTGATAGATTACGTTAATAATAGCTGGAGGGGCACATCCACATTCGCACTCACGGCACTTGGTGGAAATATTCCAGTCCAGTCCAGTACAAATCCATCGGCATACCGTATACCGTACAGTACATCCGGAATTCGGTGACGCACAGATGACAAATTTGGGAGTGCCAGCTTCGTCTCCAAGCCAGTGCAGTGTGGCAGAGTGGGAAGAAAAAAACAACGAAGAGACGAGGCAGTAGGCGAATCATGCTGGGCAATTCCCACGGATTGTTTTGTCTCTCGCATCTTTGCCATGTCGAGGAAAGGCTCCTCCTCCTCCTCCTTGGGCTGCTTGCTCACCTGCGCTCTGTCTGACTGCTCGATATATATATATATCGTCAGTCCACCCCGACAGACACCACCGAGATCAGCGAATCCATGGTTATCATACCGGCATTCGAGTAATTCACCTCATATAGCTGTGCATTCTCCAGAGGCTTCCTCTTCCTGCGTACGATGCCTGACACACCTAGGCAAGAATGTATGTATGTATGTATGTATGGGGTGTCGAGGAGACCACCTGCCGCCAGCACATCGCTCGGATGGAGAGAGTCTCTCACGACCCGTCTCACCAGCAGACGCCGCATATCGAGGTATCTGGACCTTCCAACCTCGAGTGATGAGTCGCCCAGGACAGGACGACGCTGGGCTGTCTCTGGCCATGTGTGTGTGTGTAGTTAAGTGTACGCACTACGCCTGTGCCTGGGACATGGATATCATATCATACACATCTACCTCTATCTATATGTACGCGCTTGGAACCAACCCAGGAAACTCCAGGCAGAAGTCACAGGGAGGTTCCTCGGAATCCTTTTTGTGAGATCCACCCGATAGGCATGATACTCTCTTCAGGATGTCTCTCGACCATTCCCAGATAGACGTGAACGACCCTCGAAAGTTTCCTTCGAGAGACCATGTCTCCCAGGATGATGATGAATGATAAAAGCCGACTGAACTGCAACATGAGACGATGAGTGAACGATCGGGGTCTGCACTGCACACCAAGAGGGAACCGAGTTTGGCCGGAGTTCTCCGTCTCCCATGCCGTGTCCCATTCCTTCCGACAACAAAGACAATAACAACAACCTTAGAATCCTTTGATCCTGCTGGACGATGACGACGACGACGATCATACTGTGAGGACGTCGAGAAGGACAGTGTAGGAATCCATAGAGTCTGGGTGTAGTAGTCTCCCTTGAATTTCGAGACTTGACCCAAGGAGGAATTCGAACGCGTGAGGGAAGAAGGCGACGACTTTCGAACCGCGCTCGGACGAGGAAGAGATGGCATCATCATCGCCATCCACGATGAATGTCTAGTGAGTACCGGGAGATGGCGTGAGGCCGGAAATGTCCAGCGACGGGATTTTTTCTCTTGCGCCCTCACTCTCATGGTGATAACTCCCCCCGCTACTGCGGCTGATGCAGCGGTGGGAAATCGTGGTGCGACGCCATAGGGCCCCGGAGCGAGCGATAAGTGGATAAGGTGGTGGACAGCTTCGGGAGGGATTCTTTTTGGGGGGGGAGGTGGGTCAAAGCAAGGCAGAAGTACAGCGAACAACAACCATTGGGCGTTAATTGCTGCTCACATACCGATCACGATCATTCCATGCCGATTCTCTCTGCTCGTGTAGAAACCGTGCTGCAGGTTGTTTCGCAATGACTGTTCTCCTCGGTGATCATTACTATTACTGTTACAGTCGCGGAAAGGGAGAACATCGGTAGCGAACGAATTGATGCGCGCAAAGTCGGTGAGCACCTGGGCACTTTTCCCTCTCTCTCTCTCTCTTTCCCTCTCCGCCGCCGCCGCCGTCCACCGCCAGCCGGGAGCTGTCCGCATTGACGGCCGTCAAACCACGCACCAGCAAAAACAACCCGGTCGTGCTCTCTCTCTCTCTCTCTCTCTCAAAGAACTAAGACACCAGAGAGAGACAGACATCCGAGGTGGAAATTCCTTCTCTGATCGAAACTGCCTCCCCCGCGTTTCCGCCTGGCGCTGTTACAGTAGATCGGACTTTCGAATAATCGCACGTGTGCGCTCGGGTTCTGGGCTCGAAGATAGCTGGAGAAAGGGAAGAGGGAAAAAAAGTCTATTGTTGTGAATGGCTGCAGACTGCAGGTAAGCTTCCCTTCCTGCAGACCATTTTATTTGGGCTGAGGAACGAGGAGGAGGAGGGAGGGTCAACACGGGATAGCTGCTGCTGCTGCTGCACCTGATCAGGATCCCGCCCGCCGACACCTGTGATCGCGCGCTCGCAACCGCGGTCAGCATTCCTTTCCAACCCAGACGGAACGAGGCGGGCAAGCAGGCAGGCGGGCTGGAAACCTTGCATGCCGTCGTCTTGGAGGCGAGTGCTGGACTGTACATATATAGATCCCCGTCGGAACGCGTGCGCGCGTGTGGGCTTCAGAGCCTTTTGGTTCGTTTGTCCTTTTTTGTCCCTTTCGTCCTTTTTTCCTTGTCTCTCATCCCTGCAAGGCGCAGGAGAGAGAGATTGAGAGAGGGAGAGGAAGCAGGAGAGGAGGGGATACGGCATCTTCTCTTCCACCTTTTTTCACCCATTATTACTATTACAGTATTTCACTACGACCGAACTGTATTATTTATTATTACCAATACGCTTTGGGAGACCTCTGTTGGGAAGAGGAAGATCAAGGGGGCCCACCCATACAGCAACCTGAGTGGGACGAATCTGGTGTGGGTTTGGCCCAGGCACATCCCGCCCATTCTCTGCTCTCGCTCCCCATTGCATTGCCGACCGTTTCTCCCCTCCTCGGCTCTATTCGACCAGGAACTTCTTCTTTGGAGGAAGATCATTGGAGCGCAACATCGGGAAACAGGGGGCGACAATTTCATTTCCATTGATTGACCGTGAGACGGCGACGACGAAACAACACTGCAAAATCACCACCACCGCCGCCCATCCCCATCGGCCGCCGTTGAATTCTCCGACGGTTTCACGCGCCCGTACCACCCGATTGAATCTTACCCTTGAATTTTTTCTCCCTGGGACGATTCCACATCGCAACCATCAACAAAAACAACATCCGCCTCGTTGATCCGTCTATCATCCAACCATTCAACCATCGCCTGCCTCCGCCACAGCAACCGCAGCGACGACGATCTCGAAAGCCGTCACCAGTATATCGCTCAGTCATACAGACACACACGTATCCGAAACCAGCTGCGAACTCCAACTGACAACTGTTCTCACATTGGGGCCTGATCGCGATCCCAAATTCCTCTCCGTGCCTCGAGATACATACCTCCCGAGTACATCATACGAGTACCGAGCACATACGAACCGACGACCTGCATACACCTGAGCGCGGACAATTGACGCTCTCTCCGGACCTGCCGCCATTATTACTTGACTGAGGTCGTTACTTGTCATCAGCGCCCGATACGAGGTTCGACAGGCCAGACAGACATATTACACGCCTTGCACATACACCATCTTGGACACTGTAAGCTTCCCACATTTTCCTCGCCTCATTCCCTCCGTCGATCCCTTTGGTCCTGTCGCGTCCGTCCTCTACCCTTTACTACCCGTCACTCGGACACGCCTCTCCGCTGCACTGCGCCCGTTTGGTCCCCGGTGCAACCCGTCAAGGCGTGACACCACCACAAACGATCACCTCGTGGATAATTTGGAACTCCAGAAACGGGAGTGCACATCATCATCATATCGGCAAAGGCGCATCGCCAAGATCCAAGCAAAAACCCCCCAAAACCTCACGGAACATTGACGTCTCGTAGTGTCGCAACCAGCTAACACCTGCATCCACCGATTCAGCTGTCATCTTCTGCACCACCGTCGCACAGTACACACGTGCGTCTTCGGTCCTAGATCCTATATCTCTAGAGCCGCGTCCAACCCTCGCGCCAATTCTTTCCTCCCTTTGCTTCCTTCTCGGCCGCCATGGCTCGCATCAACATCCCTCTCGATGCGCTCACCAGCCGCCTCAACCTGTCGAGCCGCTTCGATTCGGTGCGCAGTCAGTCGATCGCCCAGCGCTTTGCCGGTCTGAAGCCCGTCACCGAGTTTTTCGATGTGAAGCGCATCTCTAAGCCCAAGGACTTCGGCGAGGTGAGTTGTCTTTCCGGAGATACCACACCACATGACGGGAGATGTGGAAGAGGAGGTCACGTGCGGGACATTGGGCAAACATTCTCGAATTTTGACTGACGAGGCGGAACTCCCACAACTGCAGATCCAAAGCCGTGTCAACTACAACTTGTCCTACTTCAGCTCCAACTATGCTGCCGTCATCGCGAGTATGTTTCCCCATTCGATCGTAACGGGTCCGGCATATGTACTAAAACTTCGGAATCAAACAGTGCTCGGCATTTGGGGTCTGCTCACCAACCTCACGCTACTCTTCGTCCTCGTTTTTGTGGTCGTCGGTGTCTTTGCCATTGGGAAGCTCGAAGGACGGGATCTCGATGTGGGATTCGCTCGCGCGGTAAGCGAGACGACGGTCACTCAACTTCGGAGACTTGATTGCTGACGAACTGGACAGACCACCACTCAACTGTGGACCGGTTTGGTCGTCATCGCAGTGGTACGTCCTTCAACGATCTGACTTTTTTTTGTCCCTGGCTAATCACTGAGAACAGCCTGTTTTCTTTTGGTCGGGTCCTTTTGGCTACGTTTTGTGGCTGACTGGTGCTTCGGCTGTGACCATTCTCGGTCACGCATCACTGATGGAGAAAGGTAACGCTCAGCAACGAACCCATTCATCTGGATGATATCCAAACTGACAACCTCTCCCCTCACACAGATGTTGCAGCATCTTTCTCCGAGGAGGCGGTCTAGGTGGTCGGCCGCGTCCTTTTCTTCGCCCTCCTACTACAATTATTATGGAAAGGGAAGACCGCCCGGAGCTCGCAGCGGAAATCCTCGGCGAGGGATTGAATCACGCGAATGGGAGCTTCGACCACATACACAAGGGCACGCATCGTCATCGCTGTCCGCAAGATACGGTTTACATTCTCTGAGTGCATTGGGAGAGGACGAGATGGAGGATGACGAGGAAGAGGAGGGTGAAGGCGAGGATCCCGATGCTCAATGGAACTCCTCCGCGTACGAATCGCAACGGACTGGAGTGAGCTCCCGGGAAAGGTCGTCGTCAGCATCCAAACCTTCACGTCGGAAGTCACAGTCAACTAAGCATGTACAACAACAAACATCAACAGTCCGCCCGTCGCCTTCTCGACGATCTTCTGTATATGATGAGCAACAACAGGCATTTTACAATCCGTATGAGCACGATCGTTCCAATGACAACTTCGCCACATCTGCTGCGTCTCCATTCGGTGCGAAACCCGTCCGAGACGATCACGATCACCTTGTGAAATCTGCTCTGGCCCGGATCGCTCGCGCACGCTCCAAACAGCAGACCAACATAAATCTGACGCAAGACGAGATGGAGGCCCTATTGGTGCATCGTCTGGACATGCACACCCAAGCTGCGGCTGCTCAGTTTGAGGCCACTCCAACAGCGACTTCCGCCGCTCGACCGCCAGCATCTCCTCCTAGGACACCTACGCCTACTCGCAGCAGTAGCACCAGCAACCGCAACCGCTCCTCGTCCACGAACAGTCCCAATCAGAAATCTAAATTGCGCAGCCGCAAGAGTTCCCTCTCCAATCAGACACGACCTTCTTCGCCCCAATCCGTACCTGTTGAGCCCGTCATTGCTTCCCCGCTCGCTCCAGCTTATGCGCAGCCGTATTACGCTGCTCCAGCGAGCCGACGCGGATCTATTTCTGCTGCTTCTGCTGCCGCAGCTGGGTACTCTCCTCAGCAGTACCTCGCTCAACAACAGCACTATCAATATCTCCACCAACAGCAGCAGCAGCAGCAACAGCAGCCGCCGATGTATCACATTCCTCCGCCATCGGGACAATACTCCGCGCGGGCCAGTCCAAGATCGAAATCCCGGCTAGGTGCCAATCCCCAGGTTTCGCAATACCTCGTTTCGCCTTTGCCGTCGCCGCCACTCTCCGATGCCTCTTCATCGGGCAGCGAAGACGACGACGATGACGACGGAAGAGATCAGCGGCAGCAGTACGCAGAGGAGGAAGAAGACAACTCCAACGACGACGACGACGACGCCAATCTCGCCTACGCCTACGATCGAATCCCACCTCATCTCCATCATCCCCACCTCGCTCCCCCCAAGCACCATCGCTCGCCCGCGACAATCCCGACCGCCTCCCCAAGCAAGCCCTCCACGCCCTCCAAAAAGAAAGACGTCCCCAAACCCTCCTCCCCACCGAAACCCTCCTCGAAGAAAGACAAACGTCCCACCACTCGCAGCAGCGGCCACGGCCGCTCCTCCGAATCCTCCCTCTTCGCCTCCCTCTTCCCGCACTCCTCCTCCTCCTCGCCCGAGAGGCGCAATTCCTCCCCCGCCTCCCCGTTCTTCGGCAATGCGACCCCCTCACCGGCCAAGAACAAGAAGGAGCGGAGCGGCAGCGCGGGCGGCCGCAGTCCTGCCGCTGTCGCTGCAGGGAAGAAAGCCCCCGCCGGTGGTGGTGGTGGTGGGAAGGACGGTGCCAAGGAGAAGGACAGGGAGAAGGAGAGGAGCCGGCCGCGCAGGCGGTGGTAGAACGGAGGAGAAAACACGGATTGTGGAGTGTTTCACCGTCGGGGATTTCCTTCTTCTTCCCCCTCCCCCTGATCGGGATTCTGTCGGCGGGAATTCGATGATGCTTTTTCTTCCCGATGGCGACGACGCTGTTGTTCGGATTTGCGTTCTGGGTTTGGTGGTGCGTTGGATAGCATTTTAGACTGGAATGGAATGGAACGAAATGAATGGAATCATCTTTCTTGTGCAACTCCCAAATCTTCCTTCTCTCCGATTCTCCATCTCGTTTTTTTGGTGGTGGATGGACGCGTTGAGTGAGTGAGTGAGTAATTGATTCTCCATCTCCTTTTTGGTGGTGGACGGACTCATCGAGTGAGTAAGTAATGCCCGCCCGCCTGTTGTGACTGACTTGCCTGATCATCATGCGACAATTGTGGTAAGCGGCAAGAGAAAATACATCACTCCTGAGAGTAAGCAAGTAAGTCGTAGTCGAATTGGCATCCTGACGGTTTCTCCCCCTCTGTCTCCTTCTCACACACACTCTCTCTTTCGGTTTAGCTAACACCGACGCCTTCGAAGGAGGCGGGGGGAAGAAAAAGAAGAAGAAGAAAAGAAAAAGAAAAAGGAAGAACCCCTTCACCCCCAGACCACCCCGATCCTGCCCCCGACGACCTGGGCATTGAACCACTCCCTGATCCGAATCCGCCCGTCGACCACCCTCGCGCGGACCTTCCCCTTCTTCCCCTCCTTCTGGCTCCCGTTCTCCCTCCGACAGCCCTGCTCATCGTCGTCGTCGTCGTCGTCGCCCTCCTCCCCTACACAGTCCATCAGGACCCCGTCCCGCACGACGCCCCGCACCGCGCAGATCACCTCCTGCGTGGCCAGCGCCCGCGCGATACACGTCCGGGCGCCGAGGCCGAAGGGGAAGAAATCCCGATGGAGCAGCGACGGCGGATTCCCCCCGTCCTCGTCGCCCCTTGCCCCTCCCCGTCCCTGCGGCAGCAGCCAGCGCTCCGGGCGGAAGTCCCCGGGCTCCTCGTACACCCCCGCCGCCCCGTGCAGCGTGGAGATCTGCTCGCTGATCTGCGTGCCCGCGGGGAGGAAATACTCCCTCTTCGCTCCTCGTTGTTGGTGGTGGTGGTGGTTCTTCTCCCGGGCGGGCGTTGGTGATGATGACGAGGATGTCGATGGTGATGGCGTGTACGTATATCCGCACGGGGGCACGATGCGCGGGAGCCGCGTCGGGTTGGCGCGTGACAGCCGCAGGCCTTCGCGGATCACCGCGTCCAGGTACGGGAGCGTGTTGGTGCCGCCGGTGAGGAAGGTGGTGGTGCTGGTGGTGGGAATGTTGTTGCCGGTGGGATCGGAAGGGGTTTCTTTTTCCGCTTGGAGGATTTCTTGACGGAGGAGTTCATGGCTTGAGGGAGGGAAGGGTTTCGTCAGCTGGGAGGACGATACGTATGATCGTGACTGGGGAAATCCAGAAAGAAGCAGAAGGGAAAGAACACAACAGAAACAAGAAACAAAACCGACAAAAACTTACACCTCCGGCTTCTTCACCAACCACCACAGAATCGTCGCCAGATTCATCGCCGTCGTGTCCGTCCCCGCGAAAATCACATCCTTCATCTGGACGCTCGTCTCCTCCTTGGAAATCCCCGCCTTGAGCAGACGATCCTGGAACGTCCCCACCATCGACCCATCCCCTCCGCTGGCCGCGCGCTCGATCAACGGCGTGACGTACGCGTCGACTCGGGCCAGACTCTCTTCCGCACGGGTGCTAGGGAAGAGATACTCGGACCAGGAGAGGATGTGGAGGAAGAGCGCATTGGGCAGGAAGAAGAAGCGGCCGTAAGCGGTGATGGACTCGACGTAGGCGGCAGCGTCGAGGCGGAGCTCTTCTCCCCCCTGGTTTCCTCCCTGTCCGTCCCGCGGTTTTGCGTCTCCGACCCCTCTTACTGCGAAGGCACTCCCTTGTTCGAGCGCGCCATAGCTCTCCCCGAAGAGATACCCGCTCACCGAATCCAACGCCCACATCCTCGCCAGCACCAACAAATCCACCTCCCTCCCCCTCTCCCCGTCGAGACTCCCCCTCGCCTCCGCCCGGAGTCTCCTCACCAATTTCCCGACCACCCCGTCAAACCTCGCGATCCCTTTCCTCACCTCCCCGGCCCCGAAGAGCGGCATGACCGCCCTGGCGCGGGGCTTCCGGTGTTCCGGATCGACCGTGGAGAAGATCGTCTCGATGCCATTCTCGCTGTGGAAGTTCTGATAGCACGGCGCCTTGACGAAGCCGCCGCGGCTGGCGTTTTCCGAGGGCGTGTAGATCTGCGGCAGGGCGGCTCCGTCGGCGATGACGACTTCGTTGGGGCCAATGCGTACGATGGGTCCGTACTGTGCGTGGAGAGAGGTTATCACGCTGCTTTCTCGCCCGAGGTAGCTGTGGATGTAGAGTGGCAATGAGGTCAGGCGGTAGAGAATGGGCCCTGGGATGGAGGAGAGAGGGTGCAGGTAAGTGCGATAGAAGTAGAGGGTGAAGACGAAGAGGGCTAGGAGGAGGAAGATGCTGTAGAAGAGCGAGGTTTCAGTGATGGGGGAGAGAAGGCCGTGGATAAGTGGGGAGGCCATGGTTGTAGTGGCTTCTTTGCTTATGCTTGGATTCATATACCCTGCCATCAGAAGAGGGGGCTTATATCACTTGAGGACGAGGCTTCTGTTCTCTTGATGTCCTCTTGACTCTGCTCTGGATCTGGCTTGCAAATAGAATGCGGTAGGTCATAAATATTCCTGAGCCAGAGTAGCAGACGTCTGTTTCTTGGACACTCATCAACGACTTTTACTAAAATTTCGGTGAGTCACCTATTCATCTCTAAAGTCAATCTGCGTTAGGAAAAGAAGGCCACTTCTTTTGAGATTGGAAATATATCATGACTCCTCCGGAAAAAAAAACAAGTGATTTTACCTCGACATTGCTTTCTCAGAGGACTGATCGTTGAAAAATGGCATTGAGATTTGATGGTCGAGTTTCATCTTCGTGAATCTGTTATTGAATTCCGTCGATTTGAGAGAGAGGGGCCTGACGTCGAGTCGAAGCTGGCCAAGGGAATGTATACTCATAAGCTGACATCATCGGGGCTGTTGTATGTACATCCACCGTGACTTCAGGCGTCTTGAATACTTCTCAGGTTAATAACCGGAATGTTTCGCCAATGTCTTATGAATTGTTATTGACATCGTGCGGTCCTTCCGGGGCTCTGGTGAGGCCTTTCGATGACCTTGGCGAGGGTGTTGTAAGGCAATAAAGGGGACCTGTGGAACATGTGAAATTAGACCTCGGACTGCTCATTATATTATATACATGATCAATTATTTCATACCAGCACCCGATACACTTCTATTTCCATGGTAGAGTGGATGTGGATTCGCTGCTGTATATGTCTAGACGCGAGCAAAAAATATCGTCAAGGTCTTTTATACAGATGCAACATATCTCCTACTTTCCTGCAATGAATGTTCGCGTTCTTACATCGTGGGTGGGTTCGTGCTGGAGAATGTGAGAAAGGAACAAGTTTGAAACAGCTCCCACCCTTTACCTCAGAACGAGGGTCGGCCTATCACCATTTGCTCCCTCCCCGAGAATGTAGAGGTGACTATTTGGAGGAAGTTCCCAACAAGAAAGATGAAGAGAAATGGTATTTGAAGAAGAAAATGCAGACGTGATAAAACCGGAAGCTGGTAACAAGACTTTTTCGCAGAATGAAACCGCTTCTTGCAGGAAATTCTTTTAGGATTCGCAGCAGATTTGCTCTCTTTCTTGATCTGTCTGAAACTGAACGAATCTGCCTTCTCGCTCTGCTCTTGCTTCTCATTGCGTGGCATCTCCCTCTGATTCGCCATCATATGGCATGTTCAGAAGAATCCCAAAACTATCCGGACAGCTTCGAAGATGAGACCGCCGCAGAGTACGAAGAGAAGAACATCTGGAAGAGAAGGGTTTGATTAGCTTGTTGTAGAGGTTGATTGGTGGTGCAGCCGGAAGAAAGCCTTGGAGTGTCACTGATTCTGCAAAAGAGGCGCGATCTTGTCGTTGCAGCTGCGTGGATTTCCCTGCTCTCTCCCAGACTTCGTGGTCGCGATGAGTTGGGAGAAAACATAATCGCGCCACCAGACTTTGTCTAGGGACCAGAAAGTCTCCCTCAAGATAGCAAAAGTCCATTCCGCGGACAGTCCAGCATCCTCCTACCCACAGAACCGCCTCTCTTTCCCTCTTGCTCTCATTATATGCCATCATCAACTAAAGATGCATCGTCTTCTTCCGATTCAACCAACGGCGTCTCCGTTCCCAAGACTCTCGCAACGACACACAATAGATTGGAATCTGGAAATCGAAATCGTCTCATATCCACTTACATAACCATCCAACGCTGATGGGCGATTTCTGCGGCCTCTCTTTCTTCACCACTACCGGCGCGGCCGGCTTGCCCATCTTCTTCTCCTGCTTCTTGGCGAACTGTTCATTGGCGCGACGTTGTTGCGGTGTTTGAACCTATGTTGATTAGTTGATGGGTTGACGTAAGCGACGTGTGGCTCGAATGGGACCTTGTCCTTGCGCGGAACATCTACATGTGTATTTGCTGAAGAGTGACCATGGCTCAGGAATGGGTTCGGGGTGGGAGATCCCCATGCTGGCCGCACGTGGGAAGCATGTCCGCGCCGTAACGGACGTGCCGGGACGTTGTGCTGTTGTACCTACCATTTTGACTGTGAAATATGGTTCTTGCAAGGGAATCCGAATGTATGGTCCGGAAACAGTAGCGATGGTATGATGATACCGTGCGTGCTACTATTATTATGAACAGGTGTCGTGTGTCGGGATACAAGCCCGAAAGAGGACTCAATCGCGGGAATGTGATATGGTGATCGGCGGAGGTCACAAAGTATCGCTAGAACGGAGGATGGGTCGTGATGGCGAATAGCGTTGAGATATATACAGATCACGATGGATATCCTGTCGCTGCCCAACGCGCGTAGGGATCGATTGGGATATATAAGAGATTACAATACAGCATCTGAGTCTCTCATCGCTCAACATGTCTCTCAATTGCGACATTTCCGCTTCATCACGGTCGAAATTGTTTTAATGCCGAGTCCAAACGCGGAGGTAACGGATCTGCCCGTCGCGAACTGCCACATGTCCCCTGCCAAGAGCTGTCACTGACGGAACCTTGAATGCTGACATAACTCAATGCTGACATAATAGCTTATGTGAGAGCCGCTTTCTCTGTGGCGGATGTTCAACCCACTTCACCTCCCACATTGGGATTAGATAATCCATCTTTGGCGGGCGTGGATGATCATCGACAACAAGGTTCCCTCTCGGGAAAAAAGTTCAAGGTTATGCTCAACAAGACGGATCGTTGGAGAACGTTAACACATTATCAATCGAGATCCTCTCATCAAGCAAATCGGCAGTCGTTTGTGATTCACGAACATTGAAGATCAGTCCAGCAAATATGTCATGAAAAGGGCATTTCTAGCCAAAACGAAATAATCATCTACAGCCCACTTTCAGCGTGAACTATTTAATTCGTTGCGGATATACCTTTACGATTGAAACCCGACAGCATCTTCAAAGTCAATATGGGCCGTCGACCTACGTTTGAAGAATATCAAAAGAGAGAAAATTGGACCGATGGCATCAAACGCTGCGATGACCTTTTAAAAAAATCTCCCAAAGATTTCGGTCTGCTCATCGTGAAGCTTCAGCTCATATGTGCTGCAGGAGCTTCGGAAGAACGATATCAACCTGTTCTTGAACAGCTTGCTGCAATTCAGCCACCGATACACAATCCTGCAGATCTTGCAACCATTGAGGATGCCATCGATACTGCTCAGCAAAATCTATTCCCACTCCCGTTGACGACTGGAACGACCGTTGCGAAGTTATGGGATGCTGCAGGAAAAGTGACTGGCATTACCGTGGCGGCCAAATATGATCTGCTCTCGCTACGGTTCTCTCGGGCCATCGCAGAAAACCGATTGGCAGATGCACAGCAAGCCTTGATTCAATTCAAGGCTTTGCAGCCACGCAACCGTGCCTTTTATATGGCCCACGCAGCATACACGCAACTTCTGTCGAAAGAACCGGGCGACATGCAGGCGAGGTTGGCGCTCATGTTGGCGAAAAAGGCTGTAGCTGACAAGTTTGATACGGCGGATGATTCACAATTGGATTGCAGAGTACCCGGCCAGATATTTGCTTTACAACTTGCGAATAAGGACCTCGAAGGAATCAAGGATCGTCCTCGGTTGATAGATAGCAAACAAGTATTTGAGGCGTACACTAGAATTCAATCAGCAGCAAGCGAGAAGAATCAACAGACCACAGATGCTGACACAGATCTTGCGACACATGTTGATGAAAAGATGCAGCTTGAGACAGGCTCAGAATCTTCAGAACCGGCATCAAAAGAATCTCTCATAGCTGGAAATACTAAACTCAAGACGATCCTTGCAAATCTGGTCAAGCAGAATGCCAGTGCGAAAATCTTTCAGAAATTTACCGTGGACGCCATAAAACGACAACACACCGCCACCGATGTACTAAAGTCGCAACAACATCGCGCAACTGCCGACGCATGCTTCCTTGCAATTTCTAGCCTCGTCAGAATTTACACATCAACGCGAAATGACAGCAACCTCTTTCGTGCCGCCTTTCTCGCCGAACGCTTAATTATCTATCATGACAACTTTCACGAAGCTCGTTTGATTCTCATATATCTTTACATGCGACTCGGCCTCGGAGCTCCTGCCTTTCGATTGTTCGAATCTCTTCGAATCAAAGAAATCCAACATGACACCGTCGGTCACGTTCTATTTACTCGACTTTCCCTGGTACTACCATACCCCACGAAGCAAACTCTACTCGCCACTGCCTTTGCACACGAGGACCATAATGTAGCCCCTGATCCTTTGGAGCGTACACAACGCGCTCTCTCCATCTACCCTCGCCATGAGAACCGCCTTGCAGAGACCGAACTCGATGTTCTCTCCCACTTCCAGACCGGCATGATCTTTGATCTGCATGCTCTTCGCGATCATCTCCGTCGCAGTCTGACGCGTCGAATCACGGTTCTAGAGCATCGTCGCCTTGCTCGCATCAGCGGGCGGGCAGCCATACTCAAGCATTCGATGGAGATCAGTCCTCGCCGTGTTGCCAATTGGACGTCATACCTCGACAACCGTGACTTTGACGCAGCATTTAATCACGGCGTCAATGTGGAGAGACTGCTACATGCGGATGGTCCTGAAGACAATGTTCCGGACAAGCGCTGGATTGAGGATGTCTTGGCTGCGGATTGTGTTTGGAGCCTCATCAATGATAAGACCCCTCTCGTCTTGGATCCAGAAAATCTCCTAGATGGACATCAAGCAAGCACAGCGGAGAGCAATGGTGCAGCTTCTGCTGTGAGCGCCGACGACATCATGCAAAATCTGCCGGCCCTCACCATGACCGAACGAACAGTCGGCGCAATCTCTCGCCAACTTCTATCCCTTCTCCTCTCGCAAAGCTCATCATCATCCCCATCAGAAACATCCGCTCCAGTCATATCCGCTCTCTCCGCCTCCCTCGAGTCGCTCCCCATTCCGAACCCCTCCACAGCGACCACAAGCACAGCTCCGACATCCTCCCTCCCAGCCGCCTTCCTCGCCCTCGACGCCCTAAAGCTCATCCTCTCAACCTACCGCACCTTGCAGAAACGCAATATTCCCGACCTCCGCGCTGTGCAATCCTCCGCTTCAGCCCATCTCGCACACCTCAAAACATACGTCCGCGGCCGTGTAGCCGACAGCAAATCTTTCCCCGTCGCGATCAGGGCGAGTCTTCTCGGCGGCGCAGACGATAACGACGATGGTGGGATATGCGAGGCGTTACTCGCGTTTGGAGAGGACACCGTGGATGGGTTTGCTGATGCATTGGGGAAGGATGCGCGGGAGGGATGGGAAGGCTTGGAGAAGGCTTGTGGGTTGGTGGTTTGAGATGCAGTGCGTGAAGGACGGGGGTTTTCACATGAGCCATGAAAGCGGAGAGGTCGAGAACATAGATCGACCCTGCAAAGACGCGAGCGGGAGACGTGTTGACGTATTTGAACATCTCAAGATTTGATTTCCTTTCCTCCCTACTACAAATCATAGAAATTTTCTCAAGGAAATAAAGAGCAACAAATCCATACAGATTCCGAAAAGTAGAAGAAATGTTTTCGATATTTATTATTACCTCCCCTCCCACTGGAAAAAGAAAAGGGATAGTCGAGGGCGGATCTTTTCCTCCCATGGAGTCCCAGGTTTCCTCCAGTCCCCTTTTGCCGGAAATATCGCCCTAGAACGCCACGCTTAAACGCTATTTCATGTACAAGTCTGCAAGATTCGAGCCGCCGTGAATGATACTGGGGCCGACTTCTGATTCTATAACGGCTTGCCGTCGATCTCATTCGTCTTGGCCGTCCCAGTGTAGTCTTGGCTCGGCCCTCCGATGTCCTTTGAAGCGTCTGAGGTTGCATCCGTCGTTGCCGTTGTGGCCGCCTGTTGGTCTTCCGCTTCGGCGTCGTCTACAGATCGCGGTGGTAGTGTCTCTTTCTCCGATTCGGAAATTGAATCGTCAGGTCGCGAAACCCCATCTTTTGTCTCATCGCCAATGAACTCGTCGTGAGCAGGACCGGAAGACCCTGCCGCAGTAGCGGCGGCGGCAGCGGCGGCTGACGCCAGTCCCCGTTTCAGCGCGAGAACATGTGCTTCATTTCGCCGTCGCTCGACATCCGCCTCTTCTTCACGCTCGAGCGCGCGTTCTTCGAGTTTGAGATCACTCAAGGACGGCACCTCGGCTTCGGGACTGAATGTCTGTTCGGGAGAAATCGTCTCTGATTGCAGATAATCTTGCGTTTGTTGTCCAGGAAGAATCTCCGCCAGACTCGCGCCGCTCGCCACGCGGCTGCCTGATCCGATCCGGCCACTCATCGAGCTGCGGGAGGACAGCGTCCGCCGTGTCGATGCGCGACTTCGATTTGAGGATGTGCGCTTGCCCCGTACGCGACCGCCGCGTGAGTAGTAAGGATTTTGTCCGTCAGAGTGTGAGCGCCCGGAGCTGTTCTCCGTATCTGCTCCGGAGCCGAGGATACGGCGTTCAAGCACCATGGCGAATTCGTCGTCGAGCGGGACCGCATCGTCTTCGAGCTCTTCATCTGATGGAAAGAGGTCGCCACGGCTACTGTAGCTGTCTCGTGTGTCGGCGGAGCCAGTGGTCCCGCTACGCAGACGGGCTCGCCGACGACCTGTGCCCCGAGCATCATCGTCCTCGAGATCTTCGAGGAGTGCTTCGCCTTCGGTGATGTTTCGGCCCAGTCGCAGCGTACCGGGATGCTCTTGAAGGTCGGCGGCGGAAGGCTTGTAGCGGAGGGATTTGCCGCCAAAGAGTCGGCCGAAAAAGGTCGGTTTGGCGATGATGGGTGGTTCTGCGCCCATCTCGCCTGGAAGGAGCGTGCCTTTGCGTTTGCTGACTTTCGGTTGATACGCCATGCTACCTGTTCTGCCGGGCTGCGCGCTTGCACTGAGTGTTCCATATCCAAGGCCGCTGGTGTTGTTATTGTCCGTCCCGTTCCCGGCGCCTACTAGCCGATCAAACTCATCATTGCCCCATCCCAATAACCCATCATTTTCATCCTCATCCCAGTCGTCATAAAAATCAAAGCTCGACTCTGCGCGCCCTGTACTTCGTCCTCGACCGCGCTGCCGCCGTATTCGATCGCGCTGGGTGAGATTTAAGCTGGGACAGCTGGCATCCACGCATGTCGTGAGACATGATCCCACACTATCCAAACAAGGTCGAATGTAGTTCTGTCCAAAGATATAGATGCTGCTCTGTGCCGTCTCATTGGCACTTTCGAGCGTCTGGCCGAGCTCGTTCAACCGTCGCCGGAATCGTGGATCGTTGGTGCGGTACATGGCCGACTTGTGGCGCAGCGTTTCTCACGTTATGGCGAGCGCTCTTCTAGCTCTCGCGCGTCGCATCAGCTTTGATTGATGTCCGCCGGCGCTCTACAGTCGTGTTGTGGCATGGCGATCTTTGCATCTGCGGTAGAATGCTTGCAATGGGTTCCAGGATAGCAATGGCTGTCGGCGCAATGGATGGGTCACTCAATCGTTCGATAAAAGCGGCCTTCGGGGCTGTGAAGCAAGCACGTGGGGACGGATTAAGCATGATGATGGCAGCGCGGATCGTGCCGTTGACCGTCTGCATCGGCGTGCAGTCTACAGATCTCACATCGACAAAACGTCATCGGCCTTTTATTTCCAGGACATGGGACAACATATAATTGCGCGCTTTACGTAGATTTGGGCTTCTTTTCTGTCGAACATCACCGTCTGATCGCCAGACTACAGCACCTGCAGTAGTATCCTTGTCTGACTGGAAGTTGTATCGCCTCAACCTCGAAATCTCACCGCTGGCTGCTGCGGCATACTACAGGCCGCCTTCTCAAGTACGAACTCGACGACGTGGCTATTCTGGTCTTCGCACATCTAGTCTAACGTAAGATGGCTCCGTTGAGTGTAGTGGTTGTGAGCGGAAGGTCATATCTGCCTCGAGCGGTCTACAAGCCCGGGAATTATCGCAGCGATACTTACCGGCATCTGCACAGGACGACTCGTTGGAGTTGACCTTGAATTCATTCAAATCGATCGCATGGCGTTGTTCACACAACACAAGCTGAATGTCACGGATGAGCGAAGTAGATGACCGGACAGTATCGTTTCGTTTAAAGGCGGTATTCTTGCCATTAAATTTGCTATCCTATTTTCGCAGATGATCCAGTCTTGGTGGTGACAGACCTGCACATCGCTTCCTCTATCGTATCGCGTGAATGGTTTCGTCACGCGGCGGTGGTAAATATTTTCCAGTTCGCAGGGATATCTCGTGCGATCTATGAGTCGTGCTCGGAGTATCAAAAAAAAACAAGCACAGCTCTAATTGGAGAAGTTGTAGATGGTGCGCTGGAAGGTCTGATCGATGGCAGCGCCGACGCGGAGGAAGTCGTCGGCGGAGGCCAGGTTGAGCTGGGAAAGAGCGTTGGAGTACTGGTTCGTGTCGTAGCGGAGAGTGCGGAGGTCGTTGAGGACGATGGGTCCGAGGAGGGTGGCGAGGTAGAGGACCTTACGCTCGTTCAGGGCGGAGAGGACGGTCTGGATGGACGGGAAAAGCACATCGTTGATGTAGCCAAAGATCTCCTGGGCTTCGGCGTCAGTGACCTCGCTGGTGACCTCGACATTGCTGATGGCCGTGCCGAGGGAGCCGTGGAGGTGGTCGACGTTGACGGAGATTGCGATGGCGTTGAAAGGACCAGCAATGATGTCTTTGGTGAGCCTGATGGTCTGGTTGTTGATGCTTCTGAGGTCGTTCTCGATCGTGGGAACCGAGCGAGGGAGGACCGCAGCGGAGACACCGACGGCCAGGAAGAGGAGGTTCTTGATGGAGAGCATCTCGATTGAATTAGTTTGACAGGCTGTGGAAGAGAGAGGTCTGGTGGTATCGAAATTTGCTAATATCGTTGGTTGGTGTAGAAAGGTCTAACGAATGGCAAGTGGACTTCAGATCTCTTATTATACAACCCCTGCCCAACATGACATACCGTTCTTCGACCTCGTTATTTACCTTTGCGCGATATGCCTCGGCATCAAGCATTGCTTGTTCAGTACAGTAAGGCGCCGCACGACGCCGGCACGGCGTACCTCGTTATAGCGTACCCAACACGCCCATGTTTTGGCGCAAAGGCCTCTGGCTTCGATTTAGAGTTTTCCGCCAAATTAGTGATAGGTACAGCGGACCCCGCGTTAACAGTGAGAAAGTTCATCGCCTCTCACGTTGGTCCGACGCTTTTCTGTGCCGATGCCTTGCTGTCTCTGGATCCCAGGACAAGTCTACCGCACCATGCTCCGATGAGAAGCGTGCTCATGAGCTGGAAAAGCGACGATCAGCCAGTCGACTAGCAATACCAGCACTGATGACAGTGATCCAGGAGCGCCGTTGTTGGATCGGGACACACAGCGCTGGTTGATTTGCTTACCCCAAGCCGTTGACACTCGACCATGCTGAAAGAGGAGAAGTTGGAACGGCGATCTCCTCCACAATATAGCGTGCAGTATCCCGTGTGGGGTCTAAATAGTGCCTTGATCTGCACTAGTCGGTGCAGGCGCCTAGCCTGCATTTGTCAAGAATGCGAAAAGGCTTAGCACGACGTGTGTCATGCGCGGGTTGCACAGCTTTTGGCAGCATTCATGCTTGCTTCGTCCTGACGATCTTGCGTGCGGTCTCGCGGTGCTCAGAGAATACGCACGTAATACGTTCGCTCGGGATTGTCTCTCATGAGCGATGGACTCGCTTGAATCGTACCCAGACGCTTGCCTCGGACTTTGGCAACATCTTGTCAGTGACCGCCATCCACGTGCTGCACACAGGAGTCTTGGGCGGGTGCAGCTAATGCATCAGCATGAAGAATGTCGATCTTGTGAGGGACAATGAGCCTTGACAGACGAAGGGTGAGTCGGTGATCATGCCAATGTTTGTTTGTGACCTGGTGAACATGAGGAATATATTGATGGTTACGGAAATACTGGAAGGTACACGCTCAGTACGTGGCTAGGTAGGCATGTGGAGGCGCGCGGCTCGGGCCTCTGAGCAGAGGCGTGCACCCAAAGAAACCTTCTCACTCGTACAGATCCAGGGGTGATTTCCCACCTGCAGGAACGGCCGTCATCGAATATTTTTACACTGAGGTTCGCCATTGGTAAGACAGATTGTGTGGAAATACCGTGGCTGGATGGTGTGGACAAGATGAATTCGAAGAGCAGACCTACGCCGCATGTGTTTCGTCTCAAGCCTCTCACCTTGTCAACTCCCAAGGTATCGCCGGATATCCATATCTTCCAAGGTTATCCTCAATTTCTCACACATCGTGGGAGCTTTCATTTTCGCAATACAAGGCAACAATATTCATGGATCTCAAGGCAATAACGATGGCCACGGAGGAGCCTCGTATATCTCAGCGACGCATAAGCTTTCGCTGACACCTACCCCAACCAAGCAGCTATACACTCAATCGCATGTCATCGTTAGGCAATGCCTTACTGCCGATATATAGTATACAGAGTGTGACAGGTCTAGAGTGTCAACGATCGTTTCCTCACTGGGGGACGGCTCGTGCAAGGTCCTCTTGTTCCTTGTTTTCCACGGTAGGTACTGTATGTGTTCATCAAGAATGACTCCTGCGCTGCGCAGGCACGCCATCCCTCTGCTCACGGTACGTCATTTCATGATGGTGAATGGCAATATCAGTTTCGCTCTGCTGTAAGCTTTTCGCGTCCGAATTTTGCGTCTGCCCAGGCAATTGTTCGGCCATCACGGCCAATGTCGTCACCCGCTAGCAATGCAGACCGGCCGTTTGGCAACAAGCTCGTTCAATATTGAACCAAGTAGTGATAACAATGCCCCAAGGTCCAGCATGTCTTTGATAAGTCCGTCATACACATGGAACGTAGGCTGCGAATCTCTCAAGTCACAGTGTCCTTGACTTGGCGCGAGAGGCCATCGAGTAGCCGTTTCAGATCAGTCATCGCGCGATGCAAGGACTTCTGCCTAGAGGATGAGCATTTGCAGGAAGGGGCTGTGCCTCCTGGTGAGCGCGGGCAGCCACCAAACCACCAAAATGTCGGTCCGTTTGCCGACGCTCGGAACAGGCCGAGGCACTGGTTTGATGAAGCGCGCAGTACTCCGTATTTTGGCGGGCTCCGATAAGAAATCAAGCTTTGGGCGGTGTAGAACTTATCGCATTCTGCCGGCAAAAAAGTTCCTGTTGGAGGCGGGCATGAACACATTCCGGACTGACTGCGGCACGATCCTGTAAGAAATCGCCCATCCAGCAGAACAAAATCCTTACGACATGGCGACTGTCATACCACCCCCATCAAAGCGTCAAAAGACTGCAGCCGCAGCCCGTGCGCGCGAACAGATTGCTGCTCCAGTCGCAGTACCCGAAGGCACACAGCGGATACAATTCCGAGATGCGGACACTGGAGTCGCCCAAGGCCCTGTCGTGTCGGTGGCGCTCGCAGACCTCACGCCAAAGAACCTATCATTATTACTCAACAGTCTTCTGGGAAAGACAGATCCCGACGACCGGTTACCATATCGATTCTACAATCCATTCGGCGACGGAGGCGAGTTCAATCAAACCGAGATCATCCAGAAGTATGTAGACGGAACCACTACAACCGAATTGCAACTCGATATCCCTTGTCGTGCCGAGGCCGTCTTCAAGGTCAAACCTGTGACGAGATGTTCAGCGAGCGTCAGTGGTCATGGCGAATCAATCCTTGCGACCGCCTTCTCGCCAGCGACATCGTCAAGATTGGCGACCGGAAGTGGAGATAATACTGCGAGGATATTTGACTGCGAGACCGGAACACCACTGCATACGCTGAAAGGTCATACAGGATGGGTATTGGCAGTGGCATGGTCACCAGACGATGGTGTGCTAGCCACGGGCAGTATGGATAACACCGTCCGGTTATGGGATCCTGTCAAAGGTACAGCATTGGGATCACCTCTCAAAGGTCATACCAAATGGATCACGAGCATATCATGGGAGCCATACCACGCGCGAGAGCCGGGACGGCCGCGCTTCGCGTCGGCGTCGAAGGATTTCACGATTCGGATATGGGATGCAGCCAGCGGGCAGACCGACATGGCCCTCACCGGCCATAAGGAGTGCGTCACCTGCGTGAAGTGGGGGGGTTCCGGCTGGATCTACTCCTCCTCCCGCGACCGGACGGTCAAAGTCTGGGACGCAGTCAAGGGCACGCTCGTGCACAACCTGACCGCGCACGCACACTGGGTCAATCACCTCGCGCTCTCGACCGACTTTGTCCTCCGCACCGGCTACTTCGACCACAAAGGCAAGAAAGAAGCCCCCTCCACCATCGAAGAGAAACGGGCCAAGGCCCTACAGCGCTACCAAACCGCGCTGGCCAGCTCCGGCGGCGGCGGGATCGAACGCCTCGTCTCCGCCAGCGATGACTGCACCATGTACCTCTGGGAGCCGTCCAAGACCACCAAACCGCTCCAACGCCTGCACGGCCACCAGAAACAGATCAACCACGTGACCTTCTCCCCCGACGGCTCCCTCCTCGCGTCCGCCGGGTTCGACAACCACGTGAAGCTCTGGCGGGCGCGGGACGGCGCCTTTCTGCATACCCTCCGCGGCCACGTCGGTCCCGTGTATCAGTGCGCTTTCTCGCCGGACTCGCGATTGCTGGTCAGCGCCTCCCGGGACACCACGCTCAAGGCGTGGGATGTCCGCGCCGGCACGCTGAAGGAGAACCTTCCTGGCCATCTCGATGAGGTTTTTGCCGTGGATTGGGCGCCGGATGGGGAGAGGGTGGGCAGCGGTGGGCAGGACAAGGCTGTGAGGATTTGGCGGCATTGATGGGAATGTTTACATCTGCACGGGGGAGAGTGAAGTGTATGCTGGAGTTTCTTGGGGTTGTCTCCGACATTGTTTTTTCTATTTTCTTCGATCTGGGTAGAATGTCATGTTCTTATCCTCTCATCCTCCTCGTGCTTCGCTTTGGCGTCAGGAGGAGCGTCGTCCATAACCATGGACGCAAAAGTCAAGTCACACAATCACTGCCTCCTCTTCCACCACCTCCATTGACAAAAGGTTTGGCAGAAATAAAGCCAGTCTCTTGGGATATGACAGCAGCATACACATTAGTCAATTACAGCCTTGCAGTCCATCGCAGATCGAGTCGATGATGCCCTCCTGCAATATCCCGGGTCGATGATAACCCTAACAAGGGCCTAAGCCGTGGACCGCTCGCTCGCTCTATGCGTCCGTGTGTGGCCCAGTCGAGAGCCAACGCCTACTACTATCTCCACGGACGAAGGAGATGTTCGTGACTACCTAGGTATCAAATCCATTCTTTATGTATGGCTCAGCTTTCTTTTTTCCTTCTTGCGGCGTCCGTTCCACGCGCGCGCATAGACGGTACGGGTGGAAGGGAAAGACTCATTTGTTGGCTCGACCATTGGGTTGCCTTGGTTTGGTTGCTTTTTGGGGAATTCATGACGGTATTCGATCGTAGCTTGGATGGAGAGATATGGAGGATGGACTCTGATGATTTTTTCGAGGAGTATTTTTATGTCAATTATTGTCCAGTGTTAGTGGATCAGTATCATCTATCCTTGCCTCTAGCATCTCCATCGGAGTGCACACAGTATGCCCAGTTGTCGATGTCTGCCTTCTCTTGCTTGCTTGCTTGCTGGACTCCAATGCGCTGTTTAGGGTTCCTAGTCACGATCCCCAGGAGAGAAGACAGGAACGGCGCAACGGCTGGGGAGAGCGAGTCGAGATCCGCGCGCCCCATGTGGGCCTTTTTTTTGGGCGTTTGTGCGCTCCGACGTCAGCGGCCGATTTTCTCGCGTTTGTATGGGGCAGGAACAAGCCGAATCGTTGGAAGGGTCGAGAAGGGTGATCCGGAGACTCGCTCTCGTATTTAATAATGCATTCCGTGGCCTCGCCTGGGGTTGTCTTTCGGTCCGCGGGGTCTTTCTTTGTTGACGATTGTGTTTCAGAAGACCTCGGAGAACGCGAATGCTCTATACCTAGGTAATGTATCTTTGAGGGCTGTTCCCTCCACCATGTCATTGGTGTCTGTTGGATATGTCCGAGGGTGACTGTCTGTTGGGAATTTTTATTTCCTCAATGCCCAGTCTAAACGTGCGCAAGTCTGTGGCACAGCGGCGCCAACTGCCATTGTGTGGAAAGCCTACAAAAATAGGTCCTTCGCTGCTGGGCTAACGGCCAACGGTCGCAGAAATGGCTGCAGCGTGTTGTGGTAGTCACAGACAATCTGCCCTGTGCGTTGACCGGAAGCCGCGTAATTGCCCTGATTTGTGGTGAGTGGATAGTAAGATGAGTATTCAGATACGAAAGAATATACGTGCCCTGGCTTGCTGCATCGCCGAGTCGTGCTGCTGCGGCTTCTGCTGATGCTGTGCCCTCCCACTTCACCAGCTTATTTCGTCTCGGCATTTGGGGACAGTTCAGTCTACCACGACGCCATCGTTCATTCTTACGATTCTTACTACGATCATCTTCTGGCACTCATTCTCCACAGGCTGAGCCTCACGGGTCGACAGCGGCGTCTGAGCGCGCCAAACAATTTCGAACGACGGACACTGACCTTCGTTTCTCCTTCAAAACCATCTCGACCACCGCTTTGAAGACGTCCTCCACCACCACTGCTTCATGAGCTAGTCAGCCCATGGCAACATGCAATCTGGAAGACCTCCAGGTGTCGTCCGCATTCGCGATGTCCTCTTGCTGAGTTTGTTCCTGCCCGCCGCGTTGGCCGCTCTGCAGCAGCAGCCAGCAGCACCATACCGGGCTGCCAAGTACACCGACCCTGACGAGCATGCAAATGCCGCTGCGGCCGCCTCGGAGCAACGATGGAGACTAGCCGCCGCGGACTCGCTCCGCACACGAGAGAGCGGTGCTCCTCCTCGCCAACAACAACGTCGGGGTAGTCAACCGGATTTGGATGGGCTCGGAGTAAGATCCAAGACAAAGTCAGCTCACCACAACAACATCTATAACAACAATAACAACAACAACAATGGAAACGCGCGGACTCCGTCCGAACAGCGCGCCCTTGCGACTGTGTCTCCGGCTGGAAACCCAGCTGTTCGAGCACCTTCTGCTCAGAGGTCCCCGGTCTCTAGTAGCGCGGGTCTAGACTCGCGACGACCGGCTCGCTCTCTGCAGGATTGGCAAGTCGAGGACATCATGCTCCTGGCGACGGTTGACGGAAAACTACACGCACGTGATCGAAGGAGCGGCGCCCCGAGGTGGACGCTCGAGACCGATCGGGAGATGGTGGAAATCACCAATCACCAGAATAAAACAGACGAGGAGGCTCGAGAGGATCCCATCTTCATTGTAGAGCCGAGCCAGGACGGTGATATTTATATCCTAGTTCCCGGCTTCGGACTGCAAAAATTGGGCTATACCGTGAAGCAGCTCGCTGAGTTGGCTCCGTATGCGTCGCAAGGATATCCCGCTGTGGCATACACGGCCGAGAAGAAGAATACGCTGTACACGGTTGATGCGGCCACAGGCATCATTATGAAATCTTTCAGCTCGGCTGGGTCCATTGTTAACGAGGATCGCAGTTGCAGGCGAGTCAGCCCTTTCGACCAACTCGATGAGAAAGAATGTGATCCCATCGGCACTCTGACCATCGGTCGGACCGAATATACCATTGGAATTCAGGATCGTAATACTGGTGAGCCAATCAACACCATCCGCTATTTCGAATGGGGACCCAATAATCACGATGTCGATCTCCGCAACGCGTACACTACGACGATGGATCACAAATATGTTTATTCCAAGTTCGACGGGACCGTCTTCGGTCTGGACCTGGCGGAGCATACCAGGCGTTCCGCCTCGCCGGCTGGCAAAGCTCTCTATCGACACAAGTTTCCTTCGCCGGTAGTCCGCGTGTTTGACCTGGTCCGCGAGAACGGCGAGGCGTCAGAGGATGCATCCCTAGTGGTCCTTCCTCAACCCAAAGGACAGTCGTTGGAGCTCGATGGGCTCGACGACGATATTTTCGAGAACGTATTTGTGAATTGTACTGAAAGCGGTAGCTGGTATGCCCTTTCGGAGGTCACTTACCCTATGGTCACGGCTGGTGCGGCCGATGCAAAATACACCGGCGGCGATCTTTTGCCTGCCATTGATCTCCACCGAGATCTCTTCACGGGTGTCCACCACTTGTCTCCTCAGGCCCATGTTGACGTGGCCCCTCCGCTCATTGATGGCTCGCAAGTACGAACCATTGAATCACCTCCTCATGATAGGGAGGAGCATCTCATTGATGTCATCTCCCACGCAAAACGTGTCGGTGAAAATTCGACCAGTTTCCGCACAATCTCTGCTATGATGATCGTGACCTTGCTCGCTTTTGGATTTCTTTACAAGCAGTTCGAGGCAAAGACTCGCAAGGGAAAGACAACTCTGCCAGATGTTGTTGTGCCAACTACGGAGGTTGTACCTCCTGCCAAGGAAGCCGAGCCGACCATGGTCCGCGAAGCCGAGCCCGCCGTGGAGACTGTATTCGAACAAAAGGCTGTACCGCCCTCACCACCTCCTGCTGCTGCGGCACAGTCCGTTCGCTTCGCCGAGAGCACCAAGGAAGTTGCCGGAGAGGGAGAAAAGGACGGCGAGTCTGACGAAGAACCTAAGGATGGTGCAGAACCCAAAAAGCGTAAGGCTACCCGTGGCAAGAGAGGCGGACGTAAGCAGAAAGAGAAGCAGCAAGCTCAAGCTGAAGCCCGCGCGAAACGCGCAAACACCAACGAAGGTCTTCCGTCCACAGAGATCATCAGCGTGTCCGCGTCGGAGCACCCCGAGACTTTATCTGGACCTCTACAGATTAACAGTCTCGTCATCAACACCGACAAGGTTATCGGACAAGGTGGATGTGGCACCATGGTATTCGAAGGCTCGTGGGAGGGCAAGGCAGTCGCCGTGAAACGCATGTTATCGCAATACTATGAATTGGCGTCCCAGGAGGTCCACTTTTTGCAGCAAAGCTACCATGCCAATGTCGTTCGCTATTTCTGCCAACAGAAAGACAACCACTTTTTGTACATTGCCGTCGAGCTCTGCCAAGCAAGTCTCTTCGAGGTGTGGGAGGCCGACAAGGCTCGTACTGAGGAGCGACAAACACAACTCCGCGGACTGAAACTCGCCATCCAGCAGGACATGAGTAGTGCTCTGCACCAGCTGGCCGCGGGACTGTACCATTTGCACACCTTGCGCATCATCCATCGCGATATCAAGCCTCAGAATATCCTCGTCGCATATCCCATCCCACCCGCTCGCACCGGTACTCGCCTCGTCATTTCCGACTTCGGCCTCGGCAAGAATCTCCCTGAGAACGTCAGCACCCTCGTCGACCCAACCGGTAACGCCGGTACCTCAGGCTGGAAAGCTCCCGAACTCATCTCCCAGCCCAAGGAAGACGCCAAAGTTAGCAACACCTCTCACCCGGGCACGCCCTCCTCCGAACCCGGCACCGGCGGCACCACCACCGGCGTCAAACGCGCTGCAGACATCTTCTCCCTCGGCTGCCTCTTCTTCTGGGCGTTGACCGACGGGATCCACCCGTTTGAAGACGAAAACGGTTTCATGCAAATGCGCGAAGTCAACATCAAACGCGGCAAGAAAACCCTCGACGCCCTCGCCCAATGGTCCGACGCCTACGAGCCCATGCATCTCATCTCCGCCATGCTCGCCCACCATCCCGAGGACCGTCCCACCGCCTTACACGTTCTGCACCACCCGTACTTCTGGCCCGCGGACCGGCGGCTCGACTTCCTCTGCGACTGCAGCGACCACTTCGAGCGCGAACCCCGCGGCACCCACGAGGACGGCTACGTCGGCGACAGCGAGCACCTGCAACTCCTCGAACGCCGCGCCGCCAGCGTCATCCTCCCCTCCCCGACCGCCACCGGCCCCTCCTCCCACGCAGCAACGACCAACCCCGATTTCCTCTCCCGCCTCGACAGACCCTTCGTCGAAACCCTCGGCAAACAACGCAAATATTCGGGGAACCGCCTCCTCGACCTCCTCCGCGCGCTCCGCAACAAGAAAAACCACTACGAGGATATGCCCGAGGACGTCCAACGGCGGGTGGGACCCCTCGCCTCGGGAGGTTATCTGAATTACTGGATGAGGAAGTTTCCGCGACTGCTCATGGAGTGCTATGAAGTCGTCCGGGAGGCGGAACTCGAGGGCAGCGATCGATTCAGAAGATATTTCGAGATGGGAGGCGGCTTGTAAATGTAGTTGTTTCGTGGGTGATGGTGGTGGTAGTGGTAGTGGGGTGCTTTCGGAAGCATGTCATGCTGTTGAGGGTGTATTTCAAATACAGTCCTTCGAAGAAAATATTTCAATTTCCATTCATTTTTGAAACATGAACTGCACAATGAATCATTACACTACCAGTCTTCCACTTTTCGTTTCTCAAAACTTTTGATGGGGAGGCATTTTAACCGTTGCTCCAAAAAGGTATGGCTTCCACGCAGCGACAATTCCATCTCTCGCCGCATTGCACCCTCGACCACCTCGCCCCCCGAACTCCATCCAATCAGATTCATGCGACGATCCCCTGTCCTCCACCTGGCGGGAGATTCTTGGCGCGTTCCTTGAGGAGCATCTTATCGAATTTTCCGATCTATCAACATTATGCGTCAGCCATGAGCAAAGGAGAAACGAAAAAAGAACCCAGATGAGAGTTCGGGAGGTGAGAGTAAAGCGAAACCAAAACTTACCCCCAATCTCGGCAATTCGGAGACGAGGTGTACGCCGCCTGCAAGTTTGCTCAAGGGGCCCAGTTGCGAGTTGACGACGTCGTGGACGCTTTGGATGAGAAGGTCGCTGGGCTTGGCGTCCTCGCTCTTGGCGGGAGATGGAGCGGCGTTGGCGTCGGTGGAGTTCCGGCGGGAGGGGACGATGAACGCGGTGGGGACTTCGCCGTATTTCTCACTGCGGATGGTTGGAAAGAGGGAGGAGTCAGTCGGGGAAATTGGAGAGATTTGGACATTTTTTTTCTCTCTTGTTTGGAAAGTCTGATAAATGAAGGTATCGGAGGGATATGGCACCGAGGAAACATTTGGGTATTCAAGTGGCATGGGAGGAACTTACTCGGGTCTACCGACGACGCAGACTTCCTCGACGGTGTCCGGGAGCGCTTGGGAGATGCATTGCTCGATATCGACAGGTAAGACTTGAGAACCACCGACTTTCAGGACATCCTAGGTAGCGCAAAGCGAGATCAGCATGTGGTGCTCCGAAAGCTTCCTACCAGAGGAACTTGCATGGTCTCACCTTTTTTCGACCGACAATCCAACAATGTCTCGTCCGCTCATCCAGAATGACCAAATCACCGGTATCGACCCATCCGTCTTCCGTGATCGCCTCCGCGGTCGCGTCGGGCCTCTGCCAGTATCCGAGGAAATTGGAGGCGCCTCGCATCTGGAGAACGCCGGATCGAGTCAAAATGTCCTTGTCGGAAGTCGAGGAGGAAGAAAAGATGGTCCCGTCTGTTGGGTCCACAACGCGAACTTGAACACTTGGAACGAAGGTGCCGACGTCGATATAGCCAGCGGGATGGTCGTTCTTGTCGTGAACGTGACGACGACAGCCGATGCCTGCCCTGTAAGGTTGTAAATGTAATATTAGCTTGCTGAACTCTGGCCGGTTCACTAGTTGAAAGGAGATAGTGGATCGAGGGTATCATGCTGGTGAGATACGGTAGAGAGATATTGATTGCGAGGGTAGGTAGGGGAAATCAGAACACGGCGTTCATGATGCTCAGTTGTGGTCACTTACTCGGTGGAGCCATATCCAAAATAGAAGTCAGATCCATCTGGCAATTTCTCACGAACCGTAGCCATGATAGCTTCGGGTACTGTACCACCACCAGTCCAGGTCAGCTTGAGACTGACGAGATCGTCCCGAGTAGCTTCGTGCGCGATGTGATTGAGCACCAAAGGACTCGTGAAACATCCATCCACCCTGTACGTGCGTATCAAGTCGAGCACAGTCGCAGGGTCCCGAATCGCGGTGATAAGCAATCGGTGCCGCAGTCGGAGCGCCATCAGTGACTCGCCTGTTTGACCAATATGGCCAGGCTCTAAAGTGCTGAGGGTGATGAAACGGTGGGGTGTTGGAGGCGGAGGATAAGCCTCAAGGAGTAAAGAAATCGCCGCCGTCAACGATTTATGTGTTTGAATGGCTGCCTTGCGTTTTCCGGTCGAGCTGAAATAATGCCGACATGTCAGCGTCGAAGGCGTGAGGAATGTGAAAGAAAGTGAACTTACCCTGAGGTCATGGTGAAGAGGATTGGCGTGTTGGCAAGGTACTCGTCGGTATATTGAGGAAGTGGTGCTTGGAGATCGGCCTGGCCATCAAGAAGAGCTGACCAGTGAGGCCATGCTTTACCTTGAACGCTTTGGAAAGTCTTGTCTGTGGCTTCAGGCGACTCATCTAGGACAAAATATGGGGCGTTACGATTTGACGTAGCCGTAAACTTATCGACGATACTGTGATGCACTAGAATGAATGATGGCTCAGCAGTATCGATCCAATGCTGGAACTCCTCTGTTGTCCGAGAAGTTGACGCGCCTAAGAAACATCCTCCTGCAGCGATAACAGCCAACAAGACAGGCATGTAATTTAGAGCATTTGGGCTAGCAAGGATGACTCGATCGCCATGTTGAAGACCAGCCTTCTTAAGGCCACTAGCTAGCTGTAGAGCGAGTCTCTTCAACTGACCATATGTGAGATGACTATCGAATGCCTTTGATCAGCGAGGAGCCATGATCGCTAAATTCAACCTCGGAGTTCTCTTACGACTTAGTCGCGCCAGGTGTGACAACTTCAACGGCGACTTGATTCTCATCATCTTGGATTTGGTTGCCACGGAGGATGTATTCGACCAAGCCGCCGCGACCTTGATTTTCCAGTGATGTTTCCGACATGATTGGGTGTGCAATACAAACAGTGTGAGACTTTAAAACGATTCCACGAAAGGACTGAAGGATAACAATTTACGGACAAGTATATATCGTGAGATCCTAGTTGGTGCGCTAAAATGCAACATGAATGCCATTGGGCCGGCATTATTTGGTGTGTTCTGCGCCTCAGAAAGCAGACGCCCTGTTACGTGAGCGTTGATCATGAGCAATAATGTCATGATTCTCAAAAGCGCACGTTCGTACAACCTAAGCTCAGACTGTAGCGTCCACGGGGTAGATGACAGTGGTACTGGTAGTAGTTCATCACGACGGAAGATCGGGTTCAAGCAGCACCGTAACAGGCCAGTCAGGGTGTCCCTTGGGTGGAGAGATAGGTTTTTTCGATCTCCGCGCCGTGCGGGACAGTTGAAAAGTGCCCCACGGCCACGACGTCGGTAGTTGCACGACGCCATTCGGCGACGTGATGTTGACGATGTTTTAGTCATTGCACTTATTTAGCGGCTGTACTGTCGAGGTGGATCATTGTCGATCATTCAGCATTCCGTCATGATCGCTGGCGTCATTTCCCAAGCTTGACACGAGTACACAATATCCCGGACAGGACTCGCTGGAGGAAACTGCAAGATGATGAGTTCTCAGGCCCCTGAGAATATCGAAAGCGAGTCCTCTCGCGCTCGTGGGCACAGTAGTAGTCTCCTTTGGCATGGTTCCTGGCGTACGCTCTGTCTAGTCTGCCTTGTCGGTGGAACCAGCGAAATTTTGAGGTCATGGCGCGATCGAGTGTCTTAGACAGCTCTATCCAAGCCCTGACCATGCAGTGACTACTCGATCAGATGTGTCCCTGACCGAGGTTGGTGGAGAGAATTTGTTTTCTGTCCTGACGAGGGCCAACATGTCTCCACAACTCGTTCCTACCTAGTATTCACGTGCGGCGATGACTTCTTGATTGTGGCATCGCTCAGCATGCCTCACACTTGCAAGACCACCAAAACTTCACTCCACCAATTGCAGCAGTCAGCGATATCTGAAGCATTACATGTGATGACTTCGACACTGCTGTATCGTGTTCCTATTTGTGGTATCACTGACTTCGCACTTGGACTACTCGGTATATATTATCGGCCTCCGTTCACGAATCTCCTGGTAGGGCTTTGTGCAATGCGCATCTTCATTTCGCGTCATGATTATATAAGCCGATCGCCATGTCCAGCCTTGGCATGTACGCCGGGAGAGAGCTTCATGAGCATGTCAGAAAGTGTTTCAGGGTAGTAAAGGAAAAGAAAACGCTCTCTACTAACCAGAAATCGAAAATCCACTCATTATCATCACCATCGTGAATAGCTCACGGCAATAGGCCTTTTGAAATTTGAAGTTGTAGCACGCCACAAGAGATCGAGACCGCCCGACGAGGCATTCGAGCACAATGTCGCGCTCCATCACCCGATGTGCCTCGCATCTTCGACAGCGAACGACTCCCACTTGCGCACTCATTTCATCTCAACACAGCCGACTGGCATCACAACTGCAGCGACCGACGACCTTCTCATTACAACCATCATCTTCGAGTGAACCTCACACAAATGGAAAGCGCCATGCCTCGACCACAGCAACTTCACCACCATCTCCCTCCAAGGAAGTCGTAACCTGGCAACGTTTCTTCGAACTCCGTCAAACCCGCCGCTGGACCAATGTTGCTGCATCAGGTGTTTCTACAGTCGCAGCGATCTCGGTCGCAGGACCTATTATTGCTACATCAGAATTAATTGGGTCGCTGGCACAATCGGCAGGGATCATGGACCCCATTTTCGCGATTGGACTCCCGACACTTGCGATGGGTGGTGTCGGATGGCTAGCAGGTCCATTATTGGGAAATCTTATTTTCAGCCTTCGTGTGGGAAAGAGTAGCTTGGCGGACATGGCGACGGTGAGTGCTTTGTGGTCCGATGATCAATGCTTCGGACGTGCTCCGCCTCGGATTATTTCACGAGTCATATCATGATGGCGGGTCATTCGACAAGCAGTATGCTAACATTCCTCTCTTCGCAGAAAGAGAAATCATTCTTCGATCGCATCAAGCGATTCCGTGCAGATCCTTCCACCTCGACCCTCAACAATCCAATTCCGGACTACTACGGCGAGAAGATCGGTAGCGTACAAGATTACCGAAAGTGGCTTAAGGATCAGCGTGCATTCAGCTTGAAGAGCAAAAAGGACATGCTTTAAAGTGACACATGCGGAAGGAAGGGTTGTAAGGGCAACGTCATGCTGCGACGCATTTACTGAAGAGGAGGATATTCAATGCAGGCGTTCTGAGCTTGGTATGAATTTGCTTTGGACTTCGGCGACCTGTACAAAAAGCGAAGCTGGCTTACAGGGTGTGAGGTTGAAAACTGTAGTATATTCACGCAGACCGACCTCAACGGGTCGACAATAACCCATCTCTTCTTGTACCAACAAATACTCATGTCACCAGCTTCGATTACGATTACATCCCTCCAATACCATCTGCTGTATTCACTCATATACATCATGATCAATATTTCGCTCCAAGTTCCTTCTCTCGATCAAGCTGCTCCTGATCGACAACGATGACCGCTTTGCCCGAAATCTTTCCACCGTGCACCATTTCCACCAACTCCTCGATCTTGTCCAAACCATGAAACACATTCGTCTTGACCGTCACTCCACTCTCCGCAATTTTCTCCAACATCTCCTTACTCTCACCCGCGGAACACAACAACGACCCACGGACACGAATGTCCCGGAAAATCAATTCTGCAAATGGAATCGACACTTCGTCCGGCTGCGCAACCTGCACCATCGTCCCGTGCATCCGGGTGACCGCACAAGCCGTCGCCGCCGCAGATTGCGCATCACTCAAACAAACCGTCGCATGCGCACCCTCTCCACCCGTAACCTCCTGTACGGCCTTGACAACCTCCTCCTTGCCCTTCCTCGCATCGACCACAAGATCCGCACCATAATGCCTCGACAACTCCAACCCTTCATCCCTCGCATCAATCCCGATGACCTTAAGTCCCCTCTTCTTCGCGAACTGAATCCCCAAATGTCCCAAACCACCACCGCTCCCTACAAACGCAATCCACTGCCCCTCCTCCTCCAGCCCAGCCTGGGAGACACTCCTCCACGCCGTCCGTCCCGCACAAGCTAAGGGCGCCGCGCTCAGAAAGCTCACCGAGTCCGGCATCGGCGTCGTGCTCCGGCTGTCAACCCGGACACATTCGGCAAAACACCCATCGACATGAACACCCACGTGTCCCTCCAACTTGATGCAATACTGCCGTTGATTCTCGGGTCCGGTGGTACAATCGGGACACTTCCCGCATGGATGCAGAGGTAGACCACACATGACTCTGTCGCCGATGGAGAAATCCTTGACGTCAGATCCGATGGCCACGACGGTTCCGCTGCCTTCGTGAGAGGCTGTTACGGGAAGTTTCGTCCCGAAGGTTCCGGCTTGGACCATTCCGTCCGTGTGGCAGTGTGAGGCTACGGCGACTTTCACGAGGAGGTCGGTGGGCTGCAGATCGCTGGGGACGGGCACGGTGTTGAGGGTGTAGGGTTTGTTGTAGGCGGTGACTTGGACTGCCTTCATTGTTTTGGGGAGGGAAGGTTGAGGAGCCATGACTGATTTCAAGGTAGCCGATCAGCTCTTTGCAGTGGTTGATTTACGAATGTTGTATTCTTGCAACGGTTGTTGTAGTGGTCGTGAGGATTGCCTTTTTGGAAAATTGCCTATTTGGGAAATGTTCTCCGTCCAGGTGTCTTTGGGTATATGGTCGCTTTGCTAGGAGTGAGAAAGGCACCTTGATGGAAACACGTAAGTGCTACTATAAACGAGGGTAGAATATATATACATGGTTTCAATTCTGTATGGCAAAGACTCTCCCGTGCAAATCACCATAACTTCATGTTGATGTCATTGCACCGTCTGAAGCCCGCCGGCGGAGGGGCAAAAAGCTGGCGGGGTCCAACTTGATGTCACTGCCGCTGGACGTGCGGTCACGATCGAGTTGTCATCGGCCATTTGACCGATGGCGATGCGATAAAAGCAACTTCACAAGGAAAAGCTCAAAGATACTGTAGAGGAGTCCAGGTGGTAAAGGCTACTCCTGCTAGCGAGCAAGTCATCTACTCATCATCCGTTGCATCCGCAACTCGTTCACTTCTCTCCGTCACCCATGCGCCAGAGACGACTACACCATCCTCACCGACCCTCACCTCACAAAACCTCCTCTCAACATCCCTCTTCCCGCCAACAAGCCACTCCGCCGCACATCTTCCAGACATCCTCCTGATTTCCTCCGTCCTATTCTTCGGCCTACACTCCATCCCATGATCCGCTCCCACGACCTCAATCAACCAACTCCTCGCCCTCATCCTGCCTCTCACTTCGCCCAGGAATTTCATGTCACACTGCTTATCCCGACTCCCACACACAAACAGAACCTCCACCTCATCGGGTAAATCCAGAAGAATCTGCTCCCTCCGCTCCGGCTCCCTCGCCCCGCCATCTTTGCCCGCAGTGAGCGGATAACTCACCAAAATCAGTTTCGCCTTGCCCCCATCATCCCCACCATCATTCATCAGAGGTTTCTCCAACGCAGCCAGCACCGCCGCCCTTGCGCCCATACTCCTGCCCCCTAGCGCAAGGTAGTCCTCATTCGAACCTTGCCTCATCGCGTTGAACATTTTGACTCGCGAGGTCAAATTCATGTTTCCTTGAAAGTATGCCACCGGCGCAATGGGGGCGAATCCTTCGGCAAAGTGCTGCATTGCCGGACTGCTGATGCCGCCGCCGACGCCGTGCGTGAAGATCAGTGCTGGGCCTGTTGGGGCGCCGTGGCGGATACAGGGGATTTTCTTGTTGCTGTCATCGAGGGGGATCTCGTAGGATTGGGTAGGTGGAGCCTCTTCTGTGGGCTGGCTTGGATGGTCCTTTGCTGCGGCCTTGTGGACTTCGTTGGTGTCGTCCATGGCTTGATGCGGGCCTGCTTCGGCTCTTTTGCGTTTTGGCATCGTTTCGTGTAGGTTCATTTGCGACCTGTAGATATTGTGGTCTTGATGTTGCGGTGTTGTCATGCTCGCAGAAATGATGTTCTGTTGAGTCTATTGGCATCAGAGTGACGGTTTCACTTGACTGCTCGAAGGGCATTATGATGGCAGTGGAGACCGGTCTCAATCTACATTTCATCTGGGGACAAAGCCGACACATAATTGTGCAAGGTCGTCGATGAGCTTCATCAACGACCCGATTGATTATGGCACAAATCATCAAGCTCTCCAAGAACCTCCATTTATCCAGTATATCAACAAGTCTTATTCAAGGTCGACGGACTTATTATTACTAAATGAACAAGTCATTTCTAACGGTTGATGCTTAATAAGAAAGTGAGACAATCCCGAGCGGCACTGTGCCGTTTGTGCATATCTAGCTTGACAATCCATTAGCTTCGGAGCCTGCCGTGGCGGGTCATGGCCAATCAAAACCAGCCGAGGTAAGTCTCATGACATTTCAAGGACGACTCTTTGGATGGCGTTATATACGACCGTTGCGAATGTGCGCATAGGTCGATTCGGCAGGATCGAGACATGCAATTCATGACATACGTGTCTCTGTAGCAAGGATTCAAACACGAAACGAGCTCTGTTGGGCCAACTCGTCAATATGGCGTTCGCGAGAGATACTGCTGTCCAACAGACAGATTCACATACATACACTGCCAACTTCAGCGGTGATTGGGTCATCGGCTCCGGTAGGCTGCCTTCCCTGGTCGACGACAAGACAGCACATATCGTCCAACCACTGACATACACACGCCGGTAGTTCCCCACGGAGGCTACGTAACGAGCATCTTTCAAACCGTCGCAAAGAAGCATTTCTCCACAACCCTCTCCAAGCAAAACCAACCTCATCTCCTCGCCTTACATCTCGAATTCCTCCGGCGTACAGATGTCGGTCCCGCCACCTTCGTCGTGCGAGACGTCAAACTCGGCCGGCAGATGTCCATCATCCACGTGACCCTCTCCCAAGGCGACCGCGAAGAAGTCCTGGGCTACATCACCCACACGAATCTCGCCGCCGAACAAGGTTCCAGTTTCGACACCCACTGGGTCTCCCGTGCGGAGCTCTCCGGCGTGGATGTGGCCACTCTCGAGAACGGGACGAATCCGGTTTATGTGGAGAAACAGGCTTGGCCGGAGACGAAATTCCGGAAGGCGACGACTCATTACCGCTCGTGGTTTCCGAGGAAAGGCCAGCCTATCCAGTCCGGCTATGATTTCTGGTCGTGTCCGACGAACCCCGAGGAGCGCTGGACGCCGGAAACGCTCGGTTATCTCGTCGATAGTTTCCCGCAGATTCTCGAGTCATATCTCTACGGCGGCCTGGATCCGTATAGCGTGAAACTCGACACCGATCCGAGTCTCCGGGAGCTACGGAAGGAACGGGCCAAGGATCTCAAACCGCACTGGTACCCGACGGTGCTGTTGAATATCGATGTGAAGAAATTGCTACCTGAGGAGGGTGTGAAGTTTTTGTTTACGAGGGTCCAGGCGAAACAGATCAAGAATGGAAGGTATGATGTCGAGGTTATCATTCTTGATGAAGGCGGAGATGTTGTGGCGCTCAGCCATCATATTTGCCTTGCGGTGAGCGCGGAGAGGAATATGGCCGCGAGGAGGAAAGGTGGTGAGGGGACGAAGTTATAGATGAGAGTAATTATGATTTGTAGGAGGAAGAGAAAAGATAATTCTAGATGACGGTTCACTACATATCATGTTCCCATTTTCTGAAAAGAGAGGGAGAGAGAGATAAATATATGTATATAAATGAACACAGTGGTCCCTAAGCAAACCATCATGCAGTGTATGAGTGAATTTGTACCACCGAAACTATGGCCACTCAATCAGAAAAGATCATGAGCACCTCAAACAACGTGGTTGAACTTTGGTCTTGCAAGGGGACGACTACAGAAGTAATCGTTTGATTTAACATCCGGGAAGCTCGCATATTGGAGATCTTCCTGAGAGGACTGACTTGCTGTGCTTGTGATGAGGTATGGGGATGTGCGGAGTTTTCTAGACGGCACTCGAAGAGATGTCGTTGTCAACACAATGGACTACCATTGACTCCGAAGTCATAAAGCAAGACGTGAATTCGTATCTCTGTCATTGGGACTTTCGCATGTGCAAGATTCCAAAATGAGACCACGCGTTCGATATGATGGCAGGGAATAAAGTGAATGAATTTTGACTGGGCGATGAGTTGTGAAGATACCAAGGGAGACGAAAATTATCCCGCCGATGTTTCCCCGAAGACCGCCGCGGCGATGAACCTGCACGTCTGGAGACTTTGATGAATTGACGGAATATGCGACGATATATTTCATCTATCTTTGATCCACAGGAGACTTCTTATCCCGTGAGACAATCTTACATTCGTTCTTTGCGCGTTGTACATTACTTGTTGTGTATATCTTTTTGCAGCATTTGATAGCCAGACCGGCTATCATCCATTCGCTATCCTCCATTCTGGCGCTGCATACTCTCCACCCCTTTGCGGACTCCGGCCCAAAGCGAGCAACTTCCCCGAGAGGCATTGAGTCCAGCGCGATTTAGAGACTTCTTATCTCTCCTGGCCATCACGGAATCCCCCAGCGGTTGACATCACGGATTTTGCAATCGGGATTTGTCCAGAATAAGGCGTGTTGGACCGAATCTACGTTGTGCTGCAGCGATTGGAGTGCATCATGGCGGTGGCCGGCCTTGCGCGCAACGCGGCGATGGTCCGCTGCGGTGCTGGTTCGGGGGTGGTGATGAGATCTACGTGCCCCTCCTCCGGTGTGTCATTATGGCCCACCGCCACCTTCCCACAGCAGCACGCGAGCATAGCAGCGACCAACAGCTTCCAACCAACACGCGTCTTCTCTGCCTTGACCGCTCCACTCTCGAACTCATATTCCACATCCTCGTCCTCACTCTCTCCACGACAACACCCCATCCCCATCCCCACCAACACTCAAGCAATCTCTCTTCAATCGAGATTGCTTTGGCGCAAAGCGAGACTTCTACAACCCTCAAAGAGACACTGCTCACATCGACGAGCTATGTGTAAACGCGAGGTCGACGTCGAGGGCACGAGCGTGAACATCAGCGCTGCTCGTGAGGTCCTGCCTACCAACGTCAAGCCTCTGCACTACGATGTCACCCTCGAGCCCAACTTCGAGACATTCAAATATGAGGGTACCGTCATCATTGACCTCGACGTCGTCGAGGACACCACCTCCATCTCACTAAACACCCTCGACATCGAGATTCACGAGACCAAGGTGTTGTCCGGCTCCAATGTCATCACTTCGTCGCCAAAGGTGTCCTTCAATGAGGACACTCAAACCACCAAGGTCGAGTTCGATCAGAAGATCTCCGCTGGTTCAAAGGCGCAACTCGTGCAGAAATTCACGGGTACGCTCAACAACAACATGGTGGGATTCTACCGATCATCGTACAAGGGAGAGAACGGCGAAGACAAGTACATTGCCACAACACAGATGGAACCTACCGACTGCAGAAGAGCATTTCCGTGTTTCGATGAACCTGCGCTCAAGGCGACCTTCACCATCACCCTCGTCGCTGAAGACAAGATGACGTGCTTGAGCAACATGGACGAGGCGGGAACTAAGCAAGTGGACACTGCAGGCGGAAAGAAGAAGGCCGTGACCTTCAACAAGACCCCTCTCATGTCGACCTATCTGGTTGCCTTCATTGTGGGTGAGCTCAAGGTACACGAGAACAACGACTTTCGCATTCCCGTTCGAGTATACTGCACACCTGACCAAGACATTGCCCACGGAAAGTTCTCTGCCGACCTTGCCGCGAAGACTCTGGCATTCTACGAGAAGGAGTTCAACAGCCCATTCCCTCTGCCAAAGATGGACCAGGTCGCTATTCCCGATTTTTCTGCAGGCGCCATGGAGAACTGGGGTCTGGTTACTTACCGTGTGGTCGACCTGCTGTTGGACGAGAACAACGTGAGTGCTTCGACCAAACAGCGTGTAGCAGAGGTTGTTCAGCACGAGTTGGCACATCAATGGTTTGGTAACTTGGTCACAATGGACTGGTGGGAAGGTCTGTGGTTGAATGAGGGTTTCGCGACCTGGATGTCATGGTACTCTGCCGAGCGCTTCTACCCCGACTGGAAGGTGTGGGAGGGTTATGTCACCGACAACCTGCAATCTGCGCTTGGTTTGGACTCGCTCCGAAGCTCTCACCCGATCGAGGTCCCAGTGAAGCGCGCAGACGAGATCAACCAGATCTTTGACGCCATCTCATACTCCAAGGGTTCTTGTGTCATTCGCATGATCTCGAAATACCTCGGCGAGGAGACCTTCATGAAGGGCATCCAAAATTATCTCAAGAAACATGCCTATGGAAACACGCGCACTGAGGACCTCTGGGCTGCTCTGACTGACGCTAGCGGCAAAGACGTGGAACGTGTGGCAGACATCTGGACCAAGTACGTCGGTCATCCTGTGGTCAGCGTTTCAGAAGACGCAAGCAACAGCACCATCACCGTCAAGCAGAACCGATTCTTGCGAACTGCCGACGTCAAGCCTGAAGAGGACCAGACCTTGTATCCGGTCATCCTGGGTCTCCGCACCAAGGACGGTATCAATGACGATCTTCGACTTGACCAGCGTGAGCACTCGTTCAAGGTCCCGGACTTGAACTTTTTCAAGCTCAACGCCGACCACTCTGGTATCTACCGCACATCATACACCCCTGAACGTCTACAAAAGCTTGGAGAGAACGCAAAGGCTGGCTTGTTGACCGTACAAGATCGTGCCGGTATGATTGCCGATGCGGGCGCGCTTTCTGCTGCTGGTTACTCCAAGACCGACGGCCTTCTCTCTTTGTTGAAGTCTTTCGACACTGAGAGCGAATTCGTCGTCTGGGATGAGATCGCTGCTCGCATTGCCACCATTCGGGGCGCCTGGACCTTCGAAGATCAAAAAGTCAAAGACGCTCTCAAAGCATTCCAACGTGATCTCGTCAGCGAGAAGTCCCACCAATTAGGCTGGCAATTCTCCGACTCGGACGGCCACATTGAACAGCAATTCAAGGCCTTGCTCTTCGGCACCGCCGCCTCTGCCGGTGACGAGCAAACAAAGAAGGCTGCTTTTGAAATGTTTGAGAAATTCGCCGCTGGTGACCGCACCGCGTTACACCCCAACCTTCGCGCCAGCGTCTACTCAATCGTCCTCCAATACGGCGGCGTCAAGGAATACGACGCCCTCGTCAAGGAATACGAAACCGCCAAAGCCAGTGACGAGCGCAACGCTGCCCTCCGCTCCCTCGGCCGCGCATCCCACCCCGATCTCATCCAACGCACGCTCGCCTACTCCCTTAGCAAGCATGTGAAGGAACAGGATCTCTACCTGCCTTTATCCGGCCTGCGGTCCCACGTCGAGGGCATTAACGCTCTGTACGACTGGTTCACCAGCAACTACGACCTCCTCCGCGAGAAATTGCCCCCGTCTTTCACCCTGTTTGGCACGGTCGTCAGCATGTCCACGTCTGGTTTCACGAAGCCTGAGCAACTTGCGAAGGTGGAGAAATTCTTCGAGGGCAAGAGCACGAAGGGCTTTGATCGCAATTTGGCCCAGACCTATGATGCTGTTAAGGCGAAGATCGGCTGGGTCCAGCGCGATGCATCTGGCGTGGAGAAGTGGTTGAAGGAGGAGAAATATCTTTAGATAGAAGGTAAACTCTCGCACGTCGGCGCGAATAGCTAGCTACTGCTAGAGAGCGAAATGCAAGATGAAAAAGCTGCAATCCCGTTGTTGTTTCTGCTGACTCGTCAATTCGTTCTCTCCTAGTCTCTATCCTACGAAGTGCTGCTTCTCGTCATTGTCTTCACGCCGTCATGCGAGTCGTCACGCTGAAAAGAGAAATTTCACGGCAGCTCGGTCTGATAAACTACATGAGGGTATGACTTCAGCCGTCACTTTGATCAGATTGCTTCTCGTCTTGGAAATCTAGAAATCTCAAAACAAAAAATGAAATATAAAAGAATATATGCTTTGCATTCAAAATCAAACAAAAGAAGTCGCTATCTCTCTTTCAACCAATCCCTAACAATCTTCGCATCCAGATGTGAATACACACCAATTCCTCCTCCTTCTACTCTTTTCATCCTTTCCAGTCCCTCCAGGCTCCAATTCTGACAATTCCATTTCGTCGATTCACCCAGATCGATGCTCACCATAGCTAGAATCTCATGCACGCGGTCAAGCTCGTCGGCGTCAATTTCGCCGATTTCGAGTTCTTGGTTTGGAGCCGGGAGGGTCTTGGATAGGTCCAGGGCTTCCGGGCCTGGGTAGTGGAAGGAGCCGGGCATGCCGCGGAGTTGGTGGGCGATGCCTGGCCTTTGTTGCCCGGTGCTGCTGCCGGGGAGTTGGATGAAGTACGACCAGTGGTAGGGTCTGGTTTGACCCGTGAGATCGTAGGTCCCGCGGTCGTACGTAACGAGGTAGATTGGCAGCTTTGCCATGGCTTCTGGGTTTTGTTGGCTTCCTTGAACAGAGGTTTGAGATTTCTATTTCGGGGGTTGTTGAAGTTCTCAATGGAGCATGTTCGCAGTAACGCGAGTCGGGAAGAGATGTCACCTTTTTCTCCGATTGAGGTCCATATTCTGGCCAACTTACGGTGCCGCGGACTGGTCACCTGATAGTCGCCGATCTGGGATTCAGAGCGTCGCGTCCTTCTTGACCACGCCTCATGAGAATCATAATAAGCTTGAGGCTGCCTAAAGCGGGCACTCTCGTAAGCGCTCCGCCCGACACAGGATTTTAGCGTGAGTCAAGAGAGTGACCGGAAAAGCGATGATTTGTTCATTTCACTACCACGCTTAGCGAGTATCAAGGGAGGCATGTCACTTCTTTTGGCGATCCAGAGAGTAATGCATCCTAAAAGGTTACATGTGCCCATGGCCACGATAACCATAGCCACAATGCCATGTCATCCTGATCTATCGCCCGTCCGTCTGTTCATGGCTATTGTTCATCCAACCATTTCAGAGAGTCAAACGTGTTCGCACCCGGGACCATGCCTCATGCCCGTGGAAAAATCCCCACCGAGCGCCCTGTTCGTAAATGCTAAAACATTTGAATGTCTCCCCATCGCGCTTTCTCCTGAAGAGCGGGTAGGTCAAAAAGAGAGAAAAATGCAGGCCAAAATGCCGACTTTCTCGATGGATCCTCCCATCGATGTGGCAACCACCCGTAAGCCCGCCCGCGCCAGTGTATCATAACGCCCGATGCTTCGTAGACGCCCTAATAGATGCCGTGTGAATAAAGAGAAACTCCGCGCCCCCTTTCCCTCTTCGGGAAGATGCGGAGATGCATTTTCCTGGCGCACCAAAAATGTACACTCGGACATGTTCGCGATGCTGTTACTTTAGTCATGAGAAAGGGTCAAAATACCCTCTCACCTCCCGAATGCGTGTAGGAAAAACAACCTCGAGCGAGGGAGAGCAACGGCAAGAACAAATGAAGATGGAAATGTCGTAGCGAGGTCGTAGGCGTCAAGTGTCCGAAAACACATGCACGCCAGAAGAAAGCAGGAGTGGGAGAGCTCCAAGGAGCGAAGACAACGGTAGCCGGCAAAATCCGAAAAATCAGCGCTTCTCATCTCGATTTGCTCCTATGCCCGTTCTCCACTTGCGGCACCGACTCATCGCTCGCTGAGCGCGGCGTAATCGCCAGGCGATGATCTTTGCCACGGAAGATATGCAATCCGACGTCCGTGGCTGTGTCTGCATAGCCATTGCCGGGAATGCCCGGGAGCGGGAGACGTAATGAGCCTTCGGCGATGATACCAGTGTCCCGCATTAGAGAGAAAAACCTCGCCTCATCAGGGTGTCGGGTCTTGGTGGCGACGACTATGAGTGCTTTCGGACTGCGGACGAGCAGATTTAATAGAGTCCCGACGAGAGGTTCTAGGGTGTCTGCGTTGTAAGTGCATTCGCTTACGACGATGAGATGGTTATTTCGAGTGGCGATGGCGTCGGGGAGAGGGGAGAGCCAGTCAAGAGGTTCGAAGCGCGCGCGCGAGGACATGGCGGGTCGCATACGTTTGATGTTCGCGGCGACTAGATCCGCGGCTTCATCGAGGTCAGTGAGGAGTACGTCGCAGTCTGGGATGGATTGCGCGAGACTGATGCCAACGGTGCCCGCGCCACAGCCGAGTTCTAGGACATTGAGGCGCCGATATGTTGCGGAGACGAGGACGTATTCGAGGAGAGGGTGGGTATTTGGATTTTGGAGGGAGATCGTGTCGTCTATGTGTTGCACGAGGGCTTGACTGCCATCCCAGAGATGCCGCGCAATGCTGTCTCCCGCATCTTCGAGCAGTGAGAGGCGGCGGTCGGCAGACGATGTGAAGCGGCGCTCGACGCGCCGGCCGCTATCGAATTGGCCTTTGATGGCATTTATTGAGCCGCTCCAGATCTCGCATATGGGCGGCAGGTAGCCATTTGCTTTGGAGTTGCGCGCCTCCACATGGACACACGCGGGCCATTCTAAATCCTGATGCGCTAGATCGAAGGAAATTGGTAGGGAGCGGGAGCCTGCTTTCCAATGTAGTTTTCGTCTGAGGAAAATCTCTGCGTCTGCTGCAGTTGCTGACTCAACAGTCACGACGAGGTCAAGGTCATCAGAATAAAATGTCTCGCCGAGGTCGGTTGTGACGGTGACGACGGCACGGAGCTGGATATTAGCATTATCCACATGAACCTTTGGTGTCTTGAGGAAACGAACTGTAGGGCTAAAGTCAGCCGGGAGAGCATTTGAGAGGCGTTCGATTTCGTCGTCCAAAATCTATTTCTGTTTTTTCTCTATTCCTCGACGAGCCACATGCTGGATCGAACTTCGATCTGCAGAAAATGCGAAAAATCGTGATGTGAGAACAAAGCGCGAATACGTACTGTAATGCATGATTGGACGTCGTTTCACGGGTTTTCCTTGCGCGGCGTTGTGGGACCTGCGCTATAAAAACCCGCCAGAATCCCGTTCGGCTATGTGATCGTGAAAAGCCTTGTCCGTGAGGTCCTGTATTCCCTCCTGCGGGAGAGAAATGTTCCGAATGTCGTTCCACCAGGGGATAAATTCCAATGGTGAAAGTACTGCTTATTTTTCCGTTGCCTTGCCGGCGGGCTGGTGCTAACAATTGGGCGTGGAAAGCGGGTTTCCTCCTGGCGCAAGCACCGCGCTGTGTGCACCTCTTCGCTCAGTGAACAAGCTGGATTCGCGCCACTTCCCAAGCTTGCACGTGCGTCAACAATGAGTGAACAGCGGGCGCGCAATAATGCAAGTCCCGCGGAAATCGATTGTTGTTCGTTCGAGATATCCGGAATATGTATGGGGTATATTTGGTCGAGCGCGTGATTGAGATATATTAAGCCACTGTCCCACGGAAGGAGGAAAGCGGAACAACGTGCGGCTCTGCCTGGTAAGCTGTTGTTGGGTAGCGCTGGGCTGATTGGCAAACCAGTGAGAGAGGTCGGAGAAAGTCGCGAGAGCAGTAGTTCTTCGCCCGGTCCGGCTTGAAGAAAATGTACAATGGTAAGAAGACGACAGAGGAGGAGGAGGGAGACGATGATATTAAGCGTAGAGTGTAAAATGGTAAGCGGCAGTAGTGGAGATGGTTGTGAGAATATACCACAACCTTGGAATGTTTATAGTGGAGCAGTGCTGTAACGTCTAAGCAGTAGCAGTAGCAGCAGCCGCAGCAGCAGCAGCAGCAGTAGTGATAAACAAGAGCAGAAGTAGCTCTCGTGGTGGTGGTGGTGTGTGCACTGTATCAAAATGGACACGAATAATGGTTGGTGGTGGTGCTAATACCGGCAGGAGTAGTATGAGGGAGTAGTTGTGATAGTCACACCCTTTAGTCTCAGTAATCCAGAGCGGCAATCGGACGGAAGATCTCAACATGGAACTTGGATGAACAAATAGGACCCTGCTCCGGCGGTTCACCTAGAAACTTTGACATGCGCAGTGGGAATACGCGGAGACGAAGCGCACTGCATACGACGAGTCCGAGGTCCCATCTTCAGGCCTCGTTCTTAGCTGCATAATCTACAGGCAGCTCATCGGAGTCGACTACAGCAAAAAGAGTGAGCTACGAGATACCTCCATGTTCACTGCTGGAGAAAGCTGACCATCTCTAGCACACCGAGCAAGGTGTATTTGCTGCAGCTGCAGTAGTGCTGGGTTCAAGATCTAACAGGTGCATAAGTTTTGGCCAAGTTCCTGGCCGTACTGCGTCTCCTGCGCTGATGTGTGATGGAACTAGTGTTCATTCCAGGAAGGGTTATGCCATCTCATCTTCCATGGTCCGATCACTTTCAAGATCGCTGTATCTTCACAACCACCGAAGCAACCCCACTGACGGTGAGCAGGATCGAGAAACAGCGGTCTAATTATCCCAGGCTACTTTCCATGCGCCGGGCAACGGGCGAGGGCAGAAGAAAAAAAAGAGGCGCCTGCACGCGCGCGTGGTTTGGTGCAGGCCAGTGCACAAGTGTCCGGCTATGGCCATGGGGGAATACTTGTAGCGTGATGTCGATGCTGCACTGTGTTTTGCGTCGAGAGATACGATCCTACTGTGCCGCTCGAAGAGTGTTGCGAAGTACGATTCACTTGACGGATGGAGATGTGCTTCTCACGTACTCTTCCAGTACCTACTCGACGACCATTGCATCGCGCATAGTAGGGGGGTAATCAGAGAGAAATCTGTCTGCTGAGATATGGATCCGGCTCGCAAGCCGGATCTGCTGTTGTATCGCTCGTACTGCCACAGCTGCCATTCCGAACAGACAAGGTTCGGCCTAAGGTCTTTCATGTCTCTCTGTAAACACTCTTCGTGGATGCCTCATCTCCACCAAATGTACGAACTACCCCGGCTAAACCTGCTCTGCGCAGACCGCTCACAAGTCCGCCAGCGCAAGATAACAGGATCGCTGATACTGAGAGCGACAACGACACGTTGCAGGTATCATGCTCGTCATGGCACAGGTCCTGCCGTGTCTGCCTCGCCATCAGGTTTCGGGGTCGACAGGAGAAGGCGCCGTCGCATCATAATGTCTCACCGCGAATAAGACGATCGCGATGAAGAGTCTACAATTGTGCGCGTCTAATCTCCATTGCGGTCCAAGCAGGCCCGCGCAATCTAGACCACGTTCCGCACCGGCTAACATTCTCATTGTGCTTATGATCGAGTAATAATCCCACTTCCCGCAAGCCCTGTCGCTCACACAAATCTCTCGATCTTGCCAGCAGGTCCTGCTCCCTCACGATGTGGCTTTGCCACAAGAGCTAAGAATATAACGCCTCCGTCTGCATCCGTACCTCACCAAGCGACCCCGGTCTCGTCTCCTCCTGCCTGCCACGAAACGCTGAGCACTTCGGTTGAAAGACATGAGGCCCGGCGCGGCGAGGCTCATCTTGACGTCTGGACTTCTCTCCGAGGGCACGACGTCCTGTCGTGACATGAAATCCGCCGATCTCCCTATGTTTTGGGTAAAGTCGCAGGCCATGGTTCGCCAGTCTAGAACTCCTCAGGGTCCACCACACCCCGATACCTTACCTTATTGGAATAAAATTAGCAGTCGCCGGCGAAGAAAGAGCAAGAGGATTTCCTTCGGAACATGCTGCTGCCGGGAACAAGCACCAGTCAGTACCCTGGTATTATTACGGTAGTCCTCTTTCTCTTCGCGCCGAGAGTACTCCGAAGCGTACGTACAGGACAATCAAGGCGCATAATCGCATAGTGCCAGAAACACCTCCCTATACCGCTTGACATTTCGAATTCATCGTCATCACCAGCGTTCGACATGACACTCGTCATACATTCGACGAGGCAGCCCACAGACAGGGCTAGCCTGAGACGATCGCCCGATGCTGTGCCTGGGAATTCGAAATGCGGTACATGCGACGGGGCTGGGGAAGGAAAGGAAAGAAAGTGCCCTCGAGTCATGCTAGACATAGGGTTCAGCCATATTTCCGCCTGAGGCACGGAAGCGGTACGGAAGAGGGCCACAAGGGCGCGGCACGCACAGGCCCCATCCTGGTTGATTCCGATCGCGTCTGAGATCGCGCAGGCAATTCTATGATGCGCTCGCAAATCCGGGGGCCCAAACAAAAGGCAATGCAGATCGGAGCGGCTCCGAATCCACTCCATCGCCAGATCAGATCGATTTCTCGCACTTTAAACCTCGATTCATGGGGCCTTTCCCACATTGACGCCGCCTTTCTCTTGTTATCTACATGAGCGTGGTATATCGAAGTTCTGAACATGAGATCTATTGTCAAAGTTGTATTACGACGATGATCACCATTTGGAATATTCGGTTGAACTGGTTCCAGAACGTGGTCCTTTTCCAAGTTTGATGCTCAAGATGGACTGAATGATAACGCCTCAACGATTCCAATAATAATGCAAATCAAACCATGTTGTTCTCATCAAGAGTCATCGCGACGAGGAGTCCGCGCGTGTCGATCACCGGTTCCACTCTTGGTCTGGATCTTCTCTCCTCTCCAACCTGGACGCGAAACCCGGAATTTGGTGTCTAGCAGTGATAATGGAGACGGAACGGATAGATGCCGGAGTTGTCGATTAACATGGAACTCGCATGTTGTCATTGTCCAACGTCATGGTCTTCAAGTTATTCCACAGTAGGTCTGTACGGATTGTTGAGAAAAGACCGTGCCGTGTCACGGTTTCGCGCGTCGCACGTTTCATAATGAGCGACTCCATGCCGGGTAGCTGACTGTCTGGGCAATGCGAATGCGGTGTGATGGCGCTGCCTGAGTCCCTTCCTGTGAGTGGTTTCTTCAAGGGGAAAAACATCCACACCAAGTATAGGATTACAAGTCCTTGACCTTTCACGAAAGTGGCCGGGAATGATGCTTCACCTATAGGAACCAACAACTTATACACAAGATAGGTATGAGGCCAGGAAAGAGCAAACCCACGTTGACGCAACATCGGCATTCACCATGAACTTCATAAAGTATCGTATCTTCTATAGTCACGAGGACCCCGTCCGGCGCCGGTCCTCGGCAGCCTCAGCTCTCAAATGCCGATTAATCTCATCGCGAAACAGCGAAGAAGTCGTCAAGCCAGCGTTCCCCTTCGCAGCAGAACCGCTCACATTTCCAAATAAACACTGCCATAGATCGTCCCTCCCGACAAGTTCTCCGCCAGCTTTTCCCGCAGCGAGGAGTTTTGCACGCGGCGCCTTTTGCAGCTCGGCGTCGTTGGCGACATCCATGATTGTCTCGTTAGATACAGTAGAGCCGTCCGTGGTCGGATCTGATGGTGCCTTTTCTTCTGCGGCTTTGACCGCGGCGGCGTGAGAGCGGACGTGGGCGAGACGTCGGGCTACGGACAGTTCGTAGATGGATTCTTCGACCGTGTCGGAGACGAGGTACATCCAAACCGTGGTAGGCCGTGTCTGGCCAATGCGGTGGACACGTGCAATGGCCTGGAGTTCGACGGAGGTGTGGACGAGTGGTTCGCAGATGAAAACATGAGTCGCAACGGTTAGCGTCAGCCCTGATGAATCGGTTTTAGCATCGAGGAGGAGGCAGTCGACAGAGGGATCGTTCTTGAATGTTTCGACGGCGCGGGGATTTCCCAGTCGCGTGTGGCCGATTTTGAATTGTGTAAATGCGGTGCTGAGGACGTCGAGGAATTCTCGGTATTGGGAGAAGACTACCGACTTGACGCCCGCATCCGTGTTGCGGATGTGGAGTAAATGTCTACCGAGAGTGTCGATTTTGGTGCCATAACTTACTGGCAAATCAACAGATTTGATCTCGTCCATCAGCTTGTCGTCAGCGTTGGCATATATAGAAGAAGCCTTAGCTAAAGAGGAAGGTTGAGCTTCGGTCTTTGCTGGACTTGAGGAAGTCTCTGTATTTGACGTTTCCTCGTTCGACGTCTCCTCTTGGGCCTTCAAGTCTTGTGGCTTAAAGACAATGTCGTGAACGTCAACTTTGGCCAGACGACGTTTGCAAATAGGGCAAGTCCGTGATTGGTGAAACCAATGCTGGATGCAATCCTTACAATACTGATGACCGCACACCGTAAGTACGCCCAGTTCAAAAGGGGATTGGCAAATGACACAAATCCTCTGTGAAACTTCGACGTTGGACTCGTCCCGCAAGTGTAACAGAAATCGATTCTTGGTCCTCAATTGCGCCAGCGTATTGGCCGATTTTTGTTCCTGATCGATCGCGTCGTGCAGAGCATCTTCATCAAGTGCCTCGTCCAACTCGTCTTTATATGGCGCAACTTCATCGGAAATTTCCTGAAGTTGGCGGTAGAACTCGATCCTCTGGTTCTGTGCATCGTGGAACAGAACGGACTCCTTGTCGAGTGCTGTAAGTGTTTTACCGTACGCCTGAAACGTATTTTGGAGCGTCTTCAGTAAACTCTGCACCATCTCTCGCTCCATATTGCCGCGAGCGGTGTGTGTTGTCGCTGACAATGTCCCTTCGAGTGTGCGAGCTCTCTGTATCACATCTCTGAGAGAAGTGACCTGATCTTTGCGAGCTCTTAGCTTGTTTCGAACGCCATATAGTTCCAAAGCCAACTCAGGTGCATGGACGTTCTGTTTAAGAGCTTCCGGGTGTTTTGGATCTAGATAGTTTTTGATCGCTCGAACGGTTGTTTTGACCTCATGATCTATAAGGGGTGCAGCTTGGCCAGTCACGGTTGTGCCAAGATCGGCTTGGATAGCTTTGAAGGCGTCAAAGTAGGCGTAGAGTTCATCTTGTTGCTTCGTTGATTCTTCGTACTCTTCGCCATTCATCTCGGTGTCGTCATCCTTGTCAACCAGTGGCTTCAAGAGAAACTCGACCATCTTCGCCCTCCACTTGGTTATGACTTCGGATTGTTCACGCATGAGATTCAAGACCTCGTCAGCCTTGTCCACCACAGTCTGGGTCTCGATCCCTCCCATCTCCTCGACATGTGTGAGTTCAGGCAATGAAACCCATTCTTTTTGCCTAATTTCTTTCATCAAAGCTTCTGATTTTCTGGTTGCATCTTCAAGGATCAGACGTCTCACAATTTTTGCCTCCTCATACAATTCGACCTCTTTCCTCTCAAGTTCGTTGAAGCGCCCCGATTTTGGTGTAGTCAACTCCTTATCAGTCTTTACTTGGTAATGAGCAGTGGCGAGAAAGAACAAACAAGTATGTAACAATTGTCGGGCAACCCGTAGATGATTTTTGAGAGTAGTGAGCTGGCTTGCGCCTTCCGAATCTGGATCTTCATCAGATTGCACGTTGTTGGCATTCACTAATTTTTCCCGAGCATCCGCCACAATTTCCTTGCATTTCAAAACGCAAGTGTCGTAAATCTCAAGGGCTTTCATGCTACGCTCAGAATCTGCTTTGTTATTTCCGAGAATATGCGCCGTCGTCAAAGACGCCGAAATGCCATTCCTCTCTTCCTGACGTAGGCTGAGTTCACTCTGCTCGATCATGACCTCGAGAACTTCGGCGACTGTTCGGAGTGGACCCGCGCTTCGCCCGAGCGCCCGACGATTCTTATTCCCCACTTGAGGGTGTAAACAAGTCTGCCGCAGTCTTGCTAACCATGATCGCATTGACTCAACGGTTGCCGAATCATTTGGATCCCAATCCTCGGCGACTGGCGATCCATCAGTCCTCAATCCGATGTCCTTGCACATGATGTCGAATAATTCTGAATAGTTCTGCTGCTCAAATACCGAGAACGGCATGGTGATCACAACACGCTTCTGGGGAGGCAGGGTCATCTCGTCACGCACCAGTGCTTTGGTGTGTCGCAATCCGATTCTGCTGAAGATCTTGCCAAAGACGTGCGGACGGTTGACAGCTACGTGACGGGAGAGATGACTGACGTCGTGAAAAGATTGAAAATCCAGAAATATCAGCAAGCCACATATGTCTTGAACATCCTTTCGCAAAGGAGTTCCTGACACAGCCCAGCTGTGGACACGAGGGAGGAGACAGGCGACTTGGGCAGCGTTAGTGACACCCGACTCCAACATTTGTGCCTCGTCCAGACACACTCGCCACCATTGTACCTGCACAAGTGGGCTCTTCTTCCGGACATACTGGCGAGCTCGTCTTCGAGACCTGTCTGGCGGATCCGTCGCGAAGTAGATTTCTTTTCCGAGGGTCTTGTACGTAGTCAAGACTACGTCATATCCGGTTGTGATGTCGTTGAGAAGCTGCACGGTTTCTTCTTTATAATTATTCTTGGGGACACCCTGATAATGAAGTACACGCAGACTCGGAGCATGCTTCTCGAACTCGGAAATCCACTGTTGAAGGATCGAATTTGGACAAATGATGAGTGTTGCCTGCGAAGGTCTTGGTTCGTGGGGTTGCTCGGAGTTTTGCGATACCATCACATCAAAATCGATCCGACGATGAAGAGAAATTAGCGCTATAATTTCCACAGTTTTGCCCAGCCCCATTTCTTCTGCCAGTAGCCCTCCTGAGACGTGATATGAGAACTTCTCTGGCCGTTCCGACGACAGGCTGGCGGTGAGAGTATTAACAAAAGACGGTCGACCGATGAGGTCCACAACTTCGTCCACAAGGCGGACCTCCTCGTGCTGCTTCTCCGCCTCCGATAGTGGGCAGATAATTCCTGCGCGGAACTCTCTCCCTTCCCGGCGTAAGAGCCACGTCACGGCTCTCTTTTGGAAAGAAAATAAATAAGATTCGAGCATATTAGTGCTCGGAAATTCGAGCTCCTTATTCTTTTGTGTGGCAGGAAGGCTAGCGTAAAAATCGAGAGGTGACCAAGGTTCATCGCGCTTGCCTGCGCTCTCATCTATGCTTGGGAATGCCGCAACGAGCTTTCTGTAATCTGATGAATGCTGCTTCTTCCGGGTCGGCTCCATGAAAAATTGATTCAGAATCGGGACCATCCCTGATCGCCAATAAAGTGAAGCATCGAATCGTATAGTTCTATTGCTCGCATCGCCACCAGGAGTGAGGGTGCAGTGGAGGAGAGTCGAGCTCTGCTCTCTTATAGTTTCTGGAACCCAAACGTCTGGAGTGAAAGCTAAGTAATCAGGTGATCGAAGAAATTCAAGAAAGTCGTTGGGCACTCCAGCGACCTCTACTGTGAGGAGCGGACTGTCAGAGACATGGTAGAGCGCAAAAGTCATTGCTGTACAAGGTCCGATCGATCGGACAGCGACGAGATGCACCTGTATTGCCTCATGCTCACCAAAGCTACTCGCAGCTATATGACTCGCTGTATCGTCGAATTGCAAGTCGATCGTCGCTTTGAACAACAGCGGATTCGGGTCTTTCGCTTCTGAGGGTGAGTGCTTTTCGAGGCTGTCACCATTGCTCTCAATTTTCCTTCGTTTTCGTGGCGGATCTCTTGCGACATCAAAATGGGTCTTGCCGGTCTTGAGGAACCATTGCGCCGGCTTGAAGCATTCGGCTTCTACCAGAACGGAATTGTCATCACTTGATCTCACGACGGAGGACACGGCTGAAGCTGCGCAGTATTCGCGACGCGGCGCCATCTGTGATGCAGTGATGGTTTGTGTATCCGATGCGGTGGTTTTTCTTGAGTGATCTCATTGGATGTTATGGTAATGAACATGATATGTTAAGGTATGGTTGCATGTGATGATTGAAAGACAAGCGACTTTCATTAGTCGCGTGCTAAATGTCCTCGGCGCTCAACAGATTGCCGAATCGGGCAATGGCGCGAATGTTGTAGGCTGCAATCCCCATTGCTATCGATAAGCGCCTGTGATGTCACTTGCTTGAGGAAGGATAAGTGAAAGATGCGAGTATGGACCAAAGTATCGATCATTATGACTCACGGAACCCTTCGACAAATGATGCTTGACTTCAAAGTTGGTATTATTGCAGTCCATGAGCAGCACCACAAAATGATGGTTGTGTTTCGCAGCGCAGATCGTACGTTCGCCAACATGCATCTGCCTGGCTGAAGCTGTTGCATCCGAGCCCCACATATGCGTGCCAATATTGTGTACTTACAGTACACGATGCAGGTCTACTCTCACGAGACCACGTATATATAATAATAAGCTACCCTCCAAGCTGAGCTGACATCGCCTCGAACTTCATCGTCACAAAATCCTGCTCAGACGAAGGACCCGTTCAAGGAATCAAGATCACTCACGATTCAAGCGGAGCAATCATGGTTGTCGGCGCATTCCCCCTCCGCGACAAGGTCGCCATAGTTACGGGCGGAGGCTCCGGTATCAACTTAGCATTCGTTGTTCTGGCAGTCTCTTCTGGCGCCAAATGTCTCATCGCAGACCTCAAGCTCAGCCCAGAAGCCGAGTCCATTCTCCAGAAGAACCCGGGCAAGATCGCGTTTCAAAATTGCGATGTGGCGTCCTGGGAAGACCTCGAAGCTCTACCCTCCGCCGTAATATCTGCGTTTGGCAAAGACACAATCCCAGACATTTACATAGCAGGCGCGGGCGTTTTCGAGCCGAAATGGTCCAATTTCTTCAACGACTCCGAAACGGACTTTTACCGAACGATGAAGATCAACGCTGAACACCCCATCAAACTCACACGTATCGCCATGCGCACTTCGCTCCGCGCGAATAAACCTTGTGTCGTCGTGGTCGTAGCATCGACGGCGGGAATCAACGGCACGTACGGAGCCGCATTGTATTGTGCCTCGAAACACGCCGTCGTCGGCTTCGTCAAGTCTATGGCCCCCGCAGACGAAGAAGAGAATGTCAAAATCGTCGCTGTGTTGCCCGGAGTCGTCGATACGCCGTTGTGGACAGGAGCTGAAGCGAAAGATGTCGCGGCCCAATTCTCTTTCCAAGCCGAAGGAGCTATCACGGCGGACGAGGTGGCAAGAACTATGAAAGATGCCATCGAGCAGAGCCAGTACCCTGGCGGGACTTTGTTGCGAATTACGAAGGAAGACTTGAAAGAAGTCCTGCCAAGCGCTCCTTACCATACGGAGATGTCAGACCAAATGAAGATGATATTGAGGAACAGTCATAAGCCGATCAAGGAGATATTCGATCGCGAAAGACAGGTTTAGCTGCAATATCGCACGGGAAATTTCATGTTGAAAATTGATTGTTGCCATTAAAGCTCATCAAAACCATTACCAAGAAATCCGAACTTTCAATTCTGTCCCAAGTCCATTCTTTTGTAACGCCTTGTTCGGATTATCGATATATATGCGTGCACTTAAAGCACGAGATCGGACCTCAAACTCTTGAATTTTACCTTCCCTAGTAGACTTTGGGCAGACTAAAAATCGGAACCTTGTCAAAATGATGGTTCCAGATCAACCTTCCATTATCTCGGACCTCCGCCCCTTCGTCCGTCGTAGCAATATCAACCTCTTCATTCTGACGGATTTCCTCCTTCGAGATGCCCAGAGGGTCCCGCGGGATCCACAGCTTAGGTGTCTTGGAGGTGAGTACAGGATTGCGGTAGGCATTCTCGATGTCTTCTTCACTTAAACTCGGAGCATCGTCCGAATCCGAACTTGAAGGCGAGGGATCATCCAGCAGCGCTTTGGTGCGCTCTCGTGCGGAGGAGATGATGCCGTCGAAGAAATCGGAGAGCCATCGCGGTGCAGGGTTGGGAAGATGTTTGATGCCGAGTCGGCGACCGTGGGAGGCGGCGTGGAGAGCAGCTTCGTCATCGTGATCGATGCCGTCTTCTTCGGCAAGAAGAGGGACTTCATCTCGCTGCCACTTGTCAACGCCTAGATAGAGGTCTAGAGGGCGGAGCATGCGGTCAAGGAGCAGGTTAGCAACGGAGGTGATGACCAGCAGAGTGATCATGAGGGCGGTCTGCACAACGGCACCTCGAGCACTGAACAGACCAATCATACAAAGTTGAGCAAAGTACAAGCCAGCCGGCAGATGTTGCAGTGCGCGCTTGTATGCCTCGCCCTTGGTGTCAATCTTGGTTTGGCGGACGTACAGAAGACCATAGCGGTAGCTGAGATAATAGAAGAATATGCCGATGGCTGCGAATCCAGTGACCAAGGGTGCGATACAAGAGTATGCAATGGCAATGATGAACAAGTTGGCGAATTTGGGATACCATGCAGCCCATGGGGTGCCCTTCATCTGTGCAAAAGTAGTGAACTTCTCGCGAGGTGTCTTATCCCAGAAGTACTCATAGAAGAGATACTCAAGAAGGTCCTCATAGTTCAAAAGATTATTGGCTGCGTTTGTGGTTCCTTGAAGGATGATGTATGTCAAATAGAAGTTTGACGCTTTTGGGAGATTTGCGGCTAGTAGAGTGGGAGTCTGACTCGGGTCCTGAGCGACCTTGGCGAACACTGACGCCACACCTGAAGAGAACGTGGTGACTATGAAGACTTGGATGATCTGGAACATAAAAAACCAATTTTGAGTCTTAAGCTCTGCCTGTGGGGTAGTTGGCTCTCCCGAGAGCTTCGCAATATGCCGGAATAGCTTGACAACGTAAGAGGTGAAGGAACTCGTAAGTGCTGGCGGCACCAGACCGGTGAGTAGATCGAGAATGGGCCGTGGTAGTTGATTCAACCAGCTGAAAATTTCGTAGCGGTTCGCCAATTCCTTTGCGTTGCTGAGTGTACCAATGAGACCGACGGGAATTGTGAAGAAGATCGTGAAGGCTACCACGAATGCCAAAGCCAGAGAGGCTTTCGACACTCGTGCAGCCACAGGCTTAGCGAGATTGCCCCAAAGTACCTCCTTGGGTTGCACTGCGAGGTAGCGATCCTGGAGCGGAACTCGGGGTTGGAATGTAATCGTCTGGAAAGCAATATGCGCAGCTTGTTGGGATGAGAATGACACGAATATCGCTGAACGATCCGGAGTGTCAGCATCCGGCGCTGCTCTTAGCAACTTGACACGATTCACGAGATTTCTCAACTGCTCGCGATCATCATCAAGACGATCGACCTTCGTGCCAATAACAGGCGGGCTCCTCTTAGTTGGCCGACGAGATTGTGGCACGACAGACTGTTCTTCGACACTAGCACTGCTGGTCTGACCCGAGAGGTTCTTGTTCCTCTTGACTGCAGCGACTATCATGTCCATTTGGGCCCGCTCCAGATCCATGGCAACCGCATTTCGTTTCTCGACCAAGTCGTCGAGCTCTTTGGTATCCGTGACGGGCCATGAACGTTCGGCTTCTTCGCCAAACACCTCCTTCAGCTGCGAGGGCTCCAAGGCTTCCCGAGGAACATTCAAAAAGAGCACAGTTCGTGACGATAGCCTTGATGTGTATGACTCGTTTAGAAAGCAAGCTTGACGGGTACCGATGAGCTGCAGGCGCTCCCACGCAATGAACAGGAAAATGCCAACAAACACAAACCATCCCACCACAACATGAGCCCAGATGTGGCTGTTCTTGTTGATGTTACTAAACGTTAGTTTGTCCAGCTGACTGGCAGTTCCGCCTCCCGTGATATTCACAGGAATCAGGATTGGAAACGTCACGCAGGCCGTCAAGAAGCAGATCCAGATGATGTTGCGCAGGAAGCGCAAGTAAAGATACGCATCTAGCGAATTGTGCTTCAACACGAATGCATCGGACAGGTTCTTATAGTCTGCGAACCACCAGCCCTCCTTCAAACCCGAGACTGGTGTCCGGTGCTTCTCAGGTATGGTGCCGAGGAAGGTTCGCGGCGCATAGAATTTGCGATAGACGTTCCGGACCAGGACGAAGATCCCGAAGTATACCAAAGCAATGAGGAAGGTCGGGATGAAAGCTGCCAGGATCTTCCGACCAGAAGTCGGATCAGTGCTGATTTCTTTCATGATGGTGAACATCTTGGGAACTTTTGCGAGCCGCCTCGCGGCCGGGACTGAAGGTTTTCACACAGGACAGGTGACCAGCTGCATCGATAGATGAAAGGTTATTAGTTGGCTGCTGCACAATCGATCCGTACGGTCTCTCAACTATCGAGTGTCTTTTGTTGCGCAGAAATTTAAGATGTCCATTTCACGCCGCACAATATGTCTTAGATGCTGTCACCAATGCGCCAAGATGACTGGAGCTCAGTACCAGAGATGTTGGCTGAGGCGTGACGTCATGCGTCTGAAAACAGCAGGATCTTTCCAACGCGTGAGCACGTGAAGCAGCCGGGTCATCAACGATAAAAACACGATTTGTTCATAGTCGCAGGACCACAACGAGGTTGAGACGAAAAAAACTCATAAAAGCCCAGATTAGATAGAATGATCATTATGAGGAAAAGTCAGAGCAAAGAACCAAGAAGATCAAATATGAATCGCACGCATGCTCGCAACCCGCTCGTCGCAGCGCAAACCTGAAAAGCAATGGAACAACCACCAAACAATGATCGACTAGACCGTGTCGAGAAACCAGGAAATAATCAAAATGCCACAACGATATCCACATCGACTCCCACGGCCATAAGTCCTCGCCCCTTCATATTCACATCCATAAGTAATCAGAATCAAAATAAAACATGCCGTAAAGAAGAGAGTACTGCACGAAGTTGCGAAGAACCACAACATGCCCCGTGCTGCTCAGACACAACCGTTTGACCCTGCTTATGCAGCGAAAAGGACAATCTCGCCTCTCTCGTTCCTCCTCAACCTCAGGCCCTTGAAAAGCTCCTTGTCGTCGTCTTCCTTCTCCTCTCCGTTTCGAGTCTCTCGCTCCCGATGATATCGCTTCAGCACTTTGTTGACTGACAATCCCCGTTCGCTGTCAGGGCCTTTCGTGATGAAGCTCATGAAAAGCTCCGCACGCGTAGAATATGTGGTCAGTGCATTGTTGTTCGAAGGTTGAACAGATGAGTTGCGATGAGATGAGCGCCGAACAGAGCCCGGTTCATCAGCGGAGGAGACGGAGTCGCGGTGACGTGAGCTGCGTTTGCGATGGCCAACATCGTCGTGATAGCGAGTGGACGCCGTAGTGCCAGAGACCATTGAGCTGGCTTGCGTGCCGTATGATGATTTCCGGCGATCGTCGCGACCATTGATTTTCTCAAAATCACCTTCACGCTTGCTGCGCTTGATGGGACTGATGGGTGTCGGTCCGGCGTCAATGCGATCTTCATAAAATTCGGGACTTGTGATGAGACGACTGAGACCGCCAGTGAGACCGGAGTGAAGAGTCCTGCCGGCGGGCGCATCCGGCATGTTCTCGTCCCGCGATACTGGGCGTTTCGAGGTAGAGAGGTCAAGCTCATCTACCGTTCCGCGCTTGCGTTTCTTATCACTGCGACCCTCCTTATTTCGATCCTTTGGTGCCGGAGTGACATACGATGGCGGCGCCATTGATGCCTGCGATTGTTGTGAATCATCGTATTGCGCAAACGAGTCGTATTTCCGGTTGCTAGGCGTCACTGCTGAGTTTCCATAAGAATAGCCTTTGTTCAAATATCGTGCGTCCTCGCCATTGGAATATTGAGAATCGTAACGACCATCCTCAATCTCCCGGTACTGGCCATGAGTGTTTGGCGTGGCATCTTCGACCAGATAATCGAAGACATTCACAGCCTCCTGCAATGGCTCCTGTTGGTATGCAGTTGGTGGAGTCGGCGCTCGTGGTGGTACATCCACGATTGCGACGGCTTGCGAACCATCGTCGTCGCGCGCGTCCTCGACGTATGCGCCTTTGTAAACCATATCTTGCGACTTGTCCTGTCCACCTACAGATTTCCGCCTGTCGTTCTTGCCCTTTTTGTTATCCTTCTCTCGGTACAGATGGCCCTGGTATTTTTGCGCTTCACTGATGCAGGAAGTGTGCGAACGGTAGTCGAAGCCTTCGAAATGGACCATACAATCCAGGCAAGTGTATGATGCGCCGCGACATTGGTTACGATGGGGATCAAGCTTCTTCTTTGTTAAGACGTCGCCGCAGTTCTGAAAGCGCAACAAGAGGAGGACAGCAGGGTCAGTCACCGGGATCGCACAGAGATGAAACGAATGGGCGCATGTTTCCTCACCTCGCAACTGAATGACACCTACATGATACAAACAAGAAGTCAGCTCAGATGTGTCTCCGTGTAGGCGAGGTCAAGTATCGTATGCGCGACATGAGGGGCGCGCGGATTCAACCAACCATGTTTGCCCAGATGACGCCTCCACGAGGCAATGCGTGAACGGAATTCCTCCCACACAATTCCTTGATTCGGGGTGCCCAAGCCGAAATCCAATCAGGAGGTGATGATCACGCGAAGCCGACGGACTCGAGATAAGAAGAGGACAAGGGCGCTTGCAAAGGATTTCGTAGGAATGTGGTGTTGCTCCTACAGTATTGACGAAATTTCACACATTACGCGCCGTTTGTGAACCTTTCGGGGTTTCGCGCTAGTCGGAGGAACAACTTCTCGCTGTGTTCATCTCATCACAATCCCAACAACAACAACAGTCTGGGCACCCTGGCATGGCTTTCGATCTTGTTGGTTTCCGTCATGATGGGACAATATACATCATGTTGGCCGGAGAATGCTACGCGGCGCAATGGTCATGACGAGACCCGCGGAGGTCGGAACCACGGTCGAGGAGTCATGAGTTCATCCGGATTGGTCGCATGATGGTTGGCTGGGACTTTTCGTCTCTCCTACGACTTCCTTCTTGTCGCGTGCCCACCACCACCCCCGCTTACTTCCGCGCCATCAAATATACAGAGTGTCGAATGGTACATCGACAACTCGGGTGTCGTGATGACCTATTCTTTCGGATTGTCTCCACACATATCTATATTCGATGCGAAAATGGTGGCTTGTGTCACTTGCATATGTGCGACACAGTAACCCGAAGCATCAGCCGACAGCACCTGGGCAGCCAGAGTTTCCGATCGGCTCCCTCTGGGTAGCGCATCCTTCTGCGCAGCCTTCGATCACTCGATGATCATTTCCTGGTAGACGGTACGGCACTAGAGCGTGAATTGATCACTCTGCTAGGATTGGTGGCGAGGCAGGCAGAGAATGATGACTCGAGATGAACCCAGGACTCGGAACGGTGGCTTGTGGAACCAAATCAGATGTCGTTGTATTGTCACCTATGTACGTAAATCGCGCATCACTGTCCTGTTCGGTCGCTGCACTGTAGAATAAAAATAAGAAGTAGTACAGTAAAACAAACACCCCTTCCTCCTATTCTAAGACATGCGCCAACATATGCAATCAAGCAATTATCCAACTTTCAATTTGCACCAAAACCCGACCTGAGAAACAGAAGAAGGCGGGAAACGGAGAAGGCGGTATTTCCACAAAGTGTCGTGTCAAGAAATAAGGCATAATCGGCGACGATATGGTCGAAATTGGGAAACAGGTCGTAAAGGAAATGAAGCAATCGCTCAGGCTTTCCGAGTCTACCGCTGCGGTCCAGTGCCGTGTTGATCAAACAAGTCATCTAGCAAAGCACTAGGAGCTCGCTGACCAGCAAGATGTTCGCTGCTAGCGAGATTGCTTGCGGTCAAGTTTGATGCACTAGATTGTCTGTAGAAGCTCGATGACTGACCGCGCGTCGCAGACGGTTGACGGATACGGGGACCAGACTGCAGTGCGCGAGGGCCAGCCCTAGCGCCTTCTCGTGATGCCGAACGGTTGTAAGGCTGAGATGTTGGTGGAAGGGCAGGCGATACTGGTGGTGATGGTGTGTTGTTCATAGAATTTGTGCGAGCGTAAGGGGCGAGGGAGCTGCCGATCAGCGTGGTCCCAGCACCGCCAGCAGCTTGAGCAGATGGAGAGGCATAGTATCCGGCTGGGAGATATGAAGAGCCGCGATTTCCATCTGGATTTACTGCACTGTTTCGCTGCTGAGCGTTGGCTGTAGGACTGAAAAAAAGACCAGCTGGAGGGACCACGCCTGAGCCGCGGGAGTTGTTATCTTGATCGCGGAAAGACTTGATCGGCTTGCCGGAGCTTGTCAGCGCGTCCATAGACATGCTGTTGCCGGGCTCGTACTCCTTCTGGTATGCTTGTCTTGTGCTGCTACCCCATGTTGTGGACTTTTCTGGCCCGCGGACGGAGGTCATTGCAGCTCTTTTCACAGATCGGTTGATACTCCATGCCACGAGGACACGCCACAGTAGCACGCAGGCTCCAAGGAAGGCGAGAGTGGCGCCTACTGCAATGAAAACAGTTCCTTCTGGGAGGGACGACTTTTGCATGAATGGCGCATTGGCGGTGTAAGGGACGACGATAGTCGGGATACCAGCCCCTTGAATGGTGGGAAGATCGCTGAGATGGAATGTTGTGCCCGTTCCGGCATTGGCAGTGGTTGATCCAGTTGTTGCGGCGGAAGTCGTCTGAGATGTAGTACCCGGGTTGATGGCGGTAACGCTTGTCGCTTGAGCTGTGGTTCCTGCACCCGTAGTGGCACCTGTAGTTGCTGCTGTAGTTCCGCCTGTCGTCCGTGTTGTCCCTGTTCCTGTCGTTCCTGTTGTTCCTGCTGTGTTGGTGGTCGTTGCGAAAGTCGCGGTGGCCGTGGTTGCGGTTGCTAGGTCGGGCACATCAGTGACCTGGGCGAGTGCGACCGGCACTACCAGGAGTGCAACAAGAGCAAAGGCGCGCATTTTCCGTGATATTTGCAACGTGTTGAGGTCTTCGGTGATTGTAATTATCGCGAGTTATCGGGACTGTGCGACAACCGGCCACAAAGAATGTAGCCAGGAGAATTAATGACAACGACGAGACATGGGTAAACGGAGTCCGTGTCTGCCCCCTAAGAATAGATCTCGTACGCGACGGCCCGCTCCTTGAGCCTCATGGGAGAACTTGACCCGTGACAGAAATTTTGCAGCAGTAAGCCTCAGGCATAGATTCACTTGCCTATTCGAGATTTGAAGATTTGCGACTTTTCGCGAAATATTATTGACGTCGATAGTAGCTTGCCAACTCGGTCACACTCCGCGATCATGGGTGTGCAAAAGAAGACACGCAAGTTTGCAACAGTCAAGCGTGTGATCGGACAACGCGACGCGCGGCTGAAGAAGAACATTCTCACGAATGAAGGCGAACCCAAGAAGAAGGAAGAGGATCAACTCGTGCGAAATGTGTAAGTTTTCGTAATAGGAAAGTGCAGACTGCAGACAGCTGACAGAGATATCCGAATAGTCCACGAGCGCCGAGCAATATGTTCTTCCAGCACAACACTGCGCTCCAGGCACCTTACAGCGTTCTGGTCGATACCAATTTCCTATCGCACACCGTTCACCATAAACTACCTCTTCTCCCGACACTGATGGACACTCTATACGCCACCTGTACACCAATCATCACGTCTTGTGTCATGGCTGAATTGGAGAAATTGGGTGCCAAATACCGAATTGCGCTGCAAATCGCAAGAGATGAGCGTTGGGAGCGACTGCAGTGCGACCACAAAGGCACGTATGCTGATGATTGCATTGTGGATCGTGTTATGAAGCACCGTGTATATTTGGTGGCGACGAACGACAGAGATCTGAAGAGGAGACTGCGGAAGGTTCCAGGTGTGCCAATCATCAGTGTTGCAAGAGGCAAATATGTCATTGAACGATTACCGGACGCCCCGGAGAAGTAAGGATCTCTCTGGCATTGAGACGAGTGTCTCAATAATGACGAGCCACGCATCACTCTGAAGAAGACCCATCGGGATACCGTATCAGCGAAGATCCGGTGGCACGCAATATCTCAGAATATGGTCTGCTCCCAGCTAGGAACATATTTGGAGCATGTTGTCATAGTGGATTGTAACAACATCCCACACCACAAAGGATCGTGACTGTCGAGTCGCCAACGTCACCACAAGACAGGAATGATAAGCGATCCGAAGCATTCTGCATTACCAAGCGAAGATACATTACCAATCCGAGCGGAGTGTCAAGTCATGGGGTGAGACCAGGGCTCTGCAAAGACAAACAGACCCCACAGGACATACGAGTCAAGCGCTCCTCCACTGCGCAAATCTCCGTCATGGTTGGCCGCCGAGTCGAACACGTTTCACGGAAAGCGGAGGTCCTATCATGCCATATCGCTTGCACTGCACAGCACCGGTCCGCTGCGGACAGTGCGCGGCGCGAAGATTCCGGCCTGATTGAGCGGACTGCGCGAGCTGACTGGTGAGGTGGGCGGACCACCAGCTGATTGCACGAACAACGTGCATAACATTCGAGCGGTCTGTGGCGGGCCAGCATACGAGACGACAAAGGGTGGGTGGAGGAGCACCGGGATGCTTGATCATCCCGCGTATCCCTGCCCACGCACCCCATGCATCCATCTCACGGGAATTACGCCTCTTCCAGATCTCCGCAGCACCAGAAGATGCCCAGAGGATCTGCGGTGACATATCTGGGCCGATATGCGGACCAAGCATTAAGGCTGCAACGCCAAGCACGTGCCAAGTTAGCCTTGAGCTTGGCTTTTTGGCCCTTGCTGCAAGCTGGTTCAGATTTCAACTGTGCTATTCGCCGGCGGCTGCCACTCGGGCGAGCTAACCGCCATTCCGCGCACGCGCAATGTGGAGAGTTTCTGGCAGTTTGCTGGTCGCCGTGGAACCTTCCTGGCTCTTGGCTCCTGGGCGCTCATCTTGCATATCTCAGCACCCCTACCAAGCTACCACCCAAATGGGAAGCTTCAGGAAGTCGTGGTTGCATTCGATCATCGGTTGACAGATACTCCGGGATGTTTTGGCCAAGGCAACAGGTCTGAAGTGGTGAGGGTGCACCGCATCTCCACATATCATCATCCTCCACTAGATTGACCGACTCGGGATATATAAGTCCTTCTCTGTTCCCTGGATTCCATCAGATCTCATCCTCTTCTTCCCAATCAAAAACTTCATTTCAGATTACTATCAGCCAACAACAAACTTCCAAACACACTTCACTTTCCACCTCCAACAAACATCAACATGTGCGACCGTGCCGTCTTTATGCGCCAGCGCTTCTGCGACGAGATTCGCCGCACCAGCTTCTCTACCACCAAGCCTGTGGCCTCTCACACCACCGCTGCCGACGTCCGACCTGCTGCGTGGTTGCAGCTCGCTCCGGCCAAGTCGCCTTCGGTCGCTGCCACCCAGGCTGCCCCCGTTGTTGAGGACTCTCCTTTCCTCTCCAACAGCTCCAGCAGTTCCCGCGCGAGCAGCTTCTCCTCTTCGCGCAGTGAGGCTGGTCTCTAAACGAGCGCCACCCTTGACTCGCAACCAACCAAGCACGATGGTTATCTCCTCGAAAGAGGTGCATCGTGTGAAACGAACAGCTCCACTCTGCATACCTTTGCGCAACCGCCGACCCAACCACATTCAAGCTCCTCGAAACTTGTCTTGCGTGCCGACATCCGCCAAAATCAATTCAAAAACACCAGAGCAAAGCTTGTGCGCCGCCTGATCCAACCCATCATCCGACGTCAATCATAGCTGAGTGAGCGAGCTTACCCACAGCTCCAGCTCAGCTGGTGAGCTCTCCAACCACATTCCCTGTGGGGAGAGTTCCCGCAGCTACATCTGTCCCATCCACCAAGGGTGCTGGGATGGATGTCCTCCAAAAGTCTATCAAAAGGCATCCCGCTTGCTTTTCTTTCTCTCTTCTTCTAGCGTCCTACCTATCAAATGTATTATTAATATCAGTCGAGGTCATCTCGCAGTGAAAACTGGGTGACTGGCTACGAAAGGATCAATTGCGCCGATGGCGGCTGCACTGCTTGACACGTCAAGGGAAATTATGAAACGTTTTCTCTCAAATCATCGCCTCTACATTCTTATTCCCACTGTGTGATAGTGATTTTTTAATCGTGCGGTTGCCTTATCGAAATGGTTACAGCCACTGCAAATGTCCCGCGCATGAAAAACAATGACGACACCCATGACCACAACAACAACTATATTAGCTTACAAATGCTTTCAAATGATATGATATCTGATGATGATTGATTGCACCCCTTGGGCGGTTGCCGAGATGAGCTGTCTCGTACAGCTGTGGCGCACAACCCTTCGGGGTAATCGGCCCTGTGCTGGAACCATTCAACCCACAACACGTGCATAATGATGTGGTTGAGGCTGAAAGACGGGCGCCGAGAAAGAAGGCAAAGCACAGACGCTCGCCGCAATTCCCGTCGCGCAACTACGCACGTCTGCTGTACACCCCCAGCTTTCCAAGGTTCCTTCACTCCTGCGCTGGAGAGCTGCCTACCGGTTTGGAAAAGCCGGGGGAAGCAAGATGCAGTCCCCTGCTGCAGTGCTTCCCAGCTCATGTTGCACACACCCACGGAGAGCTGGCTGTCGCTACTACTACTGTATCATCCCTGCAGCTGTTGATCATTCGGCGGCTCTGCGATTTCGGGGACCGGTTCAACAGCTGCTTCGCCTTCTCCAGTCCCCTTTCTCCGCCCGTGGGCGCGATCAACAGGGTCGTGACGCTGGCTAGCAGGTCTGATGATGGTGAAGATCCTGTCGATGATGCAGACACTTTTTGTGCAAAACATCGGTGGCCGTCGCAGAGCGTCGACGCCGCTTTGGGGTCCTGCATAGAGTCTGAGCCCGTATGATGCTTCGCTCCATGCAGGCCTGCATGTGACATTCTCCAGACATGTGCGCTTGCACTTTGTAGATTTTTCCTGCGACCAACTAGACCTTGGTGGCGGCAGCGGGTCATACGAGAGCTGTGAGCTTTTCCTGGACACACACACACACACCTGTCCTTGAATGTCTCTCCAGGTCTCCATTTCAGAGCTACAGTAGAGTACCTCGAGAACCTTGCTTTGTGTACAGTACCGTGCAATCCTAGCACAATCCAGCAAAAATACCTGCATCGTGTGATCGGATGAAAGTTTCGAGCTGCCGAAATCCAGTACCGGTGATCATGATGGTCACTGATGAGCAGCAGCATTACCATAGACACACACCGACACAAGATGTCATCATAAGTGCACCAATCTTTTTCCAATTCTAGAACAAAAGGTCATCTGGGTCGATTGTGCAATCGATCGTCCCTTCCAACCGGGCGTCAACAGAGCACTTCGAGTACATAGGCGAGCGAAAGGGCAGATCTCGCAACAAGAGGAAAGACATGCAGTCGATCTCGCCGCGAACGAACACAGGGTGACGCGTGGCCCGAGCATGACGTCGTCGACGACGACGACGACGACGACGACGAGCAGCGAGTGGCATCCTCCTCCCTTTGTGCTGCCTTCTGGTGGCACGGCACAAGCTTGTATTTTTTTCGCACTTTCGGATTTTAAGACTTGTAATCTCCATCTCGGTAGGCACAAGCGTGCATCTCGGTGAGATTCACATCTTCCAATAATTTGTCCGTGCGACCGCCTGTGATGGAAAGAGGTGTGCCTCATCTTGGGCGGTCCAGGACCTCGCTTCCTCCTCCACTTGCCGGCGCGAACAGAGAGGTCGAGGCCGCAGCCAACAGGTCGGCGGGCGAAATGGCCCGTTTTTCTAAATTCTAGGCGACCGTTAGCAGCGTTATCTTGCAGCACGAACGTGCGGAGAAAGGTTGAGCCCTGGTTTTCCTTTCTCCATCTTTGGTACTGGAGCTTTAACATAGTTTGGCGGGTCGTCATATTGCAGGCCGGGATGACTGCTGTTAGGGCACTTCTACAAATGGTTGAGGGAACGCCTGCTGTGCCACTACACGTGCTTTGCTGTGAAAGGAGCAACGACGGATGTGGACAGATAACAACACCACCTCCCAAGGACAGCAGTCGTCTTCTTTCGACGCTTGTTTGCAATGAGGATGGGGGCGTCGTCCTGGACACAAACCTATCGAATGGACTATTCCCTTGGTTGTTTCTGTTTGTTGTGGTCGGATTCCGTCCCATCCGCAGCAGGCATCGCCGGTCACGGAGGGTGCGATTTCGCTGACATCTTATCATTACAACACTATTTCGATCTTTTCGGAGCGGGCATCTCGTCGTGGCATCGACGTGCTGGATCATCCCACGCGTAGCTGAGGATTGCGCGTCCGATGGATTCTTCTCATTCCTGGCGTAATATCTCCCTGTTGTGATGGAATAAGCTGTCTGCTGATGGTTGTTGTCTCTTTCAACACCATCTGCCGTTCATCCGGATGGTGGAGGTGTGAACGTGGGAAGTTCCACGCATATGCACAAAAAGTCCTCAGCATCTGCAATGCACTGTCGGATGTCCGGACGAAGCACTATGTCGCAGCTCGTTGGGTTGTGAAGTGTGGGTGAGACTTCATGCGAATGGGGTTACAAAACTCCGCCTGTCCCGTCACTGTATCGACGATGAGACAGTGCTTGCGGCTGGGTGTGGCATGTTCGGGCTGCAGGAGAAGACAGGTTTATCATGTATGTGACTTCGCGACTTGCAATCTTGTGCAGGTGAGCATCATTCGCACGTTGGCAGTTGCTGGCACTTAAGGCAAAGTTCACAGAGGGATAGACGAGAAAAACGTCGTAGGGAGACATGTTGGTTGCATTGTTGTGCTGTGTGTGAGATACACCGCTGCCTCATGTGGCAGCACTACATTTAGCATGGTTGTGATACTTTGTCCTCGCATCTCAACGATTTTGCGGATTTGGCATGTGCACGTATGTTGCTGTCGAGAGAGGATGTGCGAAGCCAACTTGTCTTCACGCGACTCTCAAGGAGCAGGTCTTGGAGGAGGCCTTGCTCTTTGCTCGTTGTGCGCTCCTCTTCAGGAAGCCGAGTGTGCCAATACTGCAGCGCACGAGTCGCTCACCGAGCCAAGCAGGCGACGAATGTAACATCAATATCAGCGTCGAAATCATTTGCCAGACCTTGGCCGTGTACAATATGGTGGTTGGTAAGCTGGACGGCGATGAGGGGACTGCCTCAAACGTCTCAGTCGCATCCATCAGGCCAGCGCATGCAGACCCATATTCTCATCATCGCTCGGTGAAGTCCATCATCAATTTCCATTCGTTCCTCGGCGCGCCATGAAACGCTATGCAGGAGGAGGTCCGCTCGTGCCCTTCCCAAGACAAAGATAAGAAGACCGTCGCGACAGGTACGACGATGAAATTGCTGGCCGTTCAATCTGCACCAAGAACCTTGGCTGGACTGGGGTGTCTTGTCCCCAGCACTCGAAAGAGAGTTGCGACAACGGATTCTTGGCAGCTTGGCATGTCCGAGATCCCCGGTCGATCATGATCGACGGAACATGTATCGAACGAACGGGTTATGAGATGCGTTCATCGAGAATCCCGGTGTGAACGCCGCTGACATCGATGTCTCGTCGATCATTGTGCTGCGTCGTGTGCGTCGCTTGACTCTTGCAGGGTGAAGTCTTCAGGGCAGGCGTTGCAGATGTGGTCTTTCGAAAAGGAGACCCTTGCGTCGTAGAAGATTGTCATTTTCATCACTGACATGCCGCAGGTACCGTACATCGTCACTTAGCACGCGTAAAGTCATGAGATTCAACCACAAAAACCGATGTTGCAGGTATAAGCATGAGCATATCGACGACTGCGGGTGGAGTTCCAGCCTTTGCGTGCATGGATACCAGACCTCAGCGTCGAGTAAACGCTTCCTCGCAAGATCACGATCATTCAGGGATTCTCGTCACGAACTCTGACTACTACATAGGTATCTTTGGAAGATTCAATACGCCAAGCACACGATAGCGAAGACGACACAAGTATATGAGCAAAGAGACGGAAATATTCCATGAACGTCGGCCTCCACTTGCTTCGTTCACATCGGCAATTGCATACTGTCGGTATTGACACCGTTCACATGGAGACAAATTTGCACTCAGCGTCGTGGCTCGCAGCCGAGCTCTCTGTGGATATCGAGCCTTTAACCAAGTGAGTGACAATCATGATGCCAAAGCCTACAATCAGAGACAGATTTATAGGCTTGCTCCAGACCCGATCTGCCTAGATACTTTATTCGTTCTCTCCTGTGACAGGGTCATGGTCTGTATAGATTCGAGGCTGTCGGCATTGACCGTGATGTTCAAGGAATTTGAGACTGGGAGTGTTCCCCTGCTGCAGGTGAGGACGAATGCCTTTGGTAAACGCTCGCTGTGGAGTGGGATCGAATAAGTTCATAGACTTGATGTTATCTAGGAGAGTGTACTTGTTTGTACTTCTGAACGACTTTCCATCTTGACCCTGTCAATGCATGCGAAAGTCTCGCTTCTTACATTGCTTCTAGATCCATGGAACATGCATCTGTTCATCAAACAGGCGAAGAGTCCAGCATCCAGCAAGCCCGATCGCCAACTCGTTCAGATTGCCCAGATCGTTGCACAGTATTGTATGAGCCTTCTTCCAGATCATGCCGATATATTCATCCTGTGCTGGGTCATTCCAGGTTGCAGATTTTCTACGTAGCACCCATTGATGTGAATCGATGTTGGTCGTGAACGCAGCGAGGTTGGGGTAAGGGTTGTAACAACCCTAATAATCACGATCTCCAGCTCCACGGCTCCTGGGGCAACACAAACTCATGATAATTGAAGAGAAGCAGAGTATGTTCTTGATCATTGCCGCATGTCATGTATTATAGCACGATCCCCATAATTCTCTGATATCAAGGAGGTTGTAAATCGATGAAAAAGAGCCAGTAGGAGCGTGAGAGATGGAACTGCTGTAATCTTTGCTACTATCTATTAGGTAACGAACGCTGAAGCGTGGACGAAGGAAGCATCACGCGACATGAATGGTGATGGTCTTGAGGAAGAAAAGACCCGATGTGAGGATGTAGATGCAGCTATTATCTGATCATCGAACTCGGATGTCATTTCGTTTCGTTAGGACACACATGACCTATACTAGCCAGATAGTGATGAAACCCAAGTCGATATAAACCATGGCGACTCGATAGATAATAAAATACTCACACCAGATCACCACTCAACCTGTCTCTCAGATCGAGCCTCAGACCGACGCGCAAAACCGATCACTCCCGTCCACCAACTCTCTTCGACCAATCGTCACCGACTCTCGCAGCATCCACAATCTCGACCTCCTTTCCCAGACCGACCATGCTGGAGTGCTCGTACCATCGGTACTTCTCCTTCCGCTTGCCGTTTCCAGCGCGCTCATCTTCGGTCTCGGTCTCAGTATCCGCGAGGCCACCATGTCCGTCATCACCGACAACGACAACGGTGTGTCCAACCCAGCCCTTCAAGCCACCGACACTCTCACCGTCCTTGCCGGAGAGCGTGTCGCTGACGTAGACGACCTGAGGAGCGAGGTGACGGAGCATGGCGACGTAACCATCGGGCGTGGTGAAGGGCATGATGTGGCTCGAGCGTGGCACGAGTGCCAATGCTTGAGTGTAGAGAGCGTCGAAGTGCGAGGTTGCGGAGTCCGAAGGCAGGATCCGAGGCGAGATGCTGGCGAGTTCGGAGCCAGGAGTCACCGCGGGTGTGCCGATGTTGCTGTAGCTGCCGCCGAGGCTAGAGGTTGCGCGAGTTGATGCGGGTTGGTAGTTGCTTGGAGGGAGAGATTGTAGGGTAGGGGTGTAGATCAGGATGAAGAGGTCTGATTGTGTTGGGTCGTAGGAAGCGGGAAGGTGGGATAGGATAGACTGTGAAAACAAGTTAGTAAAGGTTATCGAGGCCCAGTAATTCCAATAGTTCAACGTACGCCGTGTTCATTGTGATAGCTGTCATCGTGCTCGTATTCATCGACGTCAGCGCTGAGGACAATAGCCACGCTGCGCTTATTCCGGCTCTTTCCCTTGTCGTCTTTGCGGCTGCTGACTTCAGAGCGTCGCTTCTCCTCTGCCTCTTCGCTCCATCGTTCGTGGTCGCTAAAGCCTTCCTTCTCTTCGCGACGGTCCAAGCCCTCTGTACGGCGTTGCTCGGACGCATGGGGCTGGTTATCGTGCCTGTCATCCTCCATGATGCTGCTCAACGCAGCACCGGCTGCGGCACCGGCTGCAGCGACGCCAGCGCTGACCTGTCGCGAAGCATGGTCGAAGAATTGTTGCGGACTTGGTGTTCGACCGATCACGCCAGACACACGACTGAGGAATGTCTGATCAGTCCGTTGTGTTGTGCCAGTGGATCGCGATCCCTGGTAGTAGCTGGCAGCTTCACCTCCAACCGGCGGAGGCATCTGCTGTTGTGGCGGGCCACCTGGACCCGGGAATCCCCCCTGGGGATGCGCGGGTCCTCCAGCTGGATAGTTCTGTCCCATAGGACCAGGATACGGGGCTCCAGCATCTGTCGGCGGCCTAGCGGGTTTGTCCTCTGGATATTCCTCATCGCTTTCTCGCTCTGACCAAACCCATGCTGCTAATCCACCAACGGCGATTGTTCCAATGGCGATTAAAGGGACCCAGTAGCCTAGGACGGAGTTGTTGCGACTCGATCTGGATGGAGGCGGAGGAGGTGGTGGAAGGTATCTGCCATTGCGCGAGGTTGTGGTCGTGCGCTGCACTGTGCGGTCGTACGGCATTTTGGCGCACGAGTCTCCGCTACATTGGCCGGCGTGAGGTGACTTCCACGTGTAGAAGGTTGTATCCCGATGCTACACGGCGTCCGGCTCGTGTTGTTGATGGTGATGATGAGATTGATGTTGCCAAATGATCAGTCCCGAGTTGGCTGGGCGTGTGGCTGGTTGTCTGCACAGCTCTCATCAGGGCTTGCGGGGACTGGCCAAACAAAAACGGTTGCTCTGGCGCCCGGGGAAGCTCTTCCAGCTTGAGTTAGCGTCTTCTGCATCCCATTATTGCGTCAAGCCACACTTATTGTCAGTCTTGTCGATATGGCCCACCGTATACATTGCGACGTCATGCGATGCGGGCACTCTCGAGCATCCAACATTCAAGAGACATAGGGGGAAATTTATGATCTGGTGCGTGAGCAACAGTCTGATCGATCAAAATATATGCATGTGACTCCCAGTCATCGAAGATTATACTTGTGAGCAAAAGATTCAGAGCGTATCAGCCATCAGCCATCATCACTCCAACATGCAATCAACCGCCGAAATTGACCCGCAAAAAGAAGCATCGCGATTCGACAAGGTAGGCTGACAACCACATCTCTCTTCGGCAATCTTGCAAGCGGTCGCGCGATGAGTTGCAGAAGAACCGTCAAAGATTAATGCCAACACTTTATTCTGAATCAGCCTCGGCATGTCAAATACTGGCTTCGAAATCTCAAGACGCTTCTTCCAAGGCATTACACCGGAAATGAGTCCAATCGCATGTACCTAGGATTTTTCATCCTCAGTGCCCTGGATCTCCTTTCAGCATACGAGCCTAGCACAGACCCTCAGGAGCGTCAAGACCATGTGAATTGGATCTATCGCTGTCAGCATCCGCAAGGTGGTTTTCGAATGTGGCCAGGAACAAATTTCGAGCATCGAGCCAGCCCTGAAAATGCGAAATGGGACCCTGCCAACATGCCGGCAACTTATTTTGCTTTGGCGACTCTGCTCATTCTTGGCGATGACTTCCAGCGCGTGCGAAGAAAAGAAACTCTGGACTGGCTGCAACGAATGCAACGGCAAGACGGGAGCTTTGGTGAGACTTTGGTCGACGGCACCATAGAAGGCGGCCGAGATCCTCGATACGGGTATTGTGCCATGGGTATTCGCTATATTCTTCGAGGTGGAGCTCGTCAGGATCCCTTACACATCAACGGTGAAGTCGTCGGAGATGTCGACGTTGATGCGTTTGTGCGCTGTATCAATGCAGCTGTTGCATATGACGGCGGGATTGCCGATGAGAAATTCCATGAGCCACATGCTGGGTATACATACTGTGCTCTGGGCGCGTTGGACCTTGTAGACCGCTTGCAAAAGGCTGATTCGAATGGACTGTCTTCGGAACCTGGACAAGAGAAAATCATGCTGGATCCAACTCGGACTCTCCATTGGCTTGTCTTTGAACAGACGGACTGGATTGATCCTGACGAAGATGATCCGAATGACGTGATTGCTGTCGACTCTCGATCTCCCGCTCTGCTGTCCAAGTCACAAGCTGCTGAAATATCTGATTTGTTACAAAGTCAAGCTGCATCATCGTCGATGTCACAAAATCCGGAGCCGCTCCATCAATCAGCTGCGACTTCGACATTCACGCCCGTTCATTCGTCTTCAAACTCAATATCAATGCCGGTCTGTGCCGCTGGCTTCTGTGGTCGACCGCATAAGCCTGCTGATACTTGCTATGCTTGGTGGGTCTGTGGTTCGCTTCATATCCTTCCTGGTGGTGCCGAACTGTACAACCGTCCAGCTCTGAGGCAATATCTCCTCGATAAAACCCAACATCCCGTACTTGGTGGGTTCAGCAAATTCCCGGGTGATCCTCCGGACTTGTACCACTCGTACTTGGGGCTTGCGGCTTTCGCTCTCGAGAGAAACGGCGTTGTGAAGGAGATTGACGCTGGGATGTGCATCAGCGCAGAGGCGAGGGTGAGGGTGGGCGGCTTGTGGCTGTGATCCACTCGAACTCGGCCGATTTGTGTTGTGTGACTCGAACTCGGCCACACCACGAGACTTGTGATGGTTAATGATATATACACCCACAAGCGTGGTACAATCACATGTCGGTCCAACGTTCACCTCGTGCTCTGCCACCACGTCGTCTGACGGGCGCGTGTATCTCTCCGGAGAGAGGGTCCCACACGCGGGAAGCTGGTGAGGAGGGAGGAGGCGGGTATGCGATGCTGATGTTGTTGGTGATGCTGAAGTGGTCGGTGCCCCGGTTGACATTGGTGAAATTTAGCAACGCCGCCGGGTTGTGGAGTGGGAGTCCGTACTCCTCCGGCTGCGAGGAGGGCCGATTCAACTTCCGGCAATCTTTGATCGCCATGCAGAACCCGCTGAAAGCTTGCACGAAGTAAAAGGCGAGCACCGCCGCCATGTAGAACCGCTCGGTCTCTGGATCCACCAAAGTCCGGCATTCCCAGGAGACAACCGTCTCGATCAACTCCACCAGAAACATCCCGAAGCCGATCACCGGGCTGGGATGTGTCAGCAGCTGCAACAAAAATGTGATGCATCATCAGGAATGCCCACAAAATGAAAAGGCGGGCCTTCGGCCAGTACCTCGCCGTCGTGAATGGGCTCCAAAACCCAGCGGCCAACTGTAGGCACGCACACACGATGGCAATGACAACGCAGACGGCCTGCACTTTGCGACGGGCTGTTGTCTGACCCACGCTGCACATCCCAGCGTGGTCGAGATCTTGACAAAAACAAAGACGACATCTTGTTGCAGTTGTTGTTGTTGGTGCTGCTGCGAGTTTGGTGAGCTTTTCTTGGCTGTGATTGTGGACTATGGCATTCGGAGAAAAGTCAGCGGTGTTTGCATTCGACGTAGGTCGCCCACTGAAAATGCCTTACAGTCTCTTGGAATGCGAGTTGAGAGGATCAGAAGACAGGTCTAGAAAATAATCTTCTCATGCATACATACAGGGCAGGAACTTGTGTGTGCCTGCCGCAGCTCTCGGGCTGTTTTCCCACCACCTCCTATCACATCGAGACGACGACCAAGCGTGATTCCCAAGTCGGCAGGTGCCCAAATGATCATCGCTCCGGGCCTGAGAACTACCCGTCTACCTACCTAGGTAGGTACCTTGTGCCCGCTTGTGCTGTGAGTGTTCTTGGTGACTGAGCACATGCTCAGTACCTAGTAGTTTGTTGACGATTGCGCAGGCATGCAGTCATTACGGTAGTGCTTGTGGTGTCTTTCGCTGCTCTAGTGTGGGATACCGGCTGTACGATCAAGGCGATTGAGGATTACTTCGACTGGTGATCAACAACACCACGAAAGACTGATTAGTCCTTATAACTTCTGAACCTTGGAGCATACCTATGTACCTAGATACAGCACCGGTATGATGACTGAGCGTACAGCAGGTAAGGGTGAAGACTACACATTGGTTCAGACGGCGATGATCATTTGCGGGAGGTGATGGGAAAATAAGCAGGCAGGGTTGTCAATCCCAAAGCTGCAATAGGCACGCGAAGTCCTATCCATCCATATATCCATGAATACAAACGTCCCAATGTCTCTTTCTGATTCCCTCAAACCATATTCCAAGAGACTATAAGACATTCTCTTCCACACCCGTTGAAAATGGCTCGTGTGGATGATCCGCCTCAAGTGTGAACATCGCTGACTTCATTACGAGTATCACAGTTCGCAATCACTCGCACAGAAGCTCACAACCTCACAAGAGAAGTCACCACGATGAACGCCCCCACAGCCGATGGAAGCTACCACGATGCGCCCAAATATCACTCGGCGTACAGCATGTGTAATGATCCTGCATTCCTTAGGCTAGCCATTGTCACACTGGTGATGAATTATATCACCACGGTGGTTTTGTGACTTTGTGCTCGAAACAAGCGTAAGGTGACAAATCCACCAAAGCGGTGTTTCTATTGTGAGGCGATCGCGTGAGTGAAGATCACCTTGTGATGTGCACAGCAATGCAACCTTGTTGACAAAATTCACAGATCCAATGTTAAGGTTGCTCTCGTCGTATTGGAGCTCGTGGTAGAAATCTTCGTCTTCAAGTGCTCGGCGACCTCGATCAAATTTTGTGTGCCATTTTTGATCTTCAAATACATCCTAAAGCTCTGGTCTGCTGGCTTTCCGCCTGGACGGCATCTCGGGCTGCCTTAAAGCCCTGGAAGGGCGAGGCTGTGGTCGTGGGCCCATCGGAGGAGCTCGCGGAGCTACCTCCGGCTGCGACTACAGCCGGCTCGAGTCTTTTGGAAGAGTTGAGATGATATCGTTTTGCTCACGTAACACAAGCAGGCCTGAGCTCAAGCTCATCAACAAGTAACTTTTTTCGAGCTCACACCATCGCTGTCACTTTCATCACTAACAATAAATCGCAGCAGGATCAAGCCATGAGCACCTCACGCCCGAGGACGGGTGTCTCCACCCTGGGCGTGGAGAACCAGGAGATTGTCTGCGCCCTGAGCGAATCACGCGGCATCTCTCCGACCGTGGGTCTGGCCTTCGTCAACCTTGACACCAGCGAGGCCGTCCTCAGCCAAATCAACGACACACAGACATACGTCAAGACGATCCACAAGCTCTCAGTATTCAATCCATCAAGCATTCTCATCGTGGCCAGTGCTGCCAATCCGAAGTCGAAGCTGTTCGCCATCATTGAAGACAGTCTTGAGCATCTCAACTGTAACATAATCCTCCTCGATCGTCGCTACTGGGCAGAGACCACAGGCCTCGAATACATTGACTACCTCGCTTTTGCAGACGACTTGGAATCCATCAAAATATCCATTCACGGCAATTATTACGCAGTATGTTGTTGTGCAGCTGCACTCAAATACGTCGAGCTTGGCCTGGGAAAACGGTTCCCTCAACGCTCACTACGCATCAACTACGAGCCATCAGAAGGTTCGATGATGATTGACCTCTCCACCATACATGCTCTCGAACTCGTACAGAACCTACACATCAGCAAGTCCAAAGACTGTCTTTTCGGACTGATGAATCACACCCAAACGCCGATGGGCGCTCGACTTCTCAGAAGCAACATCCTCCAACCACTTACAAATGACGCCACGTTGGCTAAAAGATATGAAGCTCTTGAAGAGCTCAGCACAAAAGAAGACATGTTCTTCGCCGTCCGTCAGGCAATAAAATCATTCCTGGACGTGGACAAGATCCTCACACAACTCATCCTGATTCCCGTACGGGTGAGATTGAAAGACACCGAACAAGCTGTCAATAACATCATCATGCTCAAACACTTCATCGCTCTCGTTCAGCCTATATTCGAATCGCTTGCAGGAGCACGAAGCGAGATGTTGAGGACAGTTGCAACGATTTGCGCTCCTCACAACGTCGAACCAGTACAAATCCTGATCAATGACGTGATCAACGAAGATACAACACATGCAAAGCTTCCACTTGACCTACGCAACCAGCGAACATACGCCGTCAGATCAGGAGTGAACGGCCTACTAGACGTCGCCCGACAGACATACAAAGAGTCAATGTCAGATGCCCTGGCCCACATGGCAGAAGTCACAGAAGAGTACAAATTGCCTCTGCAAACCAAATTCGATAGCGTCCGACAATTCTACTTCCGCATTGCAGTCGAAGATCTCGACGACCGAGCACTGCCACCCATCTTCATCAATGTTTACCGCCGCAAAAATGTCATCGAGTGTCAGACACTCGATTTGGTCAAACGAAACCAAAAGACGGGGGACGCGCATGTTGAAGTCTTGCTACTGAGCGATCAAGCCGTACAAGAACTCATCACGAATTGCAGACAACATATGGAAAAGCTGTTCAAGATTTGTGAAAGCATCGCATTACTTGACATGCTCACATCATTCGCACAACTAACCACAAGCCATGATTATGTCCGTCCACAACTTGGCGAAACACTAGCAATCCAAAAAGGCAGACACCCGATCCGAGAAGTGATCCATCGCACCAAGTTCATCCCGAACGATATATACGCTACTCAGCAGAACAGATTTCAGATCATCACCGGCTGCAACATGAGCGGCAAGAGCACATACATACGATCCGTGGCATTAATAGCCATCATGGCGCAAATTGGAAGTTTCGTACCAGCCGAGTACGCTTCAGTACCCATCACGCACCAACTGTTCGCTCGCATCTCGACAGACGACAACATCGAAGCCAATGTCTCCACCTTTGCAGCTGAGATGCGTGAGGCAGCCTTCATTCTCCGCAACGTCGACCACAGAAGCATGGTCATCATTGACGAGCTCGGGCGCGGCACAAGCACACGCGACGGTTTGGCCATTGCCCTCGCCATCGCCGAAGCACTCGTCAGCAGTCGAGCACTTGTATGGTTCGCAACACACTTCCGCGAGCTGGCCGAGATTCTATCCGAACGAAACGGCGTCATCAACCTTCACCTCGCCGTCAACCTCCCACCTGACCAAGACCGGATGGAAATGCTCTACCGAGTCTCCGCCGGCAAAGTCCAAGAAGAGCACTACGGGCTCAAACTTGCCAAAGTCGTCACCCTGCCGCGCGATGTCATTGAACAAGCCGAGCATATTGCGGGAGTCCTTGAGGCGCAGACCAATAAAACCAAGAAGTACACTCGGGCATTGATCCAGGCACGACGAAGAAAGCTCATCTTGAATCTCAAGGAGCATCTGATACAAGCCAAAGAAGGCAAAATGAATGATCAGAATTTGAAGGAGTGGTTGAGCGAGTTGCAGAAGGAGTTTGTTGTTCGCATGTCTGCTCTTGAAGAGGAGGCACGAAAAGTTTGACATATCTATTTGCAATTCAGAGTTCGTTTGAGGTTCTTGCTTGAAGGCTTGCTTACCTAGAGAGCGATCGTCTGCTGATGTTTGCAATTGCTTCTTTACAAGATACCCACATAGCTTGCACGTTTTATCATTCGCAGCGTCACACTGCCCTCATAAGAGACCAACAGCCTGAAGCGAGGCTTGAGAATACGCTGGTTCTACATCTCGTTCCGTCGTCATGACCTTTGTTGATTCTAATAAATGTGAGAGATATCATAGATCCCTCCTCACAAAACATACATCCGCTTGCAATCAAACCGCAAAACCACCACTGTTAAGCTGTCTCGACTCCCCAGCCGCCTCAAAAGTCCCATTCCCAAGCCTTCGCAACGTCTGCGCCGAACTCTGCCCGGGCGCAACCCAAGTAACATTCAGTCCCCTCGAATTCAAAAATGCCACCGTCGAATTATCATACGCATACTCGAAACTCACAACGTTCGGCACCAACTGGTCATGCAACCGCGGCATCGCGATGGCTTGTGGAGCCGTCATGTTCTGATCTAGGACATGCCATAGATTCTGCAAGACCGCAGTGATAATTCGACTTCCACCAGCAGCGGATGCGACAAAATACAGAGTTCCATTGGCGTGCTCGACGATGGCCGGGGTGATGCTGCTCAGGGGACGTTTTCCCGGACGGATGAAATTCGCTGGACTCGGGATGTAGCCGAAAGCATTGGATGAGCCGGGAATGCTGAAGTCGTTCATTTCGTTGTTGAGAATGACGCCCGTCTCGGGAACCATCAGGTGGGAGCCGAAGAGCAGATTGATTGTTGTTGTCAGCGCGACGGAGAGGCCAGTTACGTCGGAGGTTACGACCGCGCTTGTTCCGGGTGTTACGAGGGACTCGAAGCCGGAAGGGTCGTAGTCGGAGACGTTTAGGGTTCGGAGAGGGTTGATCTTGGAGCGCACGGCGGAGATTGTGTCTGCGTCGAGCATTTCGGCTTGATATTCATCCAAGTTCTTCACGAATAGAGGATCACCGAGTTGGCTTCTTTGACCATAGGCGAAGCGGAGCGCTTCGTCGAAGTAGTGTGTGCTGAGGTTCAGGGTGGCGGCTTGGCCGATGTCTTTGTAGCCTTCGATGATTTTCATCACTGATAGGGCGACGGTACCAGAGGAGGGCGCTCCAGTGCTGTGGATTGTGTAATTCCTGTAGGTGATGTTCATCGGAGGACGGATGGCGACGGTATAGTTCTTGAGATCTTCCAATGTCATCGTGCCGCCATTTTGCCGAAGCGTCTTAATTGTGGTCTGGGCGATGGGTCCAGTGTAAAAAGCATCGGGCCCACGATTGGCGATGGCCTCGAGAGTGTCGGCATATCTCCTTCGAGTGATGTTGTCGCCGAGACCGAGCAGAGTCCCATTCGGCGCGAAGTCAATGGCCCTGGAGCCTCGCATTAGTCTTGCTAGGTGTCGCTCAATGTAGACAGAATTGCGTACCAAGTAGGATCGTTGACCAAGAAATTATCAATGCCAACAATGGCGGAAGCCATGTATCGGACAAGGTCTGGTGTGACGGGAAAACCATTACGAGCGACCAGAACCGAAGGCCAGACCAATCGCTTCCAGGGCAAGAGTCCATAACCTTGGTGAAGATGAGCCAATCCGCGAAGCTCTCCTGGAACGCCGCTGGCCAGACCGCCGTAGATACTGGCATTCGTGTTGTTATTGTACATGTCCTGGAACGCTGCTGCAGGCGCCGTCTCTCGGAAGTCAATGAATTCGTAACTGCCGTTTGCGCTTCTTACAAGCATCTGTAGAACGGGTTAGCAATCGTTGGAAATATCGCGCAATGTGTACTTTATCGCCTTACAAAGCCACCTCCACCAATTCCACTGTCGAGAACAAGTCAGCTTGTTTGCATCTTCGAATACCCTTCCATCGCAGTATGAACTCTCTCACCTGTGGTACATCCCAATCACGCCCACGCAAAGCGTCGTCGCGACCAGACTATCCGCCGCATTACCCCCATCCTGGAGAACATCGGTGCCTGTAACTCGACACTATGATCAGCTCGCGCACCAACCGAATCAGCAACATCATGTGACACACAACGTACCAATCCTCGAGCAAATACTCGACTCCGAAGCTACCGCACCAAGCTTATTCCCCTCGGGATCAAGCAATGTCGCCGGCCGAGCCTGAGACGAAGAAGAAGAGCCGTTGGAGCCATACGTCCAGCCATCCCAGCTCTCAGCTACAATAGTCGGGAGAGAGGACAATGCAAGGAGCAGCAGCGCCGCCGGGGTTGATCCGAAGGCTTTCATCTTTCGTACGCTGATCTCTCCAATCGTGCTGTTCCACGAGTCGCAACAAGCACAAGAACGAGTCGCGGGGAATGAAAGGCGAAGTTACAGGGAATGACACGCACGGCTCGCACGCAACCAGAAGCACCAGGCGAAAGGAGAGGATATAGAGGAGCAACAAGGGAACCTGCAAACCAATAAAGAAGGAAGGGAAGTCTATCGCAATATCTAAGCTTTTTCACCTCGCGTGCGCAAGCAACCAACCCGCACATCATGCACGTCCGATTGATCCACCCGCTCTAAACCCATTCGGGCGGATTGCGCTCATCTTCTACGCAACATCGTAACCATCGTGCGGCGCATTGTCATAAATCTCACCGTTGACTATTGAAGCGATGTGGCAGCAATCAACGATAAATTGGCAGTTCTTTTCGGCGCATACATCTCCGTTGCTCGAGAGTGAGACATTTCCCTTTCTCTCCGTTCAGGAACAACAGCAGCTGTAAGCTGGGTAAAGTACCATCTACAGTTGCATACAGCCGTTGCAACAGATCCCATTGCATAATCCCCATTCCATCGCTCGAGAATAATTGATGGAATCAACATCTCTCCACAAAACATTGTTGAGCATAACTTCCTCAGACCGTCCGTTGGCAAAAGTCATCATTAGAATGAAGTATCGTCACAGGAGGAGATGGCGGGGCTGACGTCAATTCCATCCGTGCCCGCCGGCCCGCCAGCCCGCCAGCCACCGCTGAAAGAGAATCCCCCATAAATCCGCCGATAAACTCCGAAAGACTCGCACCGGCCCAAGTTTTTGCGTGTGCTTTGACAGTGGCTCGATTTCGTCCCAGACGTTCAACGGGCAAGGGAATGCCAGCCGAGAGGGGAAAAAAGAATAAAAGGAGCAAAGGAGTGGAACTTCCATCCAATAGTGATTCAGAAGAATCATCCTACGACGGGTTTCCCATCATGCCTGGTCGCAGCGATCAATGTGGCATTACGAGAAGCAGACCAAGACAACGGAGATTATAATGAAGAGACTCAGATTGATCAAAACATTTTAATTTCATGACGAAGGTAGATAAATAAACAACCTAGGCAGTGAGCCAATGTGTATTTATAAGAATGACAGAAAAACTCCTGAGGAAAGTAGAGTTGTAGAATTAACGCCGTCCCCTTTCCCCCTTGCAATGATGCTCGCTGCGTGTATATGTATATGCGATTCTGGCGCCGGGTTTGTGAGAAATGCAATGAATGATGATGGAAATGATTGAGATGTTTCGTGTGAGGGTGAGCGAGATCTTTTCTCTTTTGCTTAGAGTGGTTTGATCCCGTCCACCTTGATTACAAGAGAGAGACAGGAAATAATGAATGCGAGCGAAGTCGTCGATAGAGGAGGGGTTTGATGATGGCAAAACTCAGTCGAGATTGCAGCGTTCCACTCAATTTTCTCCTCCTTTTCCATCGACTTTACCCGCTTCCCGAACAGCCTTGACAAAGACCTCCTCGTCTCCCAGATCCCACGCGGCCTCGCAGCGCCAGGAGATGACATTGAGCACCTCCTCTTTAGAGCCGTAGAGCTTGCTCTCGAGACAACCCAACACCGCCACTGCCGCGCGGATCAACGCCCGATCACCCTCGAACGCATACAGATCCCAGATGCGGGCCACATGGCTGGAAGGCAAGTTGTACGCAAAGAGACAGCGGAATAATGGATCGAGGTATTCGTCCGGCTGGAGACCCAGAGCGGATGAAGTGAGATGGTCGTGGAGGGAAGGGAATTTGTATCGGAGGGTGGAGAGGACAAGTTCGTGCGTGCGGGCCATGGCGACGGGGTCGTGGACGAGGAAAGCCAGAGGTAGAGGACGGTTGAGCATGTTTGCCAAGACGACGAATGCGGCGGCCGGGTCGTTGGGGAGGTAGAGGACTAGGAGACCGGCGATGAGGTGCGTTCCGTAGACGTAGCCGACGTCGCTGCGGTACATGGCGTAGGCTTTGAGGACGTCGCGGAGCTGAGCGTGCAGACGTCCGCCCATTTGGAAGACACGTTCTTCTGGAAGGACATTTGGCACATCGCGAGTGATCGCGTCGAACCAGGCGGCCTCTTTGTGGTGGGCGCGGTCCTCGACGGGTAGAGTACTGATGCTCGATTCGAGGGTGTGGGCGCGTGATAACGCGGCGCTGTAGGATGCGGCTGTGAGCTCGAGTTCATTGCCAATGGCTCGGGACCAGACCTGGCCGCGGTTGTGAGGAGTCACGCCGCGCCACCAGAGCTCACGAGTGCGTGGCTCGCGGACTACTGCATCCCAGTTTGGTAGAACGTGTTGCTCCCAGATGCGCGCGATGCTGTCTTGCATCTCCTCGCGTGTCTCTTGGGCTTCCTGATCCTTTGCAGCCCGTTTCTTCTCCGCCTCGGCCGCTCGAGCCATCATCTGTTGGAATTCCTTCAAATGACGCTTTTCTTCCTTTTTGCTCTTTGGAGGCAGCCATGAGGGTCGCGTCCGTGTGAGGACGGCTTCCTTCTCTTTACTGATAGGAATCGGATCGAGCGTGACGACGGATGTTTGTATGGGTGGAAAGGTCGGAATCTCAGCGACTGATTTGTTTCGTTTTGAAAATGTAGCGCGCAGCGGACTTTTCGGGGCAGTAAGTGACATTGGTCGATTGCTGGCTGGCGCAGGGTCCTGTGCGGCTTTTTCGGCATATACTTCTAAGGCTTGTGAAAGCCTCTTGGCCTCGAGATTGAGATCGTCAGACCATGACTTCGACCGGTGCTTAGGCATCAGATTCTCGCCGGAATAAGCAATGGTGTTGGCATGCGGGAAAGGCGGCCGTGCGCCGACGGGAGAGCGTGGCGTTCGGCTATGAGGATGAGTTGTTGGTGGAGCAGATGGTCGGCGGGCATTCTTGGGAATATTGGCAGAATGGAGGTTGGCGTATGAGGGTCTTCGGTGAGGGCTTGGAGTGGTTGAACGTAAAGAGTGTGTGCTGGGTGATCGCAAATAATTCTGTTGATGTCCAGGCATGGGTGACATCGGGACATTCTCAAGGATTGCTTCGTCCGGGACCTCGTCATCCTCATCGTCATTGTACTCGGCTTCGAGCTGCTCCACCGTTTTCCGACCCGGCTGCCATGACATCCTGCGTTGACTTGATGCAAGAGGCAGCGTCTCTGTAGAGGCCTTCGATGTTGCATTCGCAGATGGCGCAGTCGAGTATGGCGCACCGTGTGAGGAGAATCGATGTGAAGGAGAAGGTGACCTCGAACCAAGCTGTTGTGGGAAACGTCGGGCATATGGTGATGTTGGACTGGTGACTGATCGCATCATGCCAGGGCCTGGTGGTAGGCCTAGCGATTGGTCTTGTAGAGAATTTCGGACAGAGCCATGGAGACTAGGAAATCTCGATTGTGAACCATTGGGGAACTGTCCCAATGGCGGCGACTGACTGGTTCCACGTTCCTCGCCTGGCGTAAAAGATCTCCGTTGAGGACGTCGCAATGTGGGTCTGCTACTCGGAGGTAGATTGCTATCATCGCCCACCGATTTGTTGTTGACTCCTTCTGATGGCATCTCGTTGCTCCGACTCGTCTTTAGTGAGAGTGCCTCTTCCGACCCGTCGTCATCAGAAGTCAAAGATGTCGACGATTTCGAACCTTTGGAGTATTCCAAATCTGGCGGCGAGCTCGGTGCGCTATCGTCCATGGCCGACTTTTCATCAACCTCATATACAGTTGCCATAATTTCGTCGACCGGGGATGCCAGGGAAGTATAACTCCGTCCTCCGGCCACCCTCGCCTGATCCTCTCGTCCTGGTTTATTGCTGGGGATCACAAGCTTCTCTGGAAGAGTGACGCACAGGACTGTCGAGCTGGCGATAGATTTGGGTCGAGAGGTGGAACGCTGGCGATGGATTAGAGAGCGGAAGTAATCATATTGTCGGTGGATGGAATGCTGCGGCGGCAGTTTGTGGTCGAGGTCATTTCCTGATGCGTCGAATTGGTCGTCGGCGTCGGCGTCAAAGTGAATTGTTGAAGTGGGCAGAGGCAGACGTGCAGGAGCGAAAAGTGATGGCATGGCAGGCGGCGGCGGTAGTGATGATTGGCGGCGCGCTGTTCCGCTTCACTCGCGGTGAGGGCGATGACAATCGCAATTGCAGCAGCGACAAGAAACGCCGTGCCGTGCCGTAATCGCGAATGTTGTGGAATTAGAGGCCGGCCCAGCAGCTGACGTCGAAAGCAATGTACCTCAAACAACGGATTGGGTTGGATTGAAGCGTGCAGTCGCTAATAGGCCCAGGCGCTCTCACAATTGAAGAGGAAAATGTACTGGACGCGGGAAAGGCTGCTGTTGTAGTAATCAAAAGATCAATCCGTCAAGCAGGGATGTAACACGGTTCAACTGACCCCAACGTCACCGATCCGCACAATGCACACGGCGATGATGAAGGATGATTTCACCAGCAGGTGGAGAACAGCGGCACTTCCTTGGTCGAGCCTTTGTTCCACCAACTTCTTCTTGTTCTTTCTCCCAGAGAGAGAGACAAGGCGGCGGCGGCACTTTCACACTCACACGGTAGGCGATCGAGCGATGACGGTTCCAGCGGGTACCACCACGCACGGGCGCACGCGTGCTCTTTCTCTCTCTTAACTCAACTCAGCCAGAGAGAAAGGAAAGACACATGGAACCAGGTTTCTCTATGCACCACCAATCCACGATCCTGGAGACAAAAAGACTCGTTCCGGTTTCTCCTATGCCGGAATGAGCTCGGCGCGGGTGGTAGAGAGACGCCTTTGACGTGTGTATGCACGGCCGAGGACCGCACTGACCGCAATGGAGCACGGAAAAGGGAGGGCGTCGCACGTTTTGGCTTGTGATCCTGCGCGCGCGAACTGCTGTATCTTTTTTAGCTTCCTTTTCTCTCCTGGCACGGAAGCTGCTGGCGGTTGGAAGGGGAGAGCAATTTCAATCCGCTGCATGTGCTTTGCTGCTCCAAGCTTGTTAGATAACGAAGTCGCGTTGATAAAATAATGCACTATTCCTCTTCTCCTCCTTTGTTATCAGAGTCAAGACTGCCCCTCTGCTTCACAATTGTTCTGAATTGGCTCCACCTTTGTTCTCAGCAATCGAGATCCTCTCTTTGTGATGAATTCATGGGCGGCTGGGACATGCGCCTTTTAGTGGATTTCGCGCGGAGCTGTCACCGATCGTTTTGGGGCGCGATAGGGCCGATGAGGTTCAGCCAATCAACGCACGTCCTCGCCGCAATGCAAAAGCCGCCCAGTTCCGTGCTCGGACTGCACAGCTGAGCAGGTCCAGTAATGCCGTCAATAGGATTTTCGACAATGGACTGAGTCGCTGTGTGTGTGTGGGTGTGGGTGTGTGGGTGTGTTTTCCTTCAAGAATATTGTAAATGGTTCATACATCAGCGAGGGGCCATGGTTTACTATTATTTGCAGAATACGAGGTTCAGCGAAGTGTAGGATTACGAAGCCATCGCGTCTTCGTCGCTAAATCGCCCCCGTCAGAGCTCGTAGCCAGTGATGTCCAGCATGTACAGCACAGCTTATACGAAGATGGTGTACCTCATCAATGTACTTGGCACATGCATTCGATGGAGTGGGCAATGGCACCATCATCGACGCTACAAGTCACTGTGCATATCGTGTCTTCAACAGCAACGACGATAAGCCGAAACATGCCCGGACCTCTCGCCCAACTGCCCAGCCCACGCCCACCCATCCAACGGTCTGTTTCTGAACAGTCAATTCCTTTGATTTCGATATAAATTTCTCGGCGATCTCTTCAAAGTCCTCGATGCGCGCGCTTCGACAGTGTCACCCTCGTACGGATGACAGAACGATACTTCTGTCAAAAGAGGAGTGGAGATAAGTGCCATCCTGTTCCGGTCCAGCTCCACTCATTTCCCGCCCGCGCAATGGAAAGTGCTTTGAAGAGAGCTGGAGGAGAGCGGTGGAAGGAGGAGGATGACATGCTCCTAGCGTAATGTTGCATTCAACAAGCAAAGGCCAAGCTCCACTATCTGTTTGTAATACCGCATTGTACAGGGAAAAAGGCTCGTAGTCTCCACTGCATCGAGCAGGGCTGCAGGTTCAGGTGAGGAACTTTGCATCGAGGAAAGCAGGTTTGTCATGCAGCGACTGTACATGTGCCTTGCTAGCCGGCACGTTTTTCTCGAACAGAGGGAAATTCCAACACTTGGGAAGCGTGTCGCCGGGCAGTGCCGCGCCGCCAGCCTCTTTTCATTGATGAACAAAGGATCTCTCCAGGCACCAATTTTCCTCTACAGTAGGAATAGTGATTTACACCGAGAGAGAGGAAGGGTTGTAATCCAATGGAGATCATGTCGTCTCTCCGCTGTGTCTGCGATATTGAATTGTAGGAATGCATGGAATTCGAGACATGAGATCGACAGTCAAACGCTCCTGAAGAGGAACGGATTTCCTTCCAGAAACAGCACAGCGAAGGATGCCAAAAGAGCAACGATAGCGAATAGTGGCACTAGAATCCTTTCTGGACGGCGTACACCTAGGCAGTCCAGCAAAAAGACTCGATCGGCGATGGAGGCAGTGGTGAACCCGGTCGATAGGGCAGGAATTGTATGCATTGTGCATTGTGCTGCGCCCAAACCCGGGGGGGTAAAAAATCAAGGAAATGCCTGTCCTGCCTACCTGCCGCCCATGCATCGTGGAAAGGCAAGGAAAAGCCACACGCCACAGCACACAACCTTGGAATTTTCCACCTCAGAGCTCAGATCGATTGGATCTTGGATCGCGGGAGCGCGTCCATCCCACCAACATACTGATGATCTTGTGTTTTCGCAACACGTCACGATCAAATCATTTGTACTTCATGGTATGGTTTCGCCAAACCATATAGGTACCAACCATCGGGCCATGTTCAGCGTCCGCAGCTTTTCATGGGAATTGCAGATGGATCTGCTATGCAGCTCTCTTTAACGTGGGCTGCCAAAAGCACGCGGAACACACAGGTAGGCAGTGACAAACATGAAACTGAAAATGCAGCAAAAGCCCAGCATCGAACGGTAAATTGCTTGCAGAAGATAACGCGTTCGTTCGTTGGTGATTGCGCTATGCTTTGGCGTCTAAGTCTAGTTCTCTCCCCCCCTCTCTCTGCTTCAATGTGTGTGTTTAAAGCTTGATAACAGAACACGAAAGCTAGAAGCACCTGCAACATCAAGCTTCCATTTAGACAGCATCTTTGGGAAGAGAGGCTCGCGCAGGAGTTTATAGAGCTCTCCACATGGTCTATCATAAAATGTACGTACCCGCAACACAGCTAAAAGCTCGCCGGTTTTTTATTCTTTGTCCTGTTCCTTGAATAAATTTGGGTGTGAAGGTGGAGGCTTACAGGCTTAGCTACAGCTGGGGTGAGCCTTTTGAAAGAGTGCGATGTGGAGGTAAGCTATGTAGAGCGATCTGACCCGCGGATAGAAGGGGGATCTCGCAGGATTGGGTAGCTCGCCAAAGGGTGAGATACAGAGGGGGTCGTTTCATCATGGTTACAGGTTTCAGTATATGCTGTCAGAGGAAAGTCGTCGTTGCGGCGACAGTGGTGTGTGCACGCACAACGCCAGCTTTCGTTCTGCGTACGCGGCTTCGTTTGACAAGCGCTGGGGGAGTTTGTCTGCACAACCTCACGGGAGGAAGCTGGGCGAACATGCACGTGGTTCTTCTTACACATCGTGCTCTGGAGTTGCTCAGCCCACGGTGGCGGCTAGCACGCGCTCTTCTCGTCGTGATGCTGGGCTCGCGAGTTGTATTCGAAGCCAAGCCAACAAGAATGCGTGCTTCGTTTGTCTGCGATGAAAAACTTCCGTGAAAGCGGTACACGCGAGCCTGTGTACGTTAGTCGCAGTCATTTGCATTATTCGAACAGAAGGCCGTGGTAGAACGATGGCCCGCGAATAATTACGATCGAGATAAGCCTGGGCTTTCAAATATGCTTGTTAAAGACAAAAGAACCGCGAAGACTCACCATCTTGCCTGCGCATTGCTTACGCTACATTCGTACTGCAACGTACCAGAGCTCTTGTGTCTCCGACGATGCATCAGTGCACAGGCTAGCTTGATAAGGTCGTCGATGGTTTCTATTTAACGAGCAAGACGTCAGCATGATGCTTAAGCAGCATTCTGATCTCTCGGCAAAACCAAACTTTTGATCGCTCTAGTGCAGCCCCCAAATAATGGGGATGCATTCGGCAGAGCGGAACCGGCAATTGGGTAACGCAGCACCCTGAAGTGATCCGCGGATCAAACAGGATGAGCCTAGAAGGGTAGCTTACTGATCAAGAGCTTGTCGTGAGGTTGCTCAGCATTGGGCAGGGACTTCCCATAATGGTACGCCTTCTGCGCGACATCCAAGAATGCATTGTGAAGGTTTCTCAGGACGGTCGAAAGGCTGTTGAAGCTGGTCGATAGAAGCATCGCTTGCAATTGCAGCTTGACCGCGCTGGAGAATAATCGTATCAGCAACGGCCACGATTCCGAGCACGCACAAGGGAGACACTTACTTCAGAGTTTTGCGATAAAAAGTTTGACCTGGTACTTTCGTGTACTCGACGGTGATTGAATCGGAAACGTCTGTAACATAGCATCAGCATAAATCATCTTTGATAGTACCAAGTGCGCACATACTGTTTGTCCGGCGCCTCTCCCCATCCTTGCTGAGGTTCAATGTCGCCGTATTGATTGCGTTACCGCAATAAGGAAAATCGCATACGTCTTTCGTGCGACTTATTTGCTTGCCATTGACGTAAACTTCGAAATTAGTACAACTCTTTTCTGCCTTCACTTGGACTCCGAACTCCGGCAGACCAGCATGCATCACTTGAACAAACTTCTTGGCAATGGCCTGGTCTGCACTGATGACGAGAAAGTCGTCAATCAAGCGCAAAAGAATGCTGTTGCCGGCGGTCACAAAGCTGAGCTCCTGTCTTTCAAGCTCAGCATAGAAGTAGCTACACAACAGACTCGACATGATGGATCCCTGTGGAATGCCTTCCTTCTGTCGATAAATTCGATTGCCGACCTTGATGAGATTCTGTTCGACATGTTCGCCGAGCAAGGATAGCACCGCACGACGGCCGAACTTGCCTTGAAGCCCGCCATCGACGAATACGGCGCGTCGACGACCATCGGTGGCATCCTGGGCCGTTTGGGCAGCGAGGCTCCAACCTTCGTCTGTACTGGTGGCCGTTGTAAGGAATTTCCAGGACGGGATGGTTCCGAATCCTGCTTTACTCTGGCGATCGCTGCCTAGCAACTTGGCCCGAGAGTATCTGGCAACAGTATACTGATTGGTAGTCATGATGGTATGTACCAATTCCATCAATCGTTTTTGTGGGATACTGTCAAAGCATGCCTGTACATCGACCTTGGCAAAATAAAGAGGTTTCCCCAGAAGGCCAGCCTCAGCCAGGCTCTGTCTGAACCTTTGTAGGCGAGGAAGTATGTCGTCGACTGAAAACAACGCAGAACCCAATCGATTAGATCCGCGGGTCTTTTCGTAATTAAGGACGCTGAATGCTGGAGTCAAGATCTTGTTGATGCTTCTGCCGAGGACCAGGGTACCATTTTTTGTCATCTGAACGCGCCGACGCAGATTTATGATCGGCCTCATCCCCGATTCTTTTGGTAGTAGACGAACGTGCGAAACACCAAGGGCTCTCTTTTGAAGAGTCTGTCTGATCTGTATGGGGCTGCACTCTTCCAGCATGGTTTCTTTGAGCATTCCAAGAGCAGGCTCGGACATCCGCTTCCATGCGTCGTGTCGGAAATAAAATAGCTGATTTCGAAAAGCGCTAGACTCGGTGACGTAGAAGTGTGCACGAATCAAAGGAATCAAGAATGAATCAAAGATGTAGTACATCATTTCAGCCATGAGTTCTGAACGTTTTCCGAGGTCGGTTTGGCTGAGACTGTCGCCGGCAGCTTGCTTTGGAGGCACCAGCCACGTGATATGCTTAATTTTCATACAATGCATTACGTTGTGTAGGCTTATGCTTTCAAAACGCCGCATGCCGATGAAGGTGTCAATCGCGTTGTTCAGAACGCTTGTGTTGTGCTTTGCGGCTTCGCCGCGACCCCAGATCGCGCTCGGAAATACTGCTCGAACAACAGCTTTGCAAAACGCCGTAATCTGTGAGATCCGCGTTGCTTGTCGCGTTGAACTCAGAGGGTCGTCGTGAGTATCCCGAGAATTTGCACAATAGTAATCGAATAATGCTGCATAAGGACATCGAGAATGTCTTATGCGTATGCTTCGACAAAGCTCGAATGCGAGGCCCCTGAGTCTCTTGGGCAGTGGGGCGCTCTTTGACGATGGGTTCTTGTTGCATGTCGTCCTTTTCCGATCAAGTAAACGCGTGTGCTCCTCGATCTCACGCTCACGCATCGTGTAATCTTTGAGAGTGGTAGCAGTTTCTCTAGGATCAGTCGGTGATTCAAATACGTTGTGGAGACCGAATTGACGAGGGAAGATGTGTTTCATCACATGGCAGGTTTGAAAATCATCATCAAGGTTTCGAAATCGATTTAGGACGTGTATCGGACTCAGGCCTGGGCGAATATCACCTTTCTTCGTCGTCGCGGGCCTCGTGTATAGCATTCTGTGACGCACAAACCTAATGTCTGACCAACCACGAGTCGCGTTCCTCGTTGTTGAACACTTTTGAAGACCAGGAGTCGCCGTGCCCGTGGAATTCGAGGCGGAATTTAAAGTATGACTGCTCTTGAGAATCGAAAGCTGGTGCATTGGAACTCCGCTCACCTGGGTCATGTTGCTGCTGTCCGCAACGGGCACAAAAATGCCACAATTGAGGAGCAGATCGCATATGACACGCTCGGCCTTGTCTCCTAAGAGGTCTGGGATAGCATTCCAAGGGTGTTTCTTTAGTGCACGAGTGTGCTCATTTTCAATAACTGTCCATACTCCTGGGATCCCTGACGCTACGGCAGACTCATCGGCGCCTGTTGGCAGATATCTCTGCAATCCTTGACAAAGGACATGGTCTATCCTAGGCTTTGCGGGATTCCTGCGGAACAACAACCATATGACAAAATCGACAAACTACGAATGATCAGTTTCGTAACATTTGAAAGATATCATGCTCACGAGCGAAGGAAACCAAGTGTAGAAATCTGTCGCAATAGTTCTTACCTGGGCCTGCTTGAATTCGTTAGGCGTTAATGCTACGCTACTTCTATCGCTGGCTATCTGCTGGCTGAACAGTTTGATCTCGTTCTCAATGGATTGTGCCTCTTCGGATGGAATATGGACACTTTCGAAGGCGCCGATGACGGTAGTGTCAAGTAAGCGTGTTACACGCTCGTCCGCTTCTGATCCATCACGTCCGTATTGAAGTATCCGGCGTCGAGTCCTTTTGCTTGGCTTGACGAGCTTGGAAACCAAGTATTGTCGGAGTGTCACGACTTCAGGATAGTAGTTTCTTAGCAATGGTTGCGATGGTCGTTCACGTTGGGTGCCATCCTGCTTGACGCGTTTGTTCTCTCTTTGTTGAGCTCTGCTCTGACGTTTCCGCTTCATCACGAGTAGGAAATTGCATGATGTGCGAGGTATAGAAATGATTGCCGCACAGTGTGTTGGGACTTCTGCTCATTGTACGCGTCGAAATGCTTCGGAAGCCTGTCTACTGCCAGAGGTACTGGACGTGTCTGCGGCCCGCGCCCAGGCGCGAAACCCTAGCTGCTGCCTGAGGCATCTGTCTCTCCCCTTTCCGTTATAATATATACTTACAGGCCGGTCCACCGCCTAAAATTCCCAAGATCCCCGGGCTACGCGGACTCTTTCCGCCGAAACATAGTATACAATCTTCGGCTATGTCAATAAAGACCGCGCTAATGTGGTCCCGAATCTACAACATGCGCGTGCACAATGGACTTGTTGCAAGGATGGGTCAGGACATGCAGCGCCGGCCGACAGTGGCTTAATCATGGGAGACGATAGTCAAGGCCCAAGCATTAGGGGTAGGCTTGGAGTCAATCAACTATAAGAACTTTTCCGCTACATGCGGGAAGGACAGCAAGAGACCGGTGCCGTAGACTGTATTGTTACAATATGCTTAAACCCCGAGGACTATCTTCCCGCAATGTCAGAGAGTCCGTTACCGCTCCTGGAGGTCCGGCTGAAACTCGCAATGGCCTTTTCGCAATGCGCAAGGAACTCGTCCTTGCTGATAAAAACATCATCATGCTGCCAATCTCCGTTGTTGTCAGGTGAATCGTGTCTGCTACCCTTGGCCCGGTAATGACGATGGCCTAGAAACTTGGCCATGTTAGAGAAACCCCAATGGTCCAGGTCCGGTGGCAAGATTTCAACCAGCGCTGACGACTCCGGTAGCCACATCCCATGCGTCAGGCCCGCGCCGTGAACGCCAACAAGGATATCGCTATGGTGTGCGGTGCGGATCTGCTCGGCAAGCGGCAGCTTGGCAAAGTTGATGACTTGTATATTGACGCTGGGATGCTTCTTTCTCAGCGCTTCGAGGTAGTCATCCTGGTGTAATAATCGACGTTTCTTGGTCCGGTCGACGACGGTCAGAATGAGTGGCCGGTCTCCGCGCGGAGTGCCCTCTCGAACATTGAAGAATTTGAGTACCCGTTGGACGTATTGCTTGAGCAAAGATGACTCGCCACATGACAGTTGCGTCCAGTCGCCCTGCCAGAAGGGATTGCTGCCACCAGGCAGCGGCACAAGGACCTTCGTGATAGCTATGTTGAGGCGGGACGACATCTCCGTCATGCGGATTGATGGCTTTTCTGCAAACAAGCGCCAGAGATCCCAGTAAGGACCATGTTCCAATCGATCAGTAAAGACGGCTCGGGTCTTTGCGAGCTCAGCCTCGGTCCAGAAGGGCTTTCCGGTGAGCGGGTCTGTAGTTTGTCGAAGCACATCCAACGAGAAAGTGAGAGACATGATCTCCATCATAGTATGCCAAAGGTTCCGGTTGTTATCTTCACGCTGGATGAGTAAAGAGACCTCGGGGTACTCGGGGATGTGATCCTCCATTCGATCCACGTTCATTTTCTCCTTGAAAATGTAGCTCGGGCCGGTGTCGTACCAGTATGTGGGAAAGTTGCGGAATTGAGGAATACCTTGTTGGAGCTCTGAGTCGGTAAGATCTCTGACTTTGCAATCGATGTGAATCTCGCCCCGGTGAGCGAAATCAAATAGAGCGGGACCGCCATAACAGAAGGAATCAACGCGCTTCTCATCTACCTTGTGGCTGAAGCACGTCAGGTTCGCCCATGATTCCGCATCGCAATATTGGGTAGCTGTACGAGAGAAGGCCTGGATATACTCCGAGCCGAATCTGCTGCCACAATTTTCTGTGCTCGGCTGGGTCGTTAATGGCTGGCCCTGAATAAGCTTTCCGAGGTTTTGTGGCTGATCATTATGCTCGTGCAAATGATTTTCCGGGGCCTTTGCTTTGTTCGGGGATCCGGCTGCGTGTTGTGTGTTCTTGTAGACATGAGATATGCTGTCGCGTGCCCCTGTCGGAAGCAAGAGGAATACAGTCAGCAAAAGGCCGACGACTCCCAGCACGCGGTAGTGCGCGCGGGTCGGTTGAAACGACGATTGTGAGTCGGCCATCACATCACATGAAGACTCCGAGGACTGCTGGATAGTATGCACTCCCTGGCAGATTATTTGCGATGGCACAGGTGCAGCACTGTATGTCGGCATTGGTGGCGGACGAGCCAGCGGAGTTCGTGCGCTAGGGTCGTGGAGAAGCCATTGGGGTCGGACAACCCTAATGTACTGGGATCCCCATCTCGTCGTACGTGCAGACTGTCACTAATTGATGTATGACAACCTTGGAACATCTGTCGCTGATTGTATATATGACACATCGTGACCCATTATTGTACACATGTGATAATGGTTCCGTTCAATGGTCAAGATCTCTTATCCGGTGCGAAGTCGTGAGCCTTTGGACAGCGGGTCAAAAATAAGCTCGAGTCTAGGAAATCCCGCCCCCTGCCGTACGGGAATAGCATTGCTGACGGCGTTGTCGCGGTAACACACGCCGGGACGACGTCCGCGTATGTAACGATTTGGCAGGTATTTCTGTACATTGCTGGACATGCTGGCGATCATTTGATTGCCTCACAGTACTTCAGGCCCACGTGCTTTGTCTGTGCCGCCGCACGGTTGGACAAAGACCAGTCAAAGTGATCTACCACGCATTTTGGCTTTCGCCGTTCAGCTGACAACGACATAAACAAAGAGGATCGCCATTCGCACTTCGAATCGAAGCGAATGCTTGTGTATATTCCCACATCATCTTTATATGTACACGCAATAGATATAGACAGATTTGTATATCTACCATCTATCAATAATCTCTCATCTAGACGCCCGGCTGCAGCCATGCATGAACTACCTGAGGGACTGAACAATTCACTACGGTCATTTCGCGGCAGCATATACGGAAACAGCCTACGATCAAAGACGAGGGAGCTCGAAGACGATCTCGAAAAGGGTTCGGACGTATATGAGAAGAAATCTGAGGACGATGATGACGATCAGGTTGAGAGACCTCTGAGAGCCGTGGTTCTGGTGCGCCTCCTCCGAGACAATCCATGCAGGGACTAGCGACTGACGAAGCGACAGCACCCGACCCATTCCTACTATGCCCTTCGACAACAGGCGGAAGCAGACGAGGAAGCGCGCAAGGTTCTACGACTGCCTCGCTCAGGTGTCTCGCCGCATCGGTTACAGACAGGTCCTCACACGGAGTCTTCACAACAAGATCACCAGCCTTACGATCCCGATCCTAAGCAAGCAACCGAATCCCAAGATCCCAGATCGAACCCGGCAAAAGCCTCCGATGGCACTATCCTACCCAGACGACAAGCCACCTTTGACGTCCCTCAGACACCGGCATCTGCCAAGAGAAGTTTATTCACCGGCCCCAAAATCTCTGACCCTGACCCTGCCGCTGACCGCCTAGATGATGAAAGAACACCCTTGACCCACGAAGATTTCCTCGAATTGATGGGCCTACGGCCGCCCACGGGCCGCTACGACCTCCCCAAGCACCTCTCCGCGCCAAAGGGCCTTTACGGCACCATCAACAGTCGCCTGAGCTACGTCAACTTCAAGTACCGCGTCTTCGACGTCTTCACCTACTTCTTTCTCATCCTGCAGGTCTTCCTCAGCGCCGTCTTCATCGTGCTGGGCAGCCTGACGCAAGTCGACAGCCACATCGCCATCGCGATCCTCGGCGCAGTATCAACAGTGGTAGCCGGCGCGTTAGCGCTGATGAAAGGTCAAGGTCTACCGAATCGCCTACGGCAAGTCCGCGACGACCTGCGGAATGTGCTATTCGAAGCAGAGGAGCTGTATTTCGACGCGGCGTCGGGCCGCTCGGTGTATTACCGGGACATTCGGAAACTGAGGGAAGACTATCTGCGCGTCACGGAGGAGGCGAGGAGGAACCATCCCGACACCTGGAATCGGACTACGACGGAGATTGCGAAAGCGATCAACCCGAAGAGTCCACATGTAACGGCGGTGGCGGGATCGAATACGCCTGCGGGCGCCCAACATCATAAGTCTGCAGTTTAATGGAAAGTGAGCCACCAAAGCCTATGATGTGCGTGATTACCTCTAACGTGCGTCTGTGTCGTGAATGACTCGTCTGTCAGTAATTTGTTGTCTGCCATTCATTTTAGCGCTGTCAAAGTCATGAAGTTTGATGTAAGTTGGAAAGAGAAATTGGAAACCGTAGTGAACGTGAAATTTGCAGTGCATTTTAAATAGAGGAGTATCAAAAATAATGGAGCCGCGCTGCTGTGATCATCGAGCGTCTGTGGATTCCCGTCCAGCGAGAAGATCGTAACAAAAAAGAATGCAAGCTAAGTACATTAGAAAGGATAAGTCAAAAAACCTTGATATATATATGCAGAGGGGTATTCAGAGCATATTCGACATGGGTATCATCATGAGGTAAAACTGTCGTTGCTGAACTTGCTCTGCGGACGTGAAGTGAAACAAAGATGTGCGGATCTCAGATCGATCCGTTGGCGAATGTAGCGGAAAATTGTGAAAAGGAAAAAGAACGAAGGAGTTCGAAGCGAGTTTTGTCGAGATGAGATGTGGAGATCCAGGTCCAGTGTCGGCTATCGGGCGGCAATGACGACGAGCGCGATCTGTCGTTCGAGTTAGCAGTTGATTCGATTTGGTCTGCGAGTAGTGCATATAGGATGACTTACCACAGCGCCGATCACAAGCACTCCGACGACGCTCATGACCCGATTCAGCATTCGCCACCAATGCCCCTTGAGGTAGGCTCTCTCCTCTCGCCAGCGCCTTTCAGCGTCGCCCGCTTCGTGCTTCATAAGCGCACTCTCGAGGTCTTCTGGGCCGGTGACCGCCATACGCTGGGTCAATTCCTCGAGCGACAACGGCCGCGCGGGTAGCGGAAGAAGAGCACCCACCATCCACATGAGGGGGAAGATGAAACCGGCGACGAAAAATAAGACTTGGCGGTTGCTTCGTGAATGCACCAGTGTGTCGAGGCTCTCAACAAAGCTAGGTGCCTGCCACATTGACGGGCGTGCTTGACGTCGCGAGGGAACAAGGTGGGGATGTTGGATCATGAACGCACGCGTCTCATCCTTGGTCATGGGTCGAGGGTAGTCCAGATGATCCCAATCTTTCTGACGCTGGTAGGTTCGTGGGTAAGGTTCTATTGCTTGTAGGGCATCTACGAGGGAGATCCGTTCGGGCTCCTCCGCTGATGAGATCACATCGCTGTGGTCTTTCACCAGATAGACTGCAGGGATACTTGGAACTGAGCCCCGTTCCGACTCGACCTGAGCGGGAGGACCTGCCCTGCGAGACTTACGATGGTAGCGAGAGCGCTCCTGTGACTTGCTCACCTTCTCACTTTTTCGGCTGCGTGATCGGAAGATGCTTGGCTGGGAGGAGAGACTCCATCGTCTCTCACCTCGCGTAGATGGGCGAGACGTGATAGATTCGGCTCGGCTTTTGGTAGTATTCTGCCGGCTCAAGGCGCTGCGCTCTGTCCACGTGCTTCCGTTTCGAGAGTGCGCGACAGGACGGCGTCGCACCGTGCCGATGCTGGACATGGAAATCTTGCTCGAGAGCACAGCCGTCCCTGCGTAGTAGTGCTTTGCCCAAGCTGGGAAGGCCACACTTGTGTAGCTCCACCTTTCTGTCTCGTTGTATGCACCATGATTGAGGTTTCGTGGTGTCGCGCCATCGTCCCGTTGACGGATTGAATAGCCAGAGCGTTTCTGCCGTAACGGAGGTGCTTGAAGCGCAGTGAGGGTATCAACTCCTTCATCAACGTCAGCGACAGGGAATCGCGATTCCATTGACGGCATATGGGCTTCTGTAGACTTCGCAGGCGGAGACACCTCGAAGAGCGGCTGTGGGATCAGACTGGTCTCGCGATAGATGCCTAGTGTCATGTCTCCAGGCTCGTCGTCACTACTTGCTCCAGCGACAGTTACGGGGGGAATGGCGCCTCGTTCGGTTAAGCTGTCAGTGCTGTGGCCTGGCCAGGACATTGCCGGAGTCATCTCGAGTCGGTCTCCGGCTTGGGTACCACTACCAAAAGAGAGCTGACTGTACTGTTGACTGTGGCCGTGTTCGCTTTCGCTTGCGATCGTACTGAGGTAGCCGCGGTAGCCATGACGAGGATATGGATCGGTATGCGGATTATGGGAAGATATCGCTTGCGAAGAAGAAAATGAATGATTACTGTGTTGGAATGTCGAAGAAATCGAAGATGGCATGTGTCGTAATCGTTTCTTCGGTAATTGTAAAGATGGTAATGTATCGTTAGAAGAGTCAGTAAATACGGAATTATTAGTTGCAAAACTTCGACCTGTGTCTGGTCGGAAGGAAGGCGAGCGCGCCAGGCGCGTATTGATCGAATCATATGAAGTTGCGTATTTGAGCGGATGCGTTGGCGAACGTGGGCGAGATGATGGGCTAGTATATGCTACGAAATTTGGCGAGGATGGAGGATACGATTGTTCGGATAGAGGGAGCGATTCTTGACTTGAGTAGAAACCTAAGGCAGCGCCAGGCCGGCGGTCAGGAGTAAGAGATGCCGCATCGAATGCGCCGAGCGATGACCTTCTGCCTGGACTGGCCGTCTTTCCGAGGGAGGCCAAGTCGGAGTCGAACGCCATGTTGCGAGATTGTAAACGAGGAGTGTTCATGTGCTCGAAGCGCTCGGTTGGTTGATATACGGAGGAGGAAGGCGACACTGTTGAGGGCGGAACCACTCTGACAGTGGCTCGCGTCGTCGATGGTGGGACAGCCGACACCTCTGGTAGATCGTGCAACACGGAGGATCCTTCTTCTTCTTGTTCTTCTTTATCATATTCTTGTCCCTTTGCAACATGCTCGTATTCATACTCCTCGATCTGTGAATTCTCGTCGGGCATCACCTCCTCAATTCGCTGCTCGGCTAGATCCTCTGGAGGCGGCGACCCCTGCAGTGTCGTGCCTTCACTTATACGCTGTTTCCGTTCATGTGGCACGTCCAAAGAGACCGTACTCTCATTGTTGTAGAGAGTCGATGACTGCGAGTAAGCGTCGGACACAGCTCTGTGCGGCGTCCACTTCGAAGCACTGGTAGTACTGGCTGGCTCGAGCCCTGGAATGGTGATTTTGTGTGACTTGATCGCCTCTGATTTATCTGAAACACCGTAGCCGGCGGCTGAAATTGGGAACACGGGCTTTGAGCTAGTGATACCCTTGGCTCCATCGAATTGAGGTAGCAAGCGTGCAACCTTGCCTTGCGAGCGCTGGCCTCGGACATTCTCCTTGCCATCCTCGCTGTCACTGCCAATGCGAGCCGAAGATGCTGGCGACGGCGGGACCAGGCGCACCGTCTTGGTCGGATCGCGGCGGGCATTTTGTGTGTTGTTCTGCGATTTTGTGCGCTCGTGGAGTGGCGGACGGCGACGAGCAGCGAGGATTCTAGCATCGCCCGCCGATGCTAGAAGGGCCTGAGGAGGCAGGAAGCCAGACATGGTCTGCTTCTGGCGTTTGGGGTCTGGATCGAGAAACATGGGGACGAGCTCGCTAATAATACAATGGAAAGAAATGAAGACCGATTAGGATCGTGATGCATGACCAGAGCATGAGAGGCCTCAAGCCATGTGAGAGAGTGGATGCGCAACTGATGTAGGCGCGCGCTGCCAGGCGGTTCGCGATGTGGGTGTGAGTTCGTCCTGATGTTTGCTGTCTCGAAGGACGGATATCGATGTCGCGTACTGTGCAGCTCGACCTGCATGCGATTGCTGTACGATCAACCAGAATCTGGTTCGTCGAAGAGAAATGGACGCGCGCTACGCCGAACTGTCCTTTCTCGGCTTTTCCTTCAGTTTTCTTCTCACACTCGCTTCGCTCGTGACCGCAACTGGAGATTCGATAGTGACAGTATGATAATGAACGATGCAGACTCTCAATGGTCCTAGGAAATGATTGATTCGAAGAGTAAGAGGAAGAATGAACGCGCCTCAAGTCGACCGCGTCGTGCGTGAGAGGGAACAAAACGGTCAGCACAGAGGCACCCGCGAAGGCAATCCAGTCAGCATCATCCGAGACGAATATCCGAGTGGAGTGACGACAACGCCGTTGGGACTGGCCTGCACAGTACATGCAAGCGCGTAGAGCGCCCACGAGAATACGAGATGAGACGGGTGTGGTCCAGTCGCCCTCCAAGCCCTCATTGGAACTTGCTCTCGGCCAAAATTATTATTGCAAGATGCCGACCGACCGTTGATCCCAGCGGCGACGCGAGCATGACGCGCTAAACGCCGGACACCAACGCAGCAATTAATTTCCTACACCCGCCCACCCCTGCGTCTATTCATTCTCTTCTATTCTAATGGATCGCCCGAGCCATGGACGAAGAATGTACCATCCCCGTGGCCGTACTCGTCAAGAACATCAATTTTTGTCTGCAGGATTCCTCCTTGCCTCATGAAGATACCCGACTGATGGGGAAAATACGTACGAGGACTCGTCATCCTGCTCCGATCTCCAACGGGCTGTTCCATCGGATCCAAGCACCGATCGGCGCGCAGGGAAATCGTCGTTGGCGATCTACTGCTACATACTGCACTGTGTTTCCAACTGGACGCCATGTCCTCCTCTTGACGGTCTGGACAAATCGCCATTCCTCAGTGCATGCTCCGTGAGGAATCTCCATAGGAAGTGGGGTCTCGCTCATGACAGCCGCATGCTCGCGCGCCACGCCATGCCCGGCTCTACTGCAGGACGAAATCATCATCTGCACGTCGAGCAGGAAAATGGCGCCCGAATGGCTAGCTGCAGGGAGGACCAAATTACAGAATGCATTCATCCGGAGTATGGAGGTTTGCTGGTCGTCGAATAGATGGCAGCATGGACCTTTTGTTGTTGAACACATTCATAGACTTTGAGATATTTAATCACTGATGTGAGAGCATCGACTGAACGACGACAGTGCACGATAATTCTCCTATTCCAACCTCGTCGCCGTTCAGGGACGAGCGGTGAAGGAGTCTAGAGCATTTGTTAGGTAAGTTGATCGTGCAGCTCAGGAAATTGGAGTCCCTGCCACAATCGTTCAACATGCCCATCATCATCATAATCCGATGTTACCCTTCAGAGGTTATTCTCGCGGGTACTGTACAAAGTACGCAGCAGAATTAATCTGCAAGGAAACCCGGCGCTTCTCACAGTACTTTGCCTGGTTTTGGAAGGACTTTGGGTAGGCGCGTACATGTACCACCACATGGAAATGACCCCGCAGAGGTCAGGAGATAATGCCACATGCAGAAACCCATCCACGATCTTTACACCCCGCCTGCACCTTCTTAACATTACTTGTATGCATGGCCTGTAAGTCGATATTTTAAACATCATCAGAATAATAATAGGAATCATAATGTCTCCGAGAATCCTTCGACATGTGCAACTCTTCCATTGCATAACCGCCAATGCACTCATCCCTTGGCACCTTGTGATACATCCCTGCAAGGACTCGTGGCACCAGCCAAAGAACCTTTGCATCATATTCGTGAATTCTACTCCCCTGAACAGCACGACGCCGGACCTCGTGTCTCAAATGTCACATTGATCGTTCTTTCGTGTCGGGCGTTTCGCTTTGTAGCTCTCGATCTATTTCCGGTCGGCGACAGACCGGCGCTTTGATGAGACGTAGGGTACCACAAAATCGTCATGTTTCAGCCACGGGAGATCCCACAGAGGACATGCGTAAATTCCTTTATGGAAACCGGATTGCAACGAAAAGCAGTATTCATAAAGTGGCTCTATTACAGACTAGACATCAAACGATCACTCCCTTCCTCCGCCAAGGAGATTAAGTCCTTTGCACACTCATACCCTACCCAATCGAATTCGTCCGTCGCTCATTGATACATGAAACCGAAGCGTTCCTCCCCACGCCGAACTAGGCGGAAGGGAATTTGGCCTTTACGGAGCTGAATCGTGATGACGGTGCCCATGCCGTTCTCCAAGCGGTCGACCGCGTGGGCGTAGGCCTTGTTCCAAGCGTCGCGCTTCTGCGACTCCGTCGCCGTCTCGAATGCCTCATCGGAGAGGTACTCGCTAACATCTAGTTCGACGGACCATTTCTTGAAAATGACGGCGATGACCGCTAGGATCTCTACTTGCGCGAAGCGTCGGCCTAGGCATGAGCGGTAGCCCTCGCTGAAGGGGATGTAGGCGCCGCGAGCCGGGCGATAGAGCGAGGCGGCGGTGTCGGGTCGCTTATCGGGGCCGTCAAAATCGAGACCCTCCTCCTCAGCATAGGCGTTGGCGTCGGTGTTGTCGTTGTCCTTGGTCGGGTCGAGTAGCCATCGCTCCGGTCGGAAAGTGTTGAGGTCCTTGATAGACGTGTGTGGCCAGTACTTGGGGTTTCGGTGCGTGGCGCACGCATTAAGAGTGATATAAGTTCCACCAGGGATTGTGGTGTTCTTGCCGCCGCTGAGGCGGAGACCCTGCGGGCGATCGGCCAATGTGGATTTCGGGATGCCGAGAACGGGCGGAATGAGTCGTAGCTCCTCATTCATCACGGCGCCGCACATGCTGCCAAATAGTCGTGCCATGTCCACGTCGTAGCTCCACTCAGATGATGGCCGATCACCCAGGATGGAGTCTAGATCGGATTGCAGGCGTTTCTGAGACATCATGTGCATTGCGAGGAACACGAGTGAAAAGTGAATGGTGTTGGCGGCTGTTTCGTGGCCCGCAAGAATGAAGACGAACGCGTTGCCAAGGATCTCGTCGTCGGAAAGAATCTGCTTGCTGCCGCCCTTGCCATCAGGTTCGGCGTTGAGGGACTCGCTCGTGATGCCAGCGCCTTTGACGAGGGCCCCCATGAGATCCATATCCCCGAGCTGAGTTCCGTTCTTGACATCATTCCGCTTGGTGTCGTACATCTCACGCATATACTGGCCCCATTCTGTGTAGGCTTCATAGGTTGTTTTGTGAATCTTGAATGGTGATATTTTCAAGAACCATTTGGGGATGATAATGACACTCAGCAGTTGGTGCAACAAGGTCTCGAGAGCGGACTTGTAGGTCATTGTGTGGCCAGGCGGAACAGCCGTGGTTCCCTCTTCGTGCGGCCACGCCAATCGCACACCGAAGCCAGCCCGCGAAATGACGTGCAGTGATAACCGCATGGCCTCCGGGGCGCCATCTTCGATCTTCCCACTTGCGCGGGCGTCTTTGCTGCCGGTCCACTGAACGATCATACTTTCGGCCTGGTGCAAAGATTCCTTCCAGACGAGCAGGTTGTTCTTCTCGGTGAATGGTGGGCTGGTCACCTTGCGATGATGCCGCCACATCTGTCCCTCAAGCGAGACGACATTCTTACCGTAAATGTCGACACCCTTGTACATCTCAATTGGCTTTGGGAAATCATTTCGACGAGTAGTGATCTGACTGACGGCCTCGGCATCGGCAGTGAATACAGTGTTCTTGCTCGGTGAGACAAGCACATATGAGTCAGTGCCCAGTTCTTCGAAGATGCTATAGCCGAGTTTCCATGTAAAATCAGGGCTCATGAACCTATGGCGGACCAGTCAGAACCAAGGGTATTATAGAAAATCCGATCATTGAACATACCGCAGCCATGATTTCGTCCAGGATGTTGGTAGCTTGTTGAATACAGGTATGAAAATTCCGGACACGATCATCCACGGAGTACTAAAATTGTACCACGGTAACACAAAGTAAGGCAATCCTGTCTGTTTGGCGGCGGCGATGTTTTTGGCGAGCGCCGTGCGTCTACTGATCAGCGTCCAGGCCACCAAGCCCACCGCAGCGAGCGCATAAATGTAAAGCATCTTGGCCGGGACACCAAACCGCCAAATCGAAGAAAAGATCGAGTGAACGGGCGTCACGAATGGAACAGTTCAGGCGTCGTAATTGTACTTGTATTTCTTGGGATGATCCGAGAGAGGAAGGAAGGGAGTTCGCGTGAATCAACTGGCGCGGATGCGATTTGATGTATCGTTCGGTCTTTTTGCAGCAGTGGACCGAGTGCGGGATGGCAAGTTCCCGGGGGCGCAAGCGCGTGGATTTTCCACCTAGCAAGTTGTTGTGAATGCGATCAAATCTAGAAGCAGTATATATAATAAATGGAGATTGGCCAGCGGCTTCCAATGTTATGAGCCTTACTACTTCAAATCATTTATGCAGTCCTCGAATAAATTTGTTGTTATATACCTAGAAAATACCTAGGAAACGACTCTATGACGGTGAGAGGACGTCGAATACTATCGTCCCGTCGGACGAAGTTCCTATCCGAGCGGTCGATGGATATGACGAAACCAAATCTTCCTCCTTCTCAAGCTAGGGAACAGCATTCAATGCTGCCGTCGGACATGTTGTTCTTCCGCTCCAAGATTCTATATTTCACAGTGCATCCTCGGCGACGATTACAGCAGCCGTCGATGCCCATTTAAATGAACGAGTGGTATACACTCACGATGCATAACTTCAAGGAAAGTAGCACAGCCAGCTGTGCGCGACAGGTGGATGACGATGGCTGGTTGACTTCTTTTGAACATCATTGAACGACTGGGCGAATTGCAGCTGGATCCGAGACCGAGCGCTGAATAACTGGCTTGTGATCATTGGCAGCATTTGCTTGCTGTTCGGATTCGCACTCCGTGGACATCTGCCCTCGAATCCTCGTACGCCGTATTCAAACACTTCGGGAGAGACTACGTCCGTCCTTGGATTCTGACGAGGAAGTGTCTCTGGCATTGCCCAGTAGATATGTACAGGATCGCGTCAAACTTGGCGTTTGCTGTACTGTCTACTTCGGTATCGGCGCATGGATTCTCGTCGTGTCGGATTCGATATCAGAAACATTGCTAGTTGGCCGCGATCAATGCAAATTCAATCAACAGGTCTAGTGCCGGCCAAGGAGGAGCAATGATCGCATAGTCATGGAGACCCTCCTTCAAGATCAATTGTGCACTGTGCTCTCACGCAATATGACTACCAGGGTGAAGAATGTATTAATCTTTCCTTGACCCGGATCCATCTTACTCGCCAATTGGGGCCAGGATTTGGCGAAATCGGGTGGACTTGCCCGAGTTTCTACCACGATGATGACATCAAGGCCGTAATAGTACAGTACCAATAGATTGAAAACAGTGCTAAGCGCAGAAGCGACGAATTTGGGCAAATGAATTATCCCTACGGCCTGGGATCGTCATTCCTCTTCGATGGGTTCCAATGTTTGCTATCGCCAGCAAGGCCGTCCAGTGAACGAATGATCAGAGCTTTCATCGGCATTGCAAGGCTCAAAACTATGCCGCTTCCTCTATGGTTCATGAGACACGTGTGTATTTTGCTATATCTCAAACATTGCTTCGATACTGATCAAAACGAACCTTCACTTTATCTAGAAGTGACCCATCTCCTACAAAGTGCCAATCACGACAAAGATGCGCCTCCCGGTCTACAGCTTCTCCTTCCTGTTTCTCTTGCCATCTCTCGCCATCGCGACTCCCGACATCACCAGTACCAATGCCACGACATGCAAGGAAGACCTCCACTACGTCGCGTTCACCCTCCAACGCTACCTTCTCGATCCGAAAGAAGTCGGCGATCCAGGCAAGGTCAAGGCCGGCTGTCGCGCAGGAGATGAGTTGGGCGACGCGATTGATCGAGTGATCAATTTGAAAGGGGAAAAATGTATTGAATCCCCAGACAATAAAACATTTGGTGCCATTAGCATGGTCGTGACTTCGGACCTGAGTAAGTTCTTCCTATTGTGCCCAATTGATTCACCCTTTGTCTCTGGCCGCCGCTCGTGATGGGGACAACTTGGCAAAATGACTGACGTCTCGCGACCTTTACAGCCGGATTGTGGTGCGGCATGAGGTACCACTCAGGCTCTCGTTGCCATGGGCGAGCTTTCCGTCCCAGACGCTCCGTAAGTCTTCTCACCTCGCAGATTTCCGATCAAGAATTCAGCCATGATGCGGAATGTGGGCTAATCTCGATCGACTGGGATGTGTTTTTGCACCCCTCACACAGTCCAATGAGGGTGAATTCAGCGACTGCTTCTATCGTTTCCATTTTTACATGGGATATGATCCAGCAGGCCGAGAACGACCTAGGAGCGTGTCGGTGGGATGCACGAGGACGGGTGAAATGGATTTACAAACTCGTGGCGAGCAGGAGTGATGAGACAACTCCCCGCCGATGACAGGATTTCTATCTTGTCGTCAGGAGTGGTCATGAGTGGCATTAGTGAAGGTCGTTCGCCGAAGAGAGAGAAGCTTTCTTTGCATGGGGATCTGAGCCACTTGGAAGAAGACGTGTAGTGTACCATGAAGCTGAAATAAATCGCTCGTCCTCTAGTTCTCTGATGCTGTCGAATTCTTCGCTTCGATTGTTCGGGATCATGACTTTTGTGTGAAATTGATGAATCTATTGAATCTATTTGCGATGTTTTCAGTAAGCGTACATCTAAATCATTATTCCAATAGAAATCTAATGAACGCCTCAGCTATAGCAAGACCGTCATGGTCGCGGCTCACTCGGCTCATGGCCTCGTTGAACGTCTCGTCGTCGAGGATCTTCCCTTCATGCCGGCGTTCCAACAGCTCCGCAACGATGTCCTTGGTGAACTCCGGATGCCCTTGGACGGTGATGAGGCGGTTGCGGGCGTACATGCCTTGCGTGGCACATCGGTCGGTGGAGGCTAGGCTTTCGATTGATGCAGGATATGGGCCGTGGACAATATCACGGTGCATTTGGTGGATAGCCTGTGTGAGTGATCAGCCGATTAGTCTCCCTGTTGACGCCAGACCTGAGGGCCTAGGGCTGCGATGCAATAGATCATGATCGAGGATCCGTGAGTGAAAACGGGCGGAGGTGGATCAACGTACAATAGTCTCTCGTCCGCCAAAAATGCTCTTGCCCACCTCGCTGAGCTGTAGCTCTGTCACTGCCAGTTCCCAGCCTGCCTCACTTCGTCCGACGGGAATATCCAGCGCACGTCCAATGATCTGATGGCCGAAACAAACGCCGATCAGTCGAACCCGAGTCTGTGCGAGGATGCTCTTGGTAAATGAAACGAGGTTGAGGATCCAGGGGTCAGAGTCGAATGAATTAAATTCTATCCAATGTTGATAAAGTCCAATCAGCGAATAAGGTTCCTTCAACCGGGATACTCAAGGCTATACGAAGCCACAGTGGCGCAAGGCATAGATCTCATGGACGATTATAGTACGTACTGCTTCCGCTCAACAATACTGCATCGATGTCCTCCAATTTAGGATATGTCTCGGGTTTCTGGACCACGTTGAACCAGCTTATTTCAAGTGTCGGCGACCTGCCGTCATCGTTCTTGATCTTCACTGCAGCCGCCGTGAGTAGACGTTGGAATATCGGACCGTAGCCCTCTGCTAATCGGCCAATCGTGACGTCGCACTCAAGGATGGCGATTCGAATCGGCGCCTTCGCCATCACGAAGCCCTTTACAGCCGAGACTCCCGATAGCGTGCTTGATCGTGTTGAGCGTATAGGGGCAGCAGCTAGGACTTCGATGACAGACGATCGGAGGTCGTGTGACTTGCCGTGTTCATGAGCTGTCAGGGCAAGAGTTGCAGACAATGTGTGGTCATTACTCGGAGGTGTCCTCTATAGGGTGTACGAGTGTGGCTCTTAGGGTTTGGGTTGTCATCGCCAAACGCCGTGTTGATGCTGTCAATCAGGACTCATGTACAGTAGAATTTCCGTTCTCTAGTTCGAAAAGATCTATTCAGGCAATGCGAATTGTTTGAAACCTTGATTGCTCGCGTTTTGATTCTGGGGATTGATCAAAGCAGCCGGATTCATGGCCTCCCTTACTTCAAAATATGTCATAGACCTTCACGAATATCACCTCGTGGACAAAAAATCCATGCTTGTGATAACTCCTCGACACCATTTCATAATCGTGTACAATCACGTCCATGACGACGTTCACGGTGCATTTGTTCCAAACCACGTGATTCTCATGTTCGGAAAGCGATCGAACAGTCGATCCGAGCGTATCATTCCGGTGTCGGTCCCCAAAGATACAAACATGCAGGTGTCCAGAGAAGGATGGTCGACATGACCGAACAGCGCACGAGACATGGCTACAGGTACAGTAGCCCGCAAGTTCTCCGCGGCGGCAGGATCGCACTATGAGATCTCATTATCTCGGCGCAGACGGGTCTCGGAAAACCACAACTAATTGAATTCTGTGCATATAATTCCAAGGCTGTCAATTCAATGCTAAGCGGGTCGACCCCACGAGCGATGGCGCCTTGTGGCTTGACGAAGCTTCTGTCGCCCCGTCACGTCACGTACACCGCCATGAGTTGTCATCAAAAAAGTGTCAGAGGAGGAGCTGACACCGTGGTTATATCGTCATGCATCTGTCCTCATGATATCCCCGCCTTTACCTGACCGGGGCGAGAGGAGGAGAAAATCGTGAAATGAAACGTGGGTCTTGTCTTACCACATACCTAGGTAAGTATGCTTGCGAACATGCCGTGATGGTTGGACTCGGTCTAAGAATACGCGCCTGACTCTTTGCGAATGTGCCAAGCACGCGAGCTTCAGTGCTACAATGGGGCGGTGATGGTTGAGGGACGTTTCGTGTGAGGAAGTGTGGCTGTTGAGATGGGAAGATCTGCCGTTGAACTCATCAATCATGTCAAATGGTGAGTCCATTGCAACGGTCGCCCAGCATGATCGACAAACGTACATGTACAACACTTCACGTCGTTTGCCACCGTACGCGTGTACTGTAACCACGCCTCTAATGCTGCCGTTCGGATTGATCGATGGCTGTCCAGGCCGTAAAAGCTTACATGTGGGATCTGTTTGTCTGTGCGGGCGAGAGCTCATCGTGTGGGACGATCTCATGCACCAGAACGTGATCCGGCCTTGCATGGTGCATGCTTTTGCAGTGCATGCAATTGTGGGGTGCAGCACGACATTTGGAAAATTAGCGATGGACAGCTGGGTTTGCTCGTTGGACAGGGCTTCATGGGATGCAGTGGGCAAATGTGAAGTGATGGAATTCAGCGCATATCTGTGGACGAGGTAAGGTCATCGAAAGGTATTCGTGTCATCGAGGAGGACGTATCGTATCCGGTGATGGGAGTATGTTATGAATTTACACATGCGAAGCCTCTCACCGTCTCTCGTCGATGCATCCTCAGGGCCAGTGGATTGAAATTGTTCTACAGGCATGCCTTGGATACATTGCCGATTTCCTTGTTTTCTTTGGTGGATTACAGAGTTCATTCCGTCCAAGAAGGAGTGGATAGCAGCGGTGGAGGTATTGATAGCAATGGCAGCGGCGGCGGTATTTGTGGTGGTGGTGGTGGTGGGAACACGGTTGAGCCAGGGCGGACGGGCGAGCGTTGAGTGGGATGAACTCCGGTCTCGACCACCGCGTACGTACAACTCTGGAGGGGTTGCCCAGGTGTACAGTAACATGCCAGGTGCACACACACCGTAAATTTCCCATCCAGCACTTCCAAGGTTGATTTGCTTTTCAACTGCAACATCCCTGATTGACGCTCCGCCGCGACCGGAGTGACTTGAGCCAAAACATCAAAATCTCCACAGATTTCATCATTTTCTGCTCTTCTGGCAATGAAGGAGCACTGCCATCGTCGTTCTTGTCATCCGGGTCGTCTTCGCCGGGTGCGGTCGTCGCGCGGCATACGTGCGCTCAGGCGTGCATCTCTGCTCGCTCGACGGACTCGAACGCTAACAATTGTAGTAATGCACACGCGCCGGGCCCAAGAATAGGCCCGCATACATTTCGTTCCATGGCACGAAGGTTTTCTGGAGCCCGCATGAACCGACGCCGCATCGTACCATCAATCTCACCTCCCTTCCTTTCGCAAAAGAGCCCAGCCGGACCAGTGTAGATATTCTACACGAGGACTTTGCTGTCGTTGAGATATTCCGGTCGGTGTACCACTACATTCATATGAGAAAGGATCCGGCATTCGTTGCACTGCATGAGACACTCGTTGATGACATTAATAATTATTTGTACTGTGATTTAGGTATTACCCGGGCCTTCTTCGTGATTAATAATTGTACAATTTTGCCAGGCGTTCGCGTTCACTGTACTATTTTTATTGTCCCTTTTTCTTAGCGGTGCTCACACTGAAAAGAATCCGACTGGGCGGTTTCCAGCTCACGACACCACCTCAATCCTACATTACCAGAGTGACTATACACGCACACAGCAGGTACGGTGAAAAAGGACACTGATGACCGGATACGATATCAGACTGTACCTGTTGTCACCGTGTATGGTCACAGTACGGCCAGATGCGATTCTCTTTTTGGTGTGTTCATCCCACATGCGTACACCATCTTTTTGCTCGACTCTCCCTATCATCCCACCCACCACCACCACCACCACCACCGTCAACACCACCACCAGCTGTCTATCTGTCGCCACATTTTTTTCTTCCCACGGGGTTTGCCTAATTCCGAGGTCGCACGAACCTGTGTATATCAAATAAGAAGAAGAAGGCATAAAATTCGACAGAGAACGTCTAGTTCTGAAACCGTTGTCCACTTCGCCGCCGCCGAGATCTTTGTAAATTTCAGCCAAGCCCACCACAATTCCGCGGACTTATCGTTCGCCTTCCTCCTTCCACCCTCTCTCCTAAATTCTAGCGTTGCCCCCACCGCTGTCACCAATTCCTCCGCCTTTTCACTTTAAGCTTTGCCGCTCAGCTGGGACGAACCCACCGTTGCATCGCCCGTCCGCGTCCATATAATCCGGCCGATTTTCCAGCCTTGTTACCACGCGCACGAGACCTGCGCCGCACGTCGCTCGAAGAAATTTCATTCTCCCTCGACTCCGACTATTATTACGGTGTCCTTTTCATCTTCGACTTCAGCAGAGCGATCGGAAAAGTGACAACCGCGTTGGCTACCGCTCTTTCCTCGGCTTGTGTGCGTTGATCTGGCATTGTCTCGCCTATCGCTTCCAAATTTGTCTCGGAGCAGAGACCCTGTCGCTGCACACGTTCGCCTCTGACTCAGAGATACCTGCCGCGATCTGTTCTGATCCTGCCAGGGGAAAGCGTTGAAGTCAACAATTCCGACGCATACATTAGCGACGCACACCGCTTCAGTTTATCTTCTGAACACACATATATCGTCTTCGAAGTCGTCAAGAGCCATCTGAGACAACTTTCTCGAGGCATCCTTCGTCCTCTCTGTTCATTCTTGACACGCCGTTCTCGCGACGCTCTCGGTCGCCATCCAAGATGTTCCCCGCCGACGCTTTCCAAGCTCAATATCTCGAGTCGCGAGAGGCTGCCATCGCAGACAAGCGCACATCAGCATTGCAACAGCAACAGCTACAACAGCAGCGCGCCCACATTCTTGCCGTCACCGCCAAGTTGAATGCCCTTCAAAACGAGTCATCCGCCAAGCAATCGTCGCAACAGCAACAGCAACATCAGCGACAACAATTACAGCCACAGCAACAACAGCAACTCCGACCAAATGCGCTCGGCCCGGCTCTCATGCAACGACCTAACCTTTCGCGATCGACTTCCTCTCAGACCGTGCTCGGCAACATCCTCCAGGGATTCAACAGCCGGGCCTCTGCGCAGTCCTCGGCGCGCATGCAAGGCTCGGTCAGTGGAACCGCCACACCCATGCGGACGCCACTCATGACACCCATCAAGAATACCACCCAAGCTGAATTGGAAGCGGCCATGTTGGCCGAGCGAAAGCGTGACGCAGACATCGTAAGTTTACCTCTGAACGGTTCTTGCCCTGATAGAACAAAATCTGACCATGCGCGACAGTGCGCCATGCCTTCCTGGTAGCGATTCTTCCATTCAGCTCCCTTTGTCCCCACCCAGGATCACGATTTGTCTATTCGGCATTATTAGCCTTTTTTCTCCTGCACACATTCATGACGACACGGTTTCGAAGCCTTTTGCGACGGCGCTCTTTCGGGTTTAGCAAGGAGCTTCGGCGTTCTACAGCACAGCACGAAGCGGAATTACATTAATAATCACCAAGTCAGACAAGCGGTTTTCTCAGCGAGGCGTTGTTGGATGGGTATTGCTCGCACGGCAGATTTTGTTTCAAGCGCGAAAAGTTTTTACTTTTTCTTTTGGAGGGGGCCACTCCGATGATGCTCTTTCGCGACGATGATCATCTCACGCGCGACTTTCTTGTCGTTTGGTTTATTGCACATACGGGATGGCGACGCACCTTGCCTTCTAGCTGTCTCTCTCTTCTCTTCTCGTACAGCTGTTCTCGCAATTCTAATATCCATTTATTGAAGACAAAGAATAGTGCATGTTAGAAGCCATTGACGCAGTGAGGTAATGATCCAAATTCTCGTCAAGCTTTTTGCCATCATCACGCTGGCAGGGGTGATGTGAGGGGCAGAACTCCGACGCTTCTCGTCTTCTATATATGGAAATACTAGTATCACGTCACCACTATATCCTTGACCATGTCCGTGTGGGCGAGATGAACAGACGCCCGCGGGTCCTTCGAAGCCGAAGACAGAAAGGCGAATCCAGTTGCCGCCCGGCCGGGGCCGAACGACGGGCCGCGAAGTGCTGAGATTACCCGCCCGGGCGTTAAGAGAAAGCCTAATTGACATCAGCTAACCTTATTCGAATACTTTCTCTTCTCCATAACGCATTCCCAACAGCATCCCTGTCAGTAGACCCCAGCGCCGTTTATGTGGCACAGGAATGTGATGAACTGAGCGCTCATCACGAAAATAGACTTTCACAGCATGCAATCGACTAGTTTGACTGTGCCGCATCGGCTCAACATGATTTTATATGATGAATGCGATGTCAGGGATGAATGGCGGCCTCCTCGGTCATTTTATGCCCATTCCCTTTTACCATCGTCCGGACTGAATATCCTCGCATTCTTTCCAATTCAACATATCACTCATTTCTTGTGTTTCCTTTGCTCTGAGGTTGGTCTTTGTCTCGCGGCGACTTTTCCCTTCGAATGATGTTCTCGTCGACTCGCGATTCATATCGTTATACGCCGCTCAACGCCCGCCCGTCATATATGCCGACCACCCGCTCGGCGCGGACATCGTGTCTGCTCATAATCGCACTCTTCCTGGTCATATTCTTCTGGAGGCCGGATTACGATGCGTCTCCGAACAGTTCATACGAGGACTCAATTGCTCAGTCATCCTCACATCTGAATCAATCCTATGCATCGCCAGTCGTGCCTGCCAAGCCTGTTGAGTCTGAGAAGCCGATCGAGCCCGTCAAGCCGATAGAGACCGCGAAGCTCCCAATCGCACATCCAGACATGTGCCGAAAAAGCTTGGATTTCTTGGATCTGGAAGAACACGCTGGTAATGTTGTATACTCGAGACAATGCATCCGAGCGGTCCCCAAGCGAGGGCTGAAGCCAGAATCAACAATCGACATCGGCCGGCCCATGTTCGATACCGCCTACACCCTTGATACAAGTGCGGAAGATTGCGCACTTCCGATTTGCAATGAGCCCTTCGAGGTATACTACCCCGAGACTTCCCACAAACCCTCCGAGAATGCTTCGTCGTTGCTCTTCGGAGCAGCCACAAGCATGGAACGACTCGACCGTGCCTTTCCGTTTATGCAGCGCTGGCTCGCTGGAACCGGGAGCACACTCGTGGTCATTGTCACCGACAACTCGTCCGCGAGCGAGCTCCAGGCCATGGAGCAAAAGGCAGGAGCCGTGGGCGTGCAATTCACTTTACTGTCACAACGTGATTTCGGAGGCGAGCAGGATCCGACCGCGCTACACTTCAAAGTAGTACAGGCGCTGAGCCAACACCGTCAACCGCATCACGACTGGTTCGGCATCATCGACGACGACACTTTCTTCACCTCCCTCAGCGCGCTTCTAGACGCGGTGAAACCATACGATCCCGAGGGTCGTTGGTACCTCGGCGCGCTCTCGGAGTCATGGTACCAGGTCTCAATCTTCGGCATGATGGCGTACGGCGGCGCCGGGATCTTCCTCTCCGGACCCGTCCTCGAAGCACTACACACCAACCTCGATGTCTGCACCGGCACAGACACCGGCGACCGCCTATTCATGAGCTGCCTCTACAACACCGTCTCGCCGCCAGTCCAACTCACCATCCTCCCGGGTCTCAACCAGATGGACATCGACGAACCCGTGGACGGCTGGTACGAGAACGGACGGAAACCGGTCCTAAGCCTGCACCACTACGACGGCTGGGCGCACGTGCCTGTGCACCTCGGTCACGAGGTCACCGGGATCTGCGGACATGACTGCTTCCTCCAGCGGTATCGCTTCGCAGACGATGTCGTGCTGACGAACGGTTTCAGCGCGGTGCGGTATCCGCAGGGCCTGGCGCAGATCGACCTGGGGAAGACCGAGGCCACCTTTGTGAACAGTGATGATTTGGACGGATATGCCCCGAGTTTGGGACAGCTGCGGCCGAAACTCAGCCCAGAAGAGAAGGTGAGTTGGCGGATGGAACATGCGGTGAAGAGTGAGGATGGAAGGGTGCGGCAGTTTTATATCCGCAGGCGGGATGTAGATGGTGCGGAAGAGATCAATGTGCTTGAGATTGATTGGAGCGCGTAGATGGCTCTCTTGGCTGTGAATGGATATTCCTTAATTCATGTAAATTCCGTAATGCATAGACGATAGACCTTTTGTATCGAGACATTGAGGACGAAGAAGCGCTTGACGATTTCCGATGGCAATCTGCTGAATTATTGTCGATGTGCGCTCGCTGGCCGCTGATCGATAATTGCATGCAGTCAGGGGAGGAATGAAATGAGCAGACTGATAAGTTCATGCAGAGTTGTGATTTCATTGTTCGAAATATCACCGTCTATCTCCGGTATCTAGCTTCCCAACTGGGCCGAAGCCACCAGCGTCAGAGCGGGAATGCCTCATCTATCCTTCTCAAATCTATCACGAACGCAAAAGCGATGCTGTACACAAAGAAAAAAATATCGTCATCAGAAAGCAAGTCCCGACTCTATCCCCTTCTCCAAATGATGCGGGTATGCACACCCATCTATTTCGCGCTCACGCAACATCATTATACAACTCCATCATGAAGCGATCTATTCTTCGATGTTCTTCTCTCGTCCATTCCTCTACAACTTCGCACGCTGCGCCATGGCGCTGACGTCTTGCGGGATGGAGGTGGGGACAATGCCACGCTCCGCACCGAGCGCGAGCACAATGGCGCGGGCATTGCCTCGCGCGATACCCATGCAGGTAATCATAGGGTTCACGCCCGAAGCCGATGGGAACGTAGCGGTGTCGACGACGGAGAGGTTCCTTGTGCCCCACACGCGACCGTAGTCGTCGCAGACGGAGGTCTTGGGCGAAGCGCCCATTCGGCATGTACCCATCTGGTGGGCCGAGATGTACCCGGTATCTGGCGAAGGAAGGCCGTTCTTTCGGAGAGCGTCGGTCCACGCGACGAAGGCTGGGTCGTTGACGGACGGTGGGGTGGTGGATGTGCCGTCCTTGACGAATGGTGCAATGCCTGGCACGGTGGGGACGAGCTCGCGAGCGCCCTCGACGTAGGCGATGCGCGCCATGTGGACAAGACCCTCGAGGATGTGGCGCTTGTCGTGCTCGTGCGGCGTGTAGTGGATCACAGAGCGAGTGGGATCTTGAGAGTCAGGGTAGACGCGACCACCGTAGCGGTCTCGTGCAATGGAGATGTAGCCGGTCATGCGGCGCATCTTCGCAACGAGCTCCTTGTAGGCGACTCCGTCGGTCCACGGGAGGAAGGGCAGGACAAAGCCGGGTAACATGGTGACGGACTCGAGCTTGACTCCATATCCTTGTTGGTCAAGGTTTTCCACCTCATTGCACACAGTTGTGAGGATCGGGCCTTCCCAAGGGCGGACATCCTCGTCCCAGACTGCGAAAAGGACCGAGACCGGGTGAAGGTGCAGGTGACGACCGATGTGCGGGTTGGTGAGACCTGAGGATTTTAGGATGATAGGGTCTTCCATGGGGCCCGCGGCGAGGATCGTGCGAGCGGCCTTGATAATGACCTCGCGTTTGTAGACGGTTCCCGCTACGCCACCTGAGCTGTCGCGAGAGGTCCAGATACCCTTCACTCCCACAGCAGTCTTGTCGTTGTTGTTGCTCTTGACATCAGACCATAGCACCTCGCGACATTCGAAGCCCTCTAGGAAGACCGCGCCTGCGCGTGCCGCGTCAGGCAAGAATGTTTCCGTGGGACCCTTCTTGCCACAACTGCCGCAACCGAGAGTGCAGTAACCGCAGTTGTGTGCCTCGCCACCAGTGTTCTGAGGAACGACCTTGTGGGCATAGCCCAGCTTGCGGGAACCCTCCAGAATGACACGGTTGGACTTGTTGTGTGGGATGTGGTCCCCGCTGACACCCATGCGGGCGCAAACAGCGTCCAAATCAGACTGGAATTCCGCGGTGTTGAAGCGAGGCATGCCGAACTTTTCGGACCACTCTTTGCGGACGAAACCTTGTGGGAGCAGAGATGCACTCCAGTTGACAGTTCCACCGCCTCCCCAGGCTGCACCATTGATCACGGTGATGCTGCCTTCGTCGGATTGCATTTGTCCACCGTTCGAGAAGAGATGCACAGAGCCCTCGTTTTCTGACATGGGCAAATGCTGTGGCTCCCAATGATATGCCTTCTCTACCACCAACACCTTGAAGCCAGCCTCGGCGATGACTTGTGCCGCGACCGCGCCACCACATCCACTGCCCACAATGACCACATCGGTCTCGATTACGTGCGGTTCTGAGGCGGTGGTTGGAGGGATATCAAAGAATTGAAATTTGAATGCGTTGTTTGGTGGGGTGCCATGCACCGGCGTGTAAGGATATGACAGCAGACGGCCAACGGTGGGCGAGGAACGGATCCAGTAGGCTCGGGTGAAGTTAGAGATGGTGCGGAATCCCTGGCGGAGCAACGGGATGCGCGATGTTTTCCATCCTAAGAGGATATTTTGGCGAGTTTCGACGGGAAGGCTATCCAGTGTCGTGGCGTGGCCGGTGAGGAGCAGTGAGCCGGCGCGAGTACTATGCAAGAACATCAATAGGCGTTCAATGTAGAAAATGAAGTACTAGATTATTTGTACTTACGATAAAACCGATAGGAGGGTCAAGAACTGGGCTTTGGTGGCACTGTCCAAGTAGACACCGAGCACACGCATCATGTACTCCTTGAACTCTGGGGCGGCAGACGCGCGCTCATCGAGGAACTCGGCGACCAAGCCATCTCGACCGTCCTCCTGAGCCAACTCTTCTATTCGTCGAGAGACAGTATCATACACCTCTGCCGAAACCCTCCGTTGCAGAAGCGGGTTTCCGGCGGCTTTGGTGATGGATGGAGCGAATGTGTCGGCGATAGCCGCGAGGATCGCCCATTGTGCAGGTGTGACAGGATCCTGAGCCGGTGGAGGAGGAACAGGGCTGGCGATTTGAGGAGTGAAGCCTTGTGGGCTTGTCGGTGGTGATGATGGTGATGACGATGATGAGGCCATGGTTGCAGAAAACTGCTGCCGGTGGTCGTAGTACCTGTATTCAGGTACCACCGAAACCGGAAGAGTGAAAAAAGATGCGGGACCAGGGTATCGGAGACAAAACAACCACCACCAGGTTTGTGTTTCTATGAACGACGGCGGTCTGGTACTGATACCGTAGAAGTGTATTGCAAGGCCAGAGTCGTCAATGTTCAGATGTTGACGAGGCTGGAAATAATGTCGAGAAGGAGCGGGCCTGACTGGGTATTTGCTCACTCTATTGAAACCAACCGCTTATTACTGCGAGGGGGTTTACGGGACATTATTACTACTGTGCAGTGCCACGGAAGTGAACATCAATGCAGTGGTAATCACAATACCCGTGGACACCGGCATTTACGATTCCGAAGAGATCGCCTCTAGAGCTGGACTAGAGCACGCGTCAAACCACCGGACGAGCACGAAGATTCACCACGGGATTGCTAGAGAGGAGGGGACAAAACTAAAACTACCGAGGCAGATCGATCTTGTAGGTGCCACCCGCAGCCCGCTGGTTGGATCAACGATCAACCGGCCGGCCGAACGATCAGCCACTCGGAAATCTCCAGGCCTGCCTACCAAGGTCAATTTTATTTCATGCACGAGGACAAGACATACGTGTTGCTCATGATAGCCCTGTCCGTTTGTCTCCCTTTGGCGTGCCATTCCTCGTCTTTCGCGAAGGAGAGGAGATGATATTCCGATCACAGGGATAGCAAAGTCCCTCCATTTCAGAGGAATCGGAAGCCTGACTCGTGAACAAGCAATCGGACAAATATTGCCGCCTAGAATTCGGGGTCCCGCAGGTGTCCTGAAAGAGATGTACTGTTTGTGATGTCCACCGGAGCTCGGAGCTGACTCCCCACTGTCATCGGAATGTCATATGCGGGCGTGAAGGCGCAGTCGTGACAGTTACTGCGTCGTGTACATCATGAACTCGCCCTCGATGCTAGCGGTGGCGAGAGGCGGACGTTTGAAAACTGCCTCGGCGGGAAACACTTCCATGTCGGAAGACGAATGCATCTCGCAGACAGGTAGATCTGCTGTGTTTGAGTGACCTCTCAGATTGAAATCTATCATTTCCGTGCCAATGTTTCATCATAGTTGTTGTGGTCTCGAACCGGCCAAGACACGAGAGCATTCATGTGACCGGACTCCTCACATGGTCTTCGTCATCGAGGAACGTTCCTTGATGGAATTCACAGGTGGTTCACCATTTCATTTCCATTGCGGAGAGCACTAAAACTTGAGGCCCATTCCCGGTAGTGCGCCAGCGTTGTGCGGCACGTTTGTTCTCGCACGTGCAAGTTTCGACGAAGTCCGAGACGCGACGGCCTCTCGTTTATCTCGGCCGCAAAGTGAAAGTTCACGGTTTTGGGAAGAGTAGCACCCCCAAAAGTAGTAGTATGATGTTGAGGGGAGCTGTGCCTCGAAGATGGGTGGCCGTCACGTTCTTGCCGAGTCTATGGAATCATCGTTGATCGGTGGCTGCAATGCACATATATAGCACTGCCAACGAGGACAGATCGAAAGGAAAGCTGAGACGGATGACAAGCACGAAGGAGCTGACGTGATAAATAAGGTGACAATGCCACGCGACAAATGAAGCACCGAGATGGACGGTCGATCATCAATCACTGTCAAACGGGTACATCAAACGAGTACATGCACCTGTATGGTCTGGGGCGCAGGTGCAAATCTCCATTCGCGACTGTATTCATTCAAGCTCAATGACGCCTATTTCAACATGGAGAGGATACGTTGGTTGGAGATGCTCCGGATGTCGAAGTTGCAGCGTTGCAGCTGTTCAAGTCACAGTGGTGACATCTCCTGAATATCTAGGTAGGTATCGTGCAGAGTCGCTGGTTCGAGTCTAAGGTTACGAGATGTTGGAGTCGCATGTGTCAAGTACAGAGGGCAGGAATGTCCGAGGAAGGCTGGCAGCGGTCATTCCCCTGATCGTCGCTTCCGAACTTCTGTTCCTCGAAGTCATCGCTGTCAATGCCTCGTTACTTTATCCACCTGGGCACTTCAAACATGACGAAAATCTACAAGGCCCGCACATGATGCAAATTTGTGCGGTGTCAATTCTAGACGTTTCCGTTGATATATGCCTCCGCCGGCTTCAGGCCAGAGACCGAGAATCGTCATCTTGCCGCTCGCACCGGGCGGATCACGATACTAGGGTTACATACATCTGCGAATGGATCACATCAGCGGTAGTCATGCTGCGCCATTGACTGTTGGACATTGATTATATGGCGAGTCGACACAAGATTTGGTCATAATATCGCCAATCACCCACTCTCAAGTCAAAAGGATCGTTGAGTCACCTCACCTTTCGAATCATGCCTACACGGATTCTTATCGTCGGCGCTGGTGCCATCGGCGCGTTCTATGGCTCACGGCTGGCCACCCTGGACGATGTCAAAGTATCGGCTCTGTGTCGATCCAACTACAAAGCCGTCCAGAAGCACGGGTTTCGAGTGGAATCTCCCAAATACGGCGCAAGCACATTTAAGCCCGAATTCGTCTACGGCTCGCCGGACGAAGCCCGTAAAGCCAAGATCCAGTGGGACTATCTCCTCGTTGCCACCAAAGCGCTCCCGGACGTCAACGATGACAGCGCTCTACTAGAAGACCTGGTCGGACCCAATACCAGCATTGTCCTCATTCAGAACGGCCTAGGAGTAGAGCAACCTTATGCCCAGCGCTTCCCAAATACCGCCATTCTCAGTGCCGTGACCGTCGCCAGTGCCGCCCAGCCACAACCGGGAGTCATTCAACACAACCGCTGGACTCGCATTTCGATCGGCCCTTACCTACCGCATCTCGATAGCGGCGGATCCGGGCCTCGACCGGACACCGATCAGACCTTCACGGAACGCACCACTCGGCTCGTCAGCCTCCTGCAGGAAGCCAAGGTAGCAGACGCCGAAACCTACGACCATGCCGGCCTCCAATTCGTCCGCTGGCACAAAGTCGCCCTCAATGCAGCCATGAATCCCAGCTCGGTACTCAGCGGCGGCAGCACCAACCAGACGATGGCACTGGACCCAGAGCTAAGTCGGCATCTCGCCGGAGTGATGCAGGAGGTCCTCGATACTGCGCCGAAGATCCTCGGACGCCCACTACCAAGCCATCTCGCCACTCCCGAAAGAATACTGGCATCAACACGGAAGAACACAAGCGGGAGCCGACCTAGCATGTGGCTCGACTGGGAGCGCGGGTCACGAATGGAGATCGAGGTCATCCTGGGCAATCCGATCCGGATGGCGCGCGAACAGGGGCTGGAAATGCCGCGTCTGCAGGCCATGTATGCTTTGCTGAAGCAGGCGCAGATCATCCGCGACGAACGCCAGAAGCAGGACCGACAGCATGAGAATGCGAGATCGAAGAGTAGCCCCAAACTGTGAACCTCAGAGAGCCAGACGGACCGTGAGAACGTATCCCCTCACGAGTTCGGTATCTACAGTAACTGTATCCATTTCCATTAATCATGATCGTGTGCTTTTAGTCCTCCGCTGATCCGGAGTTCCACGCGTCTATGCCATAATTTGCTTGAGACGGTATGCGCTCATCATAGCATCATGAAGTCGTATGCGACAAGAGCTCGCGATGGTGGTGTGTAGTAATTGGTCATTTATATTTATCATAAGCCGCTCAACAATCTCGCTGATGCGACCTAGCCAATGCTGCAATTGTCCCGCCTGTTTCAGAGGACGAAACGCGTAGGAGGCTACCCAAAGCACGGACGCGGGCATACAGTACGAGGGCGCAAGGGTCAGAGGCCTCGGCAGCGCCCCAACCAATGCACACCTGCATCATTTCAATCCCTTCCAACCGCAACTGTATTGTTGTTGACCGTCGCCGCAAAAGAATAAAGCTTTGTGCTCAACGCCACAACAACATCCTGCACGCCAACCAGAAAATTCTCCTCAAAGCCAACCAAAATGACGGTCATTGACACCTCCATTGAGATCGACCGCTCGCCGGCCGAAGTGCGCGCCATTGTACGTTGCGCAACCGTCCTGCTGCTCCACGCACCATTGAAAGAGAAACCGCAATTGCGCGGAGCCCGCCATTTGGTCCAGCGTCGCTCAATCAATGCGCGCGCAAGAACACGAGAGGATGGTCCATTTTGCTGACAATTGTGGTTCTTGTAAAACTTCTAGGTCCTCGACTTCGAGCGCATGCACGAATGGCACACCAGCTTCCTGAAGGTCATGCAGCCGCTGCCCAAGGGAACTAAGACCCCGGAGCAGCTGGTCGCCGGCGACGATATGTATCTCAAATTCCTGATGGTCGGAACCAACGTGAAGATTGTGGTAAGTTTTGCGAAAACGATTGTGACCTTTAATTTGCGCTTCCTTCTGTCGTTATGCGGCCACTGTTGCCCTCAAGGAATCCCAATTGGCTGACGCGACTGTCACATCTGATAGGAAAACTCCGAAAAGGCCCTCACCTGGGAAGGCGGCCCAGCGCTTCTCTTCCACGGCATCCACTCGCTTCAGTTCATCCCGCTCGACGACGGCAAGCGCACGCTGTTCAAGAACGGCGAGACTTTCACCGGCGTGTTCGGCCAGGGCGCTGGCTTGCCCGGTATCAAGAGCAACGTCTCAAACCTCTACGACGGATACAACAAGGACTTGAAGAAGCGCGCAGAGCAGGCGCTCGGCGAAGCAGGTGTCCAGGCATAAATCGGTCGAAAGAGGCCAGGAGGGATACTATCTTGAAACGAAGAATGAGGCAGGAATGATTTGGACCATCTGTGATACCCAGATTTGATAGGAGCGAACTCTTTTGTGCTTTGGACGGGGATATAGCAGGTAGCCCGGTAATGAGAGAGTTGAACTGTGAGGTTGACCGGGATCGGATCTCGATGTCCAGATACAGTAGTAATTCCTCTCTTGAGGATCGACAGCCATTCGCAGATGGTCATCCTTCTGAGGTCCTACATGGAGTATGAAGTTCGAGGCGAAGTCGTTTATCCGGAAGAGCATGTGTCGAGGCTGAGATATGTGAATCCCAGTATTGGCATCCACTGCAAAATGCATCTAGCAAGTTCATCTCGGCGACCACCTATTCAAAACCGTCAGTCAGCTCTCCAATTCCGTTAGCGCTATTGTCGACGCGACTCTGGGGCCGTCAAGGGAAAGATGGTAGGTCAGAGAGAAGATTATTGGGTCAGCAGCAGCCCGTCAGGCACAAAGACACAGACGTGCGGGTGAGTGTGTTTTTGGCACCTCGCCCAGTCATGGCTGAACGACCTTGCTAGAGGCTCTATGACTAAGGATGACAAAAAGGTTCTCATCATTTGCAAGGGGGATGTAGCATCGCACTCGGATCTGAACGTACCTGTGATCCATCCATACAGGTGTGTAGTCGATCCGGAGGGTTATCTCTGGTCATTCGCTCTAGGAAAATTTGGACCCCAGTTGATGAGGCACACCGATTAATGTTTGGTCTGCAAACTCAATCACTCTGATAGATTCGCGTCGCTTGACCTTATGGCAGATAAGCCTATCCAGTTTGCGGTGCCATTGCGCGAGGTATCAATAATCCATCTCTACTGCCTCCACTTTCTGATCGTCTAGTTCCCGTGCTATGCGCCGATGCGTCAAGGAACCTTGCACAGCGTCCTTGCCTGCGATGAATCCCTCCCACGACCTCTTCTTTCGCTCGTCGTATGGCACGTTCCCGCCGCCACGGTGGGGTTTCTGGTCCTGCTGAGCAGGCGAGTGGTGTTGATCCACTGCTTCAGATTCCGCTTCTCCTTCCAGTCGCTCGGCTTCGCGCTTCTCCTGCCGTTGTTTCAACTCGTGTAGCTCTCGGGCGCGGAACCATTCAACGTTGGCATCGGTGAGGGTGCGCTTGACGCCATCTAGGTAGTACCCCAGACCATCCTCGTCATTTGGATCGTGATTTGGATCGTAGGCGAGGGCGACCGATGGTGGAACGAACCACTCTATGGGCCGGCTATCATCGCCGAAATGTCGGAATTGGAAGTTCAAGAGGTCGTCCTCTGTAACTCTGGGCGGGTTCGCTGACGACTGGTTTGCACCATCATTGCGTGCCGGCTTTTGGTGATATTTAGCACCATCTTTCTGCGCGCCTTTGCTTGGCATCGCTGCGATTGGTCTTACGCCTGTGATGACTAGATAGGGTGTTCGTGCCTCGTCACTCGCGTCGTTCACCAAAGTTGACCCTCGCTTTCGGCGTGTGCCTTGCGGGTGTCGTGCCGCTTGCGTCTCGAGGTGGTATCGAAGTCTGCGTATGAAGAAAGATCTTGAGACCCATCCACCCAACCGCCCTTTGCGATTACCGCTCTATCGACCAGGATAATTTCGAGCTTGGTAGCTGCATTGCCTCCATCTTCGTCATCATTACCGGTGGAATCTTTGTCACAAGTTGCACAGCTCGCGTGTCAGGCAGTCTGCAGGCGCGCGGCTCGCCCCGTGGGCTCGGCAGAACGCCCGAAGGCCCTTGATAATCGCAATGGACACCTTAGCGGCGGACATTCGGTTGTACCGGTTCCGGTATGTATGACGGCAACGCTATGTAATGGAAATATTCCTTCACAGAATGATGATCGAATACAGCACACCAAGCGATCGTGAGATTCACTTGCTTCTGCGCACAACGTAGCTGCGATGTGATAGGGTAGCAATGGAATTCAACGCACAGTTCTCCGGTTGAGAGCCTACCTTGGTAGTAATGATATCAAGAGTGATCATAGGACATGTAGATGTGCACACAAAGCAACCAGCCCTACGGGAAAGACGCAGCCCTGGAGCCCGTGGAGAAGACATGTATGTCCATTGCCTCCAGTTGAAGCTGTGCTGTGAATTCGCAAATCCAGGGACAATCGATGACGCGCCTCGTGGTGCGAACTTTGTCCGATCATCTCCAGCTCTAAGCTCAGCACTCACGAGACTGTACATCACACATATCATAAATAGACGTTGGGTTCCTTTATCGTTGCGGCAGACATCGCGGTCAACACTCGGGCTCATATACTACACTTTCACCTAGTCCGTCCAGTCGACAAACTTTTACAGCGCAAGACTCCAGACGAGATGGCGTTGCACGCGCCTGTCCAAGTGTTGGACAACTACTACCTCGCCATCACCTTGTTGGTGACCGTCGCCTACCAATTGATCGGCTTCGCAATCGCCTTCACCTTGAAGTTCGACAGTACGTGCAGCTCCCCCAATCTTCCTTGTTTTCCTCCGATGCTTGCCGGCGCACAACGCTGACACCGAGCGATTGACAGAATTGACGGATCTATGGGGCGGTTCCAACTTCATCATCCTCGCGATCCTGACCCTCGCGCTCTCCGGAACCACCACCGCCCGCCAGATCGTCGTCAGCATCTTCATCATCCTCTGGGCCTTCCGGCTCTCCGCCTTCCTCTTCTACCGCATCCTCAAGACAGGCTCCGACTCACGCTTCGATGACAAGCGCGACAAATTCTTCTCCTTCCTGGGCTTCTGGGTCTTCCAGATGATCTGGGTCTGGACCGTCAGCATGCCCGTCACCATCCTGAACTCTCCCAATGTCCTCCAATACCGACAGCCGCGATTCACCCGCGCAAGCGACATCATCGGCGTAATCATCTTTGCGCTAGCATGGGGCTTGGAGTTGATCTCCGACATCCAAAAGTACCGCTTCAAAAACAGTGCAGCAGGTAAAGAGCCAGGTGCGGTCGCGGATATTGGGTTCTGGAAGTACTCGCGCCACCCCAATTACTTTGCCGAGATCATGGCGCAAGTTGGTAAGTAACAATCACAGCGAAGCATTCAATTTGCCTTGCTCTCTCGCTGACCATTTCGCAGCCATCTACATCATCGCCGTGACTCCCGCCAGCTACAACTTCGTACCTCGCGGCTCCGGCGCCTCAGCCGCTCTCTTCGCGTCCTGCGTCGGCTGGATTCTCCTCACCATCCTGCTCATGTTCATTTCAGGCTTGACGCTCCAGGAACGTCCGGGCGCCAAGAAGCGATACGAGAAGGGTGACAATTGGCCCGCATACGAGAAGTACCTCAACGAGACGAGCATTCTCTTTCCCATGCCCAAGTTCATTTGGAGGAATTTGCCCGTCTGGGTCAAGCGCACTGTCGGACTCGAGTTCCCTATCTATGTCTTCGACCCGAAGAAGCATGCGGACATGGACAAGGTCCGGGAGAATCGTGCCGAGAACGGAGAGCGTGCGAGCTCTGAGCCGCTTCGTGACTGAGCCATGAAAAGGATTCTGAGTTGGGTGCTTCTTTTTCCCCTTTTTTGGAATGATACCTATGATGTATACCGTCTTGCATAACGCGATTGAGCGTGTTCTTCGACATTGGATGATCTTCGTACATGAGCACTATGAAATAATACTTGAATTTTTGACTCGAATCAGTGCTTGAGACTAGATCGATAAAACTACCTAGGTAGTACTGGAATTTGAGGAGGACAGATTTGGTGTGCGATTCGGGGAATGGCGGACCGCTCCACGCACACAGAGAGGAGAGAGAGCTGTGTTGGAGCTCGTCATGAAGAAATGTTGCATATTTCTAACGCCACCATCATTTCTTGGGTGCCTGATAGATCGTAGGAAAGAAGCCCTTGATCGCATTGCTCATGAACACGACTTCTCCCTGCACCAGACTCTGCGCCTCCACATCTCCCTCCACACAAAGGTTCTTCATCAACGCCCACCGCCGCGTGCATCCTTGCTGTCCGCCTGTGCTCGACATCGGAGTGACCCATCTCCCGCCCCGGTAGATATACGGCGTCGAGAGGGACCCGTCCAGGACCAGCCCGGAGGCCGTGTATAGAAGGACCTCGCGGGGCTCGGCAAAGGATGTTATGCCAGCAGAGGCGCGGGCGCGGTCATATGCGGAGCGATCATAGGTTTTGATGATGGTGGACTCCGTAGGCTCTGTGGGATTGGCATCGAGGGAGATGGTCCATTCGATTTTGCCGCTGTCGCGATGCTCGGCTGGCGTGCCGAGCGTGGCTGGGAATAATGTCGACAGGGGCAAGCGCGGGATGGGATTGAAGATCTCCGTGCGGATTTGTCCGTTCGTGTATAACCGTAGTTTGACGCGGAGCGATTCCGGCTCGACGGTGGGATATGTCTTCTTCCAGGTCTCAACCGCTGAAAGCAGGCCATGGAGAAGCTCAGCTGGACTACCGGGGCTCTTGCGGAGGAGCTCTTTGTCTTCTGCGGAACGTGGAGATGATTCGGAAGTTGAATCGTCTGCCCAGGAGGCGAGATTCCATTTGGCAACCTGCATGCGGGTGTAGTGATGCTCAAACATGTAGAACGGACATGGCTTGTTGCAGGAGACAGCGGTGTTCTCGGCGGATTGAACTAGCTGTGGATCATATCGAATCGTTGTAAAGACGAATCGCTCCTCTGCGGGATCGGCAGGCGTTGTCGAAACAGGCTCACCGCCAAGTTCAAGTGCCATTTTGACTGAGGCACGGATCGGTGAGATGCTATCGAGCATTTCTGCTTCCATTCTCAAGAAATTGATCTGTAGACGTGTTAGTCACGGTTATTCCAAGCACTGCGCCGTCCTCCCGGAACGACTTACGACCTCGTTATCATGTCCGAAGAGCACCGGATTGGTGATGCTCCCATTGATGCTCTTCCTGACTCGATCTTCCCATACTCCTTGCCAATTCCACTCACCAGGACGTCTTGCACCACCGGGCTGCTGACGCGGTGACTGCTGCGCTCGCTCCCGAGGTGACGCCACTTCGGTCGCAGCGCCTGGCTTATTGCCCTCTGCGGCTTTGACTCGATAGCTTCGCCACGCATGCCACGCACCCGCATTGGCGACATCACTGATCGGAATCGAGTCCAACACTTTTTCGTTCTCGAAAATTATGCGCATGTATTGTAAGACTTCCAATATATGAGGTGGCTGCCACCTTTCCTCAGTGCTTCCATTCTTCGATTGCTTCGATGGCGCGTCTTCCGTGTTGCTGTCTGGTTGTGCGCTCGGTTGATCATCGCCCACTCGGCGGAACCATTCGGGAAAGCCATGCCGCAGACTGAGACCTCCTGGCGGTAATCGACCTTCGTCCACCGCGCTTACAGTGTCTGAGCCAGTGTCTCGAGTGGAATATGTGTATGTGGTGAGCGGTGTGACCAGTGGATGGAAGAGGTCGCTCTGGAAGGTGACCACGGGTGGTCGTCGAGGATATACATCCGGGAACGAGATCTGGAATCGTAGGATAGCATTGGCATATGGTCCTGTGTATGTCGACGGTCAGTTCAGTCTTTGCACAGAACGAGGTACAACAATGACCTGCCGATAGAGGACATTCTGATTTACCTTTGCGGACGAAAAGCACACCGCTCCAGGCGAGAGGGTTTGATGGCAGCGGCGCTACATAGATTCCCTTGGGACATGCATGGCTCAGACTCGCGCTGAAAAGAGCCGCGACACAATCAATCAGTATGCAACAGCAGTAAAAGGTCCAGACCGGATGGGACCTGGCAAGTGTATGGACTTTCGTACAAATCAACCGCGATCTTCTGTCGCGCATACGCGGGTGAAGAAGTGGCCATGCCCGCGATTCAGCATCGCCATTCCATTGGCCTAGGCAAGGTGCTATACAAAGGATGAGGTGGGAGAGTTCGATTGGAGAAGTAAGGTGCTTGAATTTGTGGTCAGACATGAGATGATATTCTTAGGGTTGCATGCGGGACATGGACCCCGTTATCTCGGAATAAATTGTCCGATCGTATCGACCTACACTCTTTCTCCGATTTGCTCAGTCTCACCAGCCCCACACTGGTGACTTCTATGCTAGTCCTCCAGGTGGCTATTTGGTCTGTCGGTTCTTCGCGTCAAACAAGAAGTATTTCTCGAACAACACCTGTACGCTAACAATGCCTCACTCGTAGGTTCAGGAGTCTTGCTACCTCCAAGGGCATTCCGTCAGATTCATTCATAGCTATGACGGGCCTCGCAATCTACTATAGATTGAGTCTCCGGTCTCACGCCTCCCAATTCCGATGCTGTCTAAACATCATCCTTAATGCTGCCAACGCATTATCCTCTCGCGCCGTGGGAGTGGGATGAGCCAGCTCCCGAGAGGGTTTCCAATTATTCCTTCTATGTTCGTTGATATTGTATCCAGGCGAACTGTTTTGAATGTTGCCCTGCTCATGTCCTCCACCTTGCATTTTAAAACTAAAGCGATTATTTCTTGTTCAATGCCTCTTCTTGGCCTGATAGAAGTGTCTGTACAGGCGCATCGAGCTTGTCGCGTCCCTTGAGAAAGTCGAGCTCCATAAGGAACAAGTAGCCAACAAGCTGTCCGCCAAGCTTACGGACGAGAGTGCCAGCCGCAGCGGCACTGCCTCCTGTACGATCAAATCAGCCACACGTCATACATTGGCGATGCACATCGGCATTTCCAGCCGCTGAAGGATCCGAGTATCCTCTGAGGAGCAATGACGTACCTGTCGCGATAATGTCGTCCACAATCAACACCCGCTGACCACTCTGAATGGCGCCCTTTTGCATCTGGAAAAAGTCCTGACCATACTCCTTGGTATATCCCGCTGTCTCGCAGTCGCCGGGCAACTTGCCCTGCTTGCGGACAGGCACGAATCCGGCGCCGAGGCGTAGAGCGAGCGTAGGTCCGAACAAGAATCCACGCGACTCCAGACCAACGACGATGTCAATGCCGGCATCCTTTCCGCTGCCGAATGACGTGGCGACCTGCAGCTCAAGTGCCTCCAATAGTTGCGCGAAAAGTTTCGGCTGGGAGAAGATGGGCATGATATCCTCGAAGAGAATGCCCGGCGAGGGAAAGTCCGGGTACTGTCGGAGAGCTGACCGGAGGTTCACTTTAATTCCGGCGAGGGCGGTGGAGCCGGCGGCAGCGGCGGTGGACTGTCCTCCCGCGGCGACATGGTGATGCGGTGGGATCGCGGTGTTGCTGTTGTTGGTGATGGTGGGGTCCGGCTTCGCGGCGGAAGGGTGGTCGGCGGTCGCGGCGTTGGCTCCGTGAGCGTCAGATAGGTCGGCGAGAGGGACTCCGGCGGGGTTGGAGGAGGAGATGTGTTCGGAGGAGGAGGATGGGTTGGTGTTGGAGGAAGAAGAAGCCATGGTGTTCGATGGCCGGCGGCTGTTCTATATACTGAACTCTCGGTAAGAGGTTGTGCTATGAGTGCTGCGTATGCAAATTTCCGGTTGGGATTCTCTTTGAAAAAACGTTGAAATTGGCGGGAACTTTTTTGCCAGGATGTGATGATGCGCCGCCCGCTGTGCCGCGGGGGCCCTTGCAGCAGAGCACTTTCACAAGCCAAAAGTGTGTTACCTGAACGCGGTAGCTACCTACCTCCCTGCCATTCATGGGAACCTTGGAAGCTCTCTAGCACCCGATTTCTTGACGAAGCGGACGATTTTCATCGGTACCTGCCAAGGAATTGATTGCGCGTATCATCACTATTTCCATGCTGTCCGCGGGTACGTGCGTACATCATGTACTTTGTCGTCGATCGTCTCCACCTGTGATCGGGTAGGGCATGCTGAGTGTGGTGAACCTATTCATGAGTACCGCTTCAAAGTCAGTGTTGAGGCCGACAGGATGAGTTTTCGTGGTATATGAATGGCTCTTTGTCTGGTACATAGTAGACATGTATACTCATGTATCGCCAGGAACCACCTCCAATCGAGTCATCGAAGATGGCCGAGCGAACAACGATGTGATGTGTAGGCTTTTTTCATGTGTGCATGTTGATTTGGTGGAGGTGGAGACTAACGATAAGTTGGTGTAGGTGGTTCCGATGATGGTGGTGGTCAGACTCTCATTAGCCAACCGAAGATATCGTACTGTACGTGCATCACTTCCACCCTTATCGGTTTTCTAGTGAAGTTCGATTCCTCATTGTCAGGCTTTCTTGACGGATTCTCAACATGTAGGTACAGTAGGTACCTGCCGATCTCCGTTACTGCACAGGTAGCCTCTTGTGATGATGCCGCTACCCATGCTTGGACCGACATCACCACACAGCGGCGTAAACCCTCGCCTGAGGAAATCAATTATCGATCGATGGATTTGCCCTCGCCGTGTTACTCATAGGCAGTGATACGGGTGTACTTTCTGAATTCATTCTGTCGAATACATCAGTGTCCGGCATGTGGAGAACGAAGAACTTGAAGGAAGCCGAAATTCTCTTGAGCAATGCGACGTGATGTTTGATTCGCACCTGCGCATCTGTCGCACACGTACAAAGTCGCCAATCCTCCCAGTAACCTGCTTTGCCAACTCTCCAATTTCGTGAATGCTATAGAACCCTGGCGACTATGCTTCGCGACCAATACTTGCAGCGGAATGCTATTCAAATTCAAGCCCTTGATGCGCACAACCCATCATGCTGGCCACCTTCAGGTTGTGTCGATGACGGTTCCGCAGGCGATGTCAGACGATGGGCAAGGCCATGTTGGACGATCTCCATGCTTCTTGCAGCTCATCAACCAGTCAGAACGTCGCCGAACAACGAGACATTGCCATGGTCTCGTCTCAATCATGATGATGACCAACTCGCCGATATCATGGATGTATACTGTTGACGGGATCTTGGGATCACTCTTGTAAGCGGCCGTCGCAGTGAACGACCGAATGATGTCGACCATGATCACATCGTGCAATCACGCTCGAAGGAATTGAGGTATTCTCCCAGATCGGACTGAACTGCTGGCTATAAGTGAGATGCATGTCTTTGGGTAATATCTGCATCCCTGTTCGGGTGAAATATCTTGTAGCAGAAGTTGTGACCTTCCGCCTGTGCAACCACAGGAGCTCGCATTTCAGGGAGTTTCGAGCTGCTCTGACGCCCGAATGATTTCCAGCAAACCCACTGTGACTCACTGTGATTCTGAACTTTAGAGCGTCATAGACAACAGACTCATTGTCTACTAACACGATCACCTTCGGACTAAGCAGCAGTTCCGAATCGACGCGTGATCGCAGGAAACACCTGGGCAGTCAGGTATCATGGAGATCGTGAACGACTTACATCATCACAGCGTTCATGTACCTTCATGACCGTAGCTGGCGGCCACACCGTAGCACACCACGAGTATGGCGTTTTCAAAAACGGTGACCTCCTGTGCTTCACATGATATAATTGTTGACATATTTGAAATCATTGCTTGCTGTGGAGATATCGCTTGACTTCGCAATCGCATCTACAGCAGACAAGCACAGAGGCATCTCTAGGCAGTCAGGGTAGATGTCCGAGATTCTAGTTGTAAGCAGGTCTTTTTGATCGACCTTGGTGATGGGTATCTCAGAGATGAACGGGAAAGCGACGACGGCTAACGATGTAACGGAGAAAGTGTTGGCCCTTGCCAAAACCTGATCCGATGCCTCGCGTCGCCAAAATGTTCAGAGTTCGAATGCAGAAGACCATCACATGGGTCTCTCGCGGGAGGTACGAGACGGCACGGTCACTGACGCTGCTATGCATGTCATACTCTGGGCCGTTTACTTTAACGATTACATACCATTGGCGCAGCCACTGGTCGCGCTGAAGACGATCGATCAAGGTCGTCTGTTTCTTGTTCTTCCAAGATTGTTCGCTTGCTACTCTCAGGTGAGTCATGGTGAGTACGCTGCGTTCATGACGTACCTGCCATTCTGCTTGCAAGGGCGGGCATCTAAAGCATACGGCACATGCCTGCCGATGTAACCAACTACGAATGCATGTTCACTAGAATTATCACACAGTGCGAAAACCGTGGTCGCGAAGGAACCCCGGTGCGCTTTCACCCAGAACTGTCCCAATGGCCGCGTGTATGATATGATAATACTCATGCCTCACTCCAGTGTCACTTAGTTACGTACCGTGTGCACCGCTCGGCCACATGTGTCATCCCGACAGCAAGTCGTTCAAAACTAAGGTCCTTGAGAACTCGGACAAAAGTGATGCCCGTCCGTTCAGCAGAGACACCGCAATAGCCGCGTCAACGTGAAATCCTTCGGGAACCGAGTCGTCGATCTGCCCGACCGGGCTTGGCCACGTCTCTCTGATCATCGCGTCCAGGGCACAGCGATCATGTAACATCTCCTGATTCAGAACAATGTACAAATGTGCACACATTGTTGATCACGATCGGGTCGTATCCTCCGCTCGCGTTCATGTGAGGAGCGGTGAAATACTGTGCAGGACTCCATCCCTTTCATGCAGCAAACCAAGTACTTGCGCAAGGGCCTCCAGCCTCCACGTTTCATGGTGACGCGTCTTCACGACTACTGCAATTAGCGGGACTACAGCGTATCTCAGGGCGTCAAAGCAATCAAAGACATGGACATGCCCGACTCGGGAAGTACAGCACACCTCTATGGTGATTGGACGCATCGGATCACTTGATGACGGAACACAAAAGAATAAGCCTCATGGTTCGTGCTGCCGGGAAGCTTGTGTTTCTTGGCTTAGTACATCGACTGAGTTCCTGTTGGCACGCCTGACCACGTTCCAATGCATCATCTTCCGATCTATACAATCAAGCCATTTCTATGACGGAGCCTAGGAAGGCTGAATGTACGTAGAGATAGTGTGCATAGATAAGACCCCGACGCTGCTGTTGCTGCTGCCACGCCTCTTCCATTTTCTTTTGCATCATCTCACTCCGCCCAATACTACATACAACAAACTCGTCCACCAGCCATCAAAATGCCTGCTCAGAACGACATCGAGATGCAATACCAGGCCGCGGCGCCTATGGATGCCGCCAAGGCCTCAGTCGACTCTGCGTCAACGCAAGAACAGGTTCGCATCGCAGCTTCCACGGCATGTGCAGTATGAAAGCTTACGCTTCTGTCGTAGACTTGTGAACAGAAGCCTCAAAGGACCTTCTTGGGCATGCGTGGCGGTGGAATCATCCGTATGAATACCCCCGACTGCACGTCATGTTGACGCAAATGACTAATTCACTTCGCTCAGTCGACCTTTGCGCCTGCTTCATCTGCTGCGAGATGTGCGAAGCATGCTGTGCTTGCGTCGACGATTGTTGCTGCTGCTAGACAACGATATCGGGTGTTTGAAAATGGAACTTGTTTGTTACGTTGTCATGAAATCATACCCTGTTGTCTTCGTACCCCAAGTGTTGCGCTAAGGCGCAGGAAGAGCAGTCATCGATGTATAGCACGATAAATACTCTTCTGCACCATTCACATCGCTTTCGATTCGCCAATTGTTTCCGATCCACTGGATATTCGTACCTCCCCGGAGACTCAACTCCGACTCGCATGAGTATCCGTCACGGTGCGAGTAGGTATTCGACACAGGTGTAATGATTCCATTGTCCGCGGCATTGGCCCTCGATAGAACAGGGAGGAAAAATCTGTTCACTGAATCCGAAGCATGGCTTCCAGAAATATCCGTTATCAGCCTACCAGAGACGCTTCTGATCCAGTCTGTGACGAACTCATCAGAAGACCACAAGCTTATCACATCGGTAAGTGGCCGTGCTTCCAGAGTAAGAGTCGCGGGCAAATGGCACAGAATCAGATAGACGCAATTCCAGGGTACCAGGCGTTTCCAATGCGCTCAACCTCGCTAGTAAATTTGGGGCTTTCTATACGCAGCGATGCGCCGCGACTTTTGCTTGACAGGCGAGGATCATGTTCGTCGGGGACGTAGAATGGGTTCCGGAGAAGATTTATATATGCTGTTTGCAGTGCCTGGAATGCCTGTGTGGTCATGAGTGGTTCAGCATATTTCTTCCAATCGATAATCGAATGTCGAGGACAAACCGGAGTGAGGTCGCTGTTTCTTAAGCCCAAAGCACTTGTCAAGCGTCCCGCTTCGGCTGGACGGCCTTCCATGTCGACGACGATGACCAGCTTGATACCAGTATTGAGTAACCAGCCGTACATCGCGAGTCGTTCATCGAGAGCTTGTAGCAATCCAAAGTCGTGCCCGGCGGTCTTGACTGGCATGCGCGCCTCGAAGATATCGAGGCACGAATTGAGCATCATCGAATATTCCAGTTCATCACGTTCTTGGGGCGCAGGATTGCTTGGTTGCTCAGCGGCAGTGACAATGCATGGGAACAGAGCGATATGTAACGGGTTATTCTATGGCAAACGATTAGCACTCCATTTGAGCATGTGTGGCTGCGTGATGGGTTGGCCACGTGCGATCTGCAGAAACGAACATTTCGGCCAATAATGCCTATGGCAGCGATTGACGGCGAACGAAGGTCCATAGCCATAGGTGCCGTATCAATTTTGGACAAACTCGAATACACGACGAGTCTGTCGATGCTCCTAGAATCCGCCTGAGATGGGCAAGCATGTTGGTTGTGCGCCTGAGGCCAATAACGCGAGCCCATGACATCACGCGTTTCTGTTCTAAAAGAGCAATTCGCAAGCTCATCATGAACATGTTGCTCCAAAGGTTCCTAAAAGGCATCCAATCTGCTTGCAAACCAGAAAATTTCTGAACGATATAGTACAGGAGGTCTGAAACTTCACTATGAAAATTCCTCGAGACAGCTCGCGAAAGACCATCGCACCGCATCGCAAGCAACAAAAACGCAATGAACCCCTGGAGTTATCCGTGGCGCACAAAACGACGTCACATCGCAAAGTCGCAGAGGCTTTTGGATTAATTCATAAACGAGTGAGATATGCCGAAGAGAATAGAACCGGATCAAGCGAAAAGAAGCTATTAATGAGGGATCTTCGTCGTGGGATAGACAAAAAGGTCTCTCTCCGAGATTGGGAGTGCCATGACTGATCACGTTCAGTACGATGGGTAGGCGGGAAGAGGCTTGCAAGTGGACCGCCACTGAGCCTTCAACGGCGACATTATTCTCTACATCATGACTGGCAACAAGCAGTAAAGAATGACTGGGAAGATAGCCTGCCGAGTCAATGCCCGGGAAGCGATCCGATGAGCTCACCGGAAAAGCCCGAGAACATGAGGATCAACTTTTATATCAATCGCGCAAGGTCTCCCGACCTCGCCTCGTAGGAAAACATGCTGGTCGCCTGCTGAAGCAGCGAGTCGTCGAGTTCGGCCTGGCATCGGCATCATCGCAGGAACCCGTGCAGGAGAAGTGGCAAGAACTGGACCCATCTTTGGATCTATTCAATACCTAAGTAATCGCATGCAGTCAACGACCCCGAGGGACGATCGACCAAAGAACATGAAATCGCACAGCCTTAGTAATGTTCTTGTTGGGAGCGTGTTGGCTCACACACGAAGACCTCGGCGCCTTCCACGGTAAGTCATGGTGCAGGACGAGAGGCAACAAAGCATCGCAATGCACTGGCTCGAAGTTGCTATCTGTCGATTCCGTTCGACTACGTCAATATTGGTATGGCTGATGAGCAGCAGGACCAAACGGACATGGCAGCGTACGTCCTTGCGCAATCGTGCGTGAAATAGAGCGTGGATGTCTCTGTCGTTCTCATCCCATGTAAGGTCGACTTTGTCAGACGGTTCTGAGCGCAGAAGGCATGTGCACAAAAAGGGGATTGATCGCTCTGGTCGATCTCGCAGACAAGGGGCGTATATTTGAGCACGTGGTTGTCGATTTGAAGATTCAGGATATTTTACTGCCATCTCCAATGCATTTCTCACTAGATCGAGCGACACGTTTTGCGCCGCCACCATTTCGCGCGATCCAAGCTAACACAGAGCCAGCAATGACCACCGCATTGACGGCGGCCCACACGTTGCATACCCAAACGCAGATCTCTGGAATTTTACAAATTTCAGCATTTCTTACCAGATACCTAAGTAACCAGAGATACCTATTACTATGGACTAGATATGAAAGATTCTAGAGAGGTAGAACTTACACGGACCGTGTATTTATCCCTACCCTCTAGAATCTCAATATGTAGTTCCTAGAGCAAGAAGTATGATGCGAAGCATAATTTCTGAACCTTATACCTAGGTATGAATCATTTTGGCGTCGGATTTTGTCAAAATTCTGCCGATTTCGATTTGACAGCCGAAATTGTGGAAATCCGTGCGGACAGAGTCAATTTTAAAATATTCTAAGAACATAGCCTCAAGAGTATTTCTCTCTAGGGACTAGGTATAGATATTCTGAAGAGACAGAGTTTATCATATAGGTCTTATATATAATTCTGCAACTTCAGAACAAGTATGGATCATTCCTAGAAAAGATGTTCATGATTTTCCCCTGAGAAACCTTGAATCCTGAAATCTGAAGTTCCCCGAATTCGGGTTTAGCGGAAATAAGCTTATGCTACATACATATGGGCCACCGTCCCCGCTATCGCAAGCTCGACGCCTGGAAGGCTTATCTCGATCGTGACCTTGAATACGGCATCAACTTACTCCATAGTGGCGAGTGGACCGTCAACGGTGTCGTCAAAGATGGCTTCAGCTTTCTCGATGCGCGTGTCGGCAGCGAGCGATGCCAGGAGACGGCTCTACTCGTCTTGATCCTTCGTCAGAAGGTCATCGATTTTCTAGAGGAGGAAGGCCTCGATGAAGAGTTCGACGAACTTATCACTCAGTACCGTGTCAAGCATGCTTCGGACAAGGATTGGACAGCAATATTCGTAACCGAGGATGTCCGCGTTGAAAATGCCGTTGAGTATGAGGCCATCAAGCAGGCCATTATCGACAGAATCGGCAGCAAGTGGGCAATGTTCCTGGGATTGGCTCGCACACTCACCTCGTTCAGCGTCTTGACTGACATGGAGGCCGGCATGCCTGTGCGTTACCGTCGCAAGAATGACGTCTTCGTCGAAACCTCCAAAGAGCACCGCACTGCCAACATGGATGAGTATCATGATATCGAGTTCGCCATGCGGAAGGAATTCACCGCTGTCTCATTCGATCTCATCGAGGAGGTGGCCGACACCGTTCTTGGCGAAAAGGCCCTGCCTTTCGGTGACAAGCCTCGCCGTTGCAGTACCATCATCGAACAAGCGCGTGAGATATTCCACTTCTCGATGGCCAACAAGATCAATCCAGGCCACAAGGAATACCCGATCAAGATCGGTTCATTTTCCGCCTCGACGATCATACTGCTTTTCGCCTGCTACCATTTCAATATTCCAATCGTGGAATGCATGCCTCGCCTCAAATACGAAGCATCAAGTCGGGCAGCGTGCGACGAACCTGTCAGACGGACGGACTGCGAGACCCTGAAGGCCCTCAGCCTGGACGATCCACCCTCCGAGACCTCTGCCTCGATTAAATACGAAGTCACTGCCGCGCCTGTCCTCACGTTCGTCCGGAACGAAGCAAAAAGAGGTTATAAAGCCGTTTCTGCCACGGACGAGGACTCCAAGAAAAAGCCAGCCTGGAAGCTGGGCGGATTTAGCATGTACAACATGAAGCAGGCCGGCGATCTCCTGTCGTCACCCTATGACCGCGAGTTCATTGCTGCCTTGATGAAGTACGACGTCAGCCACCGCCTCGCGATATTTGGGTTCTGCCACAATGAGTACCCAGCGGCAACCGAGGATGGAGGTGTCAATCTTGTTTCGCTGATGAAGGAGGTGTGCGGAGGGAGCCGCAGCGTCGAGAACGTCACCCTTGAGAGCCTCGGAAGTTGTCTGAGCTTGGACGTCAATGACCAGGCTGGCACGGCCAGTTTCATGTCACTCGCCACTGCCATCACCAGCCTAGCCAGGAAGCACAATCTTCACGACACTTTCCTTGCGCATCAGCGTGACCCGGCAACCAGGAGCGCATATCTGATGCAGCACAAGTCTATTCCTTACACCTACAATCACATTGAGGTCTCTACGGCGGCTCGAGAAGAGGCAAAATGGGCCAAGCTTGTAAAGAAGTTCCAGTCAACCGCCGAGCCCATCTACGCCAATCTTTTTACGATCGGCAACGTCGCATACAGCATTGCCGACCAGAAAGAGGCTGATCGCCTCATGCAGCTCAACAATGACACTCAGAAGGTGAGGAGTTTGATCGCACGCCATCCCAACCATGAGGTATACCTGACAAATGAGCATCGCGCCAAATTGCAGGCATCCAGTGGCTGCGGACAGAAGGGCGACAAGAAGGGTGGCAAGAAGGACCAGAAGGACCAGAAGGGAAGGACGGATGTGTCGAATGTCCAAGAAGGGGTCGTTGCAGGTCTTAGATTCGATGTTTGTAAATAAGAACACGGATATTTCCCCAACTTGTCTGAGCATCAACCGATGTCTGGTCATAGGTCTACGAAGGTTTTTTGTTTATCAACCTGTGCCAGCAATTCGCCTTTCCTTGACACCAGCGCCAGTCCGCAATGAGCTCGTTCCATTCCAGCTATCAAGCTTATCGATAACTACGCACTACGATATAATTCAAGCGAAGTAGTACCGCCACCCTGCATATAGCTTAAGCAGCCCACCTGCCTAGGTTTTGCTAGCATGAGGCGGTGACACATCATTTCGGGCACTGTCTCCACGTCTGATGACCACGGGTAGCAATCATCGGACGATTGTTCTGTTGCGGGTTATATAAGATTCAATATAACGACAACGAACAAATTCTATTCTTCATACATATTTCCTTTCTTCTATCCGTCCTCAACTCCTCTCTTCTGTGTTTGTCCCGGCATCGTCGCATCACTTCTTCCGCTGACAAGATAACTGGACCTGCCTCATCTGTGACCAGATTAGATAGGCAATCCAAAGGCGGGGACCTGTAACGTTTTGGCAACTATCGCTCGAACACAATCTGAACTTCAACAATCATGTGAGTCGATTCGCAATAATGATGAATGAGCGACTTGTACTAATTGCATGCAATCAGGTCTGCTACCAACCAACCTCCTCGTGGCCGATTGGCGGGCAAGAATGCTGTCATCACCGGCGCGGCAGGGTAGGTCACGACTCCTTAATACGTCAACCCCCGGTCGGGAACACGCATATTTGATACGATTGCCATGGAGTTTCTCACGAGGATACTCGGACAACGCATGAAACGGAACATTGGTGCAGCAGGCTCCAACAAAATTCGCACTTTGCCCACGCTGCATCAATGGAAGCTATGTCTGACGATGATTCAATAGTGGCATCGGTCTTGAAACCACGATTCTCTTTCTCCGTGAGGGTGCATCGGTGCTCATGTCCGACATCTCGGAGCCCGCTCTAGCGAAGGCCCTCGCCAAGGTCAAGGAATTGGTACCGAGTCCCGCCGGCAAGGTAGAGACGTTCAAATGCGACGTCAGCAAGGAGGATCAGGTTCAGGCCATGGTTGAGCAGGTCGATTCATGGGGTGGCCTGGACGTGATGTTCAACAATGCCGGCATCATGCACGCCGATGACGCAGGTGAGTAATTTCCACAGCCCAACTCGAATCCACAGGCACTGATATGAACTCTTACGAAGATGCCATCGATACTCCCGAGAAGATCTGGGATCTTACCCACAACATTAACGTCAAGGGCGTCTGGTATGGTAGCAAGCACGCCGTTCTTGCTCTACGACGTCACAAGAAGACCCGTGGCTCCATCATCAACACTGCTTCCATGGTTGCGCTCGTGGGCGCTGCGACGCCTCAATTGGCGTACACGGCAAGCAAGGGTGCGGTATTGGCTATGACCAGAGAATTGGCCATTGTACACGCTCGGGAAGGCTACCGGTATTCCTTCCACTAGATTCGTTTCTGTTCCATTGTCGATTTCTGACTCTCGATGAACAGCTTCAACTCGCTCTGCCCTGCTCCCCTCAACACTCCTCTCCTTCAAGATTGGCTAGGTGACGACAAAGCCAAGCGTCAACGCCGTGAGATTCATTTCCCATCAGGTCGCTTCGGCGAAGCAATCGAGCAGGCTCACGCGGTCGTATTCTTGGCAAGCGACGAGAGCTCATTCGTCATCGGCACAGATTTCACAGGTCAGTCCCAATTTCCTACCGATCATCCATCACGACATTAAAAGTCACAAAACTAACTCCTGGGGATCGAATTATAGTCGATGGCGGCCTCACGCGTGCCTATGTCACAGCTGAGGGCCCGTCCCAGCCTCCGCCAAAGAACAACGCATCCTAGTGGTCACGTATCCTAGCGGCCCCTCTTCTTCCTGGCTCTTATATAACAGAAGAAAATTTCAAGCCGGAATGATTCACAATCGATGTCGCGACAAATAGAAATCAGTCGAAATGTAGGTTAGCCAAGTTCTAAAGTAGATCTCTTATTCTCTAGAAATTGAGGCCGAAATAGAAGCATGGCAATCCAGATTCCGCTCACGAACTTCTTATATGAGTTCGATTAAGAAATCTGGTAATAGATCGGATATTGAATTTTAATTCACTCCTTTTCGATCTAGACACGCCGACCAGCGAAGCCGTTCCTTAGACGTCGCCAAACGCTCAAGGTCGCGACCCATATCACAAGCAGTAGTGCCGCACTCAGCACCAACTTGACCTCGACAGCATCATAAGGCTCTTTTGACCACATCCCATCTGTATCAGAACGCAGTCATAAGCTTCCGCTGACGGCCGAGCCCTTTGCAGCACCATCGCCTTCCGGCAGGTCAGGGATCCTCTCCTTGAGCCATCCCGCCAAATCCGCCAACTCCTCCGGGTCAGCGGAATGCGGCAATCCCTCATAGGTCTTGAACTCCACATCATAACCCCATTCCTTCAATTGTGCCGCCGTCGCCTGGCCCCATTTGTACTGCACCACGGGATCCGCGTCACCGTGACCCATGAAAATCGGCGTCTTGGCATTCGGCGCATCCGCGGCGGCCAGACTCTGGAACTTCTTCTGCAGGAGAAGGTAGCAGCTCAAGCCGAAAATCCCCGCGAGTTGCGAAGGGCAGGTCGCGCCGGAGAGAAGGCTCATGGCGCCGCCCTGGCTGAAACCTCCGAGGACGATGCGCGTGCTCGGGATTCCCGAGGCGATCTCGTCGGAAATGAGCTTGTGGAAGTAGGTCCGGCTGCGCAGAATGCCGGCTTCGTCGTCACTTCGGTTGGCCACGTCACCGAATGACTCAATGTCGTACCATCCAGGCATTCGCATGCCGCCATTGCAGGTGATGGGAATTTGTGGCGCGTTAGGGAAGATGAACTGTCAAGGTCTCGTAAGTCGGTTCTGCCTTCAGCGATGATGTGAACGTGTTTACCTTGGTCTGCGCGAAGTTTCCAGATTGGCGAGCTTCCCGGGCGAACCATGACCTGTTGATTGCTGTGGTATCAGCAGATGGTCATATGCAGGGCTTATGACAAGATCCTATCAAGTATGGGTTGCGGAACCGAAATGAGAGATACGAACCATCCTGCACCGCTAGAGAAGTCAAAATTAGCATATCGTCTTTCGCCCAAAGCTGTACGTTCGATGGGTCTGGGTAATTATTTACCTGTCGCCTAGTCCATGGGCAACAATGACAGTGCTGGTATGCTTCTTGATTGCAGGCGAGATGAGGGCCGCTGCTGCCGAAGACATTCTGGAAGCCGTTTCACTTGTTCTGAGGGGGAGCTGTCGGGCTGCGAGTTTGTTTCGAATCTTCGCAAGCAGCAATTGATTAGATGCAGGTGATAACCGACTCGCGTTATGCAGGTACAGCAAGATGATACCTCGAGTCGCCTGGCTAGCTAGAAGCTTTGGTGTTGCATCATCAAATTCAGGGTCTTCTTGTTGTTCCTGTCTCTGGAGCTGCCAGCCCTGGAGGTGATGAAGGGCGGAAACAAACCCGCGATTGGCCCCTCACTTTATCTCGGCTTACTCATCTGTAAAGCCGGATCATTACGAACACCAACATCCGAATATTGTGCCGAACGGCTCGGGCTTATTTGTTTCCCGTATCTCCATCAAAATGTCCTACAAAGATGTGTACATCGAAGCTTCTTCTTCTAATGATCAAGTAATCAAACATCAGATCGAAGCAAGCGCAATGCAGTCGGGTCAGAAGGACACTGAATCGCGCCATCTATGAAACAGGTCAAGTACAATACATTTCGTACACATATATACCTACTCTTTTTCTCCCGCCTATCCTCTCCTTTGACAGCTTCACACATTTCCTTACTCTATGACCCTCACCTACTCGACCTCGTTGAGACGACTCTTCCTATTCAGTCCATTGATCATCCTCATCTCTGCCTTGGTCTTCTCGAGTACGGACTCGTTCATCCACCTTCGAGAGAGCATTACTACGCTCGACACCATTGCGTTGCAGAAATTCCCAGCTCTTTTCCGGGGTCATCTGCTGTCAACAACGATACTTGCTAGAGCCGTCGCCCCAATGGCTGCCGTTCAAGCTCCAGTCGAGCCTCCGACCACTTCTCGCACACCTGTCTACTTCCTCAGCCATGGCGGGCCCAACCTCATGGAAGATTACGATCACCCAGCATACTCCGTACTCCAAACCATCGGCCGCGAAATCACCCAAAAGGTCAAGCCGAAAGGCGTAGTGGTCTTTTCCGCGCATTGGCAAGCCCCGAGCCCGAACACAATCCTCGTCAGCGGCGCAACGGAAAAGGCAGAAAATCTCATCTACGATTTCGGAGGTTTCCCGGAACACTATTACCGCGCCCAATACCCCCACCGCGGCTCCCCCGAACTTGCCGGGAAGGTCCTAGACAAACTGCAAGAGGCAGGCATCGCGAGCAAGGTGGTCAAGAGAGGTCTGGACCACGGCGTCTGGGTGAGTTTCATGTGCGCCTTCGACCCCAAGGAGAACCCCCTGGACGTGCCCATTGTGCAAGTCTCCCTCTTCGAATCGGAGGATCCCGACCAACACTACCGTCTGGGCCAAGCCATTGCGGGCCTCCGTGACGAAGGCTACCAGATCATCGGCTCGGGCATGGCGGTGCACAACCTCTACGATTTCCGCCGGACGATGGGCCGACCGGGTGCCGTTCTCGACTATGCCGTTTCGTTCGACGAGGCGCTACGCGTCGCCGTGGAGGAGCCGGCCCCTGCTGACCGCCAGAAGGCCATGGCGGAACTGCTCAAGAGACCGGACGCGAGAAGGGCACATCCGACTTTTGAACATCTCCTCCCGATCCATATTGCGGCGGGAGCAGCAGGGGAGTCGAAGGGTCGGCAGACGTGGACTTTGCCGCAGGGGTCGTTGAGTTGGGCACAGTATAAATTCGAGTGAAGGGCAGTTCTGCTTGTATTTGATGAGACTACGAGTTGAAGATCATGATTCTCAAAGATGCGATGCCTTCAATCGTTCCCCATGTGCATGGATCTCCCACCCCACGTTTCATCCTTATTGACGTGATGATATCATGTCAGGTCTCACGACGGGAAAGACAAGCATCCACAACTTTCACATTGCCACACTCTAAGAGACAAATGCGCCGGTGAATAGTAGGACTTCAATCCTATAAGGGAGCTGACGAGCTCACATACATGTTTCACATTGCCCATATACAAATCCCCTTCCATATCATCCACAAAAAGGTACATAGATCCATCATTTCCCACCGAAAAAGAAACCGCCCATGTCTATATCACGCCGCTGCGAGCCACGACGATCCAGGTGAATCAAAAGAAATAACGAAAAATAATAATATGAAAAATCATCATGCTCCTCTGCTGCACTTCCGCCGTCCGAATCAAGGCCCCGAGACCGGCTGCCACTGGGTATGATACGGGACATGTTTCGGCATCGTCGCCGGGTTATCGGAATAACCCTCGGTGCCCCTCGTGGAGAGATTCCTCAGGCTATCGTTGCTCTCCATCCACCGCGGGGTGCGGCCGCCGTTGCCGCCGGCGTGCGGCTGGCCCATGGACGCGAACGGCGCGTGGTGCATCTCGTACTCGCTGGGCGCGTCCTCCTTGTAGTCGTGGGGCACGAACGAGGAGCTGAGGCGCTCGGCCTTGTAGGTCGTGGTCTTGCGGTTGGCGCGCCAGAGCAGGAAGAAGAAGCCCACGAAGATGAGGCCCATCACGCCGGCGAAGTTCCAGCCGACGCCCGCGTTGACCACGGAGAGGACGATGATGCCGATGCCGAGGAAGCGGTGGATCTGGCCCATGGGTGTGGGGTGCCCCGTGCGCAGATACAGGAAGTGGTGGGTGAAGCCGAGGCCGATTTGGATGAAGAGGGTGGCGAGGACGAGGAGGCCGATGACTTGGTGGGCGCTGTTGAACTTCTTGGACTGTGTGAAAGAATGCTTGTTAGTGATTGTTGTTCACTGTATGACAGAGTGACGGAAATTGTCTTCGTCAGTGAAAGTGGAGGATTTCCTTACCTTGTTATAAATCTTCGAGACGTAAACGGCCAGTGCGAAACCGACGAGGACGAAGAGAAACCCGACCAATTGAGCGACGGCGTGGAACATGGCTCGCTTCATGGTCCGGAGGATCACGGCGCCGAGAGGGAAGATGAGCAAGAATGCAATGCACATGAAAATTCCGTGGGCCATGCCCGCCCATTCCGTATCATCTCCAAAGTTGTACTGCGGCGATGAAAAAGCATTGGCAAACGCCCAGAAGGCGCCCTGGCCCTGGTTGGCGGGATCCTGAGGGGCCGGGACGCGGCCGTAGGTACCGGTGTAATTGGTGGCTTTGGTCATGTCGAGGTTGAAGACTCCGTGGAAGGTGTGCATCCGGATCTCGGCATCGCGACGGTCGGATAACAGGGTGGTGTTCGGTCCGAGGGCATAGATGAACGGCTGTTCAGTGCTGTTCAAGTCGAGGGCGCCACCCATCCAACTGGCACAACCGCGACAGACGCTGTGAGTAATCATCACGCCACCGGGGCTGAGGGTATTGGCATAAGGACCGTAGATGTCGCCGTAAATGTCGTCAACGACGCAGTCAGGGTCATAAACGGGTTCGGATTCGCCGTACGACATGCGGCAGCTGTTGGTGACGTTGTGACCGTTGCTGCCGAGGTAGGCGACGAGCATGCGAACATTGTTCATGTCGCGGCCGAAGCCGACACCATACCATGAATGGGAGGTCGGAGCGTTCATGTGATACCAGACATCGCCATTTGCCTTGACGGCGTTGATGGCGAAGACATAACCGGTGTGGACGAAGTAGGACCCTTTGATGTAGTCGGGGATCCCGGCTTGATTTTCGCATTCGATGTTGGCGGGATCACGCACACAAATGTTGACGAAGCTTGGAGCTGGTGCAGCCTCAGCGACGGGTTCAGCGCTGGCCCGGATGATGTTCAAAAGTGCCAGGCCGGCACCGAGGAGGAAGCTGCGCATGTCGGGCTGATGATATTTTGGGTCGCAGAGGAGGTCTTCAGTAGAGGAGGACGGGAGGAGTGCTGCGCCCGCGCGTTACTCCTAGTCAATCAGCGCGCGCGGGAATTCGGCCTGACGGGCGATGGGCTGAGGAAGACTGTTTCGGCGAGCCGGTCGTCGAGATGCTTTGATCGAGGCTATCGTACTCGTCGTCCGTACGCAGAACTGCCAGTCATTAATGGATATAAGGAGAAGAGAGGCAGGCGGACATATGTTCACGACATGCGAAAGAGAGCGTGAGAGAGGGAGGCGGAAGGCGATTTGCAGTGCAGTCTGTCTCCCAGGGTCTGTCTGTCTCTCTGCACCACCGAACACAATTCCGGTTTAGAGGATTTGTGAGTGGCCAACCGCGCCGCATAAACGCAGTAGTCGATGTGATGGCGGGGGACTAGCGGCGGATTAGTCACACATCATCCGGCGGGCCGTCCACGCGGTCTCTTCACCTCAGCGCGTCTATGCGGCATCTCATTGGTTGATGGATGTCACTCACGACTGAACACCTCCATCTTCGTAGTACAGCGGAATACAGGACTATACTATACCTAGGTAGCAAAGGATCATGGATCTTCCCGTGCTGTTCTTCCGCTGTATATACACTTGGAAGAATACATGTACAGTGTGTATCACTCATACACTACACATATATAAAGAGGCGTGCATGTACAGTCCCGCGCGTCGACATCATCTGCAACTGCCGAGCAGCAACATCATCGTCGTCGTCGTCGTCGTCGTCATCCTCCCTCTCCCATACCTCCCAACTAACTCAACTGCCGACCGCGGCTGGGAAGGCAAAGGGCATCGTCACCATGCTGCTGGACAACGTTTCCCGCTCGCGCCCATCCATGGTTCGTTCCTTGTAGGGCACGATCTCATGCATCACCACCATCATTTCACAGCATCTACATCATACGCTACGACAGTGCATGCTCCCGATGCTCGGGATCTGAGCTGTTAAACAATCCGATACGACACGCCTCCGGGCTCCGCGCGGGCGTTTCGATCCGTGCATGTCTCACAGTGAGGCCAAGATGTTGGGCAGTAGACACTACATCACAGTGCATCATTGTCCTAGCAGTCAGTGGACCGAATCGCCCGCGCCTGATATACACATGGATTTGTAGATGCTGTAATGTGCGAGATGATGAGGAATGGTCCCTCCCGTACACGTTGTGTGCCTAGGTGGATTGCATCGCGGCGCGCAAGCCGGACAGGGTTGGCTCTAGCCAGGGAGGTGGATCCTCCAGCGTCGAGGCAACCTCCAAGCTGTGTCTATAGTGTTGAAAATCGTGGTCTACTGTATCTAAAATGCTGGCGGGCGTTTTATTATAACCATCTTCCAGTCTGCGAGAACACCAACAAAGACCAACACGAGGGTGCATCCCTCCTCCTGGGCCTGCATGGGCGGCGGAGTCGAGTCGGCCAACGACTGAGCCCTGCTTCCACCGGCCAAGCTGACCACACCGAATCGGATCCCAACACTGCGGAAGTGTCTCCCATTTCTTCAACGTCGTGAGCTATTTTCGATTGATCGGAACAGAGTCGGCATAACATGTCTCTGGAGTTTGTCATCACGCATGCGCCGGCGCGCGCGTTGACGCCGCAAGCAACTCTGCGAACCCATCGACGTTTTCTCACTGCCGCCAACGGCTGAGCCTGCCAGCTGCGACTCCGCCATGCCACCACCAGCAATGTGGCATGGTGATGAAACGTTCCAACCATGTGTTAAATAGCACGCCGCGCCACGCCCATTCGTCGGCAATTTATCATATCATCGTTTCTCACATCCTTGAAGGGCTCGAAGAACAAAATCCAGCACAGTCCCGGAGCATCTCCGACATAGCTCTCCCTTTCGATCAAACCGCAATTGTCTCTATCGCCCTTGATACAACATGGCCAAACATTCCGTCCGGGGTTCTACGTTCCCTAGCGTGAACAAACTTGTGGCAGCATCTATCTTCCTTTGGTTACATTCGACCACTGCATCGCCGTCCTCCCCACTCTACACTCCACAACTTCGTGCCGCCAGGTCCGACGAAATCACAGCAGCCGTCTCTGTATCATCTAATACATTGGCATCTGCTTCATATGCCTCCAAAGATTATCTGGTACTGGATACAAATACGACTCTGTCGGGAGGCATTTCGGTGGGCCTCGGTGACGGCGGCGAGTCGAATCCTCCATCTACCGGTTACCGTGCTGTGGCCTACTTTGGCAACTGGGACATTTACGCCCGCAATGTTCAGCCTACCGATGTCCCTACGGATCTACTGACCCATGTCATCTACTCCTTTGCCAATGTCAAAAAGGACACTGGCGAAGTCATCCTCAGCGATTCATATGCAGACACCGAGAAGCACTACCCGACCGATTCTTGGGATGACAAAGGCAACAATGCCTATGGATGCGTCAAGCAATTTTACCTCTTGAAGCAGAAGCATCGCAACATGAAATTCCTGCTGAGCATCGGAGGCTGGACGTACGCCCACGAGAACAAAGTCTTTGCGTCGATTGCCAACCCCGGATGGATCTCGACGTTTGCCAAGACTGCGGTGCAACTTCTCAAAGACATGGCCTTTGACGGACTCGACATCGATTGGGAATACCCGGAAAACACTGAGCAAGCCGCAGGTTATGTCAAGTTGCTGCAAGCGATCCGCGACGAGATGGAGGCATATTCCCAAACTCTGCCCGAGAAGCCGCACTTTTTGCTGTCCGTCGCATCTCCCGCCGGTGCTCTGAACTACGAGCTTTTGGATATCATGAAGATGGACCAGTATCTCGACATGTGGAATCTAATGTCGTATGATTACTCCGGCGCTTGGGACAAGGATAGTGGATTCGCCGGTCACTCGTCGACGATTTTCGCCTCACAGCAGAATCCCAAATCCACGCCTTTCGACTCTGCCAAGCCACTGATCTACTACCTCGACAAAGGCATCCATCCCGGCAAGATCAACCTTGGCATGCCCCTGTACGGCCATTCGTTCATGAACACCGACGGACCTGGACAAAAGTTCCAATCGGTCGGTAAAGGAAGCTGGGAGGCAGGAATCTATGACTACAAGGTAAGACCGCAGGCCCCTCCCTCCGCACCCAGACCAAACGTTTTTTCGATGGATTCCGTATTGACAGTTCAACACAGGTTCTCCCTCTCCCAGGCGCCCAAGTCTACAAGGACGAATCCATCCTCGCAAGCTGGTCCTACGACCCCCAGACTCGCGAGATGATCTCCTACGACACGCCCGAGATCGTCGAGATCAAAATCGAATTCATCAAAGCCAACAAACTCGGCGGCGGCATGTGGTGGGACGCCAGCGGCGACCGGCCCAAGGACGACCCGCAGAGCCTCATCGCCCTCGTCGTCAAGGGCCTCGGGGGTGAGAACGGCGGTGACATGGAGCAGATCCAAAACGTCCTCGACTATCCCGAGAGCAAGTATGATAACATCAAGTCGGGCATGAAGCAGCAGAAGGGGGATGGAACTACTACCACCACTACCAAGACTCCTACCGCCACCGCCGCTTAGTCATAGATACCGACTAGAAGGTGGTGGTGGTTTGAGCATGCTGGCGTGCTCTTCACAGTATGATGATGATGATGATGATGATGATTCTCGGGAAGTGCCACTCTTTTGTTTGGCAAAGCGATTGGATTGAAAATGCATTTTGGATTTTTGGTTTCTAAATTTTGGTTTCCTCGCGGGGAGAGAAACTGGTCTGGAAGCGGGTTTGTTTGGGTCGGCCGGCCTCCATAGATTGAGACGGGAGAGATTATGTGTTTAATGATTATGAAATATTTTGATCCTTGTTCAAAACTTTTGATTCGCGATTCGCTCTTGTCAGTCTGGTACGTGAATGAAACAAAAATGACTTATTCGGAGGCTGAAATGAGCTGAAGCCGCGATGGATGCGGCTGGAGTGCCTGCCTCGTGCGGCTGAAGTGTGGCCCTGCCTGTAAGCTCGCCGCAACCTGGTAGAATGCAGCTCCTCTGTATTGGAGATTACCCTCTCAGTGACGAATACCTGTTCCACATCACTAGAGCGAGGCCTAATTCGCTGCGGATATACACTCCCACGTACAATTTGCACATCCGAGATCGTCCTGTGCCTAACCTTTTCCTGCCACGTCGGACTGATGCCATCGGGACGAGGAACGGCGAGCCTGCCCAAGCACATACGGTAATGGCCTCGGTTCCCTCAAAAAGGACAGTGTTCGACAGGTCAAGTGTCGAAGTAGCGTGTGAAGCATTTGTGCCCCACGGATCCAGAGCTTCACCGAGCGCGAGGCTGCTTTATGAGATCCCTGCTCGACGAATGAGCCAAGGCCCAAGCAGGATTCACGAATGTCAGACGGATACGCGGATTCAGCTTAACGCACTAAACGTGGGCTATCGCAGAGCCACACATGATAAGCACGAGACCTTTCGGGCTTGCACATCGCAAGACCTGTCGCTCGGCGGGAGAGTCATAAGGACGACGCGCGTGGCGCATCATGAAATCCGGACAGCCGTCCCAGTCCTGCAATGACATAGAACTGAGATCCTCAATAATTCGAAATCATCCGATTGGGTTCGTCCGCGAGATTTCCACATGGTGCCAATCGTGAGCTTCATCCTGGCGAGCCCGGAGCGCACAGCTCTGGTCCTCGTGCTCCTACTGGTCTTGCGTCTGGCTTACTCGGCCATCTACAACATCTTCTTCCATCCCATAGCGCACTTCAAAGGACCTCTGCTAGCGAAGATCAGCCCCTTGTACAAGATCCAATGGGAGCTCAACTCCAACCGAGTGCTCGCGATCGAAAGGTTACTACGACAATATGGAAGTCCGGTACGCATCGGGCCCAACGAGTTGGCATTCGCAGATGAGAAGTCGTACATCGACATCTACGGCCAACACTCCAATCCGTGCCCGAAGAGTCCCGCATACAACCTCTTCTCCTCAACGGAGTGCGGGAATCTGTTCAGCATGCGAGACCGCAAGGAACACGCGCGCCTCCGAAGATTCTTCGCGCCGGCATTCTCCGCCCAAAGCCTGAGAGCCTCCGAAGGTCAAATCGCCGAGCGGATCGATTGGTTCGTCGAGCGGGTCATTTTGCCCGCGACTGAATCGTCTCAGCCGCTGGAGATGTTCGAAAGCATCTACCGCCTGAACCTCGACATCATCAGCCTCCTCAGCTTTGGGAAATCGCTCGACACGCTCAAGGGTGAGAATCGAATCGCAGTTCGCGGAGTCAAATCTTTCACCACCATCATCCCACTCACCGCCATGCTCCCCATCCTACGCTATCTTCCCACGGATACCATCCGCCAAGGGTTCCGCGGCCTCCACGAGCTCGAGGAATTGACCCGCGCCTGTCTGACCGCCTACAAGTCCCGCATCGACGCCGGCGAGATCAAGGATGAGGAGAGCCGCTCACTCGTCTACAACCTCCTCACGGCGTCGGACCCCGAGGGCGGCGCCAACCTGACCATGGATGAGCTCGTTGCGAATTGCATCGTCTTCCTGGTCGGCGGCACCGACACGACGACCATCACCGTCTGCTACGCGTTCTGGGAGCTCGGCCGACGCCCCGAGATCCGCGCGAAGCTGCGGAAGGAGATCCTCGCCGCGTTCCCGGATCCCGGCGTCATGCCTACGTACGAGCAGACCTCCAAATTGGTGCGCGATGCCCCTTCCCACCTCCCTTGCAGACTTTCGTACTGACGCGAACATATCATCTAGGCCTACCTGAACTGCGTCATCGCCGAGACCCTCCGCCTCTGGGGCCCCCTCAGCACCGCGCGCGCCATGCGCGTCTCCCCCGGCCGCGTGCTCGGGAGGCACTTCGTGCCCGGCGGGGTGAAGGTCTGCACGAACATGTACGCGGCGGCGCGGGACCCGGACGTCTACGGCGACGCGGAGAACTTCATCCCCGAGCGCTGGCTGGCGGCGACGGGGCGGATGAGGAACATGTCCCGCCCGTTCTCGCTGGGCCCCGCGATGTGCGTGGGCAAGCCACTCGCCGACATGAACATCTCGTTGGCGCTGGCGAGGATCCTCCAGGTGGTGGATGTGCGGTTGGAAGCTGGGGTCATGCGCGACGATATGATGCGCACGAGGGACAAGGGCATCTTACACCCTTGGGATGAGAAGCTTGTCGTTCGGGTGAAGAGGGATTGATGGTTTTTAAGACTACTGGTCTTATTACGGCTTCGCACGATAGATTGTTGATGAGGAAAAGAGATATGTCATTTGAGGAAATGTGTGTTCGAAAGAACTCATATGTCCTTGCAGGTCATGGGTTTCGTTTATCACGTCAACGCCGAGTGAACGATCGTGCCACAGGTCATACGATCATGCCACCGGTGTCATTGCGAGTCATAGTAAATAGAGAATGTGTCGGGCCATGTCGTGTCATGAAGAGAAATCTTTGACTTCGTCGTCATCATCATCAGGGTTTTAGGTTTTGATCAGAGCATGGGATCCTCAAATCCAGTTGAAGACGTTGCCCCTCAAGACCTTTTTGAAATGCTCCTCGCATCCATGCCATCCCTCGCGCATCTTCTGGGTTGCGGTCGGTCGCCGACCCTTTGCCGTCGGCCACTTGGACGACATGACGGATTCGCGTCTGAAGCAGCCCGGAGCTTGCCGCTGGACGATCTCGATGGGCTCACCCGGCTTCCTCGGCGTGGTGGTCGCCGCCGTAGCCGCCGCCACCATTGAAGGCGCAAGCATGATTGGGATGTCGGCGAATTCTACCTGCTTCGAGAAGGGTCCGCGGTGGACCTTTTTGGGGCTGCGGTGGACATCGTCCCATGTGCCGGACGTCAATTCGACGTGGTCCCAGTGCAGATCTCGGATGGTCTCGTGGCTGGACCAGAACGTGGCGATGTCCGAGGCCGACGCGGCGATGTTTTCGAGATCGACGAATTCCAGCCGTGGGAAATGAAGTGGTTTGGGCCCCTTGCCGACAATGGCAGCAGAAGGGATATCGTCCGTCGTACGTGCAAAGGCAGGATGACGACCGATATTGAGAGCTGCCGAGGATGGCGTCCGCGTCGGGAGAGGTCCTTTGGCTCCGATCCAGCGGAAGTCAAAGGTTTGTAGATTAGCTTGGAAATTACGAAGGTAGGTCTGAAGAAGCATGAGATGATTCGGCTCCTGGTCGGCAGCGCGCGAAGGTAGGATGTGGGTGTGAACGGTGAGATTACGGATGCGGGTCCACTTGCTTGCGGATTTCGGGGAGGCGCCGAAGCCTATCAGCGGTGAAAGGTACATTAATCCGCCAGGGTGAATCGGGGCAATAGTAAGTGATCGCAGTGCGGAGAAGTCGTTTTGTTCAATGGCGATTCGTAGAGAGATGAGGGCATAGTCAATGACACTTCGCCTGTAGCGGTGGGCTGTGTCGTAACCTGGACACTTGACGCGGAGATGTTTGATGTTGGGCATGAGCGCGAAAGCGCGCACGAACGCGTTTACATTCGTCGCTGCATGGAATAGTGGAGGGTATTGTCTGGTCAAAAGATCCGTGGTCCAAGCATCGCCATAGTTTGGTGCCGTCGACGTCCTTTCCTCAACTTTGGGGTTATAGGTGAAATTGACCTCTTCACCCGTTTGCGGATCAACCAGCGGCGGTAGGAAGGTCTTCTTCGAATGCGGCAGGGTGAAGGTGACCTTCTTCACATGACGTCCAATTCGATCCAGTTCAGCGACCTTGGATGATTTTGTAAAGGTGCTCGAGTCGAAAGCGATGTTGATGCTTGAGAAGAGCTTCGGCGCGGCCTGCACGCCAAACTCATGACAGACCAGACGCAGGTTGGCCAAATCTTTCTTGGGAAGATACGACAACAGGGTGTTGCGGCAATCGTCTTCCAGCCAGAACATAAGAAGCTTAGCGCTCTCACAGATGACGAAGTTGTGTACGCAGGCGACCGAGGCGGATGCTGTTCACGAGCCGCGTCAGATTGCATGAACGGAACCAGACTTGGGCAGAGGCATGCATACATCGCTCACTGGAGGTGTCAATCTCTCCAAACAATAGCTTGCTTCCACCGCTTCGGGATGTGCCAGCTGACGTGGTCGACCCCACAGATCTCGACGAGATGGACGACGGTTTGCTAACCAGCCCAGACGGCGCAGGCGTTTCCTGCTTGCGATGCATGTCGTTCGGCGCAAAGACTCATGAAGATTTCGACGAGTTGTGACAGCAGCAAACGGGACTCGGAGCGTGTCGATTTCGGAGGCGAACGGTGCAGGAAGGAAGAGATCGAGGGATCCGGGCATCGCGACCAAGTCGACCTTTTACACACCTACCTGTTCTACTGTGCATGTTTACACCCCCGATCGCGTCGATTCTAGTCGTAGTGCACCAGCAACGACCATCCTCATACTGCGCTTATGCTGCAGGAGAAGCATGGCTCCCCGCGAGGCGAGAGTCTGAGCGCGGACGGGCAAAGGCTCGAACGGAGGAAGTCAATGGGGATCATGCAGTGGCAACAGAGGTCCAAAACACGACAAACACGACCAGTTCGCGAACGGAGAACGTTGTGGACGTGCTGTATGGTCGACGGTCTGAGAAGGGGCTGGTCGAGGTCGCACCAGCGGATGCGATGAATGTTTCGGAAAGAGCAGTGGCCAATCAGAGAGATCCTTGCATCGTCGGCCCGTCGCAAGTTCCGGTTCAATGCATGAGGTTCGTGAACGAAAGTGGCTGGGCAGTGCAGGAGGTCTCCTCTAGTCCGGTGCGCTATACTTTGTTGATATATGCCGCAAACACAACTGTCGCGTGTCGCGTCAATGGGCATTGATCGTGAAGCGCGTCGCGGTGTCCTTGACGCGATCAACTCCGCGTGCATCGCCTTCTCAGCCAGGTCACGTCTCAGACGCGCCCAAGTTGGCAATCCACTATTGGGACTCTGGCTTCACGAAGAGCGGTCTTGACTCCTACCTGGAAAGCGATGAAGTAGATTATCCCGTGAGATTCCAAGGCGACGGTCTTGTCGTGATCCGCCTCGTCTTGGTCCATTTGAGTACTATGAATGTGCCTAGACACACGACGCGTCACCACGCGCACAGCTGCTGCGACGTATGCAATTGCTGCGAATGTTCACCACGATGAGGTTGAATTGAAAGGAGTAGAAGGATATTTATTGTATGAGCAGATGGGAATGGTGGCAGAGATAAAGTGCAAGAGTACACAGCACAGGAACACACACTTCATGCGGTTCGTGTGCGAGGCACCGAACAACCACGTGACCCGCTTCTCCGGCAGAAACGTCTCTCCAGGGCATACTCAATGATATACAGTACAGTGGGACACGTCCAGCGAATAAACTCCTCGTCGACACTCCAGATACTTAGACTGTGCATTCGGTACAGGACTGTGTACCATGAAGTCGGCGCCTGCAGGTCCGAAGAAGAGTGAAGAAAAAAAAATGCTCTCTGAGTTTCAACCAGCCCACCACGACCAGCACCTAACAGGCAAACACATGGACTCACTGTCGTCCGCGTGGGGGTCACCGCCACCATCCGCACGAATCAACCTGCAGACGGTCTGAAATTCGGCATCGTCGTGTGTTTGCATGTAGGTTTGCGTAGGCGTGTGTAGGTGTGCATGTGGGTGTGGGTGGATAAATAAGAGCCAAAATCGAAGTCCGACCGCCAAGCTTGCGACTCGTGCGTAAAGACTTGCCCGGGTGGTGCAGCTGCGGCTTCCGTGTTATCGTCGCGCACACGTTGTCCGTGTGTCGTTATCTGACTGGGTCGTGCGGGGTAGTAGCGTCCGGCCGGGCGACAAATCCTCGCGTTGTCCATCAGTGTGCATCGCGCGCCCCCACAATTCGTTCGTTCATTTCATGTGATAGGCCGGGATTTGACTGGCGATTGGGAACATGGATGGCCTTGGTTCGGGGATTGAGATGCCTACAGGACACTCCGGATCTGGGCGGCGATCATGACATTGTCATGTAGCTGGCGTTCGTTGATTCCGTGGAGGGAGGAAGGAAGGACGACTCTCCAGCAGCACGTTCACAGGGCATTTATATTTAAATCAACACAGGCAAAGACATGTCCGGGCACTGGAGGAAAAGAAAAGCATCAATGGATCACGGGATCATCGACTGAATTAGAATCGTCGCTCCGACGACGTACGTAGGTAGTGGGTACATCGCCGTGGCGTCCCCTGGGGAGAAAGGCTTGTCTCGGCCGCCGAATCCCTCAGCGCGCGGGACCTAAAATGGACGTGGAGGGAATTGTTCGGCGAAGAAGGGAGAAGTCTCCGTACTGGTTACATTGCATGGTCATCTTCATCCATGTTGGGAAAATTCAATGGGAGCAGATTTGAAATGTTTGGGTTTGATCAGATATAAACTAATGCTTCTTCATTCTTAAAAAACAAAGGAGAATGCTTTCCCGTGGGAGATGAGCCAAGACAGTCGACCCGTGCTTAATACCGAGCAATCACCGCCTCGAGGCCTCGACGTCGAGAGTGATGTTCGCGTGGTGACAAGTCCGTCCTTGCGTGTGTGTGTATTGCGCCTGAAATGAATCGCCGTTGAATGTGGTTGGGTTTCGACCCCCACTTTGCTGAATGCCGAGATGTTGCATGGAGCTCAGTTCCCCAATAAAAGAAAATACGCGAAAGAAGCGTTCCAGTCCTGATGGAGAATACTTGGGCTCCGTCGTTGGTCCTGGTTCTGACTTCCAGCACTTATACTGCTTTCCCGCGTGGCAACGTACGAGGTTGCGAGGGTATCGTCATGAATTTAGTGATGTGTTGGACCGAGCGAATGATCTATTCGTCGGCGTGACCCAGGCGCAGGAACTGCGCGACTGTGGGCTCGCTCTCGACGTGGCCGAGAGGGAGGAACTGAACCGAGGCGTCGCTGGCATCGCTGTTGGAGCGCTCGAACTTGGGCTCGAGAACCGGCGACGAAACCGGCGACGAACTCGGCGAGGACAGAGAGTTGTGACGAACGGGGGAGAGCGCGAGGAAAGTGCTCGCTTGGGTTGGGAATCGGGTGAGGCTGTGGTGAACCGGAGACAGGCTAAGGAAGGTGTGCTGGGTCTTGGAGGAGGCCATCTTGAATGAATGTGTTGCTTGGGTTTCGCTTAAAAGTTGAAGATGTCCCTTTGCCAGCCTGATTACAGAATTGAGAGTGGAGAGTGGAGATTTGACGCGCGTGAATCACGAGGGAGAAAAGGAAAGAAAACCGTTCGTTGCCTTGCCTTAATATAATAAACCGTTCCTCATTAGCGACCACAGACACACACAGCAGAGAACCTCCCACGCCGGCAGGCGTGAAGAAAAGCATGGTGCGCTCATGACGAGTTGTGGCTGCCGATCGAAATTCAAAGCTTGTTCAGCTGCAGCTCCTCCCGGCTCGTCGTGGTCGTCGATTGCTTAGTGTAGTCATGATCACAGCGAGTGATGTGGTAAGGAATAGGTAGACAGATGTGGTAGCTCGTGGAATACCAGCCAGCCAGACGAGGTGTCGTGATGTTTGGGCACGAAAATGCCCCGGGAGCGCATTGTCATAATCGGGCAATTTGCGGGGCCATGGACTTCGGGAGACGCTGTGCGATGCTGCCAGCTCATTTCACGCTCGACGCCGGCTCGACGCCTCGGCACATTCCTTTGCATCATTGGCTAGGTAGGTGACGTAGAAGAGACGATTCGCGATCGCAACCGACAGTCACGAATGCGCGCGTACAGACAACGAGGGTGGGAGTGCTCGGAGTAGGTTGGTCATGGAGATCAGCCAAACTCACCCAGTTTCGGTCCTCGAGTTTTCGGCTGAAATTCCTCGAGACAGATAAGCGAAGCATCCGTGTCAGATCAGATGCGGGAGGGAAATAGCAGCACACACCCTTCCCCGGATTGAATCTTGGTAGATCTCTAGTGGATATGGCGACCGTGCGAGATGGACAAGAGACATCTGGACATCCCACTCTGCCACGTCCGCTCCCTCTTCCATCGTCGCCGTGGGCTCCAGCACTTTCGGAGTTTAGTGGACGCCGTGACGCGCTGAGCAGACTCTGGCCCAGAGCATCTCTCACGCACCAGCGCATCTTGGCTTCTTGGGCGGACACGTTCTCCTGCACGGTCCGTCTGTGGATTAGACGGATCTTTGGTTAGCTTTGGCCAAGAGTCGCTACGCATCGACTATTCAGAACTCTGATATGGAGCGCGTGCTGTCTTGCCTTAACCATATAGGAGGCTCTGTCGATGGGGAATCGAATCCCACCAGAAGGGAGGACCCTAGATTTTGCGGAAAGCCTCAACGTTGTTCTTAGAGATCGTCACTGCGAACGTGTGTGTTGTCTGCTGTGCGCGAATATCCTCACGGGCTTCGAACCAACCGTGCCAACCAACGTCATCCCACGGGAGAGACAGACGTGCAATCCGACTGTACGGCATACGGAACGGTGCCCCACCAATACGGCATGCGGCGAACAGATTTGGTGGAAAAGCCCTCTGGTAAATGTAGACACCACACATCTGGGCCATCTGGGCGGCGATAGAACAGGCGTATGAAATCTTCCAAGGTGGAAGATCTCACCAAGCCAAGAATTCCCAAGATCTCGGCAGGAAGGCGATGTGGAAATCACTGCAATGCGCGAATCTGAAATAGGGATTGAAAAGGACACAACGCTGCTGTCTGACAGCCGTCTCAATATGTAATTCGAACCACAGCTCGAGGGGCAGGTGGGTCATTCCAAAAGCAGCCTTGGAACAAAACCGAGGCGTCGAACGTCACCAGAGAAGCGTCGAACTCAATACACAACTCCGCAGCCGCCGTCGCCGCAATGCCCTTTCCCTTCGTTCTTCCCACCACAAGCTCAGTCCTGCTGCCAGACTATTACGACAGTGTCACCCATCCCTCCCTGCCTTTGGCGGCGACGACACATCGCAGTGTCCTCAAGGATGCCTTGAAGAAATACAAACGTTCATCGCCCTCGGAAAGACTCAGCAACCTTCCCGCGTTACAGGAGGCCATCGCGGGATATCTCCCGTACCTACAAGCACTCAATGCAGGCTCAGGGTATCGCGATGTCGGCCCTGAAAAGCTCGACATCGAGGTCAAGAAACCGCTCGAAGTCGAATGGAGGAGCACCCTCTCCGCGGCCTTTCCGGGTCGAGAGCCTCCGCGACCGAAGTTGGTCGGGCTCCACAATGAGGTCGCATTCGCGTTGACGACGGCCGCTTACATCCAAACGCAACTCGCTCGATCACAACTCCGGCTTCTCTCCGGTTCCGCCGCGGTCCCGTCCGAACAGCGTCCTGGGATCATCACGGCCGCCATCAAGCACCTCTTGGACGCCCACAGCATCCACACCTACATGCTGACCCTCCCGTCCTTGTCTGCAGCAGCCGCTGCTCGGGACGCGCCGATCGACATCCACCCCTCGACCATCTCCGCCCTGGCATCCCTCTCCTTATCCGAAGCCAACCTCACCGTCGTGGCCAAGGACGATCCCTACGCCGCCGCCGTGGCCGACAGCCGCAACGAGAGCAACACGGATTGGATGTTCAAGGCGCCGACCATCGCCAAGACCCGGCTGCGACTGCTGGCGACCATCTGCCTCGCGGCCGCCGAGCACGCGGCCACGGCGTCCGGCCTCTTCGCGCAGAGCGCCGGCAAGCTGGACGAGGACCTCGTCAGATACGCGGGCGACCTGCAGAGGACGGCGCGCGGGAAAGCCATGCGCTTCTTCGCGCTCGAGGCCGACTCCACCGCCAAGACCGGCGAGGCCCTCGCCTGGCTGCAGGGCGCCCGGCGCGCGCTCGGCCTGCCCGCCGCGAGCGACGCCGGCGGCGACGGCGACGGGCGACGCAAGGGTCTCCGCGGCCTGAAGCAGACGTGGCAGGAGCGCCGGGAGGACCGACGCGTGGAGACGCGACACAGCGACTGGGGCGCGGACGCCGGCCGGCTGGAGGAGGGTCGGGTCGTGGAGACGCTGGAGAGGAAATGGGAGCGCGAGAACCGGCTGGTGAACATCCAGGCCGTGCCGCCGCTGGAGCCGCTCCTCGCGGGCATGCCCGGCGGCCGGGAGTTCCCCCATCAGATCCGGCCGTTCTCCCTGCCGGAGCTGGACGCGGCGGAGTTCGCACGGCTCCGGGCGCCGCTCGATCCGGACGAGGTGGCGTACTCCCGTAGGGGAGGGGAGGAGGCGGACAGCGGCGACGAGGCTCCACGCGGCGCCGGACCCGGCCACGGCGCCCCGGCCGGTGCGTTCCCTGGGACCGCGGGCGAGTACCGGAGCGGCACCGGTCAGAGTTACTATTAACGAGGCAAAGTCGCGAGATGCACATGATCTCCCGAGCCGACGTGGTGTTTTCTTTTTCCCTCTCTCCCCGATCACGACCCTGTGGGTTTCGCAGGGAGGACCTCGCTCTAACTCATTGTCTCCATATATAATTTAAAATATCCGGGGCCGGAACGTCTATAACCCGGCTTTACAGCTCGCCCTCTATATATACGGAGGAAAAGAGAAGAAGTTCTACGCGCAGCTCTACGTGTATGGCATGGCATGGCATGGCATGCGGCGCAACCAGGAACCCGTCCGAAGAAATCCCGCAAGGGGCGAAACGGCATCGCGATGCCCACCGGGGGTTAGGGGCTGCAGGGTGTGCTAGATCACCGCCCACAGCGGCCTGGGCATATCGGCCGCGCTGAGCGGGGGTCGCTGCGTCGGGCCGTCGACGTCCAGCGAGACGTACGCCTCGCGCCGCGCGGGGCTGCCGGTGGTCGTGACGGACCAGGTCTTCAGGCCGTAGTACGTGCCGATGGCGTGGACAAGATAGCGTCTGGGGGGAGAAAAGAATCGAAACGTTAGATATCGGCACGACAGAGTCTCCACACGCCTTAAAGAGAGAAATGGGGGTTCCTGAACAAAGGGGTGTTGTGTCGGGGAGATGTGAGATGAAACGGCAGCAAGCAGCAAGCAGCTGCAGCAAAGGAAAGGAAAGTAGAAACATACCCGAAAGCAGCCCCATGGTCATCGACCAAACTCTCAAAGATCAGCTTGTCCTTGGCCAGCGCTGCATCCGCATGTCGCTGCGCCCTCGCCGCGGCCGCGCGTCGTCGGTTGCCCGCGTCGTCGACATCCACCGCATCGTGCGACGCGCCGCTCCGTCCGACGAAGACGATCTCCTCCTCGTCGTCGTCGTCCGAGCTCTCCGCGATCGCGCCCTCGTCCTCCAACTGCCGCTGCTTGTCCTCCCACTCGCGCACGAAGCTGCGCACCGCCTCCTCGAGGTCCTGCAGGAGCCCCTTGGCGCCTCGCGCCTTCTTCAGCTTCGCGCGCAGCTCCTGCGCGACCCGGGCCGCCTCCCGCGTGAGGTTCGCCGCGGAGCCGTCGGCGTTCCGCGCCCTCGCCTTCTGCGCTTGGCGCGCCCGCTCCGCCGCGGCGGTCGCGTAGCCGGCGTCCCACAGCGGGGCGATGGCATAAGGCACCCGGTGGACGGGGTGGGTGGGGCGCACGGCCCAGTCGATGGGCAGCGGGGGTTCGTTCGCCCAGGGGTTGCCGACGAGGTGGTCGTTCTCCCATCGCTGGCGCCGCCGGCTGCCCTCTTTGCCCTTGAGCAGCGCCTCGCGGCGGACGAGGCTGTCGCGGCGGACGGGGGTGCGGCGTTGGTAGACGGTGTGGACGGCTTCGGGCCGGGCGGGTTTGGGATCGGCGACGGGCGGGGGTTCGTCGAGCGGGATGTCGATGGTCACGGACATGCCCCGAGGTTCGCCCCGACGGACCGCGGCGGGCGACGTCGACGACGGGGATAGGGATGTCGCGGCGAGGGCATCGGCGGCTTGGGAGACGGCCCAGGCTTCGATGCGTTCATAGCTGACCGTCGCTGGTCGGGCGGGTGTCGCAGGAGGCGATCGCGGGTCGATTGCCATTGTGTGCTTCGGGGTTTGAGGTGATGACGTCGTCGATGATGGTTATGGAGGGGGATTCGTTTCGGCGCGGAGAAGGGGGAATCGGACGGAGACGAGGCTAGATTAGATGCTGGCGAAACAGAGCAACGAGGGATGAGTCAAATGGAGTAAGGATGAGTGAAGATGAGGGAGACGGAGATGGAGACAAGTGGCGTAGCAAATGCGCGTTATACTGGACAGGAACCGTATGCATTAGACCTATAATATGACTGATAAGGCCGACCGAGGGGCCGCGGGAGTGAGTGCTATCGATGAGTCAGCATGTCAAGTGGCGATCCGCGCCGATGGATCATGACCTAGGTATTTATGATTATGACTCGGACGATGACTGGGATACGAATGAATGAATGAATAAATGAGTGAGTGAGTGAGTGAGTGACTGTTCACGCGTAGTGGTGGTGGTAGAGGTAGTAGTGGTAGTATAGTAGTGGTGGTGATGGTCGTCGTTCGTCGTCTTGTGAGCGCCCTGGATTCTCCCACGTGTTTTGACTTTCCCTTTGCCCTCTTTTGACTGCAGCAAATCATGATAGAATGGGGAGACACATGTTTGTAAACGATATATGTATACACCTAATACTCGGAAATGGGTCTCTGGTGTGCTGTATATATATGTGTTATGTACGTATGTATGTTATGTATGTATGTTATGCCCTTGTTTTATATATATATATATATGCGTTATGTATGTTATGTATGTGCTATACGTTAGGTATGTTATGTATGTGCTACATATCTCTATGTTATGTATGTTACAGTATGCACCTGTCTGTCTGTCTGTCCATCTGCCATCATCTCTATCATATAGCTAACCTTGGAACTTATAACAAGTCTCTCTCTACTCGGATATGATAGCAGTCTCTCTCTCTCTCTCTCTCTCTCTCTATGATATAAGCCTTGGTTCGCGCAACAAAAGAATATATGGTGAGACGGTGGAATCGGGTGTATTTCCTATAAGAATGATAATGCATACTTCCGACTATTGCTACGCGCTGTACCTTGCAGACGGCACGGCACCATCCTGCCCAGGTGTGAGGATAGCCTCTTCCCTCTAGCCATGGCGCATGTATCTGACTGACTGACTGATTGACCTGACTGAGCATTCCCGGCTGGCGGGCGGACCTGAGTCATAATAATAAATGCCCGTGAATGGATTGAAAGGGACGCCCACTTCAATCCTCCAATCGACCACCCTGCCGTCTCTTATAGAGAATACTGTAACAATTATAAGATCCAAGAGCATTGGCCTGGCTTTCATCGGGAACACCGCTGGCAGTATCGCCGTTGCAGCGGGGCTGATGGGGATCATCCAAGTACTGCACTGTAAAGTATACCGTACCGCACCGCCGTTGGTGATGGTGGGGGAGACAGCTGAATTACCACTAAGTACTGTACTTAGGTAGGTAGGCAGCGGGCAAAGAGAACTCTTATCGCCTCGTCCTGTGTGTGACATACCATACGCCGCTGATACCCGGTGGGCGTTCACTCCGAATGGTTCATGATGATAATAGTAACAATCAGAGGCGGCTCCTTCCCACCATCCACCCACGTCCACATCTGATAATCATGATAATAATGATAATGGGAACACCATGGGACAATCATTAGGTAATTCGCGGTGTGTCGATCCATGTTCTTGTGACCTCGCTTGTATGTAATGATAATAACAACCATCATCACTCGGTCCACAGAGATATCATTCCGCACGCATCAACACACCTGGGCAGTCGGGACAGATAGATGGCAATCGGCTTTTGATCCGCTCGCTCTTTCTTTCTTTCTTTCCTCCATCGATCGTACTGGACCTTTCTTCGATTCCTCGTGTGCAAGATCCTTCAAGGTTCCCTCATATCTTTCCTGTTCCTTCTTTTTCCTCTTCTTCTTCTCCTTCGCCATTGGCTTGACATCCTTTCTCGAATCCTCCACCGACCCGTCAACGTCGAGATCATATACGAACATGGACGCTCCTACCTTCCAACCCAAGTTCCTCCCGAAGCAGAACGAGCTGGGCCTCGTCGCCGTGGGCTTCTCGGGCGGTCAAGTAAGCGGATCCCCCCCGACCGTCCTCCGCCCTCCTCGAGACATCCCCCTGACAGACCGCTCCCTCAGTGCAAATCCGGCGTCGACGCCGCGCCCATGGCCCTCATCGAGCACGGCCTCGTCGACCAGCTCAAGGCCGACCTCGAATACAACATCCACTACGACGGGGTCGTGCACGACTACGCCGACCTGATCCCGGCCGAGGACCCGGACCACCGCAACATGAAGAACCCGCGCGCCGTCAGCGCCGTCACCCGGCAGCTCTCCCGCCAGGTGTACGAGCACTCCCGCGCCGGCCGCCTCGTGCTGACCCTGGGCGGCGACCACTCCATCGCCATCGGCACCATCAGCGGCACCGCCCAGGCCACGCGGGAGCGCCTCGGCCGCGACCTCGCCGTCATCTGGGTCGACGCGCACGCGGACATCAACACGCCGGAGACGAGCGACAGCGGCAACATCCACGGCATGCCGCTGGCCTTCCTGACGGGGCTCGCGGCGGCGGCGGAGGCGTCCGAGCCGTTCGGCTGGCTCACCCCCGAGCAGCGCATCAGCCCGGCCAAGCTGGTCTACATCGGGCTGCGGGACGTGGACCGGGGCGAGAAGGCGATCCTGCGGAAGCACGGGATCAAGGCGTTCTCGATGCACGACATCGACCGGCACGGCATCGGCGCGGTCATGGACCAGGCGCTGGGCTGGATCGGCCGCGACACGCCCGTGCACCTGTCGTTCGACGTCGACGCGCTGGACCCCATGTGGGCGCCGAGCACGGGCACGCCGGTGCGCGGCGGCCTGACCCTGCGCGAGGGCGACTTCATCGCCGAGTGCGTCGCCCAGACCGGCTGCCTCGTCGCGCTCGACCTCGTCGAGGTGAACCCCAGCCTGGAGGAGCAGGGCGCGGCCGAGACGGTGAGGGCCGGCGTGTCGATCGTGCGGTGCGCGCTGGGCGACACCCTGCTGTGAAGACAAAACAAAAAGAAACACTCCACCCGACCCCGGGGAAGCCCCTGGGGGTTTTATTTTTACTCCGTCGTTGTGGTATATAGATGGGTCATGTAGAGAGGGAAAAAGTTCCGGGGGGAAGAAAGCACTGCTATATCATTTCATGTCCGGCCGGCCTCTGACGTCAGATCCGGAATTCACAATACCGTGATGAAACCACGGACTTTTGGATTTCTTTTTGTTGGCTGTCATGTATTTATTCGCAATACGTTCATCAGGGTGTTTCGACGTTTTCACAACGACGCGACTGGATAGCAGAATTGATATAAAACGACCATGGACGCCACGACGAGCAACAGAGAAGAAGACGAGAGGCTCAAGCTCGAGCTATCGCTCCTCCGATCCATGTACCCGGGACAGATCGCCTTCGCCGAGGGATCCCGCGGGCTCACCTTCTCCACCGACGCGGCGGGCCCGTCCAAGTTGGAGCTGCAGATCCCCGACGGCTACCCCTCGACGGAACTCCCGATCGTGCTCGCGGCGCGGGTCGGGCGGCGGGACCTGCGCGACGCCGTCCACCGGCGGATCCTCGCGTGCCCGGTCGGCGAGGAGGTCCTCGATGCGATCGTCGTGGCGTTCATCGAGATCTGCACCGACGTGGTAGAGACCGCAGCCGAGAACGAGGAGACTCCCGCTGGACAACAACTGACCGCCAGCTCGGAGGAAACGAGTACGGCCACCGTCGTCGTCTGGCTCCATCATCTGCTCAACACGAACAAGCGCAAGCAAGCCCTATCCCCGACGACCTCAGGGCCGGTAAACGGTGTGACCAAACCAGGCTATCCGGGTGTTCTGATCTTTTCGGGGCCGGCGAAGTCGGTGCAAGACCACGTCAGTGACCTCAAACATCTCAACTGGCAGGCCTTCCAGGTCCGGCTGGAGGTGGAGGAGGCGTGGGAATTCGCGCACGGCGGTGGGATCGTCGAAGTGGAGAGCATGAAGGAGATCGTTGCGGAGATTGGCGATGCCAGGAAGGATTTGTTTATGGAAGCCATGAGGATGAAGTGAAGTTGTCTCTCTCGGCCGGCGGCAATGGACAGGCTGGAAGGCGAAGGCGTCGAACTTCGCCATCCAAGGTTTCAACTCGATCGGCGATGGAGCGCCCACGACAACGATCCGACTCAATGCAGCATTCGAGTGGACGGACAGTCGTGCTGCCCAAATTCATCGCAGACGGAGCGCCAAGTACGCCGCCACATGCCCAAATCAGCCGAGTTGTGCGCGCGTGCGCAACCAACGCAGTTATCGGTCATTTCCATCATTGGCGGACAGCGCGCAATCCAGACAATTCGATAATCCCGACGCGACATCAGCGGCAGGACTCTTGCCAAATACTCCATGCCCCGTCGCGAGAGTAGATTTGCAACAAATTCCCAGGATTGCTGGTCTCGGCAGTGATGACTGCAGCGCCGTAGCTAGGATATAAGAGTAGAGATGTATGGACGGGGTCGAGTTTCCCGCGTATGCTCACGCCGCTTTGGTTTCTGCATGTGCCACCTTGGCTTCTGCATCTTCATCGTAGAATTCAATGTCGCCGTCAGCGCCCAATCTCCCTTTCCTCAGTTTTTGTCCGTGCTCTTTCGCGATATCCTCCATCGTGATGTTAGTGTCCGAAAAGATCTAGAAGAGAGGGTCAGCATGACGGGAAAACAAACGTTTGATGTCGCGATGTTCGCTACCCTCAAGGAGAAACCGACCTTTAAATTATCTGAAATGAGATGTTGACTCTTGCATTTGGGACATTGCACCACACAGGAGCCGAAATGGTACGCCTGCTTCGAAATGGTATGGCTGGACCTCTCCAAGCACTTTTTGCATGTGATCCACAACTGATACGCCGGCGCAGCAGCCTTGCGCGCGGCGATGGCCTCCGCATCGGTCTGGTCCTGGCTCACTTTATCTGCTTGGGTGCGATCGGTCAAGGGGCGTTGGGCAGGCTCTTCCGCGTCTGTCGACAGGGTTCTGGCCTGGAGGGCTGCGAAGATGCTGCGCGAGGTCCGAGCAGATGGCCATGTCGTCCGCGGAAGCGATGATGAAAGGAAATGTGGCTGTGATCGAGGGAGTAGTGGTATGCGATGCGATGCTGCCGAACGCATGTGCAAGATCCTCTGCAGCGAACGGGTCGGTAAAGTAGTCCGCATGATGACGATTTGATGGGATGGGATAAGTCGATGCGTGGGTGTTCGGACTGTAGTACTGTTGATGATCCGTTATCCTCTTGATCGATCGCGATGCAATGGCGACCAGTGTTACGATATCGTGGGATGACAGAAACAAGGGACACGCGAGCGCCGACGTGGATTTATTTCAATGAAGGATGACATCGTTTAGGGTACAAATTCCGTCCGACGGGCGCCTCCGCGGGCAGCACTCCCGCGGCGGCGCCGCTGCTTCACTGGTGGTGTGGAGTCTTATGATCCGCCACCAATTTCCATGTGGGCAGTTTGACCATGCTACCCAAGATGCCCGGTGTGTGATATAAACAGTTAAATACAGCGACGACTCCAATGGGGACAGTAGATACTCGCAAGCATCATTAGTGGCAGTATGCTCTGCACGAGCTAAATGGATAAATTCCCGTGCACATCCGCGATGCTGCGTCGATCCGATGAATTGCCTCCAAATGGAGCGTGCTCAAATACTTGTCATGTTTTCGTACGCTTCATCGCTGGTGTTCGTCGACGATAAGAGAACTTTTTGACGTGATCATATGTTACATTCGCCTAAAACCGTCCCGTTCCAGCCTTCCGTTCCCCATCCCAGGCCACACTGAAGACGGGACGGGCAGGCATGCCCATTTCCCCCACCGCGGTCCCTTCGCGAGCCGTTTACTTCTTAGAGGCAGCCTCCAGCTCCTTGCGGTCCTTCTCAAGCTGGGCCTCGCTGTCGGCGATCTTCTTCTTCAAGGCCTCGAGCTTCTGCTTCTCCTGCTCGCGGACGTACATGTCCTCGGCGGCCTTTTCGCGGCTGTTCAGGGCATCGCCGCGGTTGGCCTCGGGGAAGGAGCGGATGGCGGCGGCACTGAAGGGTCGGGAGATGACGCGGAGAGCAGCCGGGCGGGCCTGGCGGAGGAGCTGAATGGAAGACATGTCGGTTGTTGTTTTGGAGGCTGCGAGGTCGGTGTCAGCAATCGTTCGGAGAATGACCCGGGAGAGAGGGAGAGAGGTCAGCAATGTGTCGGACGCGACTCACAGATGAGGACGACAGAGATGTGAGAGTTTGGGATTGGGTATATTTTCCGTGAATTGGTTGATTGTTGGGTGGGAAGCAGCGAGGAGACAGAGTATAGGATGTATATGATGTATGTGTATTGTACACCGTGGGAGCTCTGAAAGCTATGGCACACTCTGGCAGTGAGTATGCATGCCTCGGAGGCTACCTATGACGACATGGGCGCTCGCAGCAGGAAACTTCCCCAAGGTTTACCATACTAGCTGGTAGCTTGGAGAGGATGATGAGGTAAGCATGATGCAGGTGCTGATTGATTGCGGACTTGACATGGCCTGAGCCTGAGGCACAAAGAGACATCCGGGCACGACACAGCGCCCAGGTGTACCTAGGTTCCTAGGTATTGCTGGAAGCGCCGGGGTCAGTCCAAGCAAGACTTCCCGTTAGCCTGATGGGGAAAGAGATCTGGCGCGTAGGGGGGAGTCGGAATATCTGAAACACTCGTCCTCACCTGCAATTTACAGTCCACGCCCAGGATCGTGGTAGGCCATTCGGTGCATACCCAGGTACATACAGGAACTGTATACAGTGTACAGGCCACGATTCCATACACCATGCACCATGTACTGTCATGATCATGAAGGAAGGGACTGGGCATTCGATCGATGAACGATCCTCACTCACTGGTTTCACCCGTGGAACCTGGGCTGAAACATTGCGCCCGACAACATTCCATTGGCAGAGTGGAGTACGTACAGCACCTCCATGATCACCACACGCCATCATCAGGTCGGCCTGGGAGATCTCTCGGTCGTCGTCGTCGTCGTCGTCGTCGGTGGTGGTGGTGGTAGGGGAAGAAGAAGGGGAGGGAGAGTCTGCTGGGTAAGCCAAATGCTGTAGCTCAGCGAACAGTAATCACCAGATCATCTCCCCATTTGCGCCTCCGCAATCATCAAAGAGACGCCCTGCCTTCAATTAGCGGCCCTCGCCAATGAAATCGCGGAGGGAAGGCTGCAGGGATGGCGACGAGTTGGGATAGAGTTTCAAGGTTGATGGTCCTCACATGGCGGCGGCGCGTGTGATGAGCGTGATGAGCAGTGAGTGATGAGGGTCATCACTCTCTCTTTCTTTCACCACCACCGCCGCCGCCACGCGATGATCCAGTGGGTGTGTGTGCATGTGAAGCAGCAGTACAGTAGGAAGAATGTGCTTGATTTGATGACATTTCGCTTGCTTCCGACTGCACGCACGATCCGCGGTGGGTGGAGTCACTGTGGTGTCGTGGTGTCACCGTCTCAGGTAGGAGGAACACAGTCCAGTTCAGTATACCTAGGTAGGTAGGTAGCCACAGTACAGTATTGCGTCCCGGTCGATCACCACCACCACCACCTCCTCCATCTCCGTCACACTCATTCCTCTCCTCTCCTCTCCTCTCCGCAGGTGCGCCGTCACCACTGTCACCATCACCACTATCACCACCACCTTCTTTCTCTTACACTTTCTCTTCTTCGATTTGCACTCTGTCGGCAGCACATTGGTTCTTTTCCACGCTCGTTTCAGTCGTTCCTTTCCAACCAGTCTGTCTTGCCGCCTGCTGTGCAGTGCAGTCCGTCGTTCGTTTTCCACCTTCTTGAAGAACCATCAGACTGCGTGCCGGCTCACCAGATTCCTTCTTCATTGCAAATATGCGCGTCCAGAGTTTCTTGTTTGCTGCGGTGCTCGGCGCAAAGGCCTGGGCCGAGCAGAACTATCACACCGTGGTCGAAGTCGAGATCGTGACCGAAATCGAATGGGTCACCGTGATCGCCGGTCATGATGATCACGGCGGAGGAGGGTTCACGGGTCATTGGGCCACGGCCATCACGACCCAGGTCGATCTTCAACCCACGACGACGTACGCTGCGCATCAAGACTTGCCAGCCCATACGGAGATCCAAACCCAACACATCGCCACCACCACCGAAGCTGCGGTACATATCACGATCGAGCCGACTGCTCCGACCGCATCTCCCTCGGATCCTTCTCCAACTGCGTCTCCTTCAGGTCCGTCTCCAACAGTCACCGACACGACGCCTACTATACCCACCTCCACTGCGGCTCCGCCACCAAGCAGCAACCAGACGGGCGCCCTCACCCCCAACGGCCGGAAAGCGGGTCTCTCCGGCTACGTCAGCATCCAGGACACCGACGCCTTCGCCGACCTCGCGCCGCACATCAGCTGGTACTCCGACTACACCGCCAACCCGCCCGCCGCCCTGGGCGTCGAAGGCGTCGGCATGCTCTGGGGCGCCCCGGGCTCCGCCTGCGTCGAGTCCTCCGCCAAACGCCTCGGCGGCTTCACCGACATGCGCGTCACCCGGCCGGCGCCGAAGTACATGTTCGGCTTCTACGAGCCCGACTGCGACTGCCCGTCGTCCTCGAGCATGAGCGTCGCCGCGGCGGCCGCGAACTGGGACGCGCTGCTCGCGCCGCTGGCCGCCCAGGGCACGGTGCTGGGCTCGCCGAGCATGTGCAAGCAGCGCGACGAGGACTTCCTCACGCCCTTCGACGCCGCCGTCGCCCGCTCCTGGGACGTCACCAGCATCCACGTGAACGCGCCCAGCGTCGAGCAGGCCCGGGCCGTCGTGGACTACTACGTCCGCACCTACCGGAAGCCCGTCTGGGTGAGCGAGTTCGCGTGCGTGCGGCCGCGCCCGACCTGGCAGCCCTGCACGGACCAGGGCGAGATCGACGCCTTCATCCGCGGCATGGTCACGTACCTCGAGGGCAACCCGGACGTCGTCGCGTACGGCCCGAGCAACGGCGAGGGGCTGGGGACGGTCTGGCCGCTGACGAAAGGCGGCGCGTTGACCGCGTCCGGGAAGACCTACCTCTCGGCGATTAAAGCTTTGTGAATGGAGTTGACGGCGTGGGTGTTTCGGTTGGGGGAGGGGGGCCCAGAGGCGAACCTTCACAGGGCACGACGGTCTCTTTGTTGACTGCGCGCCCGTTCTGTACCACGAATTCATGTTTGTACCCTATCACGTCTTCGAGGCATGCCGAGAGAGCAGCACGTCGAAATGAGAAAGAAAACCAAAGAATTACGAAAGTCATCATCTGTTCCCCCGCGAGTCGACGCGGCCGTTATGTACATAGCAAACCCCCCTCTATCTATCGCGAGGCGGGCGACGACCAGCTCGGCTGGATACTGCCGCAGACCTCGACGTAATCCCTCCACCTCTGCAGATCCTGCACCACGTCCTCGCCCGTCCAGAAGGCCGTCCATTCGCTCCCCGCCGCAGCAGCGCCACCCGGGCGACGCTCCCCACCGTCCCCGCCCGCGGGGGATCCCGACGGCGACGCCAGCTGCGCCGGGGGCTCCTTCGGCAGCTTCCAGCTCCCGGCGCAGCGCTCGAAATACCACTTGTTCACGGGGTTGTTGCCGCGGCTCCGCCAGCAGACGCCGTTGGGGAAACAGCTGCGAACCATGGACTGGAAGAGGATGTCCGCGACGTTGGACGAGCCCTGGGAGGACTGCAGCACGGCGAACTTGTCGAGGTAGGGGACGAGGCGGGCCGGGTCCGTCGCGGTGGCGGGGCGCCCTCCTCCGCGGACGGCGTGCGCGGCGGCGGCGGCGGACGGCGGCGTCTCCCACGTCAGGATCGCGCAGCCTTCGTAGTTCCCCGCCACGATCAGGCCGGCGGTCCGGCCGCGGATGCGGTCGAGATAGGCTTGCACGTCGAGCTTCCGCCGGAATGAGTCCTCGATGAGGTGCACCAGGCGGGGGAGATCGACGCGGGGGTCGGTCTCCAGGTCGAGGGATGTCGTGGTGTCGGGGGTTGCGGAACTCGAGTCGCTGCCGGGGGCGATCCATCCGCGGACGGGGTCCGGCGTGGGTATGATGGTCAGCGGCATGCCGCGTTTGATCAGGGTGGACGCTTGTACAACTTCGGGCTGCGGCATCCCCCCCTCGGGGTGTGTCTCGTGGGGCAGGCGCGCGGCGGGCAACGAGGAAGATACCATGGGTTTGTTCGTGAGCAGGTTGTGGATCAGGCTGTTCTTGCGGCGGCGAGTCCCTGCGCTGCCGAGAGATGTCGCGTCGTCGTGGTCTCGGTGTTTGCGCGAGGAGCTGGCGGCTTCCTGAGGGGTGATGATCACGGCGGATGAAGAGGAGGGGAGTTGTGACAAACACTGTTGGATCATCTCGAGGTTCGTGCGGTGCTGCTCATAGACATAACTCCTCCGCCGCATCTCTGGCTTCGCATGGTCGCGAGCAGCTGTAGCGTAGTCTGTCAATTCTTGCTCGATCGCATCGAATTCTTGTTCCAGGTTGATGAAGACATGGGCTCCGTCGCCGCGGTTCTTGCTCGGGATCCCTCCAATAGTATCCAACACAATGATCCGATCGAGGAGGATTCCGTTCGGTGCCAGAGGATGGTCTTGGCTCTCGGCAGCGTTCATGCTTTCTAGCTTCTGCGTCAATGCAGCCATTACATTGGTGCTTGATACCCGGGATAAGCGGCCGGACTCGGTGTACGCAAGTGGTGGCAGGATGGGAATGAGTCCTCGTTTCAGCGGGTCGAGAAGTAGCTCTGGTATGGCTACCCGTGCATCGACTTCCGAACACGAAGTGCTGGCTGCTCCATCGACTCGAAACTCCAGAGCTCCGGGCACGAAGCGGCCCTCGTCTGGGCTGTGTCGCCCAATCGCAGCTGATAATCGCAGAGCCTGGGCGTAGAGGAGCTTTCGGAATGCTCGCACGTTGGAACCGATCCACACTTCCGAAGACTTTCCATCTTCGTCGCCCGGCTGGAGCTGGTCGGCACACGAGTCGAGCACAATGATCAAGCGCATATCCAACTTGACGAGCTGCGCTAGAGTAATGGCGAGGCCCTCCATGGTCTTATCATCAATGTCCTCGGGTGACTTCAAGCACACCAATGCCACGTGCAGCTGTTGGGATCGATCATGTTGGTGGTCGACATTCACATCTGCTCGTTGTACGAAAACCGGCGTCTCGGCGATGGCGCGACTGGGCGTGTATAGACTACCTAAATTGACTCCAGACCGCCTGAGGTTGTCGGAGAGAATCGAAGAGGGACCGTTGCGTTCAGCTTCAACCTTGAGCTTCGCAGACTCGGCTGCATGTTTCTTCTCTGCTTGAAAGCGAGCAAGGTATTGCTTCGCATCGCGCTTGGTGGCATTGGCGTTCAAGACATTGACAAATAACTCACGTTGTTGCTCGGCTTGATTGTCGTGATGCTGTTGTGCAATTTTATTGGCGGCCGGCTGTGTCGAAGCTGTGGAATAATAGGTCTTGATCACAGACGAGAGGGCATGGGCCTTAAGACTCCCGCAGGTGCTTGCCTTTCCACACACCGACATAGAGATAGTCATTGGACATAGTATGTTCAAAATTGTTGCTCGGTGTTTGGCAAGACAGAGCTGGCGCTCAAGTATGTCGCGCAACTAGTCACGCCCTGTGGGCAGCAGTGACACATGTCGCAACTGGGTGAGGTCCATGTCCGAAGCGAGGTATGAGGGAAATTTCAATGCCGATGAATCCGCATGACTATGCGATGGAGCGGTCTGGAGAATTGCATAGATTAGGTAGATTTAAGTTAAAGCATGGTCTCCTTATCGTATCTGATTATGCATAGCTCATGCCCGCACCTCGCACACCTATCGCCTTGGCTCGAAGCTACACGTGCGTTATATCATACGGTCACCGCACAGCATGTCAACATAACCCTCGACCACGCAATGCCCACGCAATTCGCAACGTCAACGCCCCCACCGCGCGTATACATTCGCCAAGATGAGACGCGGGTGATGTTCAGATCACGTCGATCGTATTTGGCGAAGACAAGGAATGTGGTGACAACATGACCGGAGTGGGATTTCTCGCTTTTGCGGGGAGTGTTCGTCTACAACATCCTTCCCGACCCGATGTGGTAGCACGAACACCGGGTGACACGTATATCGGAGCATAGCAACATGTATGAGCGAGGGAATATTGCGAGCCTGGGTATCATGTTCGGCCTCAAAGAAACATCGGCAGCTACGCTCCGACCCATGCTCCGAGATGAGAGTGCTGGATTGAAGAGTGAAAGATAGCACCCTTTCACACGACCAAGATAATCTGAAAGCAAGGTGAGTGGCAGGTCCAAAGCCATACAACCACTCATAACTTTTCTTGAATTTGAAATCGGATTCTCATGCTCGTGAGGTATCATTTGGTGAAGACAACATGAAATTATGCTGTGGCTGGTCATCGGGAACGAAGCGCTACAATCGTATGCCAATGGACAATAGTCCGAGCGAAACCGTCCTCTGCAGTATGACGCCTGTTCCACGGACCGTGATTCCTGCAAGGCCTTTGGTCGCCTCGCTTCCTTCAACCATCAGAGCTGTACCGCCGTCCCTGAGCGACAGTTCCGATCCATCGATCTACGCTTCAGCAAGAAACTCCGTAGGAGACACAAGGGAAGATGGCCAAAGCGAGCCCACAGACGGGCCAAAGCCTACCGCGGAACCAACATGGCGACAGGCTCTAGCTGCCCATAGAAGGCTGCAGGAAGAAAGTTGCAGCAAGACCATGAGCAAAGATGACGTTTTCTCTGTCGCGCAAAACGCCCATGCTCTCTGCAACATCAACGGCAGACAAGACCAAGCTATTCGCGTCGAGCGCATCACAGCGGCGTATCTCCGCGACAGAGCTCTCAATAATGAGACACCAACACCAGAGTCCCGGTCATTGCGCTTCGCCCAAACAGACGCGCTCAAGAGCTACCCAAACATCGCATCAGTCCTCGTCGCCACCGATCGCGTCGGCGATGCACACTCCGAGACCGATATTACTTCCGTGGGTACAGCACGACACGCAGGAGAAGTGCTTGGTGACAAAGAGCTTGCAGATTCCTCACGCACCTGAATGCAGGATCGACTCACAAATTTTCATGCGAATTTGTCGTGCTTGCCCTTGACCTTCACGTCCAACAACGCTTCATGATAATCACCTTCTCTGCGCGCTTTCTTCAGCATCTTCACCTCGTCATCGTCAAGTCGACGGCCGACGGCGTCTTCGAGCTCCTTTCGGCTGATCTTTGCTCGAATCTTCTCGGCCTTCTCGGCTTTGTGCTTGGGTTTGAAGCGAGCTTGCATGCGGATGCGGATATGGGTCGTCTCAGACGTCTTCTCACTATCTCCGCGAACCTCCGCGGGGGTCTTGTCACTGTCCACAGAAAGATAGGTCGAACGGGTCGTCTGTATTTCGAACTGCTCGGGATAATCATCGGAAGGGACGACCAGGAACGTTTCCTCGGGAGAGACGGCTTCGCGAGAAGCCGAAAGGATACCGTATTTGTCACAACCTAAGTACCTTCCCCGATTGTCAGTATATACAATGCATGAACGCGCGTGATTCTATGAATGAGCCATCCTTACTTTCCGTGGTGGCCTTTGAAAGTGAAGCTGTTCTCCATGCCGACGATCTTCTGCGATATCCACACCTGCCGGACATCATGGGGCTCTGCAGTGGACGGCTCATTCTCGATCATGTTCTCGATGCGACTGGTGAAGACTGTGCCGAGCTGGTCGACGGCCATGCAGGATGCCGGTTCAGATGGCAAGACCAACATCACCGGGCCTGCCAAGTCCGTCACGGCCAGAGCAGAGACCCAATTGTCGTCGTCTTCGGGTGGAGCATCGTTGTGGAGTGCCAGCTGCTTATTTGCGGTCGTGCCGTCTTCATCGGCGTCGGTCGCTGGACGTTTGCGCTTCTTCACTTTCTTGTCGCCCTTGAAAGTGAGAGCTTTCACCATGATTGCGACAGAATTGTGCTTGGTCTAAATGTGCGCTGCCCTTCGATATGTCAGATTGGAGGCTGCGGTTTCCAAGCGTAAACGCTAGCCCGATGTTTGTAAATGCTCTCGGCGTGACGGTGTCAACGTTCACCTGAAACCAATTGAAAAATGTATCGGACTATAACGGAGAACACGACGATTAATATTTATGACGGAGTTGTATAATCGTCATCTATTATGGCCGCTGGACGGTATCAGACAGTGTCAGGTCACGATTAAGGCTACCTATGTATCCATGGATCAATTGATGACTGTCCACGGGCATTCAGAGATTCCCGCAGAATCTCTGAGCCTCCACTGGATGGCCGCACGTACAACATCTTATCGTCAGATCTCTCTCTCAGAAGTCATACGTAAGAGCAATCATGGAGTGAAAGATTGTTTGTCGTCGTTTTCATCATATGGCTTTACATGTACGGGTGCTCTACAGGCCGCTGGTGGCTTTCAACCTCAGAATGCATCAAATGCTAAGGAGAGCTTTAAAGCAATTTCGCAATCGAGCGCCGCCATGAACGAATGATAACAATTGTAGAAATAATGGGGATAAGTTGCGTCTTATGGTAGTTACTACGGTGCCACGGACAGCATCTTGCCTGTGGCATTTACATACTGGCAGTGCGCGCTGGACCAAAAAGGGCAGAGACAGGCGAGAACTTCACATCTACGACTAGAGCTATCAAGCTGCAATAGCTGTGCGAATCCTGCGCTACATGCGGTGCAGTCAAGCAGTCTTGATTTCTCGACCTCTGAACCTCATGAGGCTCCGAACCTCTTCACATCAGCAAACGCCACACACCGAGAATGATGGCAGCGGTACCAGTGCAGACACCCATCAGCCATTGAAGCGTACTAAACTTCACCGCCTCCAGACGTTCTCGGAGCGCTGCACTCTCTTGCTCGATGCGCGTCTCCGTCTCGCGAATCTTCAGATCCTGGCTATTAGCCTCCTCACGGATACGACCCTTTTCGAGATTGAGATCCAGCCGGACGCTGGCCTGAGTCCGCTGAACCTCATCGCGGAGCCGGTTGTTCAGCTTGGCCAGATCGTTGGTCAAACGCTCGTGGCTCGCGCGGGTCAGGCTGCTTTCGGTCGAGTCGGCATTGAGCAGCTCGCTACGCAGCTTGGCAAAATCGACTTTCTGTGCATATGTGGCCTTCTCTTGATCTTCCCGCAGCACCATCGTCCGCGTCAGGTTCTGAATCGACTCTTCTAGGACATCGCCCAGGACCTTCATCATGGCTGTGGCCTGCTCTTCTGTGAAACCCTCCTGCTGTAGACGCTGCACGAACTTGAGCGTGTCGAAGTGATGGTCCTTGGACGGTGCTGGTGTTGCAGAAAAGGCGCGATGGGCGGCTGAGACATGCAGAATACTCGGTTGTGGCCGACTGGCCCTCCGCGCAGCCCAAATTTGACGGGCAAAAGTCGCGGTGGCAGGGAGTGATCGTGCGGTGGTGTGCTGTTGTCGCATTGTGGTGATCTGGTTGAGAGCAAATGCTGAGGGAGGTCGCATGGCGCTGGCGGTCCAAGCAGAGCTGCGAGCCAGCACAACTCGAGGGAGTGCCTCTAATGCGGCCATGGCTCGGGATGTCGATTGATGCTGGAAGTTATTTATAGGTCGAATTCGCCTGATGAGGGGTGTGAGACAATGAAAAGGCGCCTGCTCGATCGTCGAGAACTGACAGATTATGGTGGTGCTAGCTCCAGGGTATATTGACTTGATGAGAGAGAGGAATGGTGCTGTCCGAATCACGATGAATGTGATCAAGAGATCTAAACGATAGGTGTGACGGAGAGCGAGCACCAATATAGGTTTAGCCGGCTGAACCCGCCGCTCGGGTAAGGGATTCGGCGATAAATCATTCCAATTTACTAGCGTCGGAAGTTGATCCGCCAATGACAGACAGCAACCGCAGCCATTATCGACTCCGACGACATGATACTGGGACAAAAAAATTCCACGTCCATGGAATTAATATATTTAAGCTTGAGCTTATTGTCGCCATACAGCACTTCCCGCCAGCTACAGGAAACCGCTCCGACGACGCTTACGCATTGTGGTCATCAAATTGCAGACACGATCCGGTTGCTCGAAAATCGCTTCAAGTAACGCTCACAGCTCGGGTCTGATATGCTCCTGGCCGAGTCGCACTCTTATGATTCTGTGAGGAATTAACGTCGAGTCGCATGATGCTTGTCGGCGCGTTGGCGAGTCTGCTCGAATACCGATCGCGAATGGCTGCCCTATTGACCGACATCCGAACCACTCTGATGACCTCCATCACAACATATTCTTGCGTTTGCGCGCATACATCCAGAGAACGGCGGATCTTGAGTTTTGACGCATTGCTTCACTGAATAATTTGGTTTAAGCAAAGTTGGTCGAATGATGGAGGACTTTTGGGCTGTCTGCCGCCTGGTCCACTAGCAGACCCATTTGAGTCGACGTGACTCGAGCTTGGCCGCGCGAACAGGACTTTTGGTCCAGAGAATGCTTGAGCTGCCACGCAAGTCTTGCGTATGTCGAGATTTGCCCGACTGGCTGGCTCAGCCTACAGTAAAATAGGTACGACATAGCTCGGACAGGTCGCTCTTGATCCGCTCGGTCGTGAGATTCGCCAGACGCCATACAGGCGGAGTCTCGACCTGCGTAATTTATAGGCTATCCTCCTCGGATTTCATCTGTTGCACTCGCTTGGCTACGGCCTCTCGTCTCTCGTCGCGCAAGTTGGTAAAGATCTGCACGGTCAGCATGGCTCATCTCAAAGGCTTCAGATCAGCTCTCACCCAAAACCAAGCCGCGATTTCCAGAAACCCGAAAGAAAAGACGAGGCTGTTCTGTAGGTTGTCTCCGGGTCCAACGATGCTCTCAACTAACCCTTCTGGGACGCCGAGCATTCCACCTTCCTTGAATAAGTAGACATATCCGGTCAATGCGAAGAGAAACGTGAGCCTAATCGGCACATTGGCCAGCCAGTATTCGCGAGTCGCGTGTTCACCATCGCCAGGATTGATTGTCGCTGTGGGAAGCGTCGCCGCTAGGTCGGTCACACTAATGAAGGCGAGGAGGACGGCGATGAAAGCACTTGCATCGGATGATTCATCGAGTGATGTTGGGTGTTGCTGTCGATTACATGTCAGTGGTAGATCTTTTGATTCCGTGAAAATGCGAGATGTATTTTCAATCCTACCATTTGCATAGACTCTCCCAACATGAAGATGATGTTGTTGTCAGCGACAACGCGGGGCGCAACGAGGAAATAATATGCTGCAATCAGATGTGCGAGCGAAAGCGTGCGGATTAATGTGAGCGATGAAAGAATTGCCATCTTGAATCCTCCGTGTCAGGTTTGGCTGATTTAATCGGCGATCTTGACAATCTCCGGATTATGATGAAAAGCGTGTGATGGCGCAGCACGATAGCCAAATACTCGGGCAGGTATCCTTCCTGGAATGAGCGATGAGATGCGAGCCGCGTCTTTCCAACTGTCCCGGGTCTTGATGATGATGATGGATAGTCCCAAATTGCCAGGTCCAGGTGTACAGTAGCTTAGGGTTACGTTGCGCGCAGATCATCCGTGCATACAACACTCAACCGTGCAGGTGAACTTCATTGTCGGCCTCTATAATTTATACAACCATGATTCATGTTCTATAAGCAACAGGAGAATGTGTCATCGATTTGGTCGTATTTTGAATGGATGCCATCCTCAATTTCGCTTTGCAGTACAGAATATCGCCCAAATTTGAAAGTTCGCTGAGGGGGGAGTTCAACCTCCTCTTCACCTGCGTCCTCTGTCCACCCTCCTCTCTCATTCTTCTCGGCAGACTTCATGGAGATGGAAGATCGGCGGAATTCTCAACGTTTGGGAGACAATTACAAGAAACCCTTGTCCCTGCTCCAATCGTGTGGTGTGCTGCGGAGTATGTGTGGCATGCAGTCGTGTCTCGGCCGTTCCAGTTCTCGGCTGATCCTCGTTGCAAAGCTGGCGTCACCCGTCGAGTGGTCTTTGACGAGTCATACGAGGCTCTTCAGAACTTCATATCAAGACCTCAAAGCATGGACAGATTTCCCAATGCCTCATTTGGTGTGTAGATGCAACGAGCATCTGGGTTGAGCTTCATGCAATCTTGTGCATCACGAGCCGTGTGCTGCTACAGTGTTGCGATTTTCGCTAGCGCTGGTGCGCTCCGGAAGTCATTGTCCGTGCCAATTGCTATGTAATTCAAGAACCCATAGTATGGTCTGTAGGGATTGGTTGTGGAAGTCTGAGCTTCGCATGACGGGGGTGGGTCATTGCAATTTGATCGTGTGCAAGCAAATCCGATGCAGATCGCATCAGCCGGCGGCATTCAGACAGCTGTGCAAGGGGCTTTTCCTGTCGTCTTGACGAAGGTAATTTATACGTTGGGCACGACTGCCAATTCAGAGTTCCTTTATGGCGGAATGCCGCGCTCGACCTTGAACAAATCGAGTGCGAGGCTTGGTGTTTCCTTGATGACAGCATAAACATCCTGGGTGTGCACCAGCTGTGGATGACTGCGAAATGCTTGGAGTACCACGTCTCGAAGCCCGCGATCCTGTGAAAATGCGTCAGCGGCATGTTCGACTCACGAAATCTGCGATTGTCTGCCGCAGCAGGATAATGCACATACCGTGTCGATGGTCGAACAATAGACAGCCTCGATGGCGGCTGCGAATTCTGGCGCGTCATAATAGCATGCCATTGCCATTTCGAACTTCCGCTTTGCGAGCTCCTTCAGTGCGGGAATGTCGTACTTTTCGGCCAGTGCATATACCTGGGTATGGAGGATCAGATGGGATTCGGCCTCTGTCGAATCTTCCTCGTCGGTCTCCGAGTCTGATGAGCTACACGCCTCAAGCTCAGGCAGCTGAGGCGATACGGGACTGTCTGGTGGGGACATGTAAACGTCACTGTACTCGCCCGATCGGCGTTTCGAGCCCATCGATGGGCTTTTTGGTGTCGGTGTGGTAACGACGGATAACGGGGCTGAGTAGTGCCCGGTCTGAGCGAGAAGAGGATCTTCGATCTGCGAAAAGTCGATCTTCTTCAGCGGTTGCCGCCGAGGGTCGGAGTATGCCCGGTGACGAAACATTGCTGATGGCCTTTGCAGTGGTTGCTCGTGCATGTAATCCAGGTGATAGAAGACTGATTAGAGAGAGCGATGTTAGCGATGTGAGAAACAGAAAGTTTTCATCTGATCGGGATCACGCACAGTACATCATCTGCTCGACAGCCTGTTCGTCATCTTCGCTCAGATCGACGACTCCAGTGGTAGACTCAGAAAATGCGTTGGAGCAGACACCATCGAAGAAACCGCTCCGGGAGCAGATGATGGCTTTATGACAAGCCCATTGGCGGTAGTTGCATGTGATAGTCACGTCGGAGTATTTGCCGCCGACATACAATCTATCGGAAAGATATGCATTAGCATTGAGCTCAAGCAGCATTGACATTCCGACACCTTTGCACTGCTAGGAGAGTCCGGATCATAAGCGACTCACGCTGACAGGGCTTGCATCAAATCCCCTTGCGCATTCTCATGGTGCGCACTAGACGGCGATGTAGCCATTGCGATAATCTGGTCCTTTAAGCGTCGACAACAATATAGTGGAGTGAATCAGGCGCAATTGCTGTAGGTGACTTCCGAGTCGATACAAAAGACAATGACTAAGCAATGTCGATGACGTTCTTGTTTCTTGTGTCGTTGCCGAAGTGCGGCACGAGACCGGCGATGAACGAGCAGGTAGGTGTTCCGAGCAATTGACAACAGTGCAAGCCGTTAGGATCCTGCTGTATTGTACCAGCGGCTGCCAGCGATGCACGTAAAGAATAGGTAAAGGTTTCCGGGATATGACGAAGTAAAAGCGAACTGGTGAAAGAAGAGGATGGTATCAATGTTAAGGGTTGTGGTCAAGTATCGAGTGAAAGCACCAGTAGAAGTGGTACGTAGTTGATTAGACAAGAGTCGAAAATGAATGCTTCCTCGAAGCTGAGAGCAGGTGTGGAGGTGGTGTATGTTTATACACACGATGGTGGTCAAGAGCATGCGGGTTATACGTGTATGTATGTAGTCGCCCTCCCATCGACACTAGCTGGACTGCTCAAAGGCGAGCTCCTCACCTGATGTTCAGACGATGATTATGACGCGCCCGCCCTCCGAGCTCCGTCTGCCCGCCAATGGCGACTAGCAACTGATCATGGTGAAAATCTTGCTGCAGTGATGCACACCATGTCTATCGGAGATGGTGCCTGGTACAGGCCTGTCGTGGTGGAAGGCGAACTTGGTACACGCTATGCGCTAAGCGACAGGTCGGGGTCGGGACTCTCTTTCGCGGTTGAGTGGGCTGTCTCTGTGATATCCTACATGGAGAAGAGTTTGTGTGCGCCAGCACGCAGTAGTATACCACGCAGATGTGCGTGTCTGTATACTGTGAGGCCATGTGAGGGTGTGATGATGATCCTCTTCATAGTAATGATGGAGCTCGAATGATGGTCGCTGGACTGGACTGGGCTAGATGACTGCCCAGGTGGAGATGGAACAGTGTCATACTAGACTGCTAGCGCGCTAGCAAGGCAGAGATCAACAGCAGACACATGAATCCTTTCACATTCACAGCACGATGCTACACTTCACACACCCAACTCATGTCTGTATTGCTACATCCGGCAGTAATTGCTACTCAGAGACGACAATGTCGAGCCGAGATATCTCTGTCCAGATAGAAGCCCATAGCCCATCATCAAAAGAGCTGCACTTTCACATGAGTTGTATGCATGCAATTCGATCTACATCCGTACCATATTCGAGGCACATCTGTCGGGCCACGAGGTGTTCCCGCACCCAAAACAACTCCTGCGCGCCCGTCTTGGCATCCGACGGAGAACGCCGCGCCCCGTCCTCCGTCCTGCTGGTACCACTTCACGGTTTCCGGCCAGACGCGCAGCTCTCCAGACTTGTGTAGCGAAGTGGTGACTCGATTGTGGAACAGCTGAATTTTGCTTTGGCTGGCGGGTCACGCCTTGCGGAACACAACCATGTCATATCGCTGCCAAGTCGAATTTTGACGATGGCTTGCGACGACTGATGGCGCGGACGGGGACTGATTTACGGGTGTGCTGCTTCTGTGTACATGGGTTCATGAGACACCAGACAGGCAAGACGCCTCGATGCGCAAGCCACTCCTCTCGTCGAGCGTGCCCGTGTCGCTGCTATCACAGTGCTCCCTGCAGATGTTCAATGCCTGGAATCGCACAAAACCGAGCGCAGTCCAGATTGTAGGCCATTCCCATGCGACGCATTGCACCGCCCATACGGACAGTGTTTCTCCGGTATTAACAACGCAAACGAACGGTTGCTACCATCGACCCGAAGGGACGGAGGCAACTGACCTCCGTCGCCGACAACAGATATTCCCAATGAGACATATTAGCTCCCGGAGCCTGAGCCTGAGCCTGGTCCCTTTGGTCCCTTCGCTTTCCCTCAATCAATCGAGTGTGCGTGCTCATCGGGCCGACGATCGTGTCTCTCTTTTCCGGCTGCACCGCCCGCCGCCGCTTGCAAACTCCGTCGCTTCAAACTCGAGTAGTACTGTGATTTCTCCTCGCCGCATGCGCATACATGTGCACGTACGTGGAGTGCCATAAGAGCAGCAAGGTACGGCAAATCGTTGGCAGCAGCTAATAAAGCTCTAAATCTGCGCTTGACCTCTAGCCTGGACTCATTCGGGCCCGCGCGCGGAGGTTTGATCCGAGGCGTCATGATCGCTCTAGTCTAATTCTACTGCGCGCTCATCACGGCAGGCCATCATCTGGGAAGGAAAATCGGCGAGGTGCCGATGCTCCCCAACACGATTTTTCCGACCACCTGCCAACGAGAGCAGAACGCGCTGTAGCATGTACAGGCTGTACCATGCGCGTCGAGATTCCGCTCTCATGCGCCACATGTATTGATAATGCGAAGACGAACCCTGGCTCACGAGCATATGTCCATCCATGGTAGTGCGCCTCCGCGCGTCCTCGGCGGTGCCGTGGCTGGCGTCGCCTCGTGATGTATTTCTCTGCCCGTTACACCCCACAGACCCGGACGCCTTATTCTGTCTCGAACTGTCCCGGCGGTCGCGATCTGTCGTTTTTGTGCGCTCTCGTTCATCTGGCCTTGTGGCGTTCGCGGCGTTTATGTGAGGCGTAGCAGATTTGGGAAGGTGCTTCTTCGAGCTTGGCGACATGGGTTCGTTGGGTGACGGCACTCTCGCAGGCGCGACTGCCCAAGCCTGAGCCATGTCTACATATACGATCATGAGACGGTTGAGTGACCTTCCCACGACTCCCAAGTCGTTGGTACTCTACCGACGATATCGCCATAGATATGGGCTACATGTCAGCGTGAGTCTCGAGCGTGAAGTTCTCGCTAGTACATTTGCGAAGATGTAACCCCAAACCCAACCCTAAGAGCTGAAATGGACACCCACTGCGCCATACACATCATCCTGTTTCATTATAACGTCACTCGTGAAGCGGCAATCACCGTCTGCGATGAACGAGAGATCTCGGCATATTGATCGGATGAACTCTATCGTAGGCATGAGGAAGATCTCAACACCTAATGATCATGACCTGCAATCCTTCATACAGAAGGCAGGTTCGGCGGTCGGCATTTCACGAATTCCATGTCTACAAAAAACGACACAGCGCGGCTGTTGTTCAACCACGACGTCATGTCCGAAAAACAATCAATGACCGGCATCCCAACATTCAACAGAGGATCATCATGATGGACGGCAGGACGCGCGGACATCGGGCATGAAACGGTTGTGATGCACCTGGCCGAGTCACGGCGGGTTCGGCATATGCACGTGAACGACGATCCCGCGCGAGGGAGAAACGCGCCTACGTGCGCTTCCCTGACTCATCTCGAGAGTCTCGGATGAAGACCACCATCCGCGCGGTGATGATGCACTTTCGATCGGGCTAAACTCGACATGGAGTATGCAAATGGAAATATTGTGAAGGTGGCAATCTGCAACATCATCATTATACTTACCACTACCGATGGCGATGACATTGATTCCACACTGCCACTTCACGCCGAGCGTTTCCTCTTGACTATCGTGTTACGCCGCGGATGCATTACGCGGCTCTGTCCCCTCAGACATCATGTATGCAGACACACGACATGCTGAATCCTTGGCAAGAGAGCTCGCATCTTCTATGCGGACGCCCGATGATATGATGTATTTGTGCGCTCAGAACGAATCCCCCTTCCGTGAGGCCCGTGTCAAGCTCAAGTCCTCATCGATCTGATCTCGGGCGGGAGTAGACGAACAGAACATGCACGAACACTGACATCATGCTTCTGCGTCAAGATAGAAGCTGGAGCTTCCCAGCTAGATGCCGGATAGCTGAGAGAAATGGTTCGCAAAGCACCGTATTTTTTGCCGCGAGTGACAGCGATCAGAATCTGTCAGTGTCTCCGAGACCACGAATCATTCCGACGAGCATCCCTACGTAATTCCAACACTGCCTGCGTATTCAACTCGGCATGTAGTGAACATGCAAGCCGGCCTGTCTGTTGGGCTCCGAAAGGAGCTGGACGGAAGTCAAAGATGACACCCGAAGGGAGGCGGAGGAATTTATTGATCTGACACCAATACCTTGACCGTCACAAGCACCCACACAGTCCGATGACCGAGTGCAAGTTATTGGAATCTGTCGAACATAAATTTCGGCGAAAGGTACATAGAATCTAAAGAACGACAAAGGGTATGCTTCTCGATTGCCGCCACCGCCGCCGCAGCAGCAGCGCATATCTGTAATAACGTGAATTCCCAACGCCAGGTCAGATAGAAGTGAAGTGGTGGTAGCAACGATAAAATGAGCTCAGCTCCGGGATTTCTTCGCACATGCTCAATTGCTGACCACCATCAAGGTCAAAATAAGTACCGACCCGCTCAACTTACGGGACCGTCTACTCCCCCCGAGCAGCTCGCCTTAAGCTTGCTTCTCACCTTTCCCGACCGCCGCGGATGCATCATCACTGCCCTCTACGGCCTTCTTCTCCGGTGCAGGAGCCGCCGCCCGGTCGACCCATCCCTCACCGTTCATCGAACTCAACAATTTACGGAAAACGCCCGAGTTGACCGCGGTGGGTCTGGCCTCGTGCACGGCGCTCGTCAGCGCCAATGCCGCCACGAACACCAGGACGTCGCCGTTCGGCACGCCCGTCCACCAGCCGTGCTTCTTGCCGACGCGGTAGGTGCTCTCGATGGTCGTCCGGGCCGAGTACAGGAAGGTGCTACGCTCGCCGTTGGAGGCGACAAAGGCCCACAGACCACCGAGGAAACCGCCGAGGAAGAACCGTTGTGTCGGCAGAGTGTTGCGGGGCAGGTAGTTGTTGAACAAGCAGATGGATGCCCAAGAGGTTCCGATGGATCCAGTGATGAAGACGGTCATGCGCAGGATGCGGGCGGAGAGTTTGTTGAGGAAGGGCCCTGGGGTTTTCAGCAGGGATTTGTATGCGAGGAGCGCGAAGGCGCCATAGACGATCGTGAAGAATTTGGCGACGGAAGGGAATGCGGCGATCCAGTAGCGGAGATACGTTCGGGCGCAGCTGGGGTCGTGGGGGTGGAGGAGAGCACAAGAGAGGTGGGTTGCGCCTGGGAAAGCTGGCGCGATGATCGGCTTCACCTTGTGAAGCGCAGGGGCCACAGCGAGGGCGGGAAGAGTCTCCTTGAGGCTGGGGAAGAGGATGGGAGAAACGAAGGCGGGCCACTTGAGCTTGGCGCAATCGGCCAAGGCGTCTACGATATCAAAGGTGCCCGGCCAGGCGCCATCTTTGGGGAAGCCCGCGGGTCGAAGCTGGATATATTCTGGCGAGCGCGCTAGAATGAAGCGACCGTAACTCTCCGGGAAGCAGTCCCGATCAAAGACAAACGCATGCAGCAGCTGTCCGCAAGCAAAGGGCATAATGAGCCAGCTGCCGAACCACCAGGGTCGCCCAGACTCCTCAGACCATAGATAGCCACCATCTGCCAAAGCATTGTAGCCGAATTCAAGACTACGCGAGAGGATGTAGATGACGATCGTCAGGCGCAACTGATCGGAGGGACTGACGCCGAGCAAAAAGCCTGCCAGCGAAGCGCCGATGGCTGGGGTATATGGAGAGGTGAGCGCGCGGGTGACGCCGGGGTTGCGCTTGCGGAATGGCTCTGCGTTGGCTTCCAGGAGGGAGGCTCTCAGCCGTTTGAAGAAGCGGAAGAGCAGGCGGTGGAAGAGGAGGATAGAGGAGAATGCCAACGCGATGCGAGCATTAGGATGTCGAACTGCGACCGCTGTGGAAGTAGGTGCCCCCGCGACCGTCACCGCCGCCGCTGGCGCAGCGCCTTTTCGGGCAGCCAGTGCCTTCTTCACACCTTCCCAGCTCTTGAAACCCAAGAAGATTGTGATGAAAACGCGAAGCGAGGTGCGCATGGCGTTGGCGTTGTATTCGCCGCCTTCGGTACGGCTTTCGGTAATCTTCTCATATCGCGGCGGGTTCGGCGTGCGCTGCTGTAGCTGCTTGGGGGCACGCGATATGAGGTATTGGTGTAAGAGTTCGTACTCCCGTGGGCTGATTGTGTATCGAAGCGCTGTGCGAGTGATAGGATCGAGCGGTCGACGACTGCCAGCGCTGCTGGTGGATTTCCCTGACGATGACATGGCGGTTCGAACTGCGACGAGAGGTCGCCTATCTGCTCGACTTTATTGTTGCAAATAATTCGCTCAGGAGGGAGAACTGGTCAAGAGCCAAATCCACGTCCAAGTCCGAGGCGAAGATATCCAGCTCGACACTAGTCGGAGGGAGTGACGACGATGTTGACCGGGAGGATTTTCCCTGGCAGGTTATCGTTGAATTATTGCCCAGGACAACCTCCGTAGCACGTGGCCGGGGACAACGATGATGAGCAGTGTCAGCGTCGGAGTAGGGTTTGGGCTTGGTGGCTGGACTTTTCGCCCACTCCATGTCAGTCGCTGATGAGCCGAGGTCCCCTTCCCCACAAAACCTCCGCAAACTCTTGCAGGAGGATCGGCGGTGGAGAAACGCTCTTGAGGGATGTTGCGCAGGACAAGTCCTGGAGTTATGATAGCTAAAGAGGCGCTGCGATAATCCTGTTGGAAGGCCAAGCCCACGATGTAGGTTGCTCTGCATGAAAAACAATAAAGCTGGATTATTATAATTCTACAATCACGAACCAGTCATGGATCGTTTCAATGGCTGAAGGTCTATCATGACGCGCTCGACATTTCTCAACGCCCGCAGTGCACTTTGACCTCGACTCCGCAAGCTGCATGGCGCGGGTTGTTGTATGGTATGGATTAGAATCGATATTGGCCTCGACGTTCGGTACAAGGTGAAGTAAGCTGCTCATACAGCTGACTTGTCGACGATCACCACATCAAGTGCTGTCGTCTGGTCGCGTTCACTATCTGAATAGTAGCCTGTTGATTGCAATCAGCCAGAGATTTTGTTAGCCATCAAGATGACTGCGCAGAGTTGTGCAGGGTCAAATGTCAGGGCAAGGGGATCACTTACCAACCACCGCCCATGGTGAAAATGCACAAAACACCGGTGAGAATTCCCGCGCCAGCCTGATCTCCTGTCGTGATAGCTCTCAGCGATTCTTCACCCTTTCTGGCCTTGTCGGCGCCTGTCCCTGCCAGTGGATCGCCTTTGCTGGTGCCACCAGTATCGCTTGTCACAGGTGCCGAGCTGTTCTTTCCTAGATTTGCACCGAGAATTTCTAGAGCAGCCATTTGTTGGCCAACGCCATAAGAGCCGTCCCATACAGGACCACCGGTGGACCATCTCATCCCGCAGGTGACGCCGTCCGTGCCTCCAGAGCATTGCTGGGCGGCAGCCTGAGCTGAGGCTTGTATGTAAGGCATCACAAGGGGTTTAAGAAAGGGCGCGAGGGCCATGGAAGCTGACAGCGAACGCGCGAGATATGCTTTGAAGCTGCAGATTGGAGAAGTCAGTGCGCTGCATCCTCCTTACATTTTGGAAAGTCGTAGTCTCCTACCTCTGTTGATCATGATTACAGGCTGCGCCGGCCGGATTCTCGCATACCTCAAACATGACATTCTGCTTGTCAAAGAAGAACTTTGCTGCATTCCAAAGTTCTAACGTTCGAGTTTGCCATTTGGTATCGTTAGTCGCTTTCCACAACGTCGCCGCTCCCTGAATCATGACACCCTGTTCACCACTTATCAGCTTTCACGCCTCGTGCAGCGTGTGACGTCTTTCATGGTGCTGACCTGGTTATATGTCCATCGCGTGTCATCGATTTGCGTGCAATTGAGGTTGTCCTTGAATTGTGCGCCGTCGTACACGATGTGAGCTGCGTCAATTAAGTGGACGTCTTCCATCCAATCAAACACTTTTTCTGCCCATGTCAGAAATGTGGCGTTGCCAGTGTAGGCGTACAGTCGCGAGGCCAGGTTGAAAAGGCCACCGTTGGCTAGAAAGAGTCAGTCAGCAGTGCTCAATCGAAGATTGTTGTGGGATGATGCCGACATGGAGTGTTTTTGTACGTGTAGCCCGGATTAGCGATTTGGATCTGCCACCGAAGTCCGCCTCCACAGTGGGCGCTATCCCATCGTGCTGCCTGGGAATTGAAGACGCCCTGTGCGAGCGCCAGCCATTGAGGTTTATCAGCCGGCGGGTCTGGAAATTTGTACTCGGCAGCCGCCATGACAGTGTATGCCCAAAACATTTGATCGTCGTTTCCGGCTGAAGTAGTTTGGTTGGGAGGCTGATCGGAATATTGTTAGCAATGGCATACTTGCATATGTCAATATAGAGTGTCGAGACCGGTTTGTCGATCTCGGATCATTGTGTCCGCTATGGATGTATAGAGGAGAATATGCGTACCAGGTAATTGTTGTCTGGTCCTGTCTGAAACAGTAACGCTTGCGAAGTGATAGCATTATAAGTTGAGTCGCCAGTATAGTGCCAGTAGTCTATTGATGAACTGTCAATCGGAGTCGGCTAGGAAGCAGCGATATAGAAAAATCGTACTGATAAGTGCGTTGAACATCGCGCCTGCAATCCACCAATAATAGCCGTCGACGATTCCTGGAATCTTGCCCGTTTCATTTCCATGGTAGAACTGCACCAGACCATGGGCGATAATCGCTGCATTCTTCTTAACGGATTCTAACCAGCAAGGAAAGCGTTAGATTGTGTCGATCAAGACTGTGACGAATGAGTACCCACCTGGATCATGGACGTCGACGGTGAGTGCTAACGTAGAAGTCGTGAGAATACTGGTCAACACGGTCAATAGTGTCAGTCGCCCGCTTGTGAAGAATTTCATGATCGAATCATCGACACTGATGTTGTTACACTCGTAGCTCGGGAATCCTTGTCTATAAGGACGTCAAAGAGCAAGATTCTACCAAAGTTAATGACGAAGAGGAAACATTTACTATAATAAGGCGTCAAACACAGCATTGCGAATACTCAGCTCAGAATTTACGATCAGAACACGAATGAAGTTTGCAGCGCGAACCTGGCCTATCGAACTGGAGAGATAATAGGAAGTTTCAAAGGGATGAACTCCGCTCAGTCGATCGCGACGAAGATGAAACTCCTGTGCCACGTGTTGTAGGCGAACGGACACAGAACAGGCGCGTGTGCAGAACAGCTCTTCTATGGACGCAATCTATTCCTGCTTACGCCGGCGCTGTTGAAACTTCCTCTGAACAAGATAGCCAAGGATAGCTTTTGGTGGGCCACTGACGGCGCGACAGTGAGATCGGTAGCGCCTCGAATGTGCGCGGCTCGGCGCTGATAAAAGAATCAATCATCACATGCAGTAAACCTGTTGCGGATGTGGTTGAATGCGACTTCATGGCGTTGGGTCCCGAGGTCGTTTGTATACCGATTGGGCTCGGCCAGGAATTGCAGGACAAATGTCCAGATGATGCCCAGGCTGAACTTGGTCGTCGATCACCTGTGATTGAGCGCGGGCGCAATCCGCACCGCGCTATTCAAGCCGCCGCGTCCACAATCCCGGCACAAATCGCAGCCGCACCAACCTGCTGGGCCAGTGGCCTATTTCATAATTTGGTAACATGATAAGATGGAAGTAACGACAAGAATGATGTCTCTTGTGCACATATGAGTGTTGCCGACTACAACGCAAAGGATGACCGAGACAAAACACTACAATCTCGTACCGCTTCTGCAAACTTTCATTCTTTACTTCCAAGCTTCTGTACATACCTACGTGCCTGGGTAGGTAGGTGTACTGTCCTGCTTTACTTCCGCGAAACATGTTTGCCCACGCGGGCATCCCAGAGCTATCGCTCTACAGTACATGTACATTCACATGCATCCCACATCTATCGTTCACATGTTGAGACATGACAGTGCGACAGCAAAACGTGGGTGCGCACTAAACGTCTTCAGGACCATGATTCCGCACGGCCGTAGAGCGTCAGATGCACAAAACAACATGAGAAACACGTCGTTTGTGTCCGAGGCATTCGCTGCCGTTTACTCCGCACCTGAGCCAGAATTCTTTGGGAGCCCTGGACGGGAAGTGTTCTCTTCCGCTGGCTGAATTACTCCCGCGGTCACACGTTCTGCTATATCACACGCCTTGGTTGCGCGATTTCCGTCCTGAGAATTTTGAGCGGCCTGACGAGGGCTGTTGCCACTGAAGTGCATGCTGCGTTGTGCTGTAAATCTTTGATCCGCCTGACGTAGTTGAGAAAATTAGTCCCGAGTCAAAATACCTCGCGGAACAGAATGGAAATCGACAAAAGGCATCTGAACACTAGAATCCCGCCCCGGTTTGTTCCCGAGCGATGCATCTGAGCAGGTACCAGCAGTTTCTGGCGAGGATATGAACCAATGGGGTTCGTGGGAAACAGCCCGTCTCCACGCTTTGTTTCCGACGGCGGCGTGGGTGTTCAACGGGCTCGATCTGCCCCGGCGGCTTCGGCTCATCGAATAGAATTCCAAGACGAATTTTCTATCCCTGTTGGTTGATCTGTCTGGATTTTGAGAATCATTTCGTCTCCATCACATACGAACACAACACGCATCGTGTTATTTTGAACCTTTCACGACTTACGACATTGTACCTCACGTTCCTTTTCAACGATTACGAGTCAGCCCGACATAGAGACACCACACATCCGGGAAGAAAATCGCGCGACAGCAACGACTTGATTTTGCTCTGTCACCTAATCACAGTCATATACCATCGAGAGAAAGGAAATAGCCATTAGAGTACTGCAACTATGCGCATCTTCTCCTCATCACACGAGTTCGACTATTCTTGGGACGAAGTCAGCACAGCCAACTGGCGTAAATACTGTCCGTGGAACGACAAATCAACCCACGTTATCGCCGTCGACACTCTCTCACGGAATGTCGATCCTTCCACTGGCATCCTACGCACCGAGAGACTCATCACCTGCAAACAGTCCGCACCTCAGTGGCTGCGCAGCTTCCTCGGCAGCCAGGACACCAGCATGGTCTACGAGGTCTCCTACGTCGACCCCCGCGCCCAGAAAGTCGTCATGTGCAGTCAGAATCTGACATGGAGCGAGCTCATCAGTGTACAAGAGACGGTCGTCTACAGACCTGCTCCCACACCCCGGCATACGATTTTCGAACAGCAGGCCAAGATCGTCGCCCTCTGCGGCGGATGGCAGAAGATCAAGAGCACCATTGAGGAGTTCACCGTCGATCGCTTTGGGCAAAATGCGGCAAAGGGAAGAGAAGGGTTCGAGCGAGTCTTGGCTATCAGCCGGGAAGTGTTTGCCGAGGAGCGCCGCAGGCAACAGGCTGGCCGGATGGCTGCCGCTGCTTGAGTCGGATGATAGAAGCAGGGGGAATTCAAGGCTGTGATCACTAAAAAGGATGGTTTGGGATTGATTTTTGAAGGAATCTGTTTTATTGTGAAGATTTGAAAGTTCAGCATGGCGTTTCGGCGAAAGTTACAAAACTTTATTTGCACATATTCGAGGCACAGCAAGGGAACAGGCTTCTGGGAAAAAGAGACGACATATAGATTTGGCATTCTGATACCCGCGGACTGATTGGCGCGTTCGCATAGATTCGAAATTAGATCTCTACTTCGTTTTTGGCAGTTAGTGAACAAGCTCTCGACTTCAACTTGGGTGTCAGATGCTTACAACTACCGAGGTTGTCTGGATCGAGGATCTTGTACCATATCCAGAGTGCATGTTGATGACGGTAACATTGTAGTATCTCCTCGTCTCGATCTTTGAGGTCTGACTCCACCGCATATTACGCCACTCGCTCCGGAATGACCAAATTGAACAGACGATCGCTAGAGACTTCAAGCATCCACTTTACTTATCACTTACCAGAATCAAGTTTACATGATTATATACTGATGTTAGAAGTTTTCTATGAACTGCACATGTTACATTTATTTAGAGACCCCGCTTATCCGACCTGCCCGCTCAGGCTGAACATGTCCCTGACCCTCCATGACCGCGCGAACTCTCTTCTCGAACGCCTCAATCATCTTGTCCGCGACTCGCGGCGCCGCCGCTTTGCTCAGCGCTGCGTATAGTGGATTGGCGAAGGAAAACTCAATATCGAGATGAACCTGCGTCCTGTCTTGCGAACGTGCATCCCCTGACTCATGCACGTTCTTCTGGTAGGTCGTGGCGTCGATGGCGTCGGCCGGAGGAGGCTTGTAGGGATAAGGGCTGAGTGTCCACCGTGTACGGAGGTGCGCCATGGCAGTGCTTCGACGTGAGGGATCCTGGTCGGGCGATGGCCGGGCGGAGTGATGCGCGACTTCGGCACTTCCTTCGAGCGCGCTGAGAGTATTTCCGCTGACGGCCTCGACGATCTTGCCTGGCACACAGTAGACGCGCGAGGTAAACTCTTCGCTGATATCGTTGTTGAAGCCAATCAATAGTTTGGCTTCTTCCGGGTAAGATTTGCCATCTTTCGCTGTCGGAGATGAATGTTTGGTGACGATGCTGCCTTGACAGAATGGAACGAATTGGCTATATGCGCCTACATCCGAGATCACGGTGTAGATTACACTGGGTGGACATGTGAGGGTGCGTGTCGCAGAGAGAGTTTGGTGGGTCTGGCTTTTGTTGCTCAAGATATCTGCGAGGAAAGTCCGGCGCTGCGGTATGATTTGTTTCTGTGTGCCTGTGATGAACGCCGTCCTGCATGTCGATGATGTGGCCAGCGTTGCACGACTTGAGAGCGCCTGAGAGGCGATAGATAGGGGACGGATGGCTTTCATAGTTGCTATGTGATAAAGTTGTGTGTCTGGGAGCGAGAGAGGAAATTAATGTTTTCCGCGCGAGCTTGTAGCTAAATCCAATGCCTTTCATGGCATCATACATCTGTTTCGGCTTTACTATCTCGAGGAGGCTTTAAATCCGGCGCCAGGCCGCGGGAATGAGCCGAATGTTTGAAACACCTGAGGCACGAGCCATTGATGATTGTCGGTGTAGCACAAGATTGCGATTAGAATTGTAGCACAGCATTGCATTCTTTTCGCCCGTACAGAACGCATCTCTGCGCGTGAAAAAAAGAGAGAGACACGTCAGTCAAAGCATGCCGGTTGCATAACAAGAGTTCGTTCCTCAACAAGATCCATCTGGGAGAGAATCCTCCTTCAAAAGCGGCATCACAATGTCGTCCTCGTTGCCCGGCAGCCGGGAAATGCCCGCTTCAAGATATGATTTGAGCACGTATTGGGGCCGCGTCAAGCATTCTGCCGACATCTCCGATCCGAGGTAAGGAAGACGAAGCGTGAGGTGGGAAGCTCGCGAATGATTGTAGAATTTCATTGTCTCGACGGACTGAGGGCGACAGTGCAGAGTGTTTGGTTCTGGCGGTACCGCAACCGTTCTTTTTCGTGAGAACTTGGCTCTCATGCTAATGCTGACTCGCAGGACATTGTTTACATCAAACGCGAGTCTCGAGAATGCAAAAAATCTTATCACACGATACAAGGAGGGAACAATTCCGACCATGTCCCCTGAGCTATGGCAGGCAAAGAAGATCGTCGATTCTACGTTGCATCCTGGTAAGTAGGCTCTCCAGAATGTTACACACTCCTTGAGTAGACTTCTGATCATCTTCCGTCCTCTCCAGATACCGGTCTGCCTGTGTTCCTCCCGTTCCGCATGTCTTCATTCGTTCTCTCCAATTTGGTCGTGACGGCAGGCATGCTTACGCCCAACCTCACGACCTTCGGCACCATTGGCTGGCAGATTGCCAATCAGTCACTTAACGTTGCGATCAACTTTTCCAACGCGAACAAGTCGACGCCGATGGCCACCTCCTCCATCATCCAATCCTACTTCCTTGCGGTTGGTGCTAGCTGTGGTGTCGCTGTGGGTCTCAATTCCCTAGTTCCGCGTCTACGGGGCCTCAGCCCGAGCACTCGTACACTGCTCGGCCGCTTGGTCCCCTTCGCCGCAGTCGCTAGTGCCGGTGCTTTGAACGTTTTTCTCATGCGCGGCGAGGAGATCCGACAGGGAATCTACGTCTACCCGGCGGAGTCCGAAACCGCTCGTTTGAAGCGGGAAGCTGCAGGTCTTCCTCTCGAGCCTCTCGGTAAGAGCAAAAAGGCAGCAACGATTGCAGTGGCGGAGACAGCAGTCTCCCGAGTGCTCAACTCCAGCCCGATCATGGTCATCCCGCCGTTGGTGTTGGTGCAATTGCAGCAGACGGAATGGCTCCAAGCGCGACCACGTCTGGTACTGCCGATCAACCTTGGTCTCATCTTGACTACGAGTCTGTTCGCATTGCCGTTAGCTTTGGCGGCATTCCCTCAGAGACAGGCTGTGCGCGCAACGAGCTTGGAAAAGGAATTTTGGGAGGTCGGCGGCGAGGGCGGCATGGTCGAATTTAATCGCGGCATTTGAGAGCTGTACAGAGGGGAGCGGTCGATACCGAAGTTCATTGGCCATCACAGATATGTGGACAAATGCATCTTCAGAAATAGATCCGTAAATGTAGAAATTTCACGATCCGGCTCAGACGGGTCGTTGGCGTTGTATTTCCGCGATCTGGATTGGATTGGCGAAGCACTCATAGCATTGTGTTTGTTATTGAGGAGAAATACGATTCTCATGATGGCCTTGCATAGATGGGAATAGTATCATCACCCGAGATTATTCCCAAATGTTGTGCTTCGTCCTCCATGGTGTGTGCTGGCATCGTACAATCCATGGATGTCTGTCTCCTCAAGCGACACTCCTCTCATCGCGGCTACCGCGTGTAGGGCTTGCGGCATGATTCGCAGCATCCAATCATGCGATTTCTGATATATGTGAAACAAGTGAAAGCACTTCATAAGACCTGAAAGTTATATCTGCACAATTCATGCTATCGTCGACTTCGCCTGGACATGGCTAATGAGTGAATCGCGCGATCGCGCTTCATATCAGCTTGTGAATGTGAAAGTCAACCACATTATGCCTGGTGTCCCGACCTCAAGATACTCCTCCCTGACAATCCATTGAAGCACTTGTCACAGCATGTCTACCATCGCTTGGCCGCCACCGCAGGCTACCGACGCGCCTGAATTATCTACAGAGCAAATTGCCCGCAAGGTTCAAGCGACGACAGCTCGCGAGCTTGTTTGGCTACTTTCTTCGTTACAAGAAACACTAGTATCACTAAAGGATGGCCTCGCATCCTGCGCGATTCTGCTCGCTCCCCAAGAACCAGGATCCACACTCGTATTGTCCTCCCATCGCAGTGAGGCTTTGAAAGGATTCGTCAATCGCGTCGGTGCACGCCTCGTTAAGGGCGAGATTCATCTTCGACTTCCTCCTCTACTGCCTGTTCCGCGTGGGCAATCTAGCTTTCGAATCTCAATCTCCAACCTCCCGACCTCAGCGACCGTCGTCCTTGAACAGCTCACTACTGCACGCACGTTGATTAATGGCTCACTTGACGTGATCGATGCCACTCGCTGGACTGGGGATGCACATAATCCAGCGTTCCTCGCCGGGCAACTCCGTCTTCTTCATGAACACATCCAGGACGCGCGCGCTGCACTTCAAGGCGACGCTGATGTAGCTGCGGCCTGGCCGACTTCGTCCATAGATACCACTGCCTTCCACCCGACACTCCCGAAGAACCTTTCCCTCCATCTCCACATTGCCGACGCCGCTCTCATCCTCACTGCTCGCACTCTCGAGCCAGCCAACGGCATGCTGACACCACATCACGCGCCCTCTGGGTCCCGACCTACCACCGCCTCCTCCATGAATCCTCCATCAAATCAACCACTGTTTGGTGGGTTTTCTTTCCGCGACCGTCTGGCGACTGCCCTGGGCGCTGCGCCTCGTCCACTGCATGACGAAGCAGGCGAAATCTTCACTTTTCATGGCGAGACCTTTCGTGTACGAGACAAGGTGCGCGTGGAAAGTCAAGATCCGAGCCTGATGGCGGCATTGGCCAAACTCAGTGCCTTGGAACGTAGCGTAGCGTTGTCAAGGAGAGCATTAAGGATAGTCATGGGCGGCACCGGCGAGGAGGATGAAGAGTGAATATAAATGTATATATGTGTGCTGTGAAATAAATGTGTATTGTGTATTGGTTCGTCATGTATGTTGCGCTCTTCCCTCATGGTTTACATGTGTATTGTCCTGTTGCCAACCGGGCGTCCAAATATATGTTCAGACTCGGTTCGCTACCAGACATACCACTCTCCGGACGATCGCACACGGCGATAATGATTCAAATAAAGTTATGATTAAAATTCGTGCCGCTCGATCATCGCGACTTCTGTTCTAAATCGCCTCTGCAAGTTACGCTCAACCACAACAAATATCCAGAAATCCCAGAGCTCCACCCTGATCAGTGGCTTACGAATGAGCGCTGCTCGAGGTTCATCGTATCGCCTCATCTCTTTGTCTTCTGAGTCCTCTTCAAGATAAATGCCTGATGCCCTGCCTCCATTCGATGGGGGTCATGGCGCGGGGATTGAAGTCATATGTGTTGCTCCAGTTTGTCCGCATGGCTGAGCGGAAACTAGCATGCGCTGAAAATCCAGCGTCGAAGCCATATTATAGCGATCGGCAATTAATTAAAGCAAAACCGACCAGCGTCGACTCTTTATCCATAAAACAGGCTTTCACGCCGAGCATGTTCGTATGGTTATGCCTTCACAGCGCCACGACAACACGTCTGTCGCGCCTCTTTGTGGCATTCGTCGCTCTGCCTCCTCGGCGACCTTGTCCCAGAAATCTGTTTGTCTCTGCTGGCCAAATGCGAGATCGGTGCTTCGTATTCAGCTGGTGTTTAGTCGTCATGTTCATGTTGCAATCCCTAAGTCGTGTGAGGCTTCTCCAGCGGCTCATCCCTAATAATCTTATCAAATCATGCGGCTCATCGACTTCATTTCCCGTTCTTTGGAGATGCCACGGTAGTAGTCCCCGGCTTGGATGCGGCAGCGGCGCTGGTGCCATTCGGCAGTCTCTTCCCAAACATGCCCTTCACGCGCGCCATGATAGGAAGCACTGTCCACCTCGCAAACCACGGAGTCAAGCTGACGCTGAGCAACAATCTCAAGGGCAAGAAAGCCTTAGTGATGGCATAGGCTGTGGCTAATTCGACCACAATCCGTACGCCCGATTCACCACGCCCCCACCATGCCCCTGCTGCACCTCCTTGTCCATCGTCGCCAATCCAACCACGCTTGCGCATCCAATTCCCGAACATGACAACACCTTCGCTAACCCATTTGCCTTCGCTGATGTATGGTGGAAGCCAATTGTAATAGTGGAATCCTGCGGCCAGACCAAAGAGTGGAATTATCGCAGTCAGCTCGTGTAAAACAAGGAATGCCGTGACATGGCTCAAGGGTGCTGCGCGCAGGGGAGAGAGATAGCGAAGGAGGAACCGAGGCAGGCGGCGCTCCATCCGAGAGAGCCGCGAGGACGCATCTTTCGCGGCATCCTTTGCAGCATCTTTCGCGGCGCCTGTCACTGTGGATTTGGAGGTGCTCCCAGCAGTCTTTGATGCTGACGATAAGGAGGAAGTGCTCGTGACTGGGCTAGTTGGCTTTGCACTGCTAATGAATCGCCTTGAGAAGAGAATGCGCTGTCGCAGGAGACTTGAATGGCGTGTGAACAGCATGGTGAATGCAAGTAATCGGATGATGACTGTGGTGGAAAAAGCTCAGAAGTGAGTCCGGGATGAGGACGTTGATCACTGGCGTGGCCGATGGAGAGCGGTTCACACGAGCGCACCCATCAATTTCGCCTCTGGGATACGCACGCAGTTTATTTGTGCTTGTCGTTGGCGTTACTCTGCCCTTGTCATCGGGAAAAGAGTTGACGACTGGGTGACGGCATTCGGCGCGCTTGAAAGCCAGCGCGCTTGATTTCAATCTCATGACATCACTTGCGCTGAACATTTGTAGTGAAACGCATTGACTTTGGTAGGGTTGTACGACTTCTCAATGCACCCCAATCTCTCGTCACTCTACAAACTCATCCATGACTGGTACCCAATTCCCTTATCATCCTATATTTACGTCGGGATAGAGACGCACAAACAATAAATATGGGATCGTCAGCATCCAAGACGGCCCAAGCCGCAGGCAGCGCAGCACGACGTTATCCCAGCAAAGCCGGACCCGCGACAAGCATTCCCAAGCCGACCAACGCATCACGCGCGACGCCGTCACCGCCTCAACAACAGAAACCGCCAATGCCTCGAGCGAGCGGCAGTCGCAATGCCGCGATCAACGAGGATGCTTCAGATCCAGACTTCGCCCGCTCTCTCCGCTCCATTGGCCCCGTTCAGCCCAATCCCACACTTTCGCCATCCTCGATCTTCCCTTCGACTGGCCAGCCGAACGCAAACCAGAGGTCCGGTCCTGATCCCCGTCAGAATCCGGCTTTGTTTGTATTGGAACGACGAGCCAAACTTCAAGAGCAGGCGGATCGAGAAGCTATCGAGACCGGAACCAGAGGCCATGAAGGCAGGCAGTTCTTGGAAATGTATCTCATCAAGCAGATACTTCAGGCGAGAGACCAGGCAGGTAAGAAGCCGGAGGAGATTGAGAGAGCTATGGGCTTGAAAGCTGGTGTTGTGGCGAGACTTGGAAGTGCTGGAACAGTCGAATTACCATCCGAGATGGGCCGAGCGCAAAAGCAAGTTGAGATCGTGTAGTGAGGAGATTCTTCGAAGTTGGATACCAGTCTCACAGATGAGCCGTGGTTGAAAGGACAGACCTGGATGGATCAAGTACTCTCTCGACTTCATGCGAGGTCCGGATTACCAAGCGAAATCTATGCGTCGCAAAACGTCCATCGGGAAGACCAACACACCGCAGCTTTGAGCGACGCATTGTATCTACAGCTGCACGGGATACTCTGACGAACCAGTCCCATGCTGAACTGGGGATATCGAGGAGCTATCTCACCACAGTATGCTTCTGCCATCACCTCAGCGGTTGTCTGTCACCAGACCACATCCTCACAAATGGCCCCCATCATTTGATGTGATACAGAGACTGATGACTGCTGAGCGAAGAAGTTCCTCGGCGAGACCAGCAAGACGCCTTGCTCTCGGATCAAGATTGATTCAGTGACTGTTCCAGCATTCAAAGGCTTCAACGATGGTTTCTGCGGTGGCATGAGAGAGGAAATATACGCAATGAGCGTGCCAGACGTCTGACGTGATGCTGAATATATATTCAGCACGGCGTCATTGTATTCGACGTCCATCCATCAGAAACACGAGGCGGATGGTGAGGACCATTGCCCTGTATTCCTGATAAACCGGAATTTGACTGCGTCAATTTTGGGTCGAAATGCCATTGCATCGATTGTGCCTGATTGAAGCATCGGGCCGATCTGAACGCCCGACAAAAATTATTGATCGCGCGATCGCAAATGATTAGCTCTATGCAGTCAACACATAATTTTTATCTACTTGTTCTAAGCGACAATCCCGCTGGCGTCTTTCTCCTTCTTCTCTTCCTTCTCTCCTTTGCCAGTGCCACCGCCCTCGTGAATTTCCTTCAACACGCTTGCAATCTCCACCAGAAATCTATCAACTTCTTTCTCAGTGCCAACAGTGATACGGAGACACCCAAGACATCCGTGCTCCTTGCCTCGGAAACGAACGACAACGCCACGGTTCTCAGCAAGGCGCTCGTAGACTTGCAGGGCCACAGGATTGCTCGGCTGTCCAGTAGCCTGATCGAGCATCTCCACCAGCAAGAAATTGCTCGCCGCTCCGCCACGGAAACGCCCCACGCCAGAAATCTTGGGCATCTCCGCGAGCAGCCGTTCACGTTGTGTGAGGATCTGCTTGCGGTTTTCGTGCATGATCGCGAGACTCGCGGGTCGGAGAGCGTGCTGTGCGAGCTGAGATGTCGGGTTCGCGATGTTGTAGGGAGCTTTCAAGCTGTTGAGCAGGCGGGCGATGGGAGGACTGGTGAAGGCCGCACCCAGACGGATTCCCGCAAGGCCGAATGCCTTTGAAAGCGTCTGCATGACGACGAGGTTAGGGTAGGAAGTGACGAGAGGCGCGAGCGAGGAGTTCTCGGGCGCGAAATCGATGTAGGCTTCATCCAAGACGACGATTCCGTTCCATGTCGGGTGTGCGAGGAGTTGCTCGACCGCGCCTGACTCGACTAGGCTGGCGGTTGGGTTTCCTGGGCTGCAGAGATAGACCAATTTGACCGTTGGGTCGGCGCTCAAGGCGGCGGCAATCTTGTCAGGTTGAGCACGGAAGTCGTGGGCGTCGTCGAGTGGGACTTTGGTAATGCCAACGTCGTTGACACAGGCGGACACGGCATACATGCCATAGGTGGGAGGGCAGGTTAGGATTTTGTCCTTGCCTGGCACACAGAAGGCTCGCAGTAACGCATCGATCGCTTCATCACTGCCTACGCCAACGAAAAGGTTGTCTGGAGTGAGCTTCTTCTGAGGATCTTGGGTTGTATTGCGTAGATCGCAAAGCATCTGCTTCAGGTCGGTTTGGTGCCTAGTGAGTTCGCTTCAGAACACGGTCCCTCTTGCAATGAAGAGCATCCTGCAGGGAATAACGGCTTACGGGTCGGGATAGCGATTGAGACCAAGCAGGTCAATGTGCAGCTCGCCCGCGGCGGATGATTCGCCATTGGCGGCGGCGGCGATTTGGCCGTCTTTGTTCAGAGACAATCCAGGACCGTAGGCGTTCTCATTGGCATCGAGCAAGATATTCGTGCCATCATCCTTGTAGTCACTGACAAAAAATGTATCGTCAGTACATGTCAATGCCAGGCCGTTGAATGCCGATCTTCGGCCCATGGCACGTACTCTCGGGCGCAACGATACGGCTCGAGCGCCAGGATATTCGGCCGCGCACAGGTGTTGATGTCGAAGGGCATATTTGTATCACTTGGTTTCGAAGATTCTGTGTAAGAGGAAGTTCGTGGTGCCGAAGATAACGTTAATATATATAAATATGGAGGAGTCAGTAGAACAGTCATATCTTTTTTATTTTCCAATTCCGTATGATTTGCCTACTGACACCATGTATGACTACCATTGAGGGTTGATCGCCATGCACGCTATTTCACAGACTGTCACACCCCCCCGTCGTAGTAACGCCGTTACCGCCGCCTCCGCCTCAACAAGAAAAAAGTTCATTCAATGCACACACACCTGCAGGTAAGCGGCGGGCCCAGGATTCCTGGAAATCACATCATATCCTTATATGGTACTTCCCTTTCCATGTAGAAAGTTTCCACATCACATTTCATGTCCTCAAGATCAATCTGTTCTTCACATCTTCAATGTGAAGAAATAACAAGGTGTGTGCAGACAAAGGCTCACCCTGCCCGAATTCCCATGAATTCCACCATTCTTCCCGTCGTCCGACCCTCTGACGTAGCAGTTAGCTTTCTCTCCCCTGTCGCAAGGTTTCCCTGCCCTGTGCCTACGGACTCGTCTGGTCCATTTACCACCACCACTCTTGGATATCTTCACCAAAATTGCGCTCGATTAGACACCTAGAACCGATCGGGATCGCTCGCTATGCCCGTCAAACATCACGGCGTGCCCTTCGACTGTGGTCGAGCACTACGGACCATCCTTGACGATGTTCTGATTCAACAGCCGCCTCTCTGCAACTCACCGCGAAGCGTGAGGACGGTCGCACGCCAGCACAACACTTCACTTGGTCTGGTAGGTAGCCACGGCCCACAACAACAGATCCGTGGCTTTCACGACTACTTTGTCACGCATCTTCCCAAATCTTCGGTCGCTCCCGATCGTGCGCCACTCGCGACGCATCACAAATTGCCACGATCCGACTCGAAGCCGCACGATGGTCCGTTGCGCCGCAGTAGCGCTCTGCTCCCACATTCTGCCTCTGCCACAGCGGCTGCGCCACCGAAAGACACCACGGTCGTGCGGATACCTCTCAAGAGCGCAAAGCATCATTTCGGCGCTGGTGTGAGTCGTGGCAGTCGCCCATACAATGAAGACACTTACCAGGCCGGGACTGTCGAACTCCCTGCATTCGCCACACGGCAGCCGGTGAGTCTCAGTCTGCGGCCAGGCAGTAGCGATGGGAACATCGCAGCACCTGGCGAAACAGGCGACCCCCAGGTCTTCTACTTTGGTGTATTCGACGGACATGGTGGCAAGGAATGCTCGGAATTTCTGCGTGAACGGCTACATGCATATGTAGAAGAGACCGCACTGCTCTTTGGCATGGAGAGTAGCTTACAGGACCAAGACGAATCATATATGCAGGGCGGTGTCATGGGCGAACAGGATCCGGAGGATCTGCAGAAAAGTCTGGTGAGCAGCTGGCGAGAGACCGTCGGTGGATACTTTAAGCGCTTCAAGCCCGAGCATTTCCCAGCTGTAGTGGATGCGGACAATCAGGAATGGCGAAACCATAGCACCATTGAGACTATCCTCACGTATGCCTTTCTGAAGGCTGACCTGGACTTCACGACCGCTCAGGCTGCGAAGCACACCGCTGCTGCGGCCGAAGCTACCAAAAACGCCGACGAAACGCGCAAATCGAGCTCAATGGACGATCCAGTACTAGCAGACCGCCCACTGAACGATAACGATATGCTATTTCATCCGGAGCGAGAAGCCTCCCAAAATCTCTCCAAAAAGCCACGCCCAAACTCTCGTGGTTCATCACCGAACCTCGACAGCCCCATAGGCGGCAGTACACGATTTCAGGGGGGATCGACTGCATCTGTTGCACTTGTCTCGACACCCACGCCAGTTCCATTCTGGCACCCTGCCACCGCCAGTACGCTTGTAGTTGCTCATGTCGGCGACACTCGCGTGCTGCTCTGCCGCACTTCTGACGGCGCAGCCGTGCCGCTGACGTCTAATCACCATCCTTCGATGCAAACGGAGGCGAATCGCTTACGCCGCTTCGCCACCTCATTCGTAACGGACAGTTTCGGGGAGGAGCGAGTCCTAGGCCTAGCCAACACGCGTGCTTTCGGCGACATTGGCAGTAAAAGAATTGGTGTCTCTGCAGAGCCGCAAATCACCACAACACAGCTGCCGCCGGCGGGATATGCATTCATGGTGCTCGTCAGCGATGGCGTGTCCGGGCATCTAGAGGATCAGGAGATCGTGGACATTGTCAAAGATGCCAAAACTCCCGCGCAGGCCGCGGAAAGTCTGGTTAGCTTTGCTGTCGAGGTGTCTGGGGACGCAGACAACGCAACAGCTTTGGTGGTGAGATTGGGTGGATGGGAGCGAAGGAGTGAGGGCGGAGGAGGAAGTTTGCGGACTAAGGAGCGGAGAGACTTCCGCCGGCAAGAGGCGATGGATCCGCGGTCGAGGCGACAGTGATTTATAGATGTAGATTGTTCTTTTCGAAAAGCGGGTGTGCTTTTTGCAATATTCCTACATCACACCTAATAAATAACCGGATGGAGATGGGTTCATTTGTTAGAACACCTGGACATTGATGAAAACAACCAAGGGTTACAGAAAACTTCATGTTATTGAGATTTCTTTCCACTTTGCCGGGATGACGACTCAACGAGCTTCATCGATTCATGCTTACACGAGAACCAAGATAGCTATAAGATTGTGTCTATCCCGAAGAAATGCCATCGGCCTGCGATGTCTATGTCCGCGCGAACGTTGATGATCAACCGTCTGGTGCGCACACGAATTGTTATCGATAAGAACATCTCGGGCGCGACTCCGCTGGTTCATCGATCTCCACGTAGTGCGGACCCCTGGAGGTACAATTCAGGTACCGTTCAGGGCAAAATTGACCTCGGGAACTCCCAATTAGGAAAGCCATGATTGACAATTGTGTGTAATAAATGTATTGTGCAAATCGTGCGAAGCCCAATGCGCCCCTGGCCGCCTATCGGAATATGTGGTAGACAAGCAATATCGCGATCCTTCAACGAGTGATAGCAGTACCGAATGACAGCGACAGCGACCGAACGGGTCACAAGTGCTTTTGATAATTCAGATGCAGCCCCGGCAGCAGCGCCTGCTTTTGCAGGTCGGCGCATTCGCCTTCATCATCGGCATAATTTATTTCACCTATACTGGCGGACAACATCAGATAATTCCGGCGGCTGGTAAAAGCGCTCTCGGACAATCAAGCACCAAGTCAACGTCTCCACCAAAGTCATCGTCATCTCGACCATATTTGTTCATCTTGTACGTGGAGCAACCGATGAGCGGCGGGCCCAGATCAATCAATGATCGAGAGCGCCCGCTCGACCTGCTTCCCCTTGAAATGACCTGACTGACGAACATATCAAAGTGGCGACTCCTACTCGTCGCATTCGCACGCTGGCTTCGTCCCGAGCGCGCCTCTTCAGCCGACCGAAGAGAATCCTACTGGCTACCTGCCCGCGAACAAAGACGAAGGGACTTTCTCGGGCGGCGACATCTGGGTTGACATCTATCTCAAGAATGCGCCCAAGGGCACCTTCGTACACAACTATGCCACTCCCGGGAACGTCGTCAACTACACCCGACTTGGCACGCATTTCGATCCGCTCCTCATGGCTATCGTCTCGCCGGTCAAGGACATGGTTACTCAACTCGAGCATTTCGAGACGATTCACAGCAAGACGGTCCCGTGGAAGGGCGACGACAGTATTTTCTTCAATTGGTTTGGGGTGTAAGTCGCTGGTACAGATGGGGCCTCACTTGGGGATTCTCTGATTACTAACCATTTTCCAGGAACGATCTGACCGCGACACAATTACATTCCAAGCTTCCGCAGGATGAGATGGAGCTGCTGATCGAAGCACAGGTGAGCAGAGTTTGACGATACTCCAAGCTCAAATACTTACGATAAGCCTAGGTTGGCGACTTTTGGACTCTGGTGCGCAGGCAATATGCACAGGGAGCGCGAAACTTCGTCCACATACTCGTCCCGCGTAAGTCTGAACCCAGATCCTCCCAAGGCCACAGAAACAAATCCCCAATATAAAACAACTTCAATCACTAACATTTCCCTCGTGCGCCCAGCAATGGAACGCGTCCCATCCTACGCCGACTTCAACCCCGCCATGAAGCCCCTCGCACAGCATCTAACCAAGACTTGGAGCGACGTCTTCCGGAAAGGCAACAAGGACTTCCTTCGCGAGCACCCGGAAGCCACGTCTATTGTCTTCGAGACGGCCGAGGTCTTCAATGAGATCATGGACCATTACAAAGAGTACGGTGCGCGCAATGATAATTGCTTCAGCTATGGCAAGGATACTCTTTGTTTGTGGTATGACTTCTTACATCCGGGCGAGTTGATCCAGCGGGAGATGGGGAAGCGGATTTTTGAGAAGTCTAAGAAGATTTTCGGACTTTGATGGTGGCGTTGTCTGAAGATTTGTACGATTTAATTTGTGTTTCATGATTCATGCAGAGTACGAGTCGTTCTACACTCATGGCAAAAACCAGACATCGACGCGTCTACTGTGCATTGATGTCGAGAGCCATCAGCTCGTGTGCAGTCTCTATCATCGGCACATCGTCGTCCGCGAAGGGTGGCCCACAAATTCCACCCACTTGATAAGCCGGTCCTGGATCCGCTTCGAGAAATTGGTCATAATCCCAAATGCTTTGCGAGAACCAAGCGCCACTGATATGGCAGTCGCCATCCGTGACCCGTTTCTGACGGACTGCTCGGCCAAAACTGTCGAAAAACACAAGCATGATGAGGCCAGTCCTCATCGTCTCTTCATCGGCAAGAAAGAGGTAGCCCCTGATCATGCCTCTGTGATAATTCGTGACTGCGTCGCGGAAGACGTCGTCTTCGTCGTACCTTCCGCTGAGTCCTGCCGATTGATCTTCGACCGTTGAGGGCAGATTGGCACGGCAGCGTTGGCGGAGTTCGGTAGGGGTGAGTTCGTCTTCGTCTCGTTCTCCTCGCGAACGAGTTGGCTGCGCCGTCAGCGGTTGTGGTGTGAGTGGAATCTGAAGAAGGTTTTCAGGGAACACTTGAAAGACGCGAGCCCAGTCATCGCCGTATGAGTACAGCATTGAGTCATCGAGGAAGTTGTCCTCGTATCCGAGTTCCAGGTCAAAATTGATGCGCTTTCGAAAATTTGCGTGTACGTCATCGCTACCTTCAGCATAGCAGGTCCTCAGCCAGAGGATGTTATAGTCAGATTGGTCTCGGACAGTAATGTGACGCTGAGTTTCCGTTCGGAGATCTGCTAGGATCCCTTCCCATTCTGATGGATGCGGTATGTTTCGAGGGGTCCTTCCCGCCCATACAGAGTCAGACAGCTGGGTGCGTCATGTCGTTAGTTGACCTACGAAGAATGTGCTCTGCCACTTCACACTTACATAACGCACACAATCGCCGTTCTTGACATACTCTTGTGCTAAACGTCCTCGGCGAGTACTCCCATCGAGTCCGGCTAACGAGCGACGGTTCCATTGAAATAGCACGTAGCGTTCCAGTGGCAAGCCGCCTAGGTCTGGTACTGGCCGCTTGAGCAGTGATGACGACCTGGGCCGATTCATAGCAAGATTCGATATCATACCGATCAAGCGATGATGTATTACAAGTGCGTTCCGCGCGAGGTTGTAATATTCTATAAACACAGTCATTAGTTACATTGACCCTAAGCTATATACTTACCTAAGTAGCATACTACGCACTCTTACCCCCTATAGAGAGTCATTCGAGATCGAAAATCACGACTAGCCCATCGCCGCCTATTGAATCTCACACGCTCCAGCGGGACGATCTCCTCGGGGGGGGGTCAGCATGCATGGACAACATCTCACGAAATCACAAGTTTCTGCTTGTTGGTCGCGATGTATGGAGGGTAATCATCCATGAGCTGACAGAAGATAGTTAATCAAATTACAAAATCTGAAAACGTGTTTCCAATGCTGTGACTGCCATTCCTAGGTCGGTCTTTGATTGACCCCCATGTGCGCATAATTGATTCGTGCTATCAGCCTGCTCAAAAGGGCTTCGGCTCGCCCAAAATCTACGAATCGTCATCATATGCTCCTGCCTGCCTCAATTTCTGCACGACCCCTTGATGCCCCAAAATTGTTGCGATCTGTAACGCGGTGCCGTAGAACGCTGCCGTAGCATTCACGTCCGCATCTGCGTTCAGAAGCATCTGCACTATTTCTTCGAAGCCAAAGGCTGATGCAGCCTGCAGGGCATTGCCGTACGATCCTCCCTCGGCGTTGACATCTGCTTTTGCGTCGAGAAGGATACGCACCACTTTCTCGTGATTATTGGCTGATGCTGCCTGTAGTGCAGTGTCGTGCCTGTGTATGCCGCGAGTGTTCACATCTGCTCCTGCATCGATCAGTCTCTGGACTATCTGCTCTTGTCCGGTAGCCGATGCCGCCTGTAACGCATTACTATAAAGCCCCCCTTGTATGTTAACTTCTGCACCCGCAGCTAGCAATACCTGCACAGTCCTGAGGTGACCTCCAACGGATGCTGCCTGCAGCGCGGTGCCAAATTCTCCACTTAGAGTATTGACGCTTGGATATCTACGACCTCCTCCGGGAGTGTCAATGTCAACTACCGCCGCCAAGAGATCTTGTACCTTTTCCCAAGAACCGGCAAGGCTTGCGTGGTAGATCGAATTGCCTTCCTTGCGCCCACCGACATCACCAGATTTTGGCTCTAGAAGGCCAGGATTGTGGATACGAAGCCAGTCCTGCTTCCAAGTTTCATTCTTGATCAGCCGGAACATTTTTGCATTCTCGCCGGGAGATTGAAGTCGTGCGTGACGATACCACGAACGCGCTGCATATCCCAGCAACGGAAAGGTAATGAAATCTTGCTCAGACAATTGTTTGGAAGGTGAGGCACTGTAGTGTGTGAGATAGGCAAGACAACTTTGTGCAAGAAACCTGTGTTCTTGAGCAGGGTCGAGGTGAAAGTGTTTAACGATACTTGACGCAATGTCCGCAGACTCCAGATATTTCTGCACGGAAGAGTGTGCTAGTCGGATCTTGGTGTCTGCACTGGATCTCTGATTGAGAAGTGAATTGCCGAGCCTTTCGTTCACCGTGTCCGAAGTACCAGATTCTGCATGGTCATCTTCATATTTTCCGATGTGACGATCTTGCTGATTATCTTCTATGAATACAACCAAACCAGTAAGAATGTTGATAGTGTCTTCGATGCCACCACGATCCGCTGTATTTACCGTCCCATCTGGAGATGCGTTGTCTGTTGGATCGACAATACTCGCTTCAGCCAACTCTGCCAGGCTGAGGGGCTCTCGCGCATACGCGAGCCAGCGGAGCAACGTCAGCGCCTCGCAGCGATCCGCTAAATTGATATTGTTCAGCATTCGTCTATAGGTGTCGTAAAGTGTTTTCGGTAGGTCCTGCAGAGCTCTGTTTATTGCGCTTGGCTTTGTTGAACTCGACTCCATCAGAGCCTGCAGCTGACAGTACACCCATCTAAACCTGGAAAACGTAAGTGCGTCAGCAGTGACTCCTCTCGACGAGTTCCAGGTTCCTTACGATCCATCTGCTCTTTGCCTCAACGTCTGCTGGATTGACCTCTGAGTAGCGGGATCCAATCGACGAAGCTTTGAGTCTTGGTCCATCTGCGAATTGATGTACCGCACTATGTCAGTGTCGATTAGTGCGCTGGAAATAAACACTGATGCCGATGCGGTATCAAGATGCTCGATAAGCTGGCGAATATCAGGTACATCTTGACTTGTTAGAAGTAGTCGCACGTTTGGTGCTTGATGTAGGAGCTCCCTCAGTCCAGATAGTACGTGCTGCCGTGCTTGATTACTTTGAGGACACTCATCTAATGCGTCCAAATGACAGAAGACTGTATCGTAGGACTTAAGGACGACGTGCAGAATCTTTTCAAGTTCATCACGCCTAGGTCGCCTCTTGTGGATTGATTGCGATGCCTGTTTCAAGAGTGAAAAGCTCGGCTCCTTTCCGCCCAGCTGCGAAACCAAGGACAATATGAGGCTCTCATAAGTCTGCTTGCGCTTTTCTGAAAAAGAAAAGTAAAAGACCGCATGTCCGATGTGATCTTGTCTTCCGTAGTGCGTTCGCATATCTTCGATTGCCACAGAACAGAGAATTGTCTTGCCACAGCCGACTCCTCCGTAGAGCCAGAGGTATCTGTGTTGCTGATCCTGTCCCAATTTCCATGCTTGGTACTGACGTGACTGCAGTAACCAGTTTCCTGTGTGGCGCTCGTGCAATTTCCGCGCAATGTCGTGTTCGGTCCACGGATCGGGAGCTGCAAGCCATTTTACAATCTTCTGGTAATCATCTGCGTCGGCTTCAGCTCTCTGTTGCAATTCTGCACGAACGCGTTGTCGAGCCCTGTCCTTGCCCTCGCCGTATATGACACTAAGTGTGATTCCGACGATTCCAAATAAAGCGTACGACAAATCTTCCTCTCTAGTAGTTGTCCTCCCTTCCATCCACTTGATCTTTTCCCCAATACTTAAGGTCGTACTCGAATTCCAGTCGTTCAACACTCGCTCAGAAACACCTGTGATCTTCGCGATGTTTGCTCCAAGGTCCCTCCCAATAGAGATGGTGTCGAGATAATCGGATGAACCTCCTTTATTTCCAATGACATTCCAATACTTCGTCACAAAAACGACAAGGCGTGGGGCCAGCAGCTCTTGCAAGGTCCATCCTCTTCGGAACCAGTCGTCTTGCTCGAAGTCGCTGATGTTTCCGACTGCTGACACGCCGGCGAGGTGCGCAATACAGAGCTCTGCATTACGATACCACCTGAACATAGAATTGATAGCATACGCAAGTTCAGCATCGCTGTCTTTGTTGATACAACATGTGTCTATCCACAACCATTCTATACCTGGGACATGTTCCCTCACATACTTTGCGAAGGCGGTAACCTTTTCGTAGCCGGGACGGTGTTTGTCGCGCCCTTCCTTGAACTCCTTAAAAGTGACTTCATGTGCCGTCCAGCGGTGCGACGCGATGACATATCTCGGTCGATCAGCATCATGAAGGAATTCTGTAAAATGGAGACTTGTAGCATGAAGGAGCCTCATCTTGCACGAACCTACGTGCTACTAGAGACGTTTGTGTGATCGGTGACAGACTGACCACCATTGCCGGGGATCGACATGTGAAGTATCAACCGAAAGGCGAGAGTGGGGTTACGTTCTAAGCACTGCGATAACGTGTACGAAGCTCGCTGCATACGAGAATGCGCACAATGACGTGATATCCAGCGATGGGGAGCTGTTGCCCCCGATCGTTGCGAAGTGTTATGAGCCAGGTTCGATCTGCGGTAGCCCCTCTTCATTGTATCGACGCATTGCTTTTTGAAGCATGCTCCTGTTACGGTTATGGCGTCATGCGAAGTGTTCATCGTGTAGATGAAGTACTACTTGTGTTCAGCCGTACCCTCCTTTCTGGAACAGCGCCCATTTCAAATCGCGCGTTGCCTTCGAGCGACTGTTAGACACAGGTCCTTGGTAGTTGGCTGATAGCAAAGCGAGCCAGATAGTTAGTAAAATCATGTGGGTAGGGTGAGGAGTTGACAAGTGCGATGGGTGGTTCTCCTGGACGAGCCCGCTCGGTGCCACATCTGCACCTAGCTAGCGTCGGAGCCCTGTCCCGCCATTTGGAATCGCTAGATCTTGGACTTTAATCGAGCGGAAACAAATGCTCCGCGCGTGCGCTAAACCTATCTTAGAGCTTTGCAATGCTTTGTAGCAGCCGCGGCAATCTGAAACTTGCGGAGTGAGTCGCTTTGATAAGTATTCCCGGCCGAATGACCTAAAACGCTCTTGGTCATGTTGTGAAAGACAATCAGTGGCCCTGGGACTCTTTGGCTAGGCGGACACGCTAGTCTCTCGTGCCCTGCTGAAGCTATGGGTATTCATGTAGTGAAGACCTTCCTCACCTCCAAGCGTCTTTGCTCTCTGTTTCACTGACCACCGTCAGGGGCTTCTCACGCACTCAACAGCAGCTTTGCGCACTCTGCCTGTCATCAAACAACGTGTTTCTGTGTCTTAGCAATTAGGGCACTTAACATCCGATCGATCCGATGGTCCATCTTTTCACTGTTGCGAGATTTTCGACAGCAGCACTGGCCTGCTCGATCCAATAGCCAATGCTGCAATTGAGCTAGCAGATGTGTTGACATATCTGCTGTTGTTGATCATTGGCCCCTGCCTCGCAATCAGAGTCGGAAGACACTGCGACGACGCTGTTGTTCTGAAGAATTGGTGGAATGATCGGTGGTTGAGGTTGTGGTCCCCTTGTAGTTGACTCTCCGTGATCGATTTGTTGGTCCGAGGCACTGGCGGAACGAAGGGTGGTGGAGGTCGTGACAGTGCTTGTAACTGACTCGTTGTGAAAATTTCATTGACTTGCAGCATCAGTGGAATGATTGGCGGCAGAGTTCGCTGCGATGCATCTTGCTGAATCTGGCTGATCATGAAGTTGATCGCATTCTCAGCGTATCGTACATTTTGTAGATAGCATTGATGACCTCATGACTTTGTTTCACGCTGGAATATCATGTTCATCAGAACTATCTGAGTATAGTTGACGATACCAGTCGTTCACGCCATGGCAGAGTGCACCCTCGTTGGCCTCGTTGAGGATGTTTGGCGGAGGCGGAGGATGCTGGGCAAGTTGCAGCTGAACCCTTCCCAAGCTGGGCCTGGCGTATTCGGCGCAACGTCATTGGCGTGCCTGAATTGAGCTCCTCAACGCCAAAATAAAATCTGTAGCAATGTAAAATGGAATGGCGGGGACGTCGCAACAACAAAAATCACAGTGACTAGTAAACTAAAAGTAAGTACAACTAGACTTCTGCCCTCCATCTACAGATCGTCTACGAGACGCGACGCGCGGCGGGAACTGGTGACTCATCGTTCGTCATGATCCGTACCAAAGACTTGAAGCTTCAAATGTTATCATCGAGACGATAAATAGTCTCGTATCCTATAGTCTGCATTCTCCATGAGCTCAGCGATCACCTTGCCCCCTTGCACCGTGTTTACACGCAACATCGACGCCTCGTAAGTGGAGTAGGTGGCATCCAACCAAACATGTCTGGGAACGAAGCCGACCCCATTTCGGTTCACTCGAGTCAGGACCAGGTTGATGACGAGCCCATGGTCTACGAGACTCCTCAAGACTACGCAACCTCAGCACGCGAAGAACGTGATCGCCTGATCGCCGGAGGAGCCGCTCCAGATTCCGTCATCCTCCAAAGCGAGTTTCAGCGCCTTGTCCCGCGCCACGATGGCGAATCACCTGAAGACTTTACTCAGCGCTACGTCAAAACCATGATGGACATGATCGGTCGCGGCGTCATCATTTTGAACGACGATGCCGTCGCTGATGTTGCGCCTGACTCATTCGTCAGTCCCGATGGGAGAACCTTCGACCTGGGCCCTCAGTCGGGCGCGACGAAAGGAGAGTACCGAGAGTTCACGGAATGGTTTGCACAGTTATCTGATGCAGGCGGAGAAGTGCCGGAGAAGTGGTTGAAGTTTGAGAGCACGGCTGGAAGAAGCGACCGAGCTGTAGAGTCTTGATCTTCTAGACATACGGCATTATCGCTCTCCTGTACGATCTTTCCCGCATTCTTCCTACGAGCTGTCCAAACTGGATCGCACGTGGCTTCAGCATACCTTCGTACGAATATCATGGTTCTGTGTACGTGAGGAACGATGTCTAGGAGACAGGAGCTGGTTGATTTGAACAGTTTGAGTCAGGTTGTTCACAGGCTGGCTGAGTGTTTCCTCCCTAGCACCCTGGCCACGTTGAGAGTGACGTTTGGGGCGTGGGCTGGGCCGGGCGGAGTCACAGTTGAGATCTAAGTTCCCAAGCTGGACCTGGCGGCGTTTCCGGCGCGAAACGTCGTCATATGCGTGCCTGAATTGATCGGCCCCTCAACGCCAAACTAAGATATGCGGCAGTGGAATGGCGGGGACGTCATAATAAGAAATTCATACAGTATTTCACTGGTCGCTTCACGATGATGGCATCGTAGTTGTTTGGATATGTGTGTATACTGGTTGTGCTTCTCCCCGCCGGAATGCAGATGTTTGTACCCACATACATAGTCTACTTCTAGACAGCTAGATTCGGTGAGAAGAAGAGGGCCAATGTCCTCCTTGACCCAGCGGTGAATTATCTCCAGCTGTTCAGCGAGTTTCATGCCCCTCTGCTGGGCAACCACAACGACGCGCGCGCTCAGTCGTTCTCCTGCCCAAAGGAGCGGTGTCCACCTGTATCACTTTCGGATCCACTTCGGTCGTAATAATAATAGTAATCCCATATATCTTCCTTCTCCTCATCATCAACAACAACAACATTGCAAATCATCCTCCCAGAATATCCCCATCATGCCGGAAGTGAAGAAAATCACCGTAGAGAGCAACTGGCTCAACCTCAACGGCGGTCTGCTCGAGGCGCCCTTCTACGAAAAAGACCGCAACAGCTTGCGTTTTGTCGATGTCGTCAAGAAGCGCATCTACGTCGTTGATCTGGCCGTCGGTCCTTCCAGCCTGAAGCAATTCGACCTCGAGGCTTCAGTTGGAATCACAGCCGACATTGAAGGCAATGACAATGAGATCATCGTTGGTGGCAAACGCGGATACGGTCTCTTCAACCGTACCACTGGCGAGCACCGATTGATCAAGGAGATGTGGAACGACGATGAGCGCAAGGATGACGGCGGTGGCAAGCCCAAGGTCGGAAAGCACAAGGAGGACCGCATGCGTTCCAACGACGGTGCTGTCGATGCCAAAGGACGCTTCTACGTTGGTGCAATGAACGACCCTGCTCTTGTCGGTGAAGGTTTTACAGATGAAGGTATATCAAAATACAACCCATCTCGGGATTCGACATCCGCTGACCACACGCACAAACAGGCGTCATCTTCCGTCTGGACCCAGACCTGTCCATCCACCGCGTCATCCAACCCGTAACGATCCCCAACGGTATGTCCTGGAGCCCAGACAACAAAACCATCTACGTTACCGATTCCCCCTCCCGCAAAATCATGGCCTACCCCTACGACCTCGAAACCGGCGCCATCGCGCTCGACCAAGGAAAAGTGTTCTTCGAATGCCCCTTCGAAGGCTGCGTGCCGGACGGCCACGTCCGTGACGAAAACGACAACTTCTGGATCGCTTTCTTCGGCTCCCACAAAGTCCTGCAGGTCAACCAGCAGGGGGAGGTTCTCACCGAAATCACTCTGCCGGCGCGGTGCGTCACTTGTCCGACTATCTGCGGCACGGAACTTTTCGTCACTTCGGCTCAGGAGCAGGATCCGGAGAAATACCCCGAGAGCGCGAAGAATCAGGGATCCGTGTTCAAGGTGGATATTGGGGTGAGGGGACGACCGCTCAATAAGTTCCGTTTGAACGCTAGCGTTTGAGGCGGAAGTGTATGATTCAGAGCGAGAAGCATGCGGAGACGCAGCAGGGAGGATAGAAGTCATAATCTAAGCAAGATTTGAACATCGTCATTTGATCGTATGTCTCTCACTCGGTCTCTCTGCCCTCAGTGAACGTGACGCTGGTGGCGATATGGCCGGCAGGGACACACGAACGAGCTTGCAGCGTACATGCAATATATGAGAAACGTCAGGCCCTAGTCCCAGGACCGATAATTCTAATCATGCCGACTCTATCCGGTCCTATCAGCCAAAGTTCTCATCGAGTCGTTATGAATTTATCTCCCAAACCCTGCCTAGTACTGCCGTGTGAAATCACTATGCATCATCCCTTCATCCTCGATTTTCCTGCCAATCGCAGATGAGATTGCAAAGACGAATTCGCATTGGCCAAGGATGTGATGCCCGACAGTAATTCTTCCAAATCCATCTCCGGTAGGTTTTCCCTCGTGCCAATTTTCCGCGTTTTCGATTGACCAGCCGTCGTCGTCGTTCGCGGTCGAGCAGTATTACTGGTCTTGGTCCGGATGGGATCGGACGCGAAGAGCCAGTCGACGTTCTCGTCGGCGCGGGGACAGTTTCGCGAGGCTGGAAGCATTCCAGCAGGTACATGAGCGGCAGTTGTTTCTTTTCGAGCTTTGGATTGATTGGTCGGGTTTTCGTTGTCTGCTCTCGCTTGGCTTTTGGTATTTGCTGTGGGCGGTGGTGGTGGCTGAATTTCTTCGACCGGTATTGGAGTAGACGCTACGATCTTCTTGGGTCGGCCTCGCTTTTTCTTCGCCGGCTGCGGTTGACTTGGAGGTACGCTTGGAGTAGGCATGATTGCATTCGAGACTGGAATAGAAGGTGGCTTGTTGCAGGATTGTGCCATGACCGGCGATCTCTCGCTCGTCTCGAGGAGTGCATCATATTGACGCTTTTCACTCGATACATCAGCTGTAATTGCGGTCTTCACTTGCCTCGACTCAGATTTGAACTCTCTCATTCGCAGATCCTCGTTCACAATCTTGGGCGCGATAGCTTCGGCAGCTTTCCTCTTCTTGAGAGGTTTCTCCTGCTTGACATTCTCCCCAACCTCGGCGGATGATGTCGCTCGCTTGGACACAAATTTATGGGGCTGCAGACGATCGTCCGAAAGAAGAGATAGTTCCACAACCTCCTCCTCTTGCCTGGAATGAGACTTCGTGGCATTGTTCTGATCGTGGTGAATAGAGAGTCGTGGCCTTCCTCGCTTCCGTTTCGGTGCAGCCTCGCGAATGGTCGGCTTCAATGGCGATTGACTTTTCGACTTGTGGGTCACTGTTGGCGCCTGAGGAGATTTGGTGCTCTTCTCATCAAGCACTGCATGAAGCATCGCGTTGTTAATATCAGTCTCTGCGAGCGGTATACGAGCAGGTGCAAGCTCCTCGGAGGCGGCTGTGGCGCTTATGACATGAGGCGGACCCTCGTTCTTCTCACCGAAAGTCTTCAGTGCTCGTTTTTGGGGCTCTGTATCCTTGACCTCCACATCCCTCACGCAGGCAGACAATGCAGCAGCAGAGGTCTCGTCAACCTCGACGCTTGCGTCAGCCGCTCCTCTTGACTTCGATATCTTATCCTGTGTCGCTGTTCTCTTCTGTCGCTTCCTGGCCGTCTTTTCTGGCATCTCATCCCGTCTTTTCTTATCGATTGGTAGTTCTTCTTCGATCAAATCCGCCATTACTCTCGCCGCTGCATACTCCGCTGCTCTTCTCTTTGGCCTCGAAAGCGATGTGACCTGCACATCGGCTTCTATTGATTGCTCGCGGATCCTCGGAGCCGATGACGTTGCCTTCTTCTTTCTCCTTTGCTTCGCGGGCTGCTCTCGGGGCAGTATACTGCTCTTCGCGTTGACACTGCTCGTCTCTCCCGAATCTGCGCATATTCCTGTACTTTCTGAGAGCTGCAAAATCTCTTCGCTGTCTGGAACGGGTGCGAGGGTCACTATATCGGCCAGCGATGACAACTTGGTTTTTCGCAGCCCACTATCGATCTTGCATCGTTTCCTAGGTGGCTCTTCCAGAGGCGCATCGTGAGTCGCTGGCGCAGAGACAACGTCAAAGGAGAAACCAAAACTCGCAGCTAGATTTCGTACTCTGTCAAGTCGTCAGCGGAACAGTGGCAGCAGAGGTAATGACAGCTCTAACCCTGCACCTCGTTGTCGCGATAAATGTCGTTCAAATCGATCCTCTTCAAAATGTTAGTATCCACATGACAATTCTCGTTGTTCTTCGAAAGACTCACGTTTCGAAGGCGTATTGTGCAACATATCTCATGCAAACCGAAAATACTTGCTCTTTCTATACTGTCATATTTCACTACCGACGCATCGCTTTGTTGACGGCACAGATGTCATTGTTTGCGTTTCAGCAATGGCCCGGCGACTGATGACTCAGCCAGCTCGGCTGTGCCCGCTTCAGTGCAAACATCCATGCCCACCCAGGGGGATTGCGGCTCGCCGCTATCCGGATCGTCCTTTCTACCTCCCTCTGTTTACCTGATGATAAGGGATCATGCCGACTTTGTGATTATTCAAGTGCATGGGCAAACATGCTTGTATGCCCAGGTGCCCATGTGTACATTTTCTCTCATTGAACATGCAAGCAAGATGGCTACGACATGTTCTGGGCGCGGCATACCTGCTACTTCCTGCTCAGGGAAGGGCTTGCAATGGATTCCCTGCATTGTCATCAGCGGTGCAGGATGATACATATCCGTCGTGCTCGATCCACGTTTCTCGTCTTCTCCCATAGTATGGTCTGGTCCTATATTTGAGTATTGCACGGCTGAAAAGTTGGTCCGAGCCAGCAGAAGGAGCAGACGATCGGTGGAACCATCGTCGGTGAAAGACACGAGTCTAGACATCGAAAAGGGGGGTGGACTGCGATGCAGCGCCATTATCATTCCGCTTGTACACAATGTACTGGCACAGTAGGTAGTTTGCCCAGGATGTTGTTGTGTTTCACTGTCCATGCATTCGGAACATGCAGGGAGTGTGCGTGCACATACACATGGCAAAGTCCATGGTATGTCGTGGAATGTCTCTTTCCGGCGAATGTCAACGGTCGTTCACCGGCTTTTCCAGCCTCTCATGTTTCCCATCTCTCGCATATCTCCCGATGATGGCCTTGAGAGTGAGACCTCGAGTCTCATGATCTTCTGATCAGCAGTGTCTCACAGTATGATGGAGAACAATGATCGTCGGGACGTTTGTCCCTATAATTACTACCTATGTTCCTAGGCATGCACATACTGGGTATTCTCTCGGACTTCATTGTGTTGGAGGTGAAGATGGCGCCGATTCATTTCCTTAGCCCATCTAGCCGTAGGAGAATAAATCACCTCATCACCGGATGATTCCGGACGCGTGAAAAGGGTCATGTAATAATGTCCAGGTGCCCTTTCATTTCATCGCTGTGACATCCATGGATACCAGGAGGCTTGAAGCATCATTTTACTTCCATTCCTGGAAGGCACCTAAGCCGGATGATGCGCCAGGATCCAATCCAAGACGTGGGCGCGCCAGCCTCACCCTGTCTCGTCGGCATTCGCACTTGCGCAATGACGTGCACCACATGTAATAGTGTAAACCAGTATTGTCTCTCAAATCGATGAGACCGATCTAGGAATACGCGTCAGAAGCACGTTGCATGATGATGCGCACAACCCGAACACTTCACATGGCAAATCGGTCGGAAATGTGAGTCGTATGCGTTAATTGTACTACGATGTACTGTGTGTATCGTACCTATGTACACACAGAGATGCAATGTACTGTACTGTCGCTGTACATTGTACCTACACGTGAACGGAAACCCGACCCCGGTCCCGATAATTATAGCTGGAGCGATGAGTATTGATCCATTTCAGAGCGCGATGGACCCATGTTCGCTCCCACACATCAATTTCGGAATTGGATTGTGGACAGACAACTGTGACAAGGACTAGACACCAGAGAGATCCATGTCCTCATCCCTTATGGTCGGGAAGATCATCGTGTGTTCATCATGATCACCACCATGTTCCGGCTGCAATCAACTCCCGCTCATTCGGATTCGATAGCCTGCGGGTTTAGCGCAACGGCCGCCAACGATGAAATGCTTTGGCCATCTCGTCCTCCTTGTCGGGTCTGCGACCACGCTTCGATCATTTGTTCCGGTGGAAATCCATCCTTCTCTGGATTGAACGTATCGGAGACTCAATTATTCACCGCTGTCGACACACACGCGCTGCAGGTCTGCGCTGCTCACATCCGCGAAAAGACTCCCCAAGCTCTCGTCCATGCTGGGTCGTCTGCTATCCCAACATCAACCATAGGAACTCTCCCGCCAGGTACTGTACCTGTCAGCGACCACGGATGACCTCTTAACCGCGCGGTTCTACTCAGCAAATTCGTTATCGCGTCATTGATACCTTGGATCCGATCGACTTCCGCACCCGAAGAATCGCCATCTCATTCATCATGTCGCCTGTCTGTCATCAAGTGTAAAGGGTCGACGTCTTCGTCAACCATTGGATCTCGTGGAGAGACCTGCAGCAATACCAGCGTCCTCTTGCCGCCCGGCTGCTCCACGCGCAGCAGTACCCGATCTCTGGCACGGCTCCTCCTCCGCCGCTGCTCCGCGGGCGGACAATCCATCCCCTGCCTGCCCTCAGATCCTCTTCCTGGCTCTGTTGACCCTGAAGAACCCCGTTCACGTTCAACGATCGACATGCCTGTCATTGCATTCACAAGAAACCATAATCGCATTTTCTGAAATCTCTGCTCGCATCACTGAGCGCAACTTTGCTACGCGAACTCCTCTCATCGATCTGATTTCATCCTGTCAAGCATCAACTTCCGTAAATATCACCTCTAGCCCGCGTCGCACGTGTGAGCAGAGCTTCTTTGCATAAATCAGTCCAAGCGTATAGCTTCGCGCTCACGGCGGCTACCCACACCATGTTATCAGCTCTGAAACGATTCGATGGATCTCGCCAAACTGCGTTCACAGGAGATGTTCAGCGGCGGGTATGTAAATCATGTGACTGTTGTTCTCGCTCCACCGACTGACCTCGTATGACAGGACCAAGATCTCTGGAGCGATGGTCTGGGTTGTTTGACATATCTTCACTCTCGGAACATTTCACATCGTGAGCCGACTTTCAAGATTCCGATTGATGCACTCCGACGTTCCAATTCTCCATATCTACTCAAATATTGCTTGTACAGGCCAACTGCATCAGCTACCTCGATGAAATATGCTGCAAGCGAACTGAAAGTCTCCACTGGCAGCTGCGGTGACCAGGCCTGCAACAACGGACGCGCGTGTGCAGACCTCCGCTTGTTTGTGCCTCCCCCAGTGCACGCCTCCCGCGATGAGTGCCACGCTTACAATTTGACCACGCGCAACTACTTTGCGTTTCTGATGGCTCGGCCTCTCGTCGGTACTCAGCTGTCCACCACGTTAACAGATCTGTGGAGGCGCATACAGCTTTGGTCACCCAACGCTTCCTCTGAATTGTACGAGTACTGCCGAGCGCAAGGCTACACAGATGTCACCGGCAACCCTCGCCTTGCGGTCGCGATGCTTGCGCTCGCCACAGAAGCTCGATGGCAAGCTGTGTGGGTGGATGCCTTTGCCCATTGCGTCGGCATGCAGAGCCAATTAAGTCCGGGCTGCGCCCTCGATGGACTGGACAGCGCGTTGCATCGGCTGGTAATGGATGCCGCGCAAGTTCTTACCTCGCAGGTCTCCCACTCAACACAAGCCCTGTCCACTTTTCTGGAGGACGAACTCAATGGTGACAAAGTTGGCTTATCTAAGCCTGCTCGAGATCATCTGGAACGCTTCCGGGGCAATCTGCATGCGCATTATGTGGAGAAGATCGGCTACTATCCACCAGGCCCGCATGAGACTTGTGACCGACGTTTGTGGCTCAGTATGCATGACGATTTCCGTAGCCTCTATGACTTCCTCGTTGATAAGCGATCAAGCTCGGAGCAGTCAAGCGCCCTGGTCTTGAATGGTGGCATTTGCATCGAACAAAACCTCCAAGCCTTTGACACGCGCAACGATTACTCACCATTGCCGCACTCTCTACCCCTCCTGCCGGGAGCCCCAGAAGGCACACGTTCAGGAGAATCGACCAAGATCACTCGACGACGCAGCTTCCGCTTCAGTCGAAACGATTCGATGCTGGAGCAGCATGCTGTGACTAGAAAGGCATTGGCAGACGCAGCCAACATTGATGCGCCACATGTATCGAATTCACTGGTTCAGGAGTATGTACGATTTGAGCAACTTCCGCTCGCAGAGAAGCTACCCGCCGTCGAAGCTCGCAAAGTGCGCTGGCTCCTCATCTACGGCATGTTGCAGGCGCTCATCCGTATCACAAAAGCTCCGGCTGGAGTGCAGGACATCAGTTCTCCACTCTATCCCTTGTGCATCTCCCTAGCTAGTCTACCCGACTGGGTGACAGCCGATGTCGCCCGAGGTCCATCACCCATCGCAACGGAAACCGGACCTCAATCTGCACCGTCCTCAGACGCAGCCATGATGCCCGACTCTGATCAGATATCTATTCATCCCGATTGCGAGGCGGATAATGCAGAGGACTTCTTTGCTAGATCAAGTCGCTCGCGGTTCACGACTGATCACGAGGCGATGAACTCTCCGGCCTTGAAGCGAAATGGCTCTCTACATTCAAGTTTCACCTCTTTACATCGTTCTGTGGTGGGAAGTCTGTCTCGGAGGAGCAGTCTCCGAGTTCTTGGTTCAGAGCATGGGCTTAGGCGCAAGAGCTCTTTCCGTACAGACCTTGTTGCCGCTGACGAGAATTTGTCCGGGAATGAATGGAGTGCGGTTTCCTCTGGAGCATCATCGCCTCAGCATGGACCATCTAAAGCAGCATCTCTCCTTTCATCGCCCGCTCCAGCCGTCGTTCCCGCTATGCGGCCTTTGGTGGAGACCCTGGTTGACGGTATCAACGACGAAGACGACGACAATTTCGCGATTCAGGAGCCTACGCTCGAGGACACTCAGGTCTTCACCAGCAATATGGTCCCACCCCTACCACAAGACCTGGAAGGGCTTACTGAGGTTGATGAGCCGGAGGTGTTTATTACGACCATTGCTGGCGTGCGCTCTGGATCTCACCCTATTCCGACACTTGTTGACATCAGCCCGCCGCAAAGAGATCGCTTCACCAGCATCAACGATTCGCCAATTCGCCAGCACGACTCACGTCAACGCAAAGAGAACCATCGCCGTCTGTCCGGCTTCGACTTTGGTTTCGTGGGCTGTATCCCCGCTGGACGACCACCCACGAGCATCCCGGAAGAAGGCGATCATCAATACTACTACGATGAGGACGACCGTGACGAAGACGGCGACGCCTCCCCAATATCATCCGCCTCGCCCGACGCGCACGAAGCGACACTCCGCTGTCTCGTCGGCATGGATCCGGCGCCCGTATGCCTCAACGCCGGCACTTACATCCCGACTGGCGCAAACGCATCACCATCGTCGCCCTCTTCTCCCGTTTTCTACACGCACGAGTCAGAGTATGCCTTGGCGCACGGTGGTCCCAGGATCCTCGCCACGCCCATCACCACGGCCGTCGACATCGTCGAACGTCGGAAATCGCGCGCGCTGCCCCGGTTACTGAACATGGCCCGCGTTCGAGCACGATTCAGCATGGGAGCATGAACCTCACCCGATCCTACATCTGCAATGATTGTCACCGTGCTCGTACATCATTGGCTACGGGCAGTCGTCAAGTCCCTTACGACCAGGTTCTCTTACATGAACAACATGACCGATTTGAGACTTCCGAAGTCCGATTGTCTCGCTTCAACGCTTCCTTTCCTATCTTTCTGATTTATGTCTTGTCAAACTTGACAATTCCCACTCATTCTTTTCCTTTTCCCATTCTCCCTTTTTTCCTTGCTTTTTTCTCTCTCATGGTATAACGCCGGTGCAAGAAACGCATTCTTCGCGGCCGTTCTCTCTGCTCTCTCTCTCTCTCCTTTCTCATCGGCGGTGTCTCCTCTTGTTTGATCTACAGATGATACCCCCTTTTGCCACATCGCTAGCGCGCGAGAAGAAAAAGTTTCCATCATTCATTTCTCTTTCCTTTTTCCCCATGTGGGGTCTATCTTTGGCCGTTCAGAGACGACGTTGCGATTGTGTCTATTTGATGGTTTCTGCTCGCGGCTATAGACTCCAACTTGATTCAGATCTACTCTACTCTTTCACTGTTCATAGATCAGATATATGTTCGATTTTCATGGAAATGCCTACATTATGCTTCACGATGTGTCCCGCGTCAGGTGCTTCTCAGATTTCTCCGATCTCATATCCACCGCCTCGATCTTCTCTTTCGGGCTGGGACTATGATGAAGCCCGAGCGGTGGACACTATGTAGGATTACGAGTGCGGAGGAGAGTCCCATCCCACCGCAAGAGTGACGCAAATTCGCCATAACACGACTATCAACCCTCTTCTCGTCGTGATTTCAGACTCTATTAATTATCTTCATTTTTGACCATTCCAAGTCGAATCCATCTAATTTATAGCGACTTCTCGATACGGCTCGTCAATCAAACAATCAAGGTGGCCATTTTCCCGGCGCCGTCACCACCGCCCGCGAGAACGTCGCGGACAGTTTTCCAGCTTTCTCCATCGCTCGCTTTCGCTGCGCTGCCGTGATGCCCGCACGATCGGTCACCGGCGCAGCGTTCATGATATTGTCGAACTCGTCGTCTTCTGCATTCTGGTCCTCGTCACCGATATCTGAGCCGGATTCCGCGTCTGAATCCGTGGGTAGAGCAGTCGAGTCCACGGGTCGCGAGACTCGTTCGGGTGCAGGCTTAGATGTGTCTGGGGTGGGGTTGGTGAAGGGTTTGGAGGCGAGGACGCGGCGGCGGAGTTCGGCCATTTCTTCCTCGTCGTCATCAGCGGGTGGGAGGCCGTAGGGATCGTGCTCGTCGTCATCCTCGTCTTCGTCCTCGTTTCCAGCGGTGGGCTTCTCGCCGGGTTTGGGTCCGCCGAGTTGAATGCCTCCGAGGCTGCTCGTTTCACTGCCCTCGCCATCGTCGTCATCGTCCTCCTCCTCCTCATCACTCCCTTCCAAATCGTTGCCCACTATAGGCTGGCGCCGATTCATATTTCCACCTCGCCACGCATCGTCCTCATTCTCCACCCTCTTCTCCCGATCCTCACGCCATTCATTCTCAATCTTTGCCAACCATTCCTCCTCTGCCTTCTTCACCGCCGCCTCGTCCTCGCATTTTGAATAAATCTCTAGCACCTCGGAGTTGATATCGAGGAAACTCTGCCCATATGAGAACGTACTCAGAATCTCCTCCGCCCACTCCAAATGTCCACAAATGGCAAAACACGCCGCCAGCGCCTCCACACAATTCAACCGCCATGGCCGCCCATAATTTGTCGGATTCGCCGCGATTAGATATGGCAGCAAGCGCGCATTGACGCCTCCAATTCGCGGCCATGGGACTTCCTCGATCCGATTCCAACTCGCCTCGACCACGGCCGCGCCGTATTGTTCGAGAATGCCCCGATCCGCCGGACTGACGAGGCTCTTCGCTTTGGGGCTGATTACGACGCCCGCGTGCTTCTGTCCGACGTGCAATTCGCGCATCAGGCCCAGCCGCATGAGCCGTTTGCCGGAACAGCGTTTGGCGTCGCAGTGGTTGAGATCCCATGCTGCGGCTTTGAAGGCGGGCCGTTTATGTGCGCCTAGGCCATCCTCGCGCTCGGGATGCGTGTGCTGGGCGTGAGTTCGTGGTTTGTGGCGGCCGCCCTTGCCGGCGAGGTCCTTTTTGTGACGGACCATGGTGGCTGAATTTCCTTTGGTGTGTTCTATGCTGGAGAAGGTTGCCTTGTGCTTGGTGGTATGAGACTTTTAATACCCACGTGCCTCGCAACCGGGTCGTGAGATTACGCAGAGTTCAAGTCCGGGATGCTGTCTTGGAGGGCGTAAGTAGGATATTGAAGAGACATAAATTCCTTCGGTCGATGATGCTTTCAGTCATTCATCAATGCGGGACACCTGCTACGTCACAACTCTTCATCGGCCCTGGATTTATCCGCTGCCCACCTTTTCATAATGCTTCACACAGGACTGTATATTTAAGATGTGCATGTATATTTTCATAATTGTTAAAACTAAACAGCCAATTTTGGTGACCATGTACACAGTTATGGACTCTATGCTATGTTTCCTGCAAATGTTGCTAATGCTCCGTCCTGAATCGCTGTATCTGAGGTGTTTGTGCTTCAGTGTGCATGCGAAATATTGTCCTTTTGTGACGTTGTGCAAGTTATCATCATGGGCGCGCAGCAATAAGAGACCAAATTATGTCCAGGTGGTCTAAAGCGTTCAATTCATCTGTTCCCAACATTCCTCTGATGAGGGCAGAAAGCATCTCGACTCAAAATATGTTGCTGGCTGTGGTCTTGTCAGCCGTTGCTGATCGGTGAAGTAAGTCAGCCGAATCATCAATCGTTGATTCAGCCGAAAGCGGCTGACGTCGTTCCTTCCCTCCCACCGACCGGACCACTATCGCCAACATACCTGGGTAACATCGCTCCCGTGCAAGTCCCCAGTGAAGAATAAATATTAAGATACTGCAAGAGTCCACAAAATCTCACGAATGTGCATGGCCTCACACTTTATCTGAAGGGTCGTGAGGCCGCGACCAAGCATAAGTGCCAGCTGGGATTCGGCGCCAATCAATCGAACACACGAGTGACTCCTTCGGAATTACCCCCGAGCAGGGCGCAGAAGACATCGCCCGCTATGTCAATGAACAAATTTTGATACACTTTCCAAGTCAAGAATCAAGCCGACGTCGCGACATCCAGTCATGGCATCAAATTATTGGGACTCCACGCAGGCCAAGTTTTGGACCTTCACTAAGTCTGAGTTGGCTGACATGCGCCAGGAACTAGAAGCTGCTAATCAGCCAACGTGTTCCCGCCATGCAATCCCAGACCGCCGCCTGATGAATATCTATTTCCAACAACAGCTTCTGAGATTGGCGCGACGGTTGAGTCTTCGACAACAAGCGTTGGCCACAGCACAGGTCTACATCAAGCGCTTCTACCTCCGTGTCGAGATCCGCCGAACAAATCCATATCTTATCATGGCTACGGCTGTCTACCTGGCATGTAAGATGGAGGAATGTCCGCAGCACATCCGGGTCATGCTCGGTGAAGCGGCCCGACAGTGGCCCGAATTAGGCATCACGGAGGCCAGCAAGATTGGAGAGTGCGAATTCGCGCTCATCTCGACGCTTTCCTCTCGTCTAATCTGCCATCATCCATATCGCCCGCTCCTCGAGTTTGCTCCGCAATTTGGACTGAACGCGGAGGAAATCCAGCTGGCACAATCCATTCTCAACGACAGCTACAACACGGATCTCATACTGCTGCAACCGCCGCATGTATTGGCTATCACATCGATCTTCCTCATGCTAGTCTCACGGGCGCTCGGGCAAGCTACAAGTCACACATCACACGCTTTGCCGCCATCGCCACTACACCTTCACTCACCTGGAGGAAATCTATCGGGTCTTTCATCTGCTCTTCACTCCCCAGCCCTCAACTCCAGCTCCAGGGAGCAAGTGCTAGCTAATCTCAACAGCCTCAGCCAGGCACGGCCCAAGATCGCCAAGCTCATCGACTGGGTCGCTGAGAGCAAGATCGATATTGGTGCTGTAATCGAGTCAACTCAGGAGCTGATCAGCTTGTATAGTGTTTGGGAGTGTTACAATGAACGTGCTTGCAAAGAGGCCATCACGAAATTCATGAAGGATGGCAATGGAATGGCGGGTGGAGTAAAATGAGATCGCCCCCTTCACGAAATCCAGGTATTCCATCCATCTTACATCATTTGTCTCATACTGGTGCTGAGATCACGGGCATATTTACTCTGTCTGTTAAGGCAATAAACGTAGGCACAATAGTCACCAAATCAACTGTGGGGATCGTTTATGTTGAGTCTTGAGAAGCCGAGCATGTTTTTCAAACAACCGGGTATTAAACAGACATAGTCACAGCCGAAGAATGGGAGCGGTGAGGGAGTCATTTTGACCGTCTGCATATTTATGGACAGAGCATGCTCACGATGAACAGGTGCATAATGCAGATCATTTAGGGTTGGGGCAAGCTTCAGGAACGCTCCTAAGCGAAGATTCTCCGCATCGGCAAACGGCCCGTCTCCACATTCGGCTCGGACGCCACCATTTTGAGGAGACCCTCAGGCACCCCCTGCTGGACATAATTCACATCGCATGTGCATATAATTCAACCATACACGACTTGTTTTTAAGCATTGACAACTCTTCGTAGGTTGCTCGATCCCTAGCAGTCCTCAACAAGTTCCCGCCATCATGGCGATATTGGTCCAGCGCCGATATGTCCGCCTGGCGTTCCTCGCCCTGGGCGTCATCACCGTCCTTATGTTAATATACCGCACGAACCCCGACATTCGCCAGCAATCCTACCAAAAGGCTATTTCACAACTAACAGACCTCTATCGCGGATCTGGTAGCCGCAAGGGCGCCGAGACTCTGCGACTCGAGGTCGAGAAGGAGCCGACTGATGGACCGGATGCTGTCCTCGAACATGCGCACCAGTTGACCTCGGCCGACCACTTCAAGGCGCACTTCCGCGCTGTCACCAAACTCCCTCGAGTCACCCTTGCGGAGGCAAAAGCTCCCTGCACATGGAAAGAAACAGATAAGGTCAACTTCATGTTCGGACCAGAGGGCGCATGGGGTCTCAATACGAGCTGGGTTACTCACGATAAGTCGGATGTTGAGCTGGATCGCGCGCGCAGCACATGGCAGGAATTTATTCTCAATGGACTTCAGCCGTATGCCAACCACCGCCATCGCTTCTCAGGACGAGGAATCGTGGTTGTAGCTGGACAGGGCCGGAGTCTGCGCCGAATGAAGGTCATCCTTCGTCAGCTGAAGAAGCTTGGATCGGCAATGCCTGTGGAGGTGGCTTACTTTGGCGATGAGATGCATAAGGAAACACGTGCGGACCTTGAGGCTCTTTACCCTGGCAAGATGTTCTTCCTGGATCTCTCCTCTGCGGACAATGTCTACCAAGCCAATCAGAGCAATCTCTTCATCAACTATCAGCTCAAGACTGCAGCGTTGCTGAACTCGCGCTGGGCTGAACCTCTCATGCTGGACAGTGACAACATTCCGGTCATCGACCCAGCTGAACTGTACGAGTCCTCGATGTATCAGGAGTACGGCACCCTCTTCTGGCCCGACATTGCGCGCACGCGACCCAACAATCCCATGTGGTCCATCACAAACACAAAATGCCGCATGAATGAGTACGAGCTGGAGTCCGGCCAAATGATCGTCGACAAGCATCGCTTCTTCTACCACTTGCAACTCGCCGCATGGATGAACAACGAACAAGGCGACTACTACAAGAACTTCATCCTGGGCGACAAGGACATGTTCCGCTTCGCATGGCACGCACTCAAGACGCGCTATGGTTTCCCACCCAAGTGGCTCACCTCAGTCGGAACCGTCGCCGGTCCAGACAATTACTACTGCGGACACACCTTTGCTCAGCACCATCCCGACGGCCGTGTTGCCTTTTTCCACGGAGGTCTGCTCAAGACAATCCCGCGTGAGGTCATGACCTGGACGCGGAAGGAACGGGGCGGGATCTTCCAGATGTACAAGCGCGCGCCAACCGACGAGGATCACACCGTGGCTGTCGACGTTTCTATCAAATGGGATCTCGCCACCTATCTACCAAACAAGCCCGAGAAATTCGAGTCTGGCGCGGTAGGCTCCTGTACGGACATGCACAATGTTACCGCACGGCCTCTGGATGAGATCGCCCCGGGCTTCGAGAAGCGCTTCGAGGAGATTGGCGGATACTGGATGCTCGATGGCTTCGAATGGGACCCGACAAGCGGGCAGCCTGGCCATGACATCAACCCTGAATGCGGCGGCTTGTTCCAACCGCCATGTTTGTGAGCAGTATGAAATCAGCGGTAACGACAGTTTTGGATAAAGCCGTCTTCTGTTCGCATTTTTTGTTTTCTCCTTGCTTTCCCCTCTCTCCCGAGAGGATCTTCGGAGCTCTTCTTTATTTTCCAGGTGACGAAAGATGATGTACAAATAGAGATTCTGTATTGGAAAGATTCCAAGGATGGGTACATTAGGTTCCCGATGGGTTGTGTATCTACCTATTTATCTACCCATCTATCTACCTATCACGCTCACAAAGACGAAGCAATATTCGTAACAAAGCGCGCGAGACTTATGGACCAGAGTAGTCCTTATTTTAGCTCAGGAGCTGGGTCGATAACCGCCTGGGCACGGATTGATAAAGTCAATTTGATGATTTGGATAGAAAGTACCTTGCGAGGTGGCGTTATAGCATGAAGGGCATGAGAGTCTTTTTCAACATTAATTACAAAAAAACGAACGACACGCGCTTCTGGCGGAGATCGTGCCTATACATAATAAAAACTGCAAGGTCGTATAGACCGAGCAGAGTCATCCCTCACTTGTGATTTCGAATCGGGTATCATTTTTCTCATTCTTCCCGTCCTCTCGCGCAGACCGACTCGCCGCTTGCCGCAACTCGGACGAATTTTGTGTCCGGCACGATATTCGTTTGCAGCCGAGCATGAGCAGCGGAGAGCATAAGCTTCGTTGCGCACACGCACTCAGCGTGAGCGTTGCTGTATGCTGAGATGACGTGCTAAGCATGGACGGAATGCTATGCGACCTGCGCTGGGACGACTGCGTCTAAGCGACAATGCCAGCCGGGCGCCAACGCCGATTGGCGGGCGGCGATGCGACCGGCTCGTAGCAGAGCAGCGGACGGGCAGTAATGACAAGTTTGAGGTTGCTCAGGTCTCAATTGGCAAATGTCGGGTGTCGATGGGGCGCCATCAAGACGTCTATGGCTCGGGATGATAGCACTGGGCTTTCAAGGACGTGTACCTCACTTTCAATCATCGAGATCGAGTAACTTTCGCAAGACAGGTACCTCGGCATGATTGCGGTAGTGCTTCATGCGATGGCACCATAGAACCTGTCCGTCCTCGAACAGGAACTCGCCACCAACCTGCATGGGGTTGCCGCCACGGAAGACATCCTTGACCGTCAACGATGGTTCCGGAGCCCAAAGTCCCTTGTGGATATTCTTGACTTGGTTAGTCAACCACGGGACGGTGCCGGTACCCTTCATGTACTCTGGCGGTCGCAAGCCAAAGTTCATCGAGACGTTCATGCCGAGCTTCTTAAACAGCTTTCGGGACGGCTCAGCGTAGATGGGGAATGGGCACTGTGTGAAATTGCGCCAGTAGTTGATCATGCTGGGTTGTCCACATCCGATGACCATGATCTTGGTCGGGATCGGAATGTGGAAGTACTCGCTCATGGTGATGCTCTCGGCGAGGGCCTTGATGTATGCCTGGCATCCACCGCAGTAGAAATGGCGGATGAAGATGATGAGCTGGCGCTGGTGTGTGGAGTGTGTCGGCTCGTAGAGGGCTCCGAATGGCCGCGCCAAGCCATTGCTGTCGTACACGGGAATGTGCTGTACCGCGGCAAGGGTCGCGCGGTCGGGACATTCGTCCGTGACGGTGTCATCCATAGCGATGTCATCCGCGCCGAACTGTGCGAACCAATCCTCCGGGGAAAGCACACACACTTCCGGCTCCTGCTCTTCGCCATTGTTGAAGTCCACGGACGTGGCTGGCGTGCCTGTCATGCGGCTATCGGTCATCGAACCATCCCATGAATGCTCACGACCATCAGTTGTTGCCGAAACAGGAGAGGCGATGAAGTCGTTCGACACGCGCGGGGCATTGGTGAGAGGCGCTTGGTTCGTGGTAGGCGCATCGGAAGATGCTCTGGCACGCGAAGTGGACAATCGCGAAGGTTGAATGGCGCGCGGACTGGTTGGTGGCAGAGGCCATGCGATGGTGATGGGTGATGGTGGAGGCGATGGCTGGAGTGAGACGCCATGGCGCTCATCGAATCGAATGAGCGGCGCTGGACCTGGCAGTGGCCATGCAGGTGTCGAGACGAGCTCCTTTATCGAGGCGACGCTCTCCGGATGGAACCTCTTTTGCATTGACATGGAGCTGGCACGGCGGTTCCGCAGTGGACTCCGAGGAGGCAACGGCCATTCCATGTTGATGGTGTCTGGGTCCTGTTGAGCGTTACTTTCTTCATTACTCGTGCCCTCCGCCGCGGAAGAATGGTCGGCGGCAGGAGGCAGAGGCCAGTCTTCGCGCTCAAGAAGGCTCGCGGCATCGGGCGCAACATCGGCAGGCATATCGGTAGGCATGTCGGCGGGCACTTGGGCGACACCAGAACTCGGCTCGACGATCGGGGACCGGGTATGAACATCGGGAGTGAGAGCCATGATGGATGATCTGCGAGCTGGGATAACGATGCCAGGAGCCATCGGAATCGTGGCCAGCGCGAGGGCGGTTGAACCAGAAGTTATGTATTGACGAGGATCGACTACGAACAAAGAGTACAATAACCATGTACTATAACGGGACCGGCGCAATGAAAGCTCGAGCAGGCCTCGTGGTCCACGCCAAATGATGTCCCCGCCCGGCCACCAACGCCCGTTGACGGCGTGGAGGGTGCCAATGCGGTCGTTCGGGCGCAACAGTTCACGGGAGTGTGCAGCTGCTGCAAACCCTGAAGCTGTGTGCGATCATCGAGGAACGAGGCATGCGAGGGCAAGCGCGGTTTGACAATGGACCGCAAGCCCGCTCGGCAGCCACGACTCGATGAGAGGGTTTTCCTGCTACACCTTCTGATACAACTAACAGCCCGGGCAGGTACGTCTATCGCAGCGACCTTGGCAACGCTACCGTTCCCCTCACCCACAAAACGAGACCGATATCTTCACTGAAGTCGCGCTTGACGACCGCGGCTCACACTAGTTCCACCCCGAAGTGGCAAACGATCGACAGCGACCCGTCCAGAGCACGGGCGGACGATGTTGGTGCTGTAACAAGGAGGAAATCTCCATACAACTCGTACGCCTCCGTTGACAGCTCATGTAAACTCTGGTTCGGCAGACCCGAAGCAGTCTAGAGGACGCATTGATGTTGGGATTTGACATTAAAGGGCAGGCCACGGAAGAAGTTTTTTCCCTGATCTAAATGCAAATCTGTGCCTGTCATGAGAATTAATAATAACTGCTACAGAATGGTACCAATCATAACAGCTGCAGGCTACAGTCAGATCGAAGATGACCGTTGGTCGATGGAGTCGCCGGCGGAGACAGCAGCCACGCACCTTCACAAGTGATGGTGTCGCCATGAACGTTTGGTGCCCAGAAAGTAATCTCAACGATGACGACAATGATGTCTCTCGACAGGGGTAAAGAAGCCGAACGACAATCGCTCCCAGGGCCTGAGACTGAGCACATGGTGATATCCACTGGTGAGCTCGCACATCGTACCTTGCATGTGTCATTACACTGCACATCTTTGACCACATTCAGTCAGGAGTTTTGACTTAGTTCAACCCTCGAAGAACTCACCGTCTGTGAGGCCAGAGACGCGCGAGACCAGACGAAGTGGGAAGTCCCGAAGAGGAGAAGCTGGGGACGGCCAATGGGAGAATCGCTGGCAGCCATTGTCTTGGGCTAGTCGCGATAGTGAGGTCTCATCTGCATTAGCGGTCCCCGCTTTTTTATCTGGTCTGGCGGTCTTCGGACCGTGCCGTCATCTGGTCCGATCATCTCAACTTCTCCGTCCCACAGTGAGTGCTGGAAAGGACGGTGGGACGTTGCGGTCTCTTCATGTTCCTCGGAAGTCGGGAGGTTGCATATCCTTCGTTCGTGAATTTTTGGCCTTCTGGAGATTGAGTTTGTAGCGGCCTCATCGTCTCATCTGGCCAGTCCAGTGTCGTGCCTCTGGCACACAAACGAGATTCACAGCAGCTGAGATCGGATAATCTGACGAGGCACAACTGCTTGGCATTCACAGTTCGCATACAAGTATATGGGACGCCTGCAGCAGGTCTCATGATCAAGGAAGATTGTAACGATATGCTAAGTGAAACGCCACAATGCGGAGGAGTGGGATCCCAGCAGCCACGTCACAGTGAAGGTGGGTATAGCACGACTAATCTTCATCGCCGTGTGTCAGTGACGACACGGAAAATCTTGTCGCGCGCCACAGACACCATGGATTGATGTCGTGTTACGGAGCGTGGTTTAGACCTCCTGCCTATTGTGCCATTTCAGATACAGAATGCCCAGGGATGGCGGAACAAGCGTCGTGCCGGTCGGATCATATGGAATGAGGACATCCCGGATGGGCGACCGAGTCCGAGCCTATGGTCGGGAATGCCATTATTTAGTGCACATTGGCTCGCAGAGCTGCATGATGCAACCCGCTGCAGTCAAAGTCGGCCGCAGAATATGACCGACAGACAGCCGTGACAGCCAGCGGTCCTGCGTTTCACCCGTGTCTGAGAGAAGCTTTGAATAGCACATGTAGCGCCGCGCTGATCGTCGTTCATCTCTTAGCCCTTTGATGTACACCGAATAATGGCATATGTGAATGCCCTTTGACAATGATGATGGTCGGAGGAGGTCGGAGAGACAACAACGAGGTGAAGTCGCAAAAGTCGCTGGCTGGCGCCGATCACTCTAAATTATGGCCTGTCGAACTGAAACCGCTCTGAACAAGCCCTGTGGTTGTTTAAACAGCAAAGCCGTTAGAAAACGTCCGACCAATATCCTCCGCTAGTTGTCATCATAGGTCTCATGCTTCGAGTTCTCACGCATATGTCATGGCTAGTATGTCTCTTCTGTCTTGCTCGAGTACACCAACCCCGTCAGGGTTTTTTGTTTCGTGATATCACCTAAAGACCATCGCCGTCGGCGAGTTCGCATGTGCCCCCGAAGGAGAGACCGACCAAATGTGGTCTCAGAATGGCGCTGTTGTTCAGGGCTGCTATCACAGCACCTATCGCTTGCCACCTTGGAAGTCGCCTTCGACAAGTGAAAGACAGCATCGACGCGTACGGGAGGGCATCATCTTGCCCTAGGCAGGTACCCGTTCAAAGCGAGTCTCTATACATGTAGCACACACAACGTACTTTTCGTGGCTGACGCCATTCACAAGATACTCAGGGACGCGCAAAGCGGAGGAGCATCCAGACCTGAGACAACCTCCGGTGGGAGGAAAGTTGAACAATGACGTTGCCGCTATTGTATAGTATCACGCAATGACTTCAGCGGCAGAATATGCGCGTTATTTTGAGAGACATTGCTACGCCCAAGTATGGTGAGAAAGTCTGCTGCGCGGAACGACGTGAGGGCGCGAATTGGCCAAAAGCAGTCATTTAATTTCCACCTTTGCGAACGGCAGGACCGTGGCGGACGGCGGCTTTCACGTGCATGGCGATATGAAACTAGACGCCACGAAGCTCCAGCAGACGAGAAGACTCCAACGGAGAGGGCGAACAGATTTGAATTTGTACTGTTGCAATGCGAAGTCTTCACATGACTTTCCCGATACTCTGAGAATTCACGCAACGCTCCTTTAGATCAGCATTTTCGTGAATAGCTGTTGTCCCTTAAACTTGGCCGGGAGCACCAATCCAGTGCGCCATGTTCGTCCTCTGTGACCCGTGGTGGCCACCTTTCGGAAACCCAGTATGGTCTTGATTCAACACATGATACTAGTACAAGAGATGTATTCCAACCCCTCAACAACATCTCTAAATGTAGCCTTGCTGAAATGCAAGAACTTACTAGATGCGGTAATTTCCCCTGCCCCTCGAAATGAGAGGGGCGGATCTTTGCCTCTTCGTGATGATGAGGGCTTGGGATGGTACATGTCGGTCAGGTGCTGGCCATGGTGTGACACGGAAACTTCAACAGCTTCCAGAATGACATGGGAAGGTACTTCGGCCACTGTATCTGGAGCCTTCTAATGTCGGTCTCGTCGATTGACTGGGTAGAGCGGGTTTTGTATGTTTGGCCGTGATGGTCCCAAACGACTAACCCCAGCGCTTTGTCGGACGTATCAGTGGCTCGTAAGTAGTGCCGCTGTATATCGATCCGCTTCTGACCATAGGTATTGTAGCTCGGCTCCGCGTGGGCGTGGTCGTGGCAATCGTATTCACGTCGTATGAAGGTCGCACAATCCCTGGTTTGAAGCGCCGAGTCATCCGCTTTCGAAGACGCTTGCTGAGACGACCATGGGACCGCAAATCGCTTCGACGCATTAGCATTAAGCGAATCTCAGCGTAACACAGTCGAGGGTGACATGCGCGCCTCGCGTCGCACAGGCTGGAGTGCTCTAAAAGCTCTTTTTGCATCTCCCAACTGAGAGAAACTTATCAAATCTCGTCAAGACCTCAATCGGCGCGTCGCGGCAATGGCCGCTTCTACAGCATCCAAGAGCCAGTTTTCATCGACCGCAATATCGTCGTCGTGCCAATCACCCTTCCGACCTTCATACTCAAAGTCGTGGCCAGCGACCCGGAAATACTCGTGGCCGAGGAAAGTAGCCATATTGAAAAAGCCGCGATGGTTCATGTCCGGCGGCTGGATTTCCACCACTGTGGAATTGATCGGCAAAAAGAACTCATGAGTCAAGCCTGCACCGTGGACGCCGACCAGGATGTCCGTTTTGCGAATCAGCTGCAGTTGTTCCGCGAAGGTGATGTTGGCGAAGTCGACCAACTGAATCTCGACGTCTGGGAAGGCCGACTGGAGATTGGAAAAGTGTACAGCCTGGTGCTGTAACTTGCGCGATCCCTGTCGGTCAATGAAGGTGAGCCGCAATGTTGGTGACTTGGCCGGCTCGTCTCCGAGGTGATAGAAATTGAGCACGCGACGGACAAAGCCGTTCAGAAGAGCGGATCGCTCACAGGTGAGTTCGGTCCAGTCGCCTTCCCAAAGAGTATTACTCGCGCCAGGCAGGGGAATGACCATCTTGCTCTCGGTCAAATCGCTTGAGATGTTCCGGAGCCGGAGCATGGGCAAGTCTGCGTACATTTGCCAGATATTCCAGAAAGGCCCCTCAGCATGGTCGTCGGTGATCAAGATTTGGGTGTTTTTAAGATCTGCTGAAGAGAGGTAAGCCGCACCAGTCTTCGGGTCCGACGTATTGCGCAGAATATCGATCGACAACCCGAGCGACATGACCTGCATAAGCGTATGCCAGAGATTAGCGACGGTGCCCTCTCGCTGTACCAAAAGGTAGGTTCGCGGCGGAGCATCTGAGGTGACAGGGAGATCCGGTCGGTGGAGATCGACGGCGCCGTTGAGCACAGGGCGCACGCCAGTGTTGTACCAGTACTCCTCCATGGACTCGAGATGCTGAACCTCACCGTCGATGGGCTCTTCGTCCCAGTCACGAGCGTCGCATGCAAGACCAACACGGCCATCCTCGATCATTGCCGGCGAACCATAGCAAAACGAATCGATGCGGTCATCGCGTGTCGTATACGAGAAGCAGCTAAAGCGGGATGTAGAATTGCTGGAACAATGTTCAACGGCGTTCTCGCCGAGTCGGCGAAGATAGCCCAGTCCGAATCGTTCAGAGCAAGAGTCGGTAGGATCGGCATCATGTATGGTCGGTTCGTAAGTGATCCAGGGATCGACCTTGATTTTGTGAGTTGCCCAAGCTGGGAGCAAGCTCGGGACGTGCTTGACAATGATCGGCGACGTTGTGTAGCTCAATAACAGAAGCGATATCAAAATTGCTGTGATCACGACGATGCGCATCTGCGCTCTCCCGGCCAGGAAGGCCGAAGACCGTGTCATCTCAGCTACGCGCGGAGAGTGTGCTTTGCACTTGGGGTCTGTGGCAACATTTGATAACGCGCTCAACAACTGCGCGAAACATCAATCCATTAGGGAGTGCTCGGCCGCGAATGCGAGGAGGTTTCATAGACAATCATGATGGAAATCTATATGCACAATTGAAACCACCAAGCCGCGTCCGTGAGATGCCACTCAGTAGCATCGTCTCCAGTGAAGTGGACTTCAGTGCGCCGCGTCGGATGGGAATTCATGCAGCACCACGCGCAGGGGTCTAGGCTGTTCCTCCGCAGTGCCTCATGAATGGTGAGCTGGTGGCACCACCGGGACATGTCTAGGATTCGAGAATCTAATAAGCGAGACGAGAATTGCTTAGCTTCACGTGTCAGCGCAACGCCAAGTGTGTGCGGTACCGGAAATACGCTCTGCTTCGCCTGAACCTATTCCCAGTCGCATGAATCGACGGCCAAGTCATCAATTGCTCGCAATCATGACTCTCCAACAACAATGGTGACAATTCTTGACCTCGCCGTCGTGGGAGAATAGCGATCAATTCCAGATCTTGGTTGTGTATGCGCCATTACCTTCGGATGCCGATACTCACATGATGGGACCCGTGGACTGGAATGCTGCTACCCGTGGACTGTGAAAGAGTGCACGTGACAGAGCTTTTGGATGCAGGCCGGGGTGAATTGGAACAGAGGCGCAAGCTTGACCGGATGGAGTAATCTCCGTATCCGACCATAGGGTTGATGTGCTCGTGCTACCCAAACCCTACCTCATCTATCTGCAAGTGCCCACCACTCACATCCGTGGATTCCAAGGTTATTTGCGATGTGGACCGTACGCGGATGAACATGCTATGAAAACATTGAATTTAAGCTTCTCTTCGACTGTACAGATAATCGTACTGCATTCATGTGGGAGTCTTTTGGTGCAGTGTCGGTATACTCATTCATCAACGCAACACAATAAGACATGATCATCCTGAATAATATGTCATTTGTTGAGTAGCATTGTACCATCTTCATGGACCTGACCTCGCTTTTAGGGGCCCAGGATTTCACGTCCAATACCGATCAGTCCAACTATGATGCCGTGTAGGACACCATCCAATGATTCATATCAACACGTTCGTTAAGATCACATCGACCACCGCGCTGCCCGTTACCAGCGTCCAGTCCACGACGAGGATGCGTAATGTGGCACGGCATGACACATACGAAGAAAGGATATGATCCGAAACACACATAGTGAGTGTAATGAGCAATGATTTATAAGAGAGCGCTGGACGTACCATTTCGCCAGCAGTACCCAAGTAGTACAAATACAGGGCAAAAACATGTAAGATCGAGCACCGATTGGAGAAGATATCAGGGGTAATAAGCCGACGCAGGCCGTAGGTTCATATGCATTGATATATAGACTACCGAGACCACTGAACACGCAGGCCCGCGAATCGTTCCGCCAAAAGTCGCCGCGACTCTGTGCGGAATGGATCTCGCGCTGCGGACTTGGAAGCAGACAGCAGCTGCTCCTGGAAAGTCTGTACGATGTTGAAGTCCGCCAACACAATCTGGCCGGAGTTGATGGCATCGATCAAATGCCCATCCGTCCGGGGTGGAAGCGACGACGTGCTGGCCGAAGCCTCATTTGAACCGCCCGCGGCCAGGTCGTCAATGCTGTCGTCAGATTCCTGCAAGGCCGAATGACCTTGTTCCACATTCGCAAGCTCCTGTAGCTCGATGGAGTGCCGCACTCCACGTTCCTCATCCTCGAGGTCCTGATCCTGCGAGAAAACCGCCATCAATCGTTCCGAAACGTCTTCCTTCTTTAATCGCCGTCGCGCCAGGTATGCCGAGAGGTGAACTACCTGCAGCAGCACAACTAAAGCGTCCAGAATGAGCAGATGGATCTTACTCGACGGTCCCCTTTGTCCAATAAAATCCATGACAAAGCCGCCGTGTAGATACCCGCGTGTGGCCTCTCCTGCGGCCGGTGCGGCACTGAAGAGGTGCAAAATTATACACAGAATGTTTGCTCCTAAGATCGCGCCCAATGCAGGACGATTAGCAGGTGGCTCTGGCAGCAGACCTGTCTTCGGCGTGAGTAGGACCATTTGGATGAGGCATCGTAGGAGGAAGCGCCAGGTATGGCAACTGTGTCATACGGTCAGTCAAAATCCGGCGAGTATTTGTCATAGGCAACGTACTCCATATAATAGATGACACTCAATTCCGCATATACAAGAACGTCCAGGTTGCGCAAAGCATCGTCCATCAACTCGCCGCGCTTGCGGACCAGATACTCGCGATTCTTCCGTTGAAGAATCGTGGCAGCATCGCTCTCCGATGCATCGGCTGCAGTGTCATCGTGGGTCGAGGATTGAGATGATCGTGTCATCGGCGGTGGAGGAGGTGAGACGGCGGACGATGTGGTCGGCTCATCGTTCATAGCTGCAAGCGGCGCGCAGGGTGCTTTCGCATGGAATCATGTCAGGCGGTGTCGTCGTCGTCTTCACAGCCCCGAACGATGATCTGAGGACTCTGCAAGCCGAAGATTCAATGCCGCGACTGGGTGCGCGAAGATTCAACCGAGCACCCTACGCTGTCCGTCATCGAGGTGACGCGGGCGCGAATTTGCGGTATTTGTGGACGCCTCAGGCACAGGACCCGAACCTCCAGGTACCAATCTTGGAATGAAGGGGTCTGGTAACCTCCCCTTACATCCCGCCTTGTACATATATCGGACCACTCTTCGTCCTCACCTGACGTCGTTCGAACCGGATATCATCTGTACTCGGAAACCTGTCCCGCCGCCGAGTAAGATTGCATCAGGTCCCGAGTGGAAACGGTCACAACCCGCCGCAATTAAACTTCTCTGGCCCACCCACCGACTCAAGCTTTGTAGACGATCACGGCAAAGAAGAACCCCGTTCTCTCCAAATAACTCGGAGAGGAGCAGTCGACGACGTGGCAGCAGCATGTCGCCCGTGCGGCTTCAGTACCCGTCGTCAATGGTGCGGTCCACGTTAACGACCACCTTGTGTGAGAGCAATCTACCATTTGGCCATCGTAAAGCCACCGGTACGCTTCGCGATGATTGAATGTAATGCACAGCTTCACATAATACCGTATCTCTCGACATTGGTATCTCAGCCATTTGATACTGACAGGTAAGGAGAGTGGGATCGTTAGGCACACGGAACCACATTTGGGTTGTGTAAGGTAGGTAGTTCCTGCATCGCTCTGAAATCGTCGTCACAGCGAGAATGATCTTGCAACTGATGGATGAGCTCAAAACGCGCCATATGATGCAAAGAATCCTTCGGGAGCAGATCTCAGGGGAAATTGATATCGTCCGGCACCAATAGAAACGCCCATGCATGGCATAATGCCCATACACGATCTCGACATGCGCGATACTGTGTGATATTTGCCACCCTCCACATTTAACAGCATCAGCCGCTTCAAGGAGACAATGCGCAAAGGCGATACAGCTAGGACATGGCCTGAAGCAAGCTCGCCACAGCAATAATCTCAATGGGTTCACCTGGTGAGGCTATCATATTGTCTGAGTCTGAGTCGAGGTTTCGCCTTGCACGTTCAAGTCTCTCGCCAGCATGTCGTCAGGGATCGCTATCGGTACGATTGTGGCTCGGCCGTCGCCTCGTCGGCCATCTGAATCTCACACTCGCTGACTGCTAGCAATGCGCTGGGCGCGATCACGGCTGGTATCGTCGGACGACAAGATCAAATCCGGTAGGGGACGGTTTTCGGTGCCAGGGAAAGCGGCCTTCACGCGGGTACGTGGCATTCTCGTCGCGAACATGTGTTCTTGTGGCACGGAAATTACGGCTAGGCACGAGTTGGCAGGGAACGGAATTGCATCAACAACCACACCAGCCACCGTCGTCCTGCGCGCCCGCGACGCAGACGCCCAGCACCGACATGACACACCTGTATCGTCCTTACCCGCCGCCTGTAGTCACGTCGCTGACACATGCTGGGCTACGTGTCTATGCCCATCAAGATGATATAAAAGGTCTCTACCGATCAGCCAAGTCTTGGGATATCATCGCCATCGCCCAACACTCTTTACATTAGCAGCATACCGATCTACAACATCTGGAATATCAACAAGATTCTCACAGCACATCTTCCATCGTTCCGAATACCACTTTACTTTCGCCAACGCAACAATGCAGATCATCCCAGTTATTCTCGCCTCAGCCATGCTGGCCAGTGCTCACTGGACCACCATTGTAACGCCACCGAGCGTGTCCGCCGTCCCCAATGTCAATGCCGGGCCGACCACGACCGAGGAGCAAATCACTCACGGCGGTGCTGACTGGTCTTCCAACAATGTTGATCAATCCTCCTCCGACCTTGACCACTCCACGCGTAATCTGCCCGGCTCGAGCGCAGGTCCGGCCAACTCCAATGAGTCCGACGGTTTGTTGTCCGTGTTGACGGATTTACTTGGCGGCGGACCCTCTTCCAAAGGCCTGTTGTCGGGCCTCGTCGGCCCTGACGATCAAGGTCTCTTGTCCTCTCTTCTCGGACCCAATGGTCTCCTGGCCAAACTCCTCGGCACGTCAGGTTCCGAGGGCCTGTTGTCTGGTCTTTTGGGCGGCGCAAAGGGCTCTCCAGCATTCCATGATGGCTCCGAGGCCGGTATCTTGAATTCATTGTTGTCGATCCTGTTGGGTCCCGGCGGTCTATTGGACCTCGACGGCGCCTCCGCATCGCCCAGCCTGACCGCAGCCCTGAGAGAGCTCCAGAGAGAAGCCGGGATCGCTTCGAAACTCGAGAATGAGCCCTCAAATTCGACAACTCCAAACTCATCGAACCCCAATTCCTCGTCGCCCAACCCATCGTCGCCCAACTCATCGTCACCCAACCCCACATCGCCCGGTGCACCTGACTTGGCCTCATACAATGACTCCAGCTGCAACTCCGGATCCAAGATCTCTTGCTGCGATACTTCCGGCAAGACCGAAGGCTTCCTTGGCAACATCCTCGGAGGATCTTGCGACCTTCCTCAGCTCCTCTTCGGTACGTTCCGGAACCAATCACGTTGACATGCCACTTTTCGAACCAATGCTGACCATTTCCTTAGCCCACACCAACTGCAAGGCCGACGAGATCTTCTGCTGCCCGACCAATCAAGACGTAAGTAGCAAACTTATCCCTCAGGATGTTCTTCACCCTCAGACACCAAGTACTAACCCTCGTTCTCAGGGTTTCCTCAATCTCTCCGCATCATGTGTGCCCATCACCATTTGAGATTTTCACCTTTTGAAGACCATTAACATATACCTCACGCGGGCGTTTAATAAAGCCGCGGATGATTTTAAATTTATTGCTTTTGCTGGCGTTACCACGACATGACCTGTTTTTACCTTTGTAGTAGATAGCTTTTTGCCCGAATAAATTATATTCCACATTCTTCCTCATTTATCCTATCAGCGCATTCATTTGATTTATGTTGTTCCAACGTTGCTACAAAGATCTCTTACTTGTCACAAGAGCAATATTCTGGACTGCTTCGTACATGGTAGATGATTGCATCATGTCGATCACTGCTTTAGCTTCTTCGAGCCCTGCTTTGTCTTGGTCGCTGCTTCAATTCTAAGTGAAGCGTCATCTATCCTTTCCGGCTTGAAAGAGCTCGCTTTACTCTTCTCTGAAGTTTCTTTTGGCTTGCTTCCATTTGGCTGTCTGGGTGAGAAAACCTCTATATATTCTGCGTCAGATATACAGCTCATTAGCTCGGCTTCCAGGGATGAATGAGCTCCGCAATCGACATGTTATTAAAAAAGGCTATTGAACCTTTGGCCTGGCCCAGCCACATCGAATGGCGCGAGAGCCTAACCGTTCGCCGTTCATAGAGCTTAGAGTCTTCTCAGCTTCGGCGCGATCCCGGAAAGCGGCGAAACCGTGACCTCGAGAACGACCAGTCTTCTTGTCCCGTATCACATAAGCCTCAGAGACGGTACCGTAAGTGGAAAAGGCCTGAAAGAGGACTTGATTATCGACCTCATCGGAGAGATTACTGACGAAGATGGTGAAGTGTTTGGTGGTATCCTCCTTGGTCCCATTGACTTCGCGGGTTGATATGCCCGTCTTTCTTGGTTTGTCAGACAAGGGTGCAGCTTCACCGTGTGGAGTACCAGGATTGCTCATCCCTGCTGCATCTTGCTCTGACTCTAATTTATCGTGTCGTCGTCTCGCTTTAGACTTGGCCACTAGCTTGCCCGCGGACACGGAAATCTCTAGCTGATCTGTATCCAAGCTCCCACTCAATTCTCTGGATCCTGTTCGTGACTCTTCTCCATGACCTTTAGATCCGCTTACAGATCTTTTGAAGTTCTTCAACGTCTGAGGGGTAGGATATTCTGTCTCTGCGATGCTCGAATCCATGATCATTGACTCGGGTGGCTGTTGTGAGTCTGCTCCATTCCCTTTCTTCGACTTCGCGGAGGATTTCTTCTTGCCCCGTTGTAACTTGCAATCCAGCGCATCGCTTTCCGTGATAGCGGCATTGTTCTCCTTTCGATCTCGATGCGCTCTCCCCAGGTCCTTGACTTGGCGCACTGTAGCCTGATGTGCAGAGCAGGCTAACACTTCTTGGGCCGTGCCATCGACTGCTTGGTCTGTATTTTCTTCATATAACTTGTGCAGCTTCTTCCTCGACGTTCTTTTGGTGTCAGAATTCTCTGGGCCCTTTTTGCGTTTCCGCGATCCCACGCAATCCGGCGTATTTGATACAGGATCAGACTCGAACTCGAATCTAGGTGCAATCGACGATACATCGCTGGACCCCCGGGATGAAGTTGACTTGGATGCATTCCACAGACAGGCTTCCAAATCACGTTGTCTCGAGTAGACGTGGCAATTGTAGCCTCGGAAGTGCTTCATAGCCGGATCTTGGTCAGAAGTCGCATCTACTCGGGCACGATTTTGCTGAATTTGCACTTCGATACCATCGGGACATTGAAAAGCTTTAGTCTGGTTGTGCGATGGATCCCACATATGAGTTGGGAAACCCGACGTGTCCATGATAGATTGCAATCCTCTCTCGAGCGAAAAACTGAATTCCTCCTTGATCAGGATGATGAGAAGGATTAAGATCTCCGTCGTCCTCTCGCTGCTCGCCTTTAGCCGTGCAAGCTCCTGCGCACACTCCCGCAAGAAAAGCGACCCCACGGTCACGTAAGAGTTGCTACTTGCGTGGAGTGCCAATTCCCCAATGAACTCATTTGCGAGAGACGCCAGGCGTGATTTTGCCCAAGGCCTGTCCAGGGTCCCAGGCCGCGAAGCCATGATGCCCAATAGCTCACGGGTACGAATGGAGATGATTCCACTTGATACACGTGCGGCGATCTGTGACCCGCTAGGACGCAAAGATTGATCCATCTCTTGGGAGATAGTTCCTCCAGTCATTGGGTTGAAAGACTCCGTCACTGCCGCCGAGGGTCCTGATGAAGAAATCTCCGCAACCTGCTCGGTCTTAATCGGCACAAGCTCATCAGCCTTTACAGGAAGTAATCTGAGTGAAGCTTCTAGGCCCAACTTTTCGAGGATCTCGCGGCGCTTCACATGTTCGTCATGCGGCTCGGGATGTTTGTTTGGACTGGACGGCAGCTGCATCGACTCGAGGAAAACCGGCTCGTACTCGGACTCAGAATCGACATCCCTTTGGTCCGCTGCAGACATCACTGATTGCGATCGAGTCGGGAACTAAGCAGAGTCATAAAGGCATTCGACCATTCCCCTGCCAATTCTGTTCCAACCCTCAGCCAACGCAGATTCTTGGGCAAATGAAGAGTATGATTGTGATGATCTTCGTTGATGCGTTGATGCTCCCTGACTGAGCATTAAGTTTGTGTGCCATAGTCCGGGAGGCATGGTCGATGCACAGGGCCATTTCCCTCAACGACATTGTGACCGACGGCTGGCGCGAAGAGACGCCGTTGAAGTTGGCTCGATAGCAGGACCAGATCAACAAAGTGATCAGTATACTGCCCAGGAAGTGAGTCGGTGCTATGGCATCGGTACCTGCCGCGTTTGCGTGTCCGCATAAGTAAATTCACCTGCACGGATTTAGCTCTTGCTGATGTGCAATGATGGGCGAGGTCCTAGTCGGATGGTCTCTGCATGTTGTGATGTTCTCGTCCGTTCGTCGCACGCCGATGCTGCGAAAAACTTTGAGCCAAATTCAGGGGTTGGCACTATCTGTAACACCGCCAACGGGCGGCAGGGTCCAGGTGCCTGGTGCCAGATTCTCATCATCAGCATCTGAACATTGAGTCCGTTCGCATATATCGGTATCAGCTCTGAAAAGCTCAATTTTCTGCACGAGTCTCTTGGCGCAGTCTTTGGGTCTTATGCTGTTGCCGGACAGCTTCCTGGACATGAGACAGTCAACGAGTTCGGAGAAAAGGGAAAGCCGTCGCGTGTCCTTGAAGTTGCCCGTCAGACGGTCCGCGCAAAGCAAAGTTTGACCGAACGATAGCCGGCGCTCGGAAAGCGGGCCGCGAAGATCCCGACACGAACGTCAAGTCCTCCGGTACAGGCTTTGATTATCGAATGTGTCATATATCACAATGATCAAGTTTTCGTCGCCATCACATATTCAACGCGCTATTACACCCGGCGAAAGTGACAGTCAAACGGATAGCCTCGAGGGTAACATGGCTTTCAAAGTGGCCACCTCTTTCAGGAAGGTCCCAATTGCGCTTGGATTTGGGCTAGGTACTCTGTGATATCGAAGCAAGGTCCGGCTAGACATGACGCATCACTTCGATTTGAGTTATAGCGCTATGACCATCGCGGCGCGGAACTAGGGATTCTGTAGCCGTTGGTAAGTCGCTCGATTATAAGAAAAGATCATCTTTGAGGATCTCGCACCGTGGTCCAGTGCGCGCTTTCATATCCCAGCCACCATCAGCATGTCAAATTGGAGTCTTGTGATGTCCGAATGCGTCGGTTCAAACTTTCACGGCATCTGATCAGATATGGGCCAATGCCGGGCCCAGGGGCAAGATTGGGAACCGTGATGCCCAGCACGGGTTCAGTCAGGATCTAGCGAGTGTCAAGACAGATTTTGCAGCTTGGCACCACGACGGGTCCGCCGATATCCCTCATCACGCTCGCGCTCGTGTCGCGTGTTCTGAGCCACTCAGCGCGACCTCCGTAAGAATCGCTTAAATTGGTGTTCTACTCGATGCTCAATGAACAAATCCCTCCGAACAGCTCATTATCCGGAAAGTCGGCGGCACTCACCTTGAAGGCCAAGTCATCACGGCATACAATGTGTCCGACATGGTGATATGGCGCCCAGTGAACGATTTGTACGATCGGCAAGCTCTCACGCGGAGCTATCCTCCGCCTCCTTCTGCAGACGAGCGTGACCTGATTCGGAACGCAGCATTGGAGCGTAGCAAGAGAAGCCTCATTGATTACGCCCGGACTCGCAAAGCATCATCGTTAAGATCATATCCTTCCCGACAGGGCTCAACGCCTGCTTGCTTAGCTCGGTCGCGATCGCCCACACTCAGCCTTACTCCCAACTCGATAGCTGCTGATCGAGTAGAGCACTACCTAGAGACCCAGAAACCCTTCCTTTTGATCCCTATGCATGAGGATCCTGCACTTCGCAAAGTCATGGAGGCGCGGCATCGACGACGATCATGGGAAGGCACACTACACTCTCAGGAAAAGTCTCAAAGAGCGCACCACGAACGCCGTAGCAAAGCTGATCACCCCGCAAATCACCCTGACAGAGCAAGGCCAGCCAAAATTTCTGCAAAAGTGCCCTCGCAGGTAGTCGGAGTAAGTGCAAAGCACTTGGGTTCTCGACGTGAGCCAGCAATTCGAGGTCCGGTGGATCGCGATGCGGGCCAACCCCGGACAAATTCAGACACTGCAGATCTTGGATCTTTTCGATCGCAAAATCGATCTGATCCGAAAGGAGCAGTGGTTCGTACCATCGCTCATAACCAGCGCGTCGCATCGTGCACCGAAGGTGTTCCGCTTCGCAATGTTGCTGTCATTCCGCCCACAACCGATTATAGGGATAACTTAGGCGAGCGGCTTGAGTCTCCAGCCAGGAACTCGCTTAGCACGACCCCGCCCTCGATTGATGCTAGGCCGCCGCAGGATTCGGTGAGGCATCGAGAGTGGACGGTGTGCGAGGCTATCGACTGGCGGCCCGCAGATGATTCTTGGCCAGAGGAATACAAGATCCGTTGGCACGATCGCTGGGTCCCGACTAGGAGCATTCGTCTTAGAGACGGGAAGCGGTTTGTCCAGAGCGGTCAATTGCGCTTCATGATCAAGCGAGTCAAACAGGAACGGACAACACGCGGCGGCGAGGCGATGAGCTTGGTGGAGTGGAAACCCACATGGCAACACGAGAGAGACCTGAGGGGCACTGCAGAGGAGGCAATGCTCGATGCAAGAACACGATTAGAGAAGCGAAGAATCGTGTCTCTACCCCAAAATGGCCTAAAACCGTTTGTCCCACAATTCAATGCCGACTATTCAGCTTCATTTGAGGAATTGATGCGCCGCTCAGCATTGATGGCGCCCAGAAGCCGGTGGCCTCTGCTCTGTCAGCAAGAGACCAAGCGCCCAATGGTGTTCAATCCGGGGTACCGCAGACAGATCAACTTCACAAGGCTCTCGGTCTTCAAGGCAGCAGTTGTGCACCGAGTTGCAGAAGTGCAACTTAAGCCATGCCGGTGCTGCCGGAATGGGCGAAGCGCTTTCGCCGATTGTGTACAAGATCCCAAATGGTTCAATGGAGCTTGCACAAACTGCTTCATTGTTGACAAAAGTGCAGAGTGTGATTTTCACGTGGCCCGTAAGTTGGATCTGCCGAAGTACACAGCAAATTAGGAAGACTGATGCTTTTTAGCTCTGAAAAAGCCACGCATATCAAAGCGTCCGAGGCCGGAGCTATCCGCGACAGAAGTGATTTCAGTCTCCAGCAAGAGCGAGAGTGAGAGCGAGAACGACGAGGAAGATGACGGATGCGACGACATTCAACTTGGCGACCAGAGTCCAGACTCTGGCTATCGCACCTCGATCGAATCAGAGACGGATGAACACTACGTGATGTCTGGCGCTCTACCGTCCCTATCAATGCGAGGCAGCTCATTATCACCGAGCTCGCCGCTCACGCTGTCTCTAGGGCCGCGCGAGACAAAAGACGGCCTCGATCGCAAGCGGAAGCGGTCGGGGACGATGCACCACGACCCGATAATCGTAGATGTCGATAACTCCGATGCCATCACGATCCACTCCTCTGCTTCGGATGATGAGTGTCAGCCCTCGGACCGCCATTGTCGTCCGAGCTTGACCCGCGGATTGCGTTGGTACCATCCAAGCGTAGAGGAGCCTCGGCGCGTCCCAATTTCGATCGACGACCTCAATCGCGACCCGGACAAGAGGAAGAGGATAACCATCGCCCAAGTCCGCTTTGTTCTGGACTACTGCCCGCCTGCCAATCACAGTGTGTGCAAATCAAAATGGAGGCAATTCCGGGCCGAGTGCGTCAAGGAAGGTCTGTCGCAACCGTTCGAGTCAATGGAAGACTTTTTGAGTCACAATTACGATGACTTGTTGCGAGACCTTATAACGCGGGTTTGTCCAGCTCGAATTTCAGATGAAGATGCTGTATCTAGTAGATTTCAATGAAGGACTGTATGGCTCCTAATAGAGCAGTGTATTGCCTTCGCGGCGATCAGATAGTCCGACCTTGAAAAGAAAAGAAAGCTCGCCAGGAGTTCCAGCCTCTCTGGCGGCGTGAATTGTACTTGGCTGCCACTCACCATCCGCCGAAGCCCTCCCATAATTTGTTCAAAACGAGAGCTGACATCAGATATCACATAGCGTTATCCTCCCGACGACCCGCAAATCGTGAACTCATCCCCAAAGAAGACCTCGGTAGTTTTTTCAAATGCAAAAGTGCCGGTCTGTGTTTCCACGCACTTCCCCAACGCCGCCGCTGCTTAAAATCCGCCGAAAATGCAAAGAACGTAATGAGCTCCGGGAGCGCGTATTCCATTTACTTTGATCATATCCTTCCACATTCTCAAGGAGTCGCGTCCTCTCGTTCTCGCACGCGGATGCGTTTCTTGGACGTCTCCGCGTTGTTCTCGCTCGTTTCAGCGGTCGACTCCACTTCACGGGCTAACGGACTCGAAGTTGCTGCGCGCGTATCTTGCCGCTGAGCAGCAATGCTAGGCGCAGACGCCCTGCTCTCACTACGAGCGTAGCCATAGCCATACGGCATGAAAGCTTCGCGCGTTCGAACAGGTGAGGCGGGCCTGTTACCCGCCCCTGCTTCTGCTGCAGCGCCGCCATGAGGATTGACGCCTAGCTGAGGCGAATTCTGACTCATGGGTGCGGAACGCTCGGTGATACCGGCATTGAAGCCTCCGTACATGCGATCCTGTTTTCGTTCGTAGCGGCGCTTCAAGCATGTTGCCAAAAGAGCGAGCAGAGGCAGACAGATGGCGAGGACGATCAGCATGATCACCCATTGCTACAGATCTAGTCAGCTGATGGCTGCGATGCCAGAAATTACACATAGGTACTCACATAGTGATTCTGCCACCAGGTACCACCATCCGTCACGTCGAGTACTGAAATGCCGGTCGAAGTGCCTCCAGATGTACCCCCTCCCGTCGAGCCTGTAGATCCAGTGTTTGTTGTTGACGCAGTAGCATGCTCTTTCGCGCCATTGTCTGTGCCGCAATTGCTCTTGTACCATGTCATAAGCTGCTGGCTGTCGGCCGCATTGGGACAAGTCGCGTCACAGATGCCTGCCGGTGATGTGTAGAGAGGTTTGAGGTATGCGCTCTGACAGAAACAACCCCATGTTCCCTGATCCGAATTGGCAGTACCTCCACACGCCTGAGCAGCCTGATTGACGAGCTGACATGACTGTGCACATGCCGGAAACTGACTGTTGCCGTTGGTGAGAACACCCTGCGCAGCTGCACTGGCGAAAAACAATGCCAAAGCAAGCCAACTGTGGCCAATCATCATGAATATGATAAAGCGTCCTCGCTAAGTCGCTTCCAGTGGTGGCGAAAAGTGCGGCGATGTTATCGTTGTCGCGATAGCCCAGCCGAGGATTCGAAGCAATGATAGATGATAAAGAGATCCGGATAGGTAGGTCAGCGATGACAGGAAGGCCTTCGGCTTGGAGAAGTTGTGAATCGATGTTGTCGACGACGTGAGTGTTGCATGGCGGAGGAGAAGGACTCAAGGAAAATGATACACACACGGGCAAAACCTGGAAAGAATGGTTGTCGGAGAAAGCAACGGCGGACCGGCTGCAGAGGAGAGTGATTCTTCCCTCCGAAATGACCGACTGCGTGAACTATTGGGCCGTGCTCGATCGCATCCGGAAGCTTTAATTATGTAATCACCCTCCCTTCCTTCCCCACTCCCGCGCTGATCGCCCGCCGCCGAGATAAAAATGTTAGTTTCATCGTGAAGTAACATTCGAGACTTTTCTGTTCACACGACAATTATTTGTGCCGACGGCAAAAGACACGGTCCTCTGCCAGTTGAAATCTTGACAGTACGAAGCAATATGGTGCAGGGTGCCATCAAGAAGACCAAGGCCGCTGCGCCAAAACTGTACGCGCAATCTCTATAATCTTCATTTTGCTTTTCACTAGTATGCAGGCTGATTTATTCTCGGTGTAGTACACAGCGCAAGCAGACTGGATCGCGCGTGATCAAGCCTAAGAAGGCGACTCTGATCAAGCACAATCAGATGAAGAAGGTCAGTCAGTCAGTAATTGGCAGGGTGCCTGTCTTAGCGCGAGTATACTTCATGGTCCTGATGCTGACTACGGTGGGATTTTGTAGAAGCATTCTTCTGGTCTGGCAGCTGTGACAGAAAAATCTCTCGCATCTCGGGCAGGTCATCTGGAACTTTTGCGTGGTGGAAAGAAAGACATGCGAGCCGAGAAGGCAGCTGCGGCGTTGGCTGGTGCGGCTCAGACGAAGAAGAAATGATCGCCTCACAGACCATCGCAACCACACGATTTGCCGGATACATCACAGCTCGATAGCCTCTGTTCAGATACGATCGCTCTAGCCAACTTGCCCTTCATGCCAGGTCTGTCCAGGAGCTGGTGAGGACGAGAGCAAGTGCTACGTTTCCGTCATTGTGGCCAGGAATTGTTCAGCGGACAACCACCACCGGGCGAAACCACCATTTGAAGGAATGCAGCAACACGTAGTCTCGGCCAGGCTCGGACTGCACTACGAGACCGGGGCAAGCCGGCGCCGAGAGCAGACTCGCTAAGCCGACAGTGAGTGCGTGCCATGGTTTGCAATTTCAGTCCTGTTTCGCAAAGAAGGCTTAAGTTAAGAGAAAGAGGCTACTGCCAACATTTCTTGCGCTGATGGGTGGTGGAGCTCCTGGCTCTGTGGTTAGGGGTTTTGCGAGTAGTCTGCCGGTACTCACCTCAAGGGATGAACATGCCTTCTACGGGATTCATGTGCCGCAACTGTATGGCGGCAACCGCGAGGATCTCGACTCGCGTCGATGATCGACGACGAGCTGTACATCTATATCTAAGGTTGGCTTGCCTTTGGCAGCCATTCATCAGGAAGGTACGCTTCGTGCCGTCAAGGCTTCCACATGACCACTGTCATAGGAGACTACCATTCGTCACCCGTGGCGGACGCGCTCGATCGTAAAGAGTACCTCAATGTCGGTGGTAATTTCCACCTCATCCGCGAATACATGATTGGATGTGCTCACTTGTCCTCCCAATTCGCTCGGCCACTGCTCCACATCCCACTCAAAGCCCTTCAAAGTTAAAATGCTGCGCCCATAGAGAGGTAGAATGCCGACGTTGCACGATATGAGACCCGACCGCAACGGCGTCTGGACAACCGTTGTACCGGGGAACACCAGCATAGTAACACTGGCCTCTGTGAACAGCCAGAACCGAATGCTCGGGTTGTTGTGTTTCTGTTCGCGCAATAGCTCATGCAGCAGCCCGATTCCTTGGTCCACGCGCCCGCCCAGGCTTCCCAGAACGAGAATGTCGTGCACTTGTGGCACTGCAGCTTTGATTTTTCCGATCGCCTTTCCAAAGTCTGTACTATATTGGTCGGGATCTTGTGTCACTGACACACCACACGCTTCGAATGCATCTCGTATGTCGTCCCGCAACGAATCGAGATCACCATGGATCAAATTTGGCAGGAGCGCTTTAAGCGACCGCGCAAATGTCGCGGAATCTTCGCCCAGTCTGCTCCGACGCAGGCAATCATGTACTCGGTTGGCACCTCCATCCGCATAGAGCACGAACCCAGCATGCGCATGCAAACGACGGAGATACTCCTCGTCGTCAATGGGACAATTTAACACGATCAGGGCAGTCTTCGCACGTCCCTCGTCCGCCAGCGGACTCGGTGTGTACCGATCGAGGTACGGGACAAAATCCAACTGTGTCCGATCATCGTGTGCCCTGCTCATGGTGTGGCCCGAATTGATCGCGGAGAAGACATGCAGAGCCTTTGCCATATCCATGATGGCCTACAGCTCGTAAATGTAGGTCTATAAATGACGCCGTCGTGAGAGATATAATGCAACGTGTCGCTATAAAGAAAGTTGAGAGGAGCTGGTGATGAGAGGTCTCGGTGGTGTGAAACTGACACCGATAAATTTCCCCCAAGGTCCACGGGTTTGTAAATGCTTCGACTCAATGACGCACGCCCAACAGCTATAAATGCTACAGCAGCTCGAGCGCCGAGAAAGCAGTATTGACCAGCGATTCAATGAATGCTTCTTGTAATAATTCACATAATAAAACCATGATAAAATTGTTTGTTTTGCTGAAGATAGATAGTACTAACGTAATCTATCACCGAGCGGGCCAAATCACCGAACGGGCCATTTTGTCTTGGCATTGTAAACAACATCTTTCCTGTTTATTGTATCAACAACGAGACATGTTATCAGATAATCAAGAAGGTAGAATCGATCTTGCTATCAATGCGTATAGATCTGGTCATTTTCGGAGCCAACGGAGCGCAGCTGCTGCTTTCAATATCAATTATTAGATACTCTCTAAGAGACTCAGAGGAACCAGATCTCGCGAGACTATGGCACCAAACTGTCAGAATCTGACGTTAACAGAAGAACAGACGCTTGAGCAATATATCCTTGACCTTGATTCGCGAGGATTTGCACCTGTACTCTCTGAGGTAGCAGATATGGCTAATAAACTTCTAGCTGTACGAGGGAAAGGGCCAGTCGGTAAATGCTGGCCTAACAGATTCGTTACGCGTTCGGAGAAGCTGAAGATAGCGTTCAGTCGAGCAAAGGATCGTTAGAGAGTCCTCCAAGAAGACCCGGACGTTATCAACGCGTGGTTGACGTTAGTAATAGACACTAAAGCCAAACATGGTGTCCACGACGATGATGTTCACAACTTCGACGAAACGGGCTTCCAGATGGGTATTATTGGATTAATGAAAGTTGTTACAGGTTCAGAGAGACGAAAAAGACCGACACTTATTCAACCAGGCAACCGCGAATAGGTGACAGTAATACAGAGCATTTGCGCTGCAGGCTATACAATCCCTCCCTTCATTATCTACAAAGGGCGCGTCCACATCTCTACGTGGTATGAAGAGGCTGATATCCCTTCAGATTGGAGAATCTCGGTCTCTGAGAACGGCTGGACTAATAACGACCTTGGTCTGGAGTGGTTGAAGCATTTTGATACGCATACACGGACGCGTCAAGTAGCAGGGTATAGGCTACTCATTCTCGACGGCCATGAGAGCCATTTGAATCAAGCATTCAAGGACTATTGCCTCGAGAACAAGATCCTCACTCTGTGTATACCTTCACATTCGTCTCACATCCTTCAGCCTCTCGACGTAGTGTGTTTCTCACCGCTAAAGAGCAAGTACTCTGAGCGTGTCAGAGGCTTGGCACGAAATCGCGTCTTTCATATCAACAAAGGGAACTTCCTTCCAGCCTTTAAGGACGCGTTTTTCGACGTGTTTACGAAAGAGAACTGTCGAAAGGCCTTTGAGGCAACAGCGATAGTCCGTACGGACGCGTAAACAGTTATTGATCGTCTTGATCTACGTTTGCACACCCCTCCTCAACAGCTATTACCGGAAGCAGCATAGGAGTCCCAAACACCGAGCAATTCGTATGAGTTTGGATCTCAATCCAAGCTTATTAGCCGCTCTTTCCTTAGGTCTCCGCCCGAAGCTAAAGAAGGGTTCTCACAATTAGTTAAAGGTGCTGAATTGATGCTTCATTAGAACGTGCTCCAATCTGCACGGATTACAGAGCTTGAAGAGCAATTAGCAGCCTTGACTAAGAGAAGATCGCGTAAACGGAAGCAGATCCAGCAAGGTGGATCTATAGAGTATGGTATTAGAGCATCACAGGCAATTGTACAGGCGGGGATAGGTGCTCAACGATCAAAAAGGACTTGTAATGAAGCTGAGTCTGAACGAGGACCTCCAACTCAACGACGATGTAGAAACTACGGAATAGCTGGACACAACTCACGGACTTGCCAGACAGATAGAGATGCTCCTTCTGAACCATATCCTAGCATAGCAGATGTATAACTAAGTATGTGGTTGAATAAACAACGGTTGTAGTCACCTCAGTTGTAATGCCAAGACAAAATGGCCCGTTCGGTGATTTGGCCCGCTCGGTGATAGATTACGTTATGTCAAGTCTGTGCAATTACGACGAGCTCCAAATAATCATTCCATACAAATTACCCCGTTGCCTTCAACTACTGCATTGTTACATTGACAGTCAATGGTCAAAGATGTATCCGAAGGTGATACCAGAGTAAGCAAAGCCGCGTTGAAACTGGCTCGGCCGAGTAATAGTTGTCCATCCTGTTCGTTGTTTGCTGCAATGACAACAGTGTCCTCGCTCTGACTGTACTCATCAAGCACAACAAACATGTTGTAGTTGATTTCGGACCCTCTTTTCGCAAAACGACTTTTGGCGATAGTGTTGCAGTCTATTGCTGATAGTCCGATCGAACCTGGAGGTACTTGTGGTGCATTGCTAAGTTGGTCGCCTGCCTTGCCGGAGTGAAAGGGTGGAGTATCGAAGGAAGTAATGAATGCGACAGCAGGTCGAACGCGCTTGCCACCTTCGGACTCCTCGTCATCCTCATCATCCTCGACACCCCAATCTTGCTCGTACGTCTGCTGAAGGAACTCGTTTATTCTCTAAAACAACAGTAGATTAGCCTTGTTGTAGTCCCTCGACCTTGCTCCGACCGCGGGGATCATAATGGTGATGGTGTCTCTCTGACTGACAAGGATGGACTTACGGCGAGACTTATTTGTGCAGTCTGGAAAATTCCAAAATAAGGAATATCTGTTTCCGGGCCAATACAGCCACTGGCGAGATCGAAACTACGGTGTACTGGGTATGAAGCTGATAGACCTCGATCAGGCCTGGTCTTGAAAAGATCCACACGGTCTTTGTTCCAGGAGCCACCGACGAGGGCAGCTTCATTTCTCACCCGCCGGATCGTAGAGGGCCCTACTTCCGGACTGTCTTCAATACTTGCAAGTGCGGCTGGTATCGAGGAGACATCGCAACGGAAAGCAAATTGTGACTCGCGGATATCTTCCAGTTCTCGTCCGTCGATCGCGATCTGGCAAGTCCTCTTCTCACCTGCTGTGAACTGATCTAGGACAACGAAAGCCTTGTGACGGTTACTAGGTGTCGACACAAGGGCATCTAAGCAAGAGCGAAAAGCATCTTCATCGACTTGATCTTCATCGCTGACGAACGGTGACCTGAATGAAGACAATTGAGCGTCATCGCTATTCGTGAGCAGCCTCGAGAGATCTTCCTTGGCGACAAGTGCCGTGGACGAGTTGGAGAGAATACTATGCAAGATCTGGTATGCCAACGACATGTGAGCATGCCGCACGTGATGAGACTGTCTGCATACGGACCTGACTTTCGATGTTTACCACGGTCACCAAAGGGTACCATGGGCCACTTGGAGCCTGAGTGCGCGACGATGGCGTCATGGCTAGTCTGAAGATGATTGTCGACCGTTCAAACCTCGCTAAAAATCGCGGAACAATAGAAAATGTGCAGTACAGTGGTTTAAACAACAGCAAGGCGCAAACATTATATATCATGTACTGAGAAGCGGATCCAACGTCACTTCAGCCGGAAGATGATGTAGCGACCCAAATAAATCGGCTCTCACTCACTGTCCAGATTGATGACATGAAGTGAGACAGGATGACTCATGTTAACGATTTGCCCCCAAATTCGAGGTGAAATGCGTCGTAGGTACTGGACAGGACGCGATGTCAGGGCAAATGGCATGGAAAGGTCAATCACATAGTACGATCCCGATGAGGTGCGGTCCATTATGTTTTGTGGTATGCACAGGTGGGACCTGTTCGCTTGAACTTGCTCGATAACAGGAAAGAAACGGTGCATGGACCGTGCCCTTACATAGACACTCATGTAATTTTCAATTCTCCATTCCTTTAACCAACACAATTTCCTCTACATTGACGGAATCTTTTTCTCGTAACACGCTTCGCCCTCATGCGCAGATTGATCGAAGGAGGTATGTTTAAAGAACAAACTTCCATTTTTTGTTATACCACGGCCTGTGTGATGATCTCGATATTTATTATCGCGGCTTATGACGCTGTCTTTACCGATAGCGATATGCTTTGAATTTTAGCAAGATTCTGATGCGACACCTTTTCGCTCCAGCATGATGTACCCCTCGTTGAAAGCATACAGTCCTAACCCTTCGCCTTTTAGCCCTGACAGTCCGCCAAATCTCGACATCAACCTTGCCACGAAAAGGGAAAATTTGCACATGGAGCTTCAGCACTGCTCAGTCTCCAACCCTGCTCGCAAGCCAGTTCGGCGAGTCTTGCCTACAATAGAAGTCCTCGCACGCGCGTCTGATGTTGGACCGCGAGGGATGAAAATGACGAGATCTTGTTGAGGCGTATGGAAATAGGAGAAATGCCGACTGTTTTGGATATTGTAATAGGAGCAAAGCCAAAGGTAGGAAGTCGCCCTGTCGAGATTGAGTCACGACATCGTGTCGCTCTACTGCCGGTAAGGTAAGATATATGTTTGACGGCTTCATCTTCTCCTCTGTGGTGGGAGGCGCTACAGTCGATCATTTAAATTCCCGGGAGAAAAAGTCCAGATGCAGCCTGATACAGCCGCGGCTACCTGTACCCCGAGGGATGCACGACGCCTTGGAAGCACGAACTTGTCTCTCCCCCAGAAAGCCATCGTCACTGGTCGACTCTAGTGTTTCTGTCGCAGGAATAAGGTCCATGGTCTGTTAAAACACAAGAATTCACGTCTCGGGATCTGCAAACACATTTGTATCACGATAAAAGAGTCCAAGCTTGAGTTGATAATTGCTCCTTCGGGAAAGTAGTATCCGTCGCATTCCGCACCACGTTTTGGTGCGACCCGTGAAACTGGCCGGGTGCAACACCCTACAATCGAAAGGTCCCGAGGTCTCTTCGATGGCCGCGTCCAACAGGGAAGGTAATCGACCTGATTCTCGGTAGACAAAGATGGCCGGGAAACAGCTTCTTCATCCAAAAGTTTCGTAAGTCGGAATAAGCAAGGACGACTCAAAGGATGAGTGTGAGCTTCATCGCGATGGTATCTGTGCCACTGCGATGAACGCAGACGCTTGCACGGCGATCTCCTCGTTGATGAGTCTACTACTCTCATTGTCGACCTCTATTTGGAGCATATGGCATACGTTCGTGTTAGTGGCTCTAATGCGGGCGTTGACGCAAAGCGGCCTCGATCTCGGATGTATCTGCAACGTTACAGTGGCCTCGCCGACTCGGAACAGGTGACTGCGAGGAAATTGCAAGGAGAAAGCGGTAGTTTGCAATTCAAAATTGAAGCAATACTAATCTCGCCGACAGCCTTGAAGATTCTGTCGGGCTGTCTCGCAGTATGGGAGCTTTCTCATTGAGGGACAGGTCGACATCTTGCCTTCAGTATGCATTTCGTGCATCCGTCCTTTGGAGAGAGTTCTTCATTAGTGGCGTCGACATCCCGCCAATATTGCAATTTCGAAGCACTTGTAGGTAGACGCTGTGGACCATTTTTACTAGATCCGTCAGGAGACACGCAGGTACATTACCAGATCCATTGCATGTGTCGGTACAAAAAAAGTTGTGTGATTTTACGAAGGTCTGTAGGTATGTATTATCGATAACGACAAAACGTATTCGTGACGCGCTCAATGACGCACGCGTCTATTCCTTGAGTCATTGCCAACCGCCCCGCGATCATCCCATGACTCGAGCCCCCAGGTTCACTGATCATCTTCTGCCTGTTGTAGTCAGCAATCAATAATTCCAAGCTCCACCAACCTTGGAACATTGATCAAGTTGTTGTTGTGTCACAGACCTCCAAAGACCTATAGTGTTTCGCTTGAAAGCATTCAGCATCAACAGTCTCGAAGAGAACAGCGCGGCACTACTCAACACCTCTAGACCTAGCAACATCATCCTCCCCCAGCTAGGCGTCGGAACGATATATCGTGTGCGCACGTACGCGCGAATGGTCAGGCCGAATCGTTCAGTTCAAACCTTCTGCCATGGATTCGCGTACGTCGTTAGTTGGCATGACTTTCAACAGTGACGAATGAGTACCTAACCCTTTGTCAGTGAATGTGCCGGCGCCAACGTTCGATCTTGACACCTGGGCGAACAACTACGATGGTAGGTAGAGCGTGACAAATCAGTGGCAAGAGGTCAACGCTCGGATTCACTTGTACTGACTGTGGCACAGGAGCTCTGCTACCGCTTCGTCTAGCGCACATCGCACGACATTGTCCGCCGCTTCGCCAACACAGTATCACGCTTGCTCTCGCACAGGCCAAGAAGGGCAAAGATATTCAGCTGTACGAACGACTTTGTCATCTCGCAGGCGTGCTCGGCTTGACTGAGGCCGCTGACGAGGATGTGGAATGGGTGGCGCGGACCGAGGAGGCCAATAAAAGGGAGCTGATCCGTTTGGAAGGAGAGCTTCGTGGATACAAGAACAACCTTATCCGGGAGAGCATTCGAATGGGCCAAGAAGACCTCGCGATGCATCACATCGACACTGGTGGGCCGCGATCTGATCCACAGGATCCGATAGCACCAGCGGGCTATGCTGTCGCGTTCACTGCATTTAGCAAGATGCGAGATTACTGTCACACTCCATCTCAGATAAGTTCCATGACGCTACGGCTGGCCTTTACGGCGCTTCTCCAGGCAGCGCTGGCTGAACAGCTCGATTCTGCATCGGCAGGTCACTTCAACACTGTCCATACCCAAGCAGTCCGCCTGCGATCGTCAGGCTGTAAAGAGGAGGAGCAGGCGCAACTCACAGCAATCTCGCACGTTGCAGTTGGTATTGCAGCGCTAGGTGCGGGTGACTACTCACAAGCTGCGGCTTCATTCATGCGGACACCATTCGAGTACCATCGTCTAGGCCCAGTCCACGGACTAGACTTTGAGCGCCTGGTGGCCTCGGCGAATGATGTTGCCATCTACGGCGGACTCTGTGCCCTGGGCACAATGTCTCGTGACGAACTACAGGAAGTCGTCCTTGGTGGTCAATTTCGCCAGTTTCTCGAACAGGAGCCTCACATGCGGAAGGCTATCGGCCTCTATGTCACCGCCAAATACGAACAATGTATCGCGCTTCTGCAAAACTACCGGGCCGATTGGACTTTGGACCTCTTTCTCTCCGCCCACGTGGACATCCTTTTCGCACGCATACGCCAACGAAGCATCACCGCATACTTCTCCAGCTTCTCACAAGTCAGCATCGCAGCTCTTGCTGCAAGTTTCCCTCCTACACGGCAAGATGCGAGCGTCAGTCCCGAAGTCGCAATGGAGGACGAACTCTTGTCTATGATTCAAAACGGCCAACTCGATGCACGATTGGACGTTGTGGACGGCATGCTCTTTGCACCATATAAGGACCACCGCGCCCAGACTCATGAGAAAGCTCGGAAAACGGCTGCAATGGTGGAGCGCACTCTGTTGTTGCGCTTACATCGCGTTAATATGACACTTGCGGACCTCGAGATCCGTAGAGAACCTAAAGGTAGGGATGGTATGGGACCTCCCATGGACCGGGGCGGGTCAAGATTAGGCAGTGCATATGCATAGACGGCGATGACAAATGACAGTGCTCTTTGGCAACTGTACCATGATTTAATTGTCCACTGCAATTTGTCATGAGTCCACCACGAAGATGATGTTTATGGGGAGCATTCACGGCGCGAATATTCAATTTCTCTTCATGGCTGTGTAACTTTTGTTAAAAAGCTCTGCCGAATTACAGTGATCTTTTACCAGATTAAGTGAGTGAGAGAGCTTGTTGATACAGATTTCAAATTTCCAAACCTCCGAAATGGTTGCCATCATTGACCAATAATTTCCAAGGACACATTGAATGAATGGAAACACTTTTCGGCGGCGGCGCTGATATTACCTCCAGGTTCCAATGCATTTCTGCTGCTTCCTCATTCGATGAAACGTGTGACACTTGGCCGCTTGCGACTGTTTTCGGACGATCAACATCATTGTCCGCAAGCATTTGTGATGCCGCATTGGTCTCTGTAATGTGGCTGACATTGCTTAGTTTACTCGGATTTTGGAACCGCGATCGCATGACCTGAGTCCGCCATGCTGGTGCTCAGATGCCACCTATGCCATCGATAGATCAAGACCATGAAGCGCTCGAGACTTCAACCCCGAGAGCCTGGATAGTCCTGCGGACTCGGTCATGGTACGATTTAATCGTGCCACTGCCATAGTGCATTGACAAGCACGCTGTGGTTGAATCGAGTGTGGTCATTCGAGGATAAATCGGTGCATGCATCGCGCTGCTTCCGTTCATGAACTGGCTTTCACCAATTAGCCTGTGCATGAGCGGGCTACTCAGACTCGAACTCCCTTGCTTCGCAGCAAGTTGACGAACGATCCGCCCTGGAAGCCAAGCCACTGAACGGTGTTACTCATGGCACCGCCCACCGTACGGAGATCTTCCAGTCTTCGGTCGAGAAACTGTTCAGTATCTCGAAAGTCAGTCGACTGATCCGTAGACTGGAAGACCTCTGTAGCCGCATATACACCGGCCAATGAGGCACGTTTGGTGTACCAAGACCCATCAACCGATTTGTCGCCCGCAAGAAACCAGATCTCATCGCTTAATCGTGAGAGTTCCCGTAGTGATTCTGGAATATTCTCAGCTAGCGACATGATTGCCAACGCCTCCTGCCACCGCGGCACCACTCCTGCATCTGCGTTCGCATGCAACCTTTCCAGAATGAGACTGCGCACTTTGCGCCCAACACCTGTTGGTCCGTCGGAAGGGAATTGGATGCGATGGCGAAGACCTAGTCGCTGCGTCACTAGGTGATAGCGAACGAGCTCAAAGGAGCCTCGGGGAAAGAGATTGGTGGATATGTCGAGATAGCCGGCGTCTTTGGCGCCGAGTGTGAGCGAGTCGATGTTGAAGCCATTGGAAGGCACATGTGTCATTGCAGCTGCAAGGATTTTGTCTTCGGCCTCGCGATATGGTGGCAGTTCGGGATCCTCGTATGAATGGTAAAGAGCGTGCGTCCGTGGCGCGGCGAGGATTGACCGCGCTGTGGCGGGTCTGCGAAGGAGCGGTCGAAGCGCCATTATTGCATTCAAGGTTGATCTTCAGTTCGAAGGATTGACGAAGTTCAATGCAGTGCCCGATGGTGCACTGAGATCCTTGTCTGGGCAAGAGTGCATTATCCAGAACATGGTGGAGATGGATTCGAATTAACGTCATGGACGCACTGCACGTCGACTTTTCTAGGGCTCTCCAAGAGCGGCACACGGGGGAGAGTGTCTATCGCGTTTCCACTTCCATCAATGGTTTCTTGACGTACCATTTTGACAATAGTGTTCAATGCCACTCGTTATTGACCAAATGGTATTTAAGATCCTAGAATTTCCCTGAATAAAGCTACGACTCGGGAATACACTCGTATTGCTCCAAGGAGTCTAGAGTACAAAAAGCGTGTCGAGCTCGGCGATCACGACCGAATCCTTTCATCATGCGCGCATGGACTCGACCGGGTGTCAATCTATGGCGGACCAGATGGGCAAGAATGCCAGCCACAAGACACATGAACTTAAAGACAAACGTGAAGGCAGTGAAGCAAGACATCCCAAAAGCTTCAAATGGATCGACAACATCGCCACGTCAGCAGCGCTCATTTCTCGCGTTGATCGCAGTCTCGGCCATTGGATCCTTCGCCGCAGGACATATATTCTTCCACTATTGCTTTGAAGGAGATTTCGCCTACGGTATCTCGATGCTGCCGACACTCTCAGCATTTGGAAATTATGTCATCATCAACAAATCCTATCGCCGCGGACGAGGAGTTGAGGTGGGCGATATTGTGAGCTTCAAGCATCCAGTTCGCGAAGGCGAATATGCGGTCAAGCGGGTCTTGGGTCTTGAGGGAGACTTTGTGCTCATGTACACGCCGGGAGCGAACGATACGATGTTACAGGTGAGAATTACGGATGAAATAGTACAGGATTGGCATTTGGACTGCCTCCGCTGACAACGAGATCCTCCCATCAGGTCCCCAAAGGCCACTGTTGGGTGATTGGCGATGATTTACCACACTCGCGCGACTCTCGGACGTTCGGTCCACTGCCCATGGCACTAATATCTGGCAAAGTCATCGCGAAGATCGACCTAGAGGCCTGGCACATTTTTTCTCCTGCATCATGGTTCTCATCGTGCTCCTGGATCGAGAATGGTCTACAATCGCCGCCCGATGACGATGATGATGACGATTGAAAAAAGTTGGTCTTGAGGTGGACTCATCCGACCGTGCGTTGTTTACAGGATCACTCTGAACGGCTCAATTCCCACTCAAGGCCCTGTCAGCCTGGCCTGATGGAGTCGCCCGAGCGCCAAACGTCGTGGTTGTTGGAATCAATGAAGGCACATGACATGACCACGACGCTTTCATCGACCGTGACCGGCGCCGACTGTTGATGAAGATCTTCGTCATCCCGTCACTCCGCTTGGCCTCTCCGCGGAGAATAATCAGTAATAACCAGTCTTCATAACGCGTCCGAAGCGCGATCACTTCGCATCAGAGCTTGTCTTCTTGGCAGCCAACCCCTCCAACTCTTCCTCCAAAGCTTGCACTTCCCCGTTGGCATTCTGCTTGACCTCCAGGCTCTCGAGCTTCAGCCAAGACCAGTATATGACCTGAAAAGTCGCGAGAGAGACGAGGACATTGTATGCGACTGGCCGACCCAGTCCGCGATAGAAGTCTCGATGCGGATTTGATTGGGGTTGCGGAGTGGGTGCTTGATATGTCGAGTTCGCTCGGATTGAAGGGATGCGCAAACTCCTGTTGACGGGCAGTCGAAGCAGCGAGCGAAACATTTTGTCGATGATGATTGTTGCCGGACCTGCAAAGTTGTGTGGACTGGTGGCAACGGTAGGCGGCACAGATGCAGTGTATCAGAAGCTTTTCGATCGAGTCGGTATGTTTGTTTGCCTGTTGGAGGACGATGGACGATGTCGTTCGATAGCTTGATCTCCAGTACCCGTTACATGATCTCCAGGGCTGTCAATGTCTGTGTCCATTGATCTACCAGCGGCGTACTAGCGCCGGAGGTGAGATGAAAGTCGCCGACACGTGATCATCGCACTGTTTCGTGGCACACCTGAACCACGCGATTTATGTGATACCCCGCGAGCCAGCCCCGCTCTCGTGTGTCGTTTTGCGTGTCGTCACGGCCTGTCTATACACGCGATTCCCCCAATACCGTGAGGTGTACAGTTCTCTGCCCTCAATTGACACACGACTTTGCGTCGTGATATCTCCTCTCAACCGCAACTCGGATACAACACCAGCATGGCGGATGTCGCCGAATCCTCTGCGGCTGCGAACGTGCGCCCAGCGAAGACGGTCATCTATTGCGGAGTGTGCAGTCTCCCTCCAGAAGTAGGTACGACGGCGGCTCCCTCGACCGATCGCATACGATGACTGTTCAATGAAGAAAAGGAACAGTTCACTGACCATCGATGGCGATGTTACAGTACTGTGAATACGGCGGCACGACAAAGAAATGCGAAGAATGGCTTGAACGGGAACACGAGGATCTCCACGAACGCCTGTATTCCGAGGAAGCACTCACCGCCGGTCTCAGCACGCTGAGCGTCGACGCACAGAAACGTGCAGAGAAAGACGCACAGAAAAAGGCCGCCAAGGCCTCCGCGGCGGAAGCCCGTGAGAGCGAGAAGCGCGCGGCGAGCAAGATCGTCATAAAGCGGGTGGAGCGCAACAAGCGCAAGTTCGTGACGGAGATCAGCGGACTGGAGGCATTTGGTCTGGATCTGAAGAAGACTGCGAAGGAGTTTGGAAAGAAGTTCGCGACGGGCTCGTCGGTGACGAAGACGGCGGCGGGCGGGGAAGAGATTACGGTGCAGGGTGACGTCAGTGAGGACGTGGTGGATTGGTTGGCGGAGCATCACGAGGAGATTCCTGAGGACAACATTGAGTTGATTGAGGATAAGAAGAAGAAGGCTGCGCCGCCATGAGCCGTGAGTTGACGTTGCATTCAAGGCGCGTGGGAAGTCGATGTTGAGTGAGGGGTGAGAATGGGGACGTATTAGCATGGCACAAACAGAGCATCGACTGAAGACAGATTTTCGCAAACAAAGACACGGGCAATAGACAGGCTGAGAATTTTGGCAGCATCGCTTTTGGTCTCCAACCTACGCATGAACGATTCCACATGTATTTGAAATTGAAGCTTTTGATTTATCATGTTCTCATCATTCCTTCTGTGGCTGTTTTATGTACAAGCTCTTCTCGGTTGAGGACTACCTCGGACACTGTCCAACGAGCAAATTATCTACGCTTTGTAGCCAGCCTCAGCGAGCCCTTCTCCCAGCGACACGATGGCGCGGTCAATCTCCTCACGCTTTGGGTCCATGACGGACACGCCCATGTGGCCGAAGCGGATGTACTTGGTAGCAATTTCCTTATGCAAGCCGCCGGCGAAGACGACGCCCTTCTTCAGCAGGCTTGGCAGGACCTGTGGTGGCGTGAAGCCCTCAGGGAGGTAGATGGCGGTCATACCGTTGGCCTGGTTCTCCGGCTTGTCGGCGAGTTGGCGGAGACCAAGCTTGGTGACTGCGGCCTTGACCTTTTGGCTGACCTCCTTGTGTCGGGCGAAACGGTCAGCGAGCGGGACAGACAGAATTTGTGTGAGCGAGGTATGCAGGGCGTGAACAAGCTGTGGGCTTGGAGTGGCGAAGTAGGAGGGCTTGCCAGCCTCGTAGTTTTGCATGATTGGCAGCCAGTTCTTGAAGCTGGCGAAGTAAGAGCCCGGTGGGGTAGAGCGAGAGCGGGAGCGTTCGATGGCACGTCCGGAGGCCATCAGGATACACAGGCCAGCTGGGCAGCCAATGGCCTTTTGCGACGCGGTCAGGACAACGTCAATGTTCCACTTGTCGAACTGAATCTCCTCGGAACCGACACTGCACACTCCGTCGACGACGAGCAGCGTCTCGGGCGAGACACGGCGCACCAACTTGGAAAGGGCCTCGATCTCGGACAAGACACCGGTGGAGGTGTCGACGTGGGTGACGGTGAGCAACTTGTACTTTTTCTCGCTGAGGGCCTTCTCAACGGCATCCAGCTGTGGGCGGTCTCCAATGGGAGCCTTGAGCTGAGTGGCGCGAACGCCGTAGGTCTCGAAACAGTCGGCGAAGCTATCGGCGAAGTATCCAGTGTGCAAGACCAGTACATCATCGCCGCGCTCGGCCAAGTTGGCGGCAACAAAGTCCCATCCGAGAGTGCCCGAGCCGGAAATGACGAAAGGCTGACTGGCCGGGTCCTCGGTGATGAAGAGGCGTCGAAGCATAGTCAAAGCCTCGCCGAAGGTCTTCACGAAGGGTGCACCGACGTGGGACTCGGAGTAGTGGCTCATTGACTGCAGGACGGCATCATCGAACTCGATGGGTCCTGGGATGAGCAGGGCGGGGTGCGGGGCCTGGGTGGACATGGCGGCGGCGTTGGTCGACGACGACGACGATGTCGATGATGACCGACTGCGCGAGGAGGATGTTGGAGATTGTTGTGGCGGGGAGATCAGTGGGCGAGTAGGATATGCAGAAGAATCGGTGGTTGTTGTTTGAGGATTGATAGTCATCAATGGGCGACTCTGATGTGAGGGAAAATGAGCGGACAATGCCGCCAGCCTGGAACGAGGGGTAATAATGGTCGAGACGACATTATTACTACTACGACTACCAGCACCACCAACACGAATGTTGTTAGTAGCCGCAACAGCAGCACCAGCTGTTGAGACTGTCGCGATCGTCCGCCCCATTGCCGCCGGCCTACCGATGCCTTCTTTTTGCGCACTCGATGTCGATTGAGTTTTGCCTCGCACTGTTAGCAATCGTGTAGAGGACAGCGAAAATGTCGAAAATGCCGCTGCTCTCGTTCGATTTCGACTTAAGACCGGTAATGCCGTGGATATACCTCTCCTCGCGATTGTCGTGGAAGCAGTAGTAGTGGTAGTACACGCAAGTGAATACGCAATGGACATCGAAGAGCCAAGTTGAGTGGCCGACGATACACTTTTCATGAATGACACATGGGTCGGACGCGTGTTCAGTTCCCGCGACAACCCACGACAATGGTACGTCCGCGAGGATGGCGAGTATTGACCGTGGGGAGGTGAAAGAGATGAGACAGCAGCGGTGGCAGTGACGATGCGGGAGGAGCGATTGAGAAGTGAGCAGGACGGACGAAGAGAACGGTCACCGGAGCGAACCAGAGGAGTCATCACTGTCGCGGCCATCATCATGATCATCAGGCGATGCAGGAGAGAATTTTGTCCTATCAGATCCTCGTGTGTGTCTCTTTGGTTCTCCTCCTCACCTCGAAACGATCAGATGATTATGCGATTGGTGATGACGAACGATCCGCATTGGGAAACGAAGTCTCTGTGCACCTGCAGCACGAGTCTCTCCCGTCAAATGGCGCGGCGGCAGTGGGGAAATTGACACCGGATCGGCTGAGACACTCACGACACTGCAAGGGCCGAGACTGACTCCCGCGCTTCAGCCGCATTGGACCCGCCCACCGTCGCGCCTGCTATCGTCAATGCGGTTTGAGATGCGACGGGCTACGGTAACCTTCGAAATTCAATGGGTGCAAGATCTTGGTTATCAATCATAAAGGAGCGCAAGCAAAGTACAAGTGGACGGTCATCAATGCCATTTGCATCAGCAGAACATTGGACAGCCGGCGATCGAACGGACTTCGACTGTGGGATCTATCATCACCTATTGTAAGCGGGCGCGCTGCGTCAATAATCGGCCCGTCTTCAGCGAGCATTTGCAATGGCTGGCCAGAACTCCGAACTGCCAGGATTACTGTGACTTGTCAACAAAAGACGTGATCAAATTCTATCATCGCAATTTCCAGCTGTCGCGTGGATGGCAAGGCCGATCGCTTAAGCAGATAACAGCAAATCTTCCGTGCTCGCCGCCTCCGAGCCTCACGCGTATCACGCATCTTCACGGCCCACCAGATCACCGAGCTGGTCAATATACGCGCTCGGAACCACAGACGCATCTGCCGCCAGGAAATCTTCCTTCTTGCTGACTCCAGTCAACACTGCCAATGTTCCTCCGAGGCCGCCCTTGATGCCAAATTGAATGTCCGTGTTGAGCCGGTCGCCGACCATGCACGCCCGCTTCCGGTCAAATTGAAAACGACCTTCGATAGCATCCATCATGGCCTGGCTGGGCTTGCCGAGCGAGAGCGGTTCGTGGCCGACAGCTGCGACCAGGGGCGCAAACGTCGCGCCCGCGCCCGGGAACAAGGTACCGGCGCTCGGTAACGTCGTGTCGATGTTGGTCGCTAGGAAATCCGCGCCCGCTCGGACGTATGCCTGGCCGAGCGCCCACTTGAGGTAGCTTGGATGGAAGTCCAAACCCGCGAGCACGACGGCTACATCAGGATCCAGAAGTGAGCCGTCTGCGATGCCACGGTAGTCCGCATCAGTGATATCCCGGCGGAATGCCACGTCTGTGCCACCGATGTATGGAACGCCTTCGGAGGCGAGCTCCTGCTCGATACCCGTCTCGCCCAACACGAAGACTTTGTTCTTTGGCGCGGAAAGCTTCATGATGCGTGCGATGTAGACTGCTGCGCTGTAGCTCGAGCCGAACACCTCTTCCTACGAATACGGTCAACTTTGATCTCGGGAGTTTGCGCCTGAACAAATGCTTGCACTCTCGTTGCAACTAACCTCTTCGGCTCGGATGCCAACTTTATCAAACTTCTTCTTGTAGTCGCTTCGAGACTTGGTGCTGTTGTTGGTGACGAAGACGAGCTGCTTGCCTGTGATGCACATCAACGATCCGTTCGTGATATTCATGAGACACGTGTTGAAATGTCAGTCCAATATATACCTCGTGATCTCAAGAGATCAATAGCCTCTGCAACGCGAGGAAATACATGTTCACCGGACCACAAGACACCTGCGGAAGACGGTTGATCAGGAACCTACGTCTCTCAAGGAAGTTCATAGTCTGCTCATTCTCACCATCACAATCAAAGAGAAATACATCGAAGCGGTCGATAAAGGCGTCGATGCTCGCTCGACTGTTGAGATATTCGGCCGGCATTGTGTCGAACAACCAATCTGTGCTACTGTACAGAGCCCGATCCAATGTTCTGCAGCGATGTCAGGGCAGAACTGTCCACCAGCACGCAAATGTCTACACCACACGATATCTACAAATAGCTCGAAGATCACGGGCCGACTTTCAGATACTTCGTGGCTATTTTGAGTGGGTCGGAAACGGCATTTGTTGACGACTGATGGTAACGGCGACCGTCATCTGTTTTCCCCCACTTCAAGCGGGGCAGATGGGGGACACCAGTCGATATCCCAGCATACATGTATTGAATTGACATCATCCCGACCTGCGAATGCACGATCAATGTTGTGCACATTTTTGAGCTGCGGTGGCCGAGTGGTTCAAGGCGGCAGATTTAAGCCCTTGTGGGAGAATCTCTGCTGGAGAGATCCGCGCGAGTTCGAACCTCGTCCGCAGCATCATTTTTTGGTCATCTCGTCGAGGTCAGAAAGCCTTTCGATCATCGCAATTGATCGGCAGGTATTAACACGACAGTTCGAGGTGATCTTGATACATCGGATGTCACAACGCGCAAGACAAGACCAAAAGCGCCCACGGATGTAATCAAAACCTCTCGACAATGCGAATTTATAAAATTGCATAGAATATCAAACTCTCCTGGACTCCGATTCCGACGCCGCAAGGCTGAGTGGCGTCGGAAGTGAGTTCCGTCGCATCTCATTCAGCACCTACAGCTTCGCGGCTCTCATCAACATACACTTACGATGACGTTGGGGGTTCGCATCACAGTTGTTGAATCGCATGAATGTCGACCTTTGCTTCGCCCACGACAGGTCCATATGCAGATTTGAGAGAGGCATTTTCGGTGCGAATCATGTGAACACAAAGCAGGACACTCCGGGCGAGCGCATCTAGCTCGAATCAAGACGAAATAACAGATCATTATGACCCCTGTGGGATCTTTTAAGGAGAATTCAAGTGTCACTGCATACGCTTCTCGTTGTTGATATTTTTGCAACGTCTTAGCTCCTTGAAAACTGAAGACCGCCTTGATGAGCCTGCGTGGTTGAAATCCGATAACTCATATCCCTTTTTGCAGTACTAACGGACTGCACTTCCAGGATAGACCATTCGAGGATAACGTGATGTGCTTGAGAGGTTCCCTTCCAGCGTCGCAAGCGATGTCAACCAGTACATGATACGTCGTGACGGACCGAGGCGAGGTAGCACAAAGCGCGCAAGCTATGACTTGCAATGGCGCTCACTGGTTGGAGGGATGTTTCAGCAAGGGAATCAGGCCTGATCCACTTTCTTCTCCTGATGAAGCAACATGGATTTTATTCTCGGCTTGGGCATCGCCTTGCCAATAGCGTCCAGCGTCGGTGTTTCCGTCACCACAGGCGTCGCGCAAGGCGTCAACGAGCAAAAGAAGCAAAACGCTGATGCCTCCAATCAAACGCGTATGCTCAAATTCCATCTCGATGTCGTCGTCGGCGACAAGGCGAAATCCAAACGCGGTGCACATCTAAACGACTTCGTGGTGACTCTCCATGACGATAAGTTGTGGCTGGAGGCCAAAGATCTCACCACAGGCCTGCCACTTGATAGTCGTCATCATCCCTTCACTGGTTTCTACATCGCGTATCCAGATGATGCTCGCGTACACACGCGGGGACTGGTCTCGACCATCAGCGTTGACCCGCCGATGCTCAATTGGATCTATGTGGACAAGCACAGTGGAGAAGTCCGCTATGCGAATCGATCAGGCAGCATTGAGCACCATGTAGGCGATTTTGATTGGACAACGGATAGCAACGAGGATAGCCGAGTCACTCTGGACGGCTGGGAAGGCTTCTTAGCTGTAGAGGAATCAGAAGAGCAATGGTCATTGTACTTTGACTGGGACGATGACGGGTTGCGCGGAAAGCGGCGCGGGCGAATGGTAGTTGAGGTCCAGCTCCAGCGCAGGGTGATCACAAGTCAAGAAGTCAACAAGTGGGGTTTGAAGGAGGAAGGCAATATCGGGTTCAGAGCCACGAGGGAGGTTTGAAATTCACTCGTCTTTGCATCTCTTGCTGTATGCTGTACCACCAGGCTGTAGCAATACAAGACGAGTGCATCCGCTCACGTGCCATAAAAACTGTATACCAGAAAATCATTACAACTTCGCCCGCGGAGAACTCGAGGAACCAACGTTCACTACAAGGCCACTTCCGCCGTCATTCGCGCCAATGAGGATCTCCTGACAGTCCTCCAGTGGCACATCATTCGCATGCTGAACCACCACAAAGTCAATCATCCGGCGACCGAGCACGATCATTGGCGCATGCCATGTACCCGGTCCATATGTGACGGCTTGGTCACCACGTAGGACAAAGGCTTGAAGACGGTCGAGATCAGGGCCGCCAGGGCCTTTGGGCGTGATGCTACGTCCGTGGCGGTCGAGCGGCTGGGGCGTGGTCGTGGGCGTGTAGTCATTTGTGAAGAGATTTGGTCTACCGCGCCGGAGTCGCTCGAGAAGACCTCTCCGACGCCTCGGCTGTGGAACAGGATACACCGGCGATGCCTTTGCTGGCTCATCGCGTGTGGAAGTGGGCAGAGTTGGAGCGACTACCACCAAGTAACGGGTGTCGACGTCATCAGGACTCACTCCGATCGGGATGAAAGTCTGCGAAGTGAAAGGGTGACGCTCAAGAATTTTGATTGGTAGAACATCGGCGCCTTCTTTGTGTATCAACTCTCGTGGCTCACAAACAAACATGTTCATGACAGCTCGTGCCGGGAATTTCGATGGCGCCAGATTATAGTGATTGCTCAGGCGAGACACATCGAGCCATTTGGTCGCAGTACCTTGATTGGCGCTCGTGCTTTGATATTTGGCGTCATCCAATTCGTGAAGCGCTGGATTGTGGACGATCTCTCCAAACTCAGCAAAATCACTGTCACGCGTGGGTTTGCCAGGGATTGCGATCACGCGGCTTGCTGTGAGTTTCTGCTGCGGCGACATGATTGATTTACGATAGTAAAGTTCTCGGGAAGAACGATGATTGTGTCTCGTCGGTCTTGTGAGGAAACAGGTGGAATGAATTCATTCGCCTTTCCAACAGACAGACTTGGGGACGTGTCGCGGAGGGTGCGCCGACCAAGCCGGCGGTCGGCCCTAAAGTTACGCCTGTAGTTGTGCCCTGTACCTAGGTAGTGCGTTGAGGTCTGGACCATCACGGGCGAGCGGCCGCCGGAGCGGGCGGAGATGCCCCACCATAGAATGTTCCTCGCGCTACCTTCCGCGTGATGACATAGGGTCTTGTCGATCTTCAATCGAGATAAGGCTTTCTTCCATTGTAAATTTACCTTTCCTTCCATAATGGCGTCAACGAGTGAGTTTCCTGCCATTGAGGGCGGAGGGTCTCTGATCCTCGCCTGGCAAGTCCGTGGCAAGAAGGTACTGGTCATTGGTGGTGGAGAAGTGAGTATCTTCAGATCGATTAAACATGCGAGAGTTCTCGCCTGCAGCATCACCCGGCTGATATTCATGAACGTTTTAGGTGGCCGCCGGGCGCATACTCAATCTGCTAAATGCAGATGCGCGTGTCACTCTTGTCAGTCCTCGCGAAGGCCTGAATCCCGAGGTGGCATATCGGGTGGCCCAAGGCCAGGTCATCTATCACGACAAAGTCTTCGAGCCAACCGATCTCGATGATCCGGATATCACCATGGTGTTAACAGCCATCGACGATCCTGTCGCCTCGAGTCAGATATGGAAATTATGCAAACAGAAGCGAATTGCAGCTAATATCGCCGATGTGCCGCCCGAATGCGATTTCTATTTTGGTAGTGTGCACCGAGATGGGCCGCTCCAGATCATGGTCAGCACCAACGGCAATGGCCCTAAGATGGCCAACATCGTAAGGAGAAGGATTGCGGACACTTTGCCTCCTAATATCGGTGAGGCGATCCAACAAGTTGGAATGCTGCGACGGAAACTGCGCGAGATCGCGCCTGGACCCGAGGAGGGCAGTAAAAGGATGCAGTGGTAAGTTTTCCACATCCAGCATGGGCGAGATTAGAAAGCACGTTATGCGCGTGTGACAATCACTGATGCGGGTCGGCACAGGATGTCCAAGGTTTGTCTCCAGTGGAGTCTTGAAGATCTCTGTGAAATGCAAGAGCGAGATATGGAAGTTTTGGTACAATCCTATGCTTCCAACAAAGTACCAGGTCTGGCGGAGGTTCGCGGCCCCTGGCAATTTGATGGCTCGTTCGGCTGGGCGTGCGTTGTGTAAGAAGATACACATCGGTCCAAAGGTTGAGTGTGCATGCACATCATGCATAGAGAAAGGCTGTGACATCTCGATGAGTGGCGCGCCGGGCACTCAAGCAAACAGCGGTACACAAGCCGCGAGGAGACTATTACCCGGAGCTGACAGGCGGGATGATTGCGACTTCATCCCCAGCTTGAATGACCAAGGCATCAGCGCCTTTGGCTATCTCTTCCATCACATCAACATAGTCCAGATTTACGGTCAGAGCAGAGCTCGCCAGCACATGCTCCTTGATCCCTGGATATTTATCTTCCAGAGTATTGTATAGCTCGACGATGGAAAACGGAGCTGACAAAGTGTCGTACGGCCTCTGGGTGAATGTCGTTGCACCTGCAAAGTACAGGAGCGTGAAATCTCCAGATTGAGTGGTGGGCGACTCGTTGGAAGCCATTTAGACTTCGACAACAGCGCGAGTGTATTTATGAGCTTCTCGTAGATTTACGAGTCGGATAATCCGTATTCAGCAATGTCCGTACTCTCCGCAATCGGCGCTTGCTATCTGACTGTCTCGACGGTCAAACTAGTTCAGATGATATTCCGTGCGGCGATGGTGAGAACAATGTCTGACCAATTTGTCTCAAGTCACAAGAGCGTCGTGGCGCACTTATGGACAACCGAGGAGACAGCTGGACAATGTGCTGGATAGCCTCGTCTGGATCGTTCGAAAAATCGGTGCCGTAGGCGACTACTCGGTTCCCGAGGACTTGAAGAGGGCAGAAAGTAGATGCCAAGGCTCCCGACGCCTCAGATGATAAATGCTGTTAATTATTTTACTTTAAATTATTATGGGCGACGCTCGCTGGTGGGGAGAGCGATTACATATCCTCGGCCAGAGACAGAAGCGTGCACTGGCGGAACCCCGAACGACCCTCTGACGGCAATTGCGTGACAACGAGTCGCGCGAATTCGTCATACAGCCGAACAGAACATACATTACTTTATTGTGTGCGAAGCTTCCTGTCATTGATACATATTCTTGCATTTTTACGCCTCACGAATTTTCAATTCCTTCGAGACATGACAACAGAAAGCGTCGCCGCTGCGTTTGACAGCATCTCCGACGCTGTAGAATCTTTTGGTGGGGTCAACCCATTTCCAATGCGCTCATGCGAAATTTCAAGCCGGACGATGACTGACAGCACGCGCGCAAAACAGCGAAGGGAGAGTTCATTGTCGTCCTCGACGCCGCCAACCGTGAAAATGAAGGCGACCTCATCATCGCTGCCTCCGACCTGACTCCCGCAAAGGCAGCCTTTCTGATTCGTCATTCATCGGGCTATGTCTGCACACCAATCACATCCTCGCTCGCCGCAAGACTCGAACTGCCGCAAATGGTAGCGCACAACACCGATCCCAACCGCACTGCTTACACAATCACGATCGATGCAGAGGATGTTACCACCGGTATCAGCGCACAAGATCGAAGTTTGACATGTCGGACGCTGGCCAATCCTAAGGTGCAGAAGGACGCATTCCGGCGGCCAGGCCACATCGTCCCGTTGCAGGCACGAGATGGAGGCGTGAGGGTTCGTGCAGGTCATACCGAGGCAACCATTGACTTCTGTCGTCTCGCTGGGAAGGAGTTGGTCGGCGTCATCGGAGAGCTGGTAGAGGACGGCGATGAAGTGCTAGGTGCTGGCGAACGAAGTGGCGGATTCGGCATGATGCGCAGAGATGGCTGTCTCGCTTTCGCGCGTCGCTATGGGCTGAAGGTGGTCACCATTGACGATTTAATATCGCACCTTGAAAGCGTCGAGGGGAGCAGTTGAGGACGGAATGGCAGAAATGTCGTCGGTCTGCACGGATTGGATATCGAGGAAGACTCTTGGTGTCCAAAGGCGGCGTACTCTACTCGATGTAGTATCAAAAATCTTCAGCGAAGAAAATAGATGCATTGCTTAGGAACGGCCGCTCACGCCATGGTGATCTCCTACTGCCCAGGTTCTTTCCCTTCCCTACCACATATAGGTACAAACTCTCTCAGGACGCATCCCTATCGCCATGGTCGCGAGACTCAAATTCAATCCTTCCGTTGCCGTATACTCCAGAAACTCTCGGTATCCCATATTGTACATTTTGTTACACTGTTGTCTCCTACCCTGTTTCATTCGGCATCTTTTGTGCATCGTCTCCGCGCTCCTCTCTTCATCCGATCGACCAAATCCCGTGAAGCCTTATGGGAGACTGAACCCATAACTCGCCATACACGTCCGGTACTTGCTCACGAGGTCGCGGCATGCCTCTTGAGGATCGCGCGAGGTTGAGAAGAGCATACATTCGTCGCGGGCGTTCTTTTCATCTTTGCAAACGCAACATGGCTATGATTGTTGATCAGTCAACTGTTCTGTGCAGGCGCAAATGACGCATCATGGTTTTTGGCGGACCTTGACTTTCGCCGCTGCATCACCTTTGGGCTTAAGGTCGCTTGCCGCATTGTTTGGCTGCATCACTGTTATCGCAAGTTAGCGAAGATTAGCCACATCGATGCGCGGGAACGCATACTGCTTGAGATTGACTGTGTTGCGGACATCTTGGAAATTGCTATGCGCGAGGGTGATTCGAAATGTAGAATACCGAATAAAAGTTGCGATCGGAAATAGATGAGGCGATGATGCAAGCACTCGGGTTTGATTGGTAATGCGTGATGGTGCAGCAAAACAAGTTATATATATTACCAAGACAAGTTACAAACTGACCTTTACCTCTGGCGACGTGTCCGAGTGGTTATGGAGCTGCGTTTAGGCCTCCTAAGCAGAATCCGCAGTGGCTTTGCCTCATGAGTTCGAACCTCATCGTCGTCATTATCTTTTGTAATTTTTTTGGATACCCCTACAAATATACAAACGACTTGGAGTCTATAGCCTTCAAGCTGCGGAATCAATCAGATGCTGATCTTGACTGATAATTTATCAATACATCTTTTTGCCGCGGGCGCGTGGAGCCTGGGAAATGTGCTCTCCTGGGAAGTGATAACATATCTAGTGCCCATTTCTATTATACACGTACATTGTAATGGTCCCGGTTCAACTAAATTATCCGAGTCAGACCTTCGCGCTATTGCCCATCGATCAACTACTATTTGCCGGGCTCGTCCGCTGCTCGACGGGCACAACTGATCCTCTAATATTGTACAGAGGCGCGTATCTCGAATGAAGAAACCCAGGTCGGTCGCTGCGATCCGCGGCGACTTTGTCAGCGGGCATGCGTACAGGTGCCTGAAGTTGTGACAATGCTACTTCGTGAAATCTGTGAGGCTGAGTCCAAAGCCCTTCGGTCGAGCTGCTTCGGTTCGATTTCGATCTGCCAAAAGCGCCCGTAGGCTTGATTTCTTGTCGCGGGATCGTTTCTTCGCTGGAGTGCTTGCGGGCTTGTCCAGGGTGTCGCTGACGGGGATAGCAGCAGCTTCGAGGCCTTTGACCGACCTCGACGTTGATCTTTTCACTTCTGGTGCGAGTTTGGGATTATTCGCAACAGACACGTTCAGCGAAATGTCCTTGCGTCGTGTCTGTTGGCCACGGACTGGAGCTGGCATCGCAGATTTGCATTTCAAGCATTCGAGGATTGTTCCCGTGGGGACACTTCTACCAGCGAGGCGGTCTTGTCGTGTGCGATGCAAATCGGACGCGTTCTTCTTTCTTGACGAAGGGACTTGACATCGTAATTTGCTTCGTATGAAATGGCCACATGTTGGGCAGAGTCCATGCCGAATCATCGGTAAAGCATTCGCATCTACTGCTTCTGCTCGCGAAGACCATTGCGTACGTAGATGAGCAGCGATTACTGGCGCTGAGGCCAGGAGAAGATCCGACGCATTATCTAGATGTTGCAGTTGTCGAGCCAAGATCGCTTCATCCATCGTGGTGGAACCTAAAGTTCTTCCCGTGTTTTTCTCAACAAGAAGAAATTGCGTGACAGTGCTGTCCCGCCAGTCGCGTATGCTTGCCACACATCATTCGACGCAAAACACTGCCGTATTCGATGATGAAAGCCTTGGACTTGAAGATGTGTATTCGTTGTGATTCGACTGATGGAAATATAACTTCCAAGGTTTGTCTGCATCAATAAAAACAAGAACAATGAGAAGCGCTTTACCCCAACCCTAGGCCCTACTCCCAAACGTCTTCACTTCCAACTCGACGATAGTGATTCGCTCATTTTCAAGATAAAAATACATTAGTGATACAAAATTGTGCTAGTGATGATCGGAAAGGGCAATCACAATGTTAAGAATGGTTGCGACCATCACCTCAAGTGAGTGGGTCTGGCGTTGTGAATGTCCACCTATCACTTCGGAGCTTTCACCACGGAATGGCGATTTTGTAGCCTTGTGCCGCATTTCGGTTCCATGATGCCTTATCTGCAAGTCGCTCTGCATGGCTACTCGTATAGGTCGGTTGCTATCCTGAAATCCAAGACTGGAGTACGGCAAGAGCGTCTCCAGACCAACGCTGCTCACGACGCGAACGCCTCGCCACCTTCCCTGAACCTTAACGCGGATCGAGTCTCAAGGATTTACTTCTGTCCAGGACTATCGAGTAGGATCTCAATGATTGAGTGCAGCTTTCGAACCAGATCGATTGGGGTGTGTGCGACGATAGGTGGCCATTGGTAGCCATTGGCAGGGCCGCTCATTCGTGTCCACGGCCATTGCTACGGCGTGCACTCTTCTTGCTGCTTTGATACTGCTTCAGTTTTTTACGACTGGCCGCTTCGGCTTTCTGTAGTCGCTCGACACGTTGCGATTGTTCGGGAGTAGTCTCGCCGGGCACAGTGTCGCGACCGGCTTGAACGATGACTTCGAAGAGTTTGCGAAAGCAAGAGTCGACATTATCGCCCTGTTTGCGTGAATCATCGGCTTGGATGACTAGATCATTTGATTTGGCTGCATAATATCGACTTGAAAGGATAGAAGGATGGAGCAATTTGGGAAGCCGTTGCAGCAGCGATGCAGTTGGGACGCGGATCGTCGCTTTAGACGATACCCTGCACAAGTACACCATCAACATTCAGAATCAAGATCAGCGTCATGTTTTCAACGAAAGCACTTACTTGTTGACATTCTGCCCTCCTGGCCCGGAAGATCTACTGAAACTGATATCGCAAATATCTCTAGGAATAGTCTCAGCATCCAACTTCGCTAGCCAGGCGCGCGCTGCCTTGAGTTCGGCTTCATCCATATCAGAGCCTCGTTGATCTGCAAAACATCGTCGTGCACAACTAGCGATCAAGTTGAATTGATATGAGCGTGCATTGCGCACACAAATGCCTCGCCATCTTTGAAGCATCATCGAATTATCAGGAGCACGTTCTCGCTCTCGGGCATGTTGATCACTGTTGGCTTTCGCGATGTCCAGAATACCCAATGAGTCTGTGGGAGCCTGAGGCTTGAATGTTGATGACCCTGGGAAATGTCCGAGGTCACCATTGAACATTAACATTGACATCATCCCCTGTTTGTAAGATCGTCGCAACTCAATAATTTACCGTGACAAACACCCGCGAATGCGGGATATATTGTTATAAAGTACACTCCGATGAATCGCTACGGCCCTACAGAGTCGTCGGCCGTCAAGTTTGCGCGAGCAGCGCCTCTGCTCGTTGCGAGCTTCCTCTATATCATTTATCATTTATGGACGAGGCAGTCGACGCTGTTGGCTGACCCGCTCGACTTCGCATCTCATCATGCAAGTTTGAATCGCACATTAGGCTTCGGCGGAATACTCGTAGCTGTAGTACCTTCGTATGTTATGCTGTCCTGGCACGTCTCCCGCCTCTCGCCTTTCGGACGCTAACAACAATCACCCAGGACTACTGCAGAGCACTTCCATCATCAACTTCATACATTGTCTCTGACTTCTCACCGGACAAACATTGATCTCAAGACTTTCGAAGGCGGTGGTGATAAAAAATTCACCAAGGTGTGGCGAGGCCATATGAATATGCTGCGCTACATGCTAGATCAGAAGCTCGAAACAGCATTAATCCTCGAGGGCACCGTCGACTGGGATCTTCGCGTGAAGGACCAATTGCAACGCTTATCCGAGGCGTTGCCTGATGCGACACACGATCGACCTTATGGAACGGGTTGGATGGCTCTCTGGCTGAGCCGATGCGGGCCTGAATCTAGCGGCCTCGGGCAGCCACTCAGTACGTTCGCTGACGCCAGCGTCCTGAGCACGAACAGCGAAGATGCAAGTCATGACCGAAGTGTGTTCCGTAGCGGAAAGTCCGGCTGCACGGTCGCATATGCCGTCACAGCCGCGGGTGCACAAAAAATCCTCGACGAGATTGGTTTCGAACACGTCAATCTGGCACTTGAAAAGGCGGAGGGTAAGACATACAATCTGCCCGGGCTCGTTGTCCAGCCTCCATTGTTTGAGGAATGGGCTGAAGAGGACAGTGTCCATGCCAAAAGTTCTCCACAAGCTCTGTTGGGCCAAAGCGTGCGCAAGGCGCTCTACAGCCATGGCTGAGACTTTCTGTACGCTCACGAGAAGCAAGAAATTGTGCCTCGAAACCTGTCGGACTACAATCCGCGCCGCTTACCACAGCTACTGAACCGATATTCGCGACGTTGGAAAGTACCCAGGCCATGAGCAAGCATGTCAAGAGAAAATGCACCCATGAGATCGGGGAATGAATTAACCCAAGTTAGTTGTCAGAGCCATTGGGCCCTCAAATTAGGACTCGCTTGCGTCCATAATTCAACACTGCTGTCATCAAGTTTCGGGAGACTAATGCTTGCCATAGTCAAATGCACATTGAAGCTGAAAGCCTCGCCTCCTCATATCTGCCTGCAATATAATGGGCTTTTACCACAACGCCAGGCAGTGTGCAAGATTTACTGGGCAAGTGTTGTGAAAGAACGTGACGGAATTCTGTCTATCATATTCTACCGTCAGAGTGACTGTGATGGGCGATACAAAATACCTTTGGAAAAGCCACACAATCGTTCAAGTATCGGTTCCGTTTTGCTGGTCTCCTAGAAATCTTGATTAATTGACAATGAGGCTTGGTTGCTGGGAATCATCAGCAAGTACTTCGACAACCCGAGCGAATGTGCGAGCGCACCATGCGATATTGGATCAAAAACATATAATAGCCACAGTGATTTGTATCCCTCTCTCTACGACTTTATACTCATGACTAATTCGAGCCTGATAGTCTTGCTCTGGCTCACGGCACAATCTTTCAATTCTTCGGTTCCACGTACATAGCTGTTACAAAAGTATCGGCCTAGATGACATCACTGTGCTTATGAATGCCCCGAAGATGTCTCTTGTAGGTCATTTTGAACGGTGCAAGGTGATTTCTCGCCCCTGACATCTGGCAGACCTATATTGTGATCTGCGCACGACACTGTGTTACCGAAATGATCAGGCATGATCAGTCATGAACATGGCTATGGAGCCGCAAAAGCTCTACCATGTCGTAGCGCCTCTCTAACAAAGCCAATTCGAGCGCCGATTGATCGAGGCATCCTGGCAAGTGCATATCTGCGCCCCACTCAAGCAGCAATTTTACGACCTGTGTGCGATTTCTGCTGACTGCAAGTCGGAGCGCGGTCCCATGGTCGCCATACACCGCGTTGACATCGGCACCATGCTTGAGCAGCAACTCGATAGTCTGCAGAGAAGCATCGACCGAAGCAGCCTGGAGCGCGGACCCGTAAGGGCCCCCTTGCGCATTCACATTAGCGTTGTATCGGAGCAACAGCTGGACGACCTCTGTACGGCTCCATGACGATGCACTCATAAGGGCGGTGACTCCAAGGCCCTCACGCGCATTAGGATCGTAGCCTTGCTCGAGTAGTAGGCAAACGATTTCAACAAACCCTCCAGCTCCCGAGGCGCGATCGAGCACATAATATTCCAAGGGCGACCGTGCATCTTCAGCCGTGCGGATTTTGAGCATCATCTTCACGCCATCAATGGATCCCGCTGTCGCTGCATCAGCCAGTATAACGCGATTGAAACTGTTCAGCATGTTCTTGCTCTTCAGAAAACGAAGGGTCTTTGTGATTCTAGTAGCGTCTTCATACCGCACTGCGTTGCGCCACGACCCAGCAACAGCCAGCTTGCTGAGCGACCAATCCATATGTGATTTGAAGAAATGCGCAGCCAGGCTCTCCGAACCTTCATCTAATGCCCACAGCCAATCTGTATCAATTCTGCAAGACATGTCGTATGCCTCCCATTCCTTGTAATTGTATACATCGAGTTCCTTAACTATCTCATGCGGCTCGTCGAAGCCATCATGTCTTAGCAATTCGCAGGCTGATTTCGCGCTTCCATTAGCGATGGCAGCAGCTAACGGAAAGTTGCTGCGGTTTTTGCTATGCGAATTCAGTTTGATGTTATGCTCTGCAAGGAGGCTGATGAGGTTGGCGCAATTTAGTTGAGCAAGGACATATGACAGATTAGTGTCTTCTGTATACACATTGAGATCATGCTGTTGCAGCCAATTCGCTTTTGTGAGCCAGTTTTTGATGTCAAATCTTGCGATGAAACTCCACTGTGGGACTTCTGTGGCGGCTTGATCGCTATGATAGAATATGTTATGGGTGGCATAATCCAGAAACGGGAAGTTTTCCCTGAGTCGCATACATTCTTCTCGCTGAAGTGCTGGATGCCACTTCGTATTTTCCCGAGCAGGGTGGTCAGCGAGCTTCATCACGCGCAAACACGAGCCAACCTGAGTCTGTATGCCACGCATACAGCACTGCTTCAGTCTTTCATGGGCCTGACAAGCTGAAGTATTGTGATCAGGGTCCACATATTTCAGACCATCAGCCTTCAATAAGAAATCTCGTACTGACTCATGTATGAATTGTACACGGCGGTCCTTACCCTTGCTGAGCTCTGCCAGACCCTTCGAAGAATTGCGTAGAAAGTTATGCATGAAGTCATCGAGAACTGTGTCATCCCATTCCAGCGAATGCTGGCCGCTCTCCGCCATCATGGCAAAGTAGAATTCCTCGAGGGATAAAGGCCGCTTGGCGTACAGAATCCACGTCAGGCAAAACATAAATTCGTCGATGTTCTCCCGATCGCGCTGCACAATATCTTTGAAAAGCGTCTCAAGGTCGGGGGGTAGCTCGTGTAGTCGGGCTTCAACAGCATGAAGGCGGCCTTTCAAGTATTCCATTTTCAAGATTTCAACGACCAATACAATCCATAGAAACACACCGTTCGCCTTCGCTAGGATGTTGTTCTGAATCTGGGTTGGTATGCTTGTGGGTTTCCCTTGCGGACCCAAGAAGAATCGCTGACTTTTGACGTACTCGCTAAGATCCTGATGATGCTCATCGATACTATCTAGTTCAAGTTGAAGCCCGGTGGGAATGTTGAGAGTTGGATAGTAGCGAGAGGCGAAGCATATGTACACTTGAACACCGATCTCCGTAGCTTCCTCGCATAGACCACGAAAGTAGTCGATGGTGTCTTGCATGTCCTCTGAATTGCACTCATCCAGTGCATCGATGAAGCAGAGCAATCGCCGATCTTCGAGCTTTCTAATGGTGGCAGACAGAAGTGTGCGAAGTCGTCCGAGCATAGTGCGCGATCCACTGTTGGAACCGAATTGATCAAGCACAATTTGTAAGTCCTCGTCCGATCGCAGCAATTGAGTGAGCAGCGATCGATACATACCCTCTAGTGACTTCTCAAGCTCTTCTCCGCGAGCGTAGAAATAGAAGGAGATGCAAATATCACGAGGACCTTTGGTTTCTAAGGTATCAGCTTCAAGATGCTTCATCAGAACGGATTTACCAGCGCCCGGATGCCCTTTGATCCAGAGGAAACCGAAGTGCTGCTTCGTAGCTTCCATATCTCTCCATTTTAGAACTTTGGGATTTTCCAAGATCCAATTACAGGTTTTTCTGTGGGCTTTTGCTATGTCAATCTTTCGGGAATCCATCCTGTCGAATTGAAGGATTTTCAGCTTCTTTCTGCGAGCCTCTGACTGGTCTTGCCGCAAGATTTCGGCAGACTTCTGTTCTGACCAAGTCGACGCCAAATCGAGACCCGCATTACCGAAGGTCTTCCTGATCTCTTCGTTCAAACGTTGTTTGGCTTTCGCACGAGACTCGCCATATCGCGGCATTATCTCGACGCCACATAGGCCCATGATGGCATATGCTTCATCTTCCGGAACGGTTGTCTCACGCCCTGTCGCCCAACGCAACCGGGTGGCAATAGGGATGTCCTTGGGAGACGTGCCCATCAAGGCATCCACGCGTATTCCTGTGATCTTGTGTATCTCTTGTGATAGACTCGATCGGTCACCAAGGTAGAGATTATAAGCAAAGAACTCGACGCGTGCGGGAGCAAGTAATTCTTGCAATGTCCATCCGCGCTTGAACCAGCGACAATTAAGGAAGTTGCCTTCCCACCCGGGCGTTCCATTGAGGTTGCGTTTGCTGGTTGGAAAATCTGTGAGATAAACATAGCATACTGTAGACTCCTCGTACCATCGATACATAGACAAGATAGAAGCCGATAATTCAGAGTGATTTCTCTTGTCGATGCAGCAATTGTCAACCCAAAAATGCTTGATGCCTTCCTTTTTCGCCTGCTCCGCAATGAATGTGATTTTGGCGAACGATTCTTTCTTGTTCATGGCACATCCATCTATGATGTCTTGGTAGAGCACCTCGGCACCCTCTGTTGTTATCCATGTATGCGACAGTATCGCATACGGCGGCGGTTTTTCATGGAAGATCCGCGTGAAGACAAAATCTCCATTTTCGCCTTGCTTCAATAATCGCATTCTGTGTGAAAGTGATTCGACAGAAGCTCACAGCGACGTTCGCGTGCAGTCCACCATGTGCATGTCTGAGCACTGTCTCGTAAGCAAATACCGTGAGAAGTGACTTGTTCGCCTGGTCGAAACGGGATGGTCTAGTACACAGCGCTGGGGTACAGCTGCACATGCGATGCTGATCTCACATGATCACGGGCAGCTAATTGGCCTTCATGCAACGCAAGTCAGATTAATGGGTAGCGGAGACAGAGACGGCGATTCAATGCTTGACGGCCCATCATCCTCGCAAACTGCGCTGGATCAGATCAGTGCTGCCAATCAAATCATATTTTACGCTTCGCAGCCGTCTCGGCCGGAATGATTCTTCCTGGTCTCGGATGTCATGTTCGGCGATCCAGGTGATGATCGTGAGGCTGGAATTTGATGGTCCGAAGCTCGCACCGCTCGCGGATTTCGACGTCAGAATTTCCGACCGAAATAATTTTGTCGTGCCGCGCATTTACATACTACTGCTGTGAGCTGGAGTGGGAAACACGTTCTCCAACCACTCTTCGCATCTTAAAGTTCACGTTTTGACTGTAACACACATTGTGAAGAGTAGCCTTCGGGGAACAACTTTGCTTAACCAAAAATGCATTCCTTCATCGTCGAGCACCTCGATCCTGAGCTGGAAGATTGGCAAGGACTCGAGTACAATTGTATTCACAAAGAATGCGATGCCGCAGGTTCGAAGTTCCTTCTTTCCGGACTCACAGCGACATTTGAAGATGCCGCAAAAGATATCCTGAAAGTTCCCGCATCAAGTAAAACCAGCCAGAGCGTGGAGAATCTCTATCCTACACAGGAGCAGAGGCAACGAGTATGCCTGCTCGATCCTCGGGGCGAGAAAGATCTCAGTCCCGAAGACGGAGAGCAATTCGATGCGTTCCTCTTTGGTGGCATTCTGGGTACGTTCTTGGCAATCACGACTCAAGATGTACGAGGCGCTCAAGGTTATCACAGGAGATGATCCACCACGAGATCGCACCGGTGATCTACGCAAGATGGGCTTCCCCGGACGAAGACTGGGTCCGGAGCAATTGACCACCGACACAGCAGTCCGCGTGACGAGGATCGTCGTGCAACAAAAAGGTAGGGACTACTCAACGCAAGACCCATTACTGTCCTAACCTTCACTCAGTCAAGCTCAATGACATCGAGTATGTCGATCGTCCCGATATCGAGATCCCCTCGAAAAACAAGAAAGGTCCGTCGGAGAGCGTCAGCATGCCATTCAAATATGTGAAGGGCGAGGATGGCAAGCCGATCATGCCTGAGGGCATGTTTGAATTGTTGGCGAGCGATGCTGACAAGGGCATCATGGATTTGCTTTGAGGTTCTCAAACCATTACTAGCCGTCACACGAATAATGAGACGATGTAGCGAAGAAGCTATTCGTCGCATTGGAACTCCTGAAAAGCGATATATTGGCACAATATCTGTGACAGCTCGTCTTTCTATCCCAAAACAGAGATCAACCACGCATGGTCTGCTTCTTCGTAGCACGCTTTTGAGCCTTCTCCTTCTCCTTTTCCAAGAATTTCTTCTGCTCGTCCGCACTCATCTTGCTCAACTTGCGATCGCGCTCCTCTTTCTTCAGCTTGTCACCTGCCAATCTTCGTTCCTCGGCCTTCTCGTCCTCTTCGATCTTGCGCAGCTTCTTGATCTCGTCCTCGCGGGTCATTTTGATCTTGCGAAGGGCCTCGGGGCGGAAGTGAGCTGAAGTGACGAGGAAATCGGGGAGGCGGAGGAATTGCGAGAAGAGGGCGGCGCTGGCAGCGGAGTTGGACAGGCGCATGGAGATGTAGACGCGCTTCTTGGGCGTGGTGTCCTCGATCCTGGCGAACAATGTCAGCAATCGTTGCATGTAACGTCAGACCAATAATGTTTGCCTCACTTCTTGGGTGCGTCGACCGGCTGGTCGGACACGATCAGCGCCTCGAGGTCCTCACCCGCGTCGTTGACAGCCTTGATCAACTCAGGCGTCAACAATGCCTCGGTGATCTGCGCGCTCTCGGACATGATCGTGGCCCAGATGGGAAGGCTCGGGTGGTCCTTGGTCGAAGTGAGGCTGATGTCGTAGCGATCTTCACGAAGTGACTTCATTCTGTCCTTGTGCACAATCGCCCACACGAAACCATCGTATGTGCTGTCCTTGTTACCGGGACCCAAGTTCTGGGAGGGTACGAGAGCTTTCTCCTTGCCGTCGAAGCAGTAGGCTGTCGCCTCAAAACGTTCCGAAGGAGGAGTACCCATGTCGAAGAGGAAAGTCAAAATGTATTCCACGAGCAACAAGAACGGGTTGTAACGCTTGTAGAGCGTGACCTTCGCATCGAGCCACGCAACATTCTGTCGACCCGTAGCGTATGTCACGTATTCATTCTTGCTCTTATCCTTCAACAACGATGCTGGAACGCTGCGACTCTGCGCGATAGTCTTGCCCAAATCCTTTTGACCAATTGACCCGGCGTATCCCACAGCAGCATACTCAGACTCCAGCAGAGGGAAGTAAGTCAATGCCCATTCCTTGGCGCGCTTCTTGTTTAATCCTGCGCCCCAAAGGTTGACGAAAATCACAAGCAGGATGAGCGGAACGATGACAAGTTCCTGGTAGAAGTCGGCGATGGTCACGCGCTCCCAAACGCGGTACCATGCGGTGTAAGGACGTCCTTGGAGTCCCTCAAAAGTCAAACTCTTCGGCCTTGATGTGCTCGCAGCAGCGAAGGATGTCGTCGCAGCATGGCTGGGAGCCGCGGGCGAAGCAGCAGTCGCGAAGTCCGCGAAGTCTGTCGAATGACGTTTAGCACGTGTGCACAGCTTCGACGGCGCGCACCGCGCATTCTATCATACCTGCGTCCTGAACCGCGGCAGCGACGGACTGTTTGGCGCCGCCGAGGATGCCTTGGATGTTCTTGAAGAGATCCGCCATTGTGCTGGCACAGCGTGTCGATGAGATGATGGAGTTGTGCAACAGTCGCAATTCTGGCGGGCGTGGAATTAATTACCGTGTCACTCCAATGGCAGACTTCGGAGGGCTGGAAAAGCTTCACGCCCAGCTCGTTCCACTCCAGGTCTGCAGGTTGATGTTCAACACATACAACCCATGAACACCCACTTCGCGTACCAACCTCGGAAATATTCAATTATCGTTTACGAAATTGCACAGGTCCTGATGGGCACATTGGTCGGTAGCAATCCAGTCCTGTGATATGCCCGAGACGAAGAAGCGTCGATTACCCAGACACTTTCAATGGTTGTCGACTTCGCTTCGTAAATTCGCGTCGCGGTGCCCAGAAATCCACAGGCGACAAAGACGATGAAATCGGGACGCAGATGTTCCTACTCACTCGACCCCATTCACCCATGATGATAGGAGACTTGCATGCCAATTGCCACCATCAAAACGCGTCATGAAATGTCACATTTGGATACGCTTCGCTCGAGCACGATGATCAGGTGTTCGTCCAACGATGATCCTAGAGGATCCCGGAACTGCATGGTTCATTGTAGATCGCGGAACCACCATTTAACGTAACAATGCGACAAGTTCCTCCCATAACCGTGCCGACATGTGAAATGCTGGTCTTTCTTACCTTTCACGATCACGAGCCAATAGATCGAGCATCATGGCTGATTCATCTGTGTGTCGACATATCATCTGACATTCTAGTCGTGGCCCCCAGTCCTCGAAGTCGCTCCACGTATCTCGGAATCTCGTCCGCTCATCATTGACATCATTCCGGTTACCCGCCAATCCAATCCAGCATGGCGCCAGAAACGGATAAGAAGATCAAGAGGGTCAAGCAGACAAGAATGCATATAGTCACGAGAGAAATGGTGGTGTTCGAAGCCTGTCTTCGCCAAACAAGCATGCGCACGGTAAGCTTGCAGGAACATCAGAGGGGCGAGAAGAGTTCAGCAGGCCAAGGCCCATTAGCAATCACCGACTGGATCCCGGCCGGAAAATGGAAAGTGCTGACGATCCACTGGCTCCTGTTGGAAAAACAACTAGCATCGTTACCCAGAAGAGTTGGCTTGCTAAGCTGAGGAAGGACGCCGCGAAAGTATAGATGAGTGCTGCATTATTCCAGCAAGGAGAAGGCGATGGCAATACGGCAGCGGTACTCGAAAAACCTCGGCGTGCATGATTACGTTGAGCAAACATTAACTTTTATATCGGCCGTGCGAGGCCACGACACTCGGGTGATGCACTCGAGCTCACACTTCGTTCGGCAATCCAAAGGGGTATCTCAACACCAGCTTGTGTATTCTGATACTTCAGAGCAAGAAAGAGCCGTTGCCGTGGTGCACACATTCTATGATCAATTGGTCCCTTTCGTCGTCGAACCGAACCACATCAACGAAAGAGATTCCCATCCAAACGGCTTTTGGAGCATATACAGCTCTCGAGCTCCACCACAACGCATTCATGGAGTCTCATTGCGACGATGACTGAGACGATGACTTGGTTGGGCACTACTGCCAGAGTATGTCCCCGATCATTACAGGCTCCTGACAGACGCGTTATGACGGGACCTGTGCAGAAGCTTGCATGCAACCTAACAGCTCCACCAGGCAGTGTCAGCACTGTATTTCGAGGTGTGCATTGCACGTTCCACCGACCACTACAGCAAGTCTTGTTGTGGTAGAACCTTGGAAGGCGACAAATGCCCATGAACGCCCCGATAGTGCCAGGTACAATTTTCCCAAGATGATAGCTAATTTACCTAGGTAGGTACCGTCCGGGTTGATATCTTGCGTCATGCTGCTTGTCACTGATCAAATGATGGCAAAGCCCAAATTTGGTTGGAAATGAGCAATAATGGACGTTAAATGAGCGCCCGATAGTCCGCTTTTGGACAGAGCGCGGGGCAGTGGTGGGGGGAGGATCTCCAATGCCGTCAACGTCACCAGATGCATGTGATTCGCAATCGAAACAAACACCGCATTGAGCAAGCGCAGGTGTGGATATGCTCCAAATGTCCCAATGTGAACTGAATGACCATTAATACACCCAACGCGTACCTGAAGCTGAACTGCTTAGGTATCCACCTCATAGCCATTTAGGTCAAGTCCCTTGGGAAATACGCATACACGGGACAAAGCAGGGTCAAGCAGTTTCCAAGATTAGAAATGAGCTCGTGGTTGTTTGATTACTAGTCGGTTCTGCTATGGGCCCGGGTGGTTGGGGACGACATGGCCCACTTCACTCGCATCAGAGGTTGTACAGGGACTCGGGTTGGATACGAAAATACATATAAGACCGGTCTGCTCCTGCCATTGAATTGATTCCTCTCTCATCAACCTCCTCAACTCCATCAATCCTCTTACAACTACTACTTCATCATGGCTCCTCGAATTGCTATTGTCTACGTAAGTAGGGAGTATTCTCTCTACCTTGGACGACCAGCTAACGTATATTCGTCCGATAGTACAGCCTTTACGGGTATGTTCACGACGACGTTTCACCTGCAACTCGAAAGGATCGCGTTCCGCTAACACCAAGACAGCCACATCGCCAAGCTGGCCGAGGCTGAGGCTGAGGGCATCAAGGCTGCTGGCGGCACCGTCGACCTGTTCCAGATCCCAGAGGTTCGTACCATCGATGAACAATCCCTCCCTCACGCGATGCTCCGTCGACTGCGATCGATTGCATCAACTATGATCTGCAAATCGTTTCATCTCCGTGACTGATCGTATGACTAACTATGCTCCTCAGACTCTTCCTCAGGAGGTCCTGACCAAGATGCACGCTCCTCCCAAGGACTCCAACATCCAGACCCTCACCGACCCATCCAAGCTCGAGGAGTACGATGCCTTCCTCTTCGGCATCCCGACCCGTTACGGAAACTTCCCCGCCCAATGGAAGGCCTTCTGGGACTCCACCGGCAAGCAATGGTCGACTGGTGGTTTCTGGGTTCGTACCTCATTCCCGCTCTTTTCTTTCTGAAGAAGATTGCTTTCTCGTACATCCCTCCGACACATTGAGCTGACTTCCCTTCTTTCTCGTTCCAGGGTAAATACGCCGGTCTCTTCGTCTCCACCGCTGGCCTCGGCGGTGGACAGGAGAGCACCGCCATCGCCGCCATGAGCACCTTCGCCCACCACGGTTTCCTCTATGTGCCGTTGGGCTACAAGACCGTTTTCGGCCAGCTCACCAACATCTCCGAGGTGCACGGTGGCAGCCCATGGGGTGTAAGTCGACGATTCAGCCTCCCAGCATTCACATATAGAACGGTTCCTCGCTGACACGAACTTTTTTCTCCTTGATATAGGCCGGAACCTTCGCTGGTGGTGACGGCTCCCGCCAGCCTTCGCCTCTCGAGCTCGAGATCGCGCGCGAGCAGGGCAAGGCTTTCTACGGCCACGTCTCGCGCGTCAGCTTCTAGGTTCGGATCTCCAAGGGATCTCTTCTTTGATGATATCTCCAATGATGCGACTAGGGGTATAACTCGGAAGTCCACAGGCGAGAAATGAGATGGAATGAAATGAAATGAAATGAAATGATGCAAATACGAAAACCATGTATTTCCACGTCTCCTAGCGTGCAATTCATAAGCTTCTCTGAGCTGGATGTCGTCTGTGCACGTTTCTTTGCTCGTCTCATCATGAGGGTATCCCTTACATCTATCCCATGCAAATCAATGCCCAAAATCTCCAAGAAAAAGGGAAATAAAATGTGCGCCCTCACATCCACCCACATCCCCAACGATCTTCCCTTCAAACATAGAAAACAAAGGCTCACTGTTCCCACTCCTCTTCGTCCTCCTCATCTTCCTCCCCATCGACATCTTCCTCGAGGATCTCCCCCATGCCCGCCATCGTCACGCTCCCACTAGCCACCGAATCCATCCTGCCGATCGACGGCCTGGCACCACTGCCTCCAGCACCAGCACCAGAATCATCCCCCCAAACCAGCCTCTCGGCCGGGGATTTCTCCGGCAGGCCCCTCAACAGCTCCTTGTTGACCTCGAGGGCGTCCAGCGCGCCGGCGATCCAGGGGGCCTGGCGGGCGCTGACGGCGAGGGTCCAGCGGAACTCGTTCAGGCGGCAGGCGTAGAAGTCGGCCTCCTCCTGCGCCGGGCTCGTCGCCTGCAGCAGCGCGCCGAAGGTCCCGATCAGCGCGAAGTGGAAGGGCGCGGCGAAGAACCAGAAGGCCCGCAGGTGCGCCGGCCGCAGCCGGTTGACGAAGTCCAGCGCGGAGATCAGCCGGGTCTTGGCCGCGCTGCGGCAGATGAAGAGCATGTAGGCCGGGGTCGTGGTGGTGGTGGTGGTGGTGGTGCTGGTGGAGAGGGCTTGCACGATGCGCCGGTGGATGCTGATCTCCGTGGCGAAGTAGGCGAGGTGGAGGTGGCCTTGCTGGGAGAAGGCGGGCGAGGTTTCGCCGCCGGTGAGGGTGGTGTTGTGGTCCATTTTGCATTCGGCCGGGAGCTTGGCGAACCAGTCCTTCAGCTTGATCTGCACGGGTTTGGCGCGGTTGAGGACCAGCTGGCTGGCGGAGGCGCCGGCTCGGGCGTCTTCGGCTTTGGCCCTGGCGCTGTAGAAGGTCTCGCAGACCTCGGCCATGATGCCGGTGAGCCCGATCAGTTGCATGAAGCAGGTGCGGCCGTGGTCGAGTTGGTTGTACTCGGGCGCCTCGTCCTCGCGGGGCGTGAGTAAGGGGTCGCCGGTCTCTTCGGCTTCGAAGTCGTCGGTGGTCAGGGCGGCGACGTTCCAGTCCGCGGCGTTGATGTGGGAGGGTCGGCCGTGCATGACGGCGCTCCACTTGTCTTGCATGTAGAGGGCCCAGGCCAGCCGTTTCCGGAGATTTCGCTCCCAGGGTGGGATCGACCAACTCGAGCAGTCCAGGTGGAGGCCAAGGTCCTGGCCGAGCGCGACGAGCTGCACGCTCAGGGTCCAGGTATTTGATTTGGCTCGTTGTAACAACAGCAGTCCCGCTTGGATCGCAGAGAGCTTCGGCCGTTGGATCGCGGTGGTCAATGTGGTGATGGCCAGATACTCGAGTCGTGGGACGTCTGGTTTGGGTTGATTTGATACGGCTGGCTCTTGATCCCACCAGCCTAGCGCGAGGAGATAGATGGCGGCGAGTAGGGCAGGACCGATTCTCTCCTCGCCCGATCGATGTCGTTGGAGGAAGGCCTGCTTTCGAACGATGGGATAGCTCGGATGTACAATACGGAAGAAGATCTCGACGAGCGCAGGTCCATGCGGCCCGACGGTCTCCTCGACCTCTGCCAGAGCACGAACTTCATCGTCAGGAACGCGCACATCGGAGTCGGCGGCGGTGAGGAAGTAGTCTCCTTCCGTGACCGAGCGTAGCGTGCCCATCGACGTCCGGAATTCGTGGCGGTCGTCCGCCGCCGTCAGACCAATCAGTGAGGCGTCGAGCGCGGTGGTGGGGCCGAGGTAGCGGCTGTGATGGTGTGGACGTAGACCGAGACTGTCAACGACTATAGAATCTGCCCTGGGGCGAGGCGAGGGGTGCATCAGGGTCGGTGCCGGAGATCTGAGGGTGGCTTCGGCAGTCTTCGTTGCCGGCTCGGGCGTGGCGGTCGGCGGTCGGCTACTGACGCGAGAGCTTCGCTTCGGCGGGGCTTCGGATCGGGAACACCCCTCGGCCTTGCGTTTGCGCGGTTGGGCGCTCTCGACGAACGTACAGGGTTGCTTATGGAATTCACACAGCACGCAGCAGCGCGACTCCTGCAGGACACATTTACTTTTGCGTCGGCGGCAGCCGTCACAGGGTCTCTCACGGCGGGCACGGCTGAAGGTCGTCGTCGGGTGCGAGTGCAGTTGCTTGAGGGCGGGAGAGGTCTGTTGGCCTTCGAGACCCAGAGGAGGATGGGTCCAGGCGGCGAGGACCCGGGGAAGAGGTCGAGGCGCCAATGGCGGAGGGATCGCTACGGCAGCGGCCATGACGGCAGTGATCGATTTGGCAGCGTCACGGAAGAGATAGGGCGGACCCCGAAGTCAATCTATGTGCCCTCTCTCTCTCTCAATGGGTCGTTTGTGTCGTCGATGAGGTGAGGTACTGGTAACCCCAGGTTATGTTACCCAATAAGGTAATCACTTGTGCTGCTGGCGGGCCAATCGGCGAATGGCGTGTACTACCGCTATCGTCGAGGTTATCTCTCAGATGGGGTCCGATATCTGTGAGCGGCGGCGGCGGCGGGCGGCGGGAGTGATGGGCAGAATGAAGCTTATCAGCGCGAATCGTTCGGAGTAGAGACCTGGGTTCCGTCACCACGCAGGATGCTCGCGCCTGCACGGCCTCGGCGGCCAATGTGAACGATGTCACTCGCGAGACAGCCCTCTCACGCGGCGGCGTCGGACAGGCCAGAGATCAAGACGAGGTAGCGATGGGTCTTTGGGGTCATTGGAGGGAATGATAGCAGGGGTGGGTTCGCGTAGACGATGGGGTAGGTTTGAAGTGGGAACTTCAAAAGATGGACAGAGGGAAATATAAAAGAAGTCCCTCAGACTCGGACGAGTCGTTGAGGAGTAAGTAACTGTACCGCGAGGGAAATGTCAAATACCAACGAGATGGCAGCCGGCTGGGATGTCCAGCGTGTGCGACAGGAATGAGGGATATGTTGGTATTCCCATTACACATCGAACGCCAGAGGGTACCGCAGGGGCGGAGTGCGTATGCCGCCGCCTGGGAGTATCGAAGGCGGCCACGCTATGACATTTCTGCAATGCCCAGAGGACATGGGGCTGCAGACAAGAGGGAGAGAGAGAGAGCGATGACAGAGTTCTCGGCTCTCTCTCAGGACGAGCCCGGGAGAAATCGCGAAAAGGCTTTACGGGGACCATATGGGCCAGATCTGCCTGACGATGACCTATCCATTACCTACCTGAAACTCGTCCAAGCCGGGCACCATAGGGGAAAGTGGAGAAGATCTTCCTCGTTCGGGTGTGAAACGAGTTGGTGATGGTCATTCCCGTGACGAGATGGTATGGACGGTCCCGGAAAATGGCAATCGATAGGGAAGATGCCGTCTCGAAGCTTACAGGAGCTGGCCTGATGGCACGATTCCCAATCGAAAAGAGCGTGCATTGCGGTCAAGCACGCGAGCAAATGGTAGTCGCCGTCGTGCTGGATGAGCGAGCGAGCGAGCGAGCGAGAAAAGAGAGCAGCGGCGGCGGCAGCGGCAAACCAGCGGGCAGCAAAGCGTCTCTGCAGGGAGCGAGCCAGCGATGATGATGATGCCCATGCTGCACAGCAGAGAAGAGCCGAGTGAAGAAGCACGTCAGCCATGAGAACTGGAACTGTAACTGGATCTGGGACGAGCGAATACGTAAGAGGAGCAATGCAGTACATAATAAGAATGCGGGAAATGGAGCGAGACGGAGTAGTGTCGAGATAAGAAGAATGTCCAGCCAATCACGGGCCGAGTTCTACATGTCGAAGTTTTCCCGTTTGGGCCAAGGCTGATCTTTTTTTCCTCTTGTTGTCTTGCTCTCAGGCGCTCTTCTTCCGTCCGCAGCGGAATCGAATCAGCATCCTCGTCGTCGTCGTCGTCGTCGATGTCGTCTTGTTGTGGTTGCGCCGTCATTTCTGGACCAATTCGACGGTCGCGGTATGAAACCCACTGACCAGGGACTACCGGTATCGTGCGTATGTACTCCACAATGGCATGTGCAGATGAAAGGATCCCTAGACGCTTGAGACTACTGTACGGTACGGTATGATGCTGATGGGTGTGGTTGTTGTTATCAATGATCGCCATTCTCATTATACCATTCGAATACATACCGTATATACTGTATACGCCGTAGATATAGCACATACAGTACCGTATAGATATGGTATGCACAGTACTTCTGGTCCGTCCATTCATTCATTCACTCATTCATTCATGCCTCAGGATTACTACCATGCGGGTCGTTGGAGTATCATCATCACCGACTTTTCCCATGTTGATCATCAGTAGTTACCTAAGTGCCTAGTTGATATGTTGTGTTTGTTATACGGCCCGGGGATCACCCACCCAGAATTGCTGCCCGTGATGCTGGTCGGGGTTTGTTTGCAGGTGAGGTTGAGGTTCATCGCATCAGGTGGACACCCGACTTCCGCCGCCAATCTTTTTGCACTCAGTCCTGCCCGCCGAGCTTTCTTTCTTGTCCTCTCAGCCCGCCCGATGAAGAGCCATAGGTAGGGTTCGTATATTATGTAAATACCAATCATTACCAAGAATTCACATGTGACGGTCGAGCGTGTCGTAGATGAGTATTGATCAGAACACCGCTTGATATTTCTATCTATACCCAGGTATATACCCCTAGGTTTGTTGGCACCGAGTTCCACCTGCAACAATTCAATTGTACGTATACCTAGTTATGTATAGATATATACATTGTATGAAATGACATGTGCCTTGCCGTAGCCGTACATACACGATGGGTAATGGTGAATCGTTGAATACCACAAGCTGCCGTTGAATATGTTGAGAATCCAGCAGATGTATGTATGTACCACCACTGTCACAGTCGCGACGACGATTCCCCAGTATCCATGCATGATCCCGAACATCATGCATCGTCTCATCTGGTACAGTACATATACTTCACTATATCGCCATCATTACGTTGCCAGGCGTGGGATTTGTGTTTGGCAGGTTTCAGAGCGGTGGTGATGGACACGCTGCCTCCCGGATGACGGTCGGGAGACACGAAATCCATCACGAGGCTTGGTCCCGCCAACTCTCCCTGACAATCCTCGAAGTCGAATGGGTACACCACCGCTGCTGTGCCTGGGCGGCTCGAATGGTGAGAGTGGGATGATGCAGGCTCATGTCGGGACCGATCACTCCCTCCTCGTCAGGCTTTGTATCTGAGATACACACCGGCTCTGCGGCGGAGGTCGGGTCGTTCGAGCGACCACAGAACCATGGAACGGAATCCTCTTGTCCAGGGCGGATTGTCGGTCAGGCTTTCACATGTCATCCGATTGTCTGGTTCGAATAGACACACAAAATGGGCTACAGCGCTGTATATCTACTGCACAGCAGTCGGGTGTGGGCTGCGCACGAAGAAGAGGACCTTGCTAATTGTATTGGACTGTATTGGACTGTACTGTGTTGTGAAATGATCGTATACGTGCACACACGGGCGGCGGTCTATCGATTGGAAGTGCATCACCTGCGCAAGATTGGAAATGTGTATACGAGGATAATTCAAGAAGGGCACGTGACTTTGTCACTTCACCTCCCGTGGGTCAAGTCGTCGATGAGAGCTCAGGATTATTACTTTTTCCCAAGGTCATGTCTCTTTTTCCCTCATAAAGTCGTCGGCCACCGATGTAATTATGAGGACGCCTTAGATCGTAGTCGTTTCCGATAAAAGCTCTTTCGGCTCGTACGTACTTTGTGCTTTGTCCGGGTGACATACATCTCACGAAAATCCCCGAGGTTCGACCGTTCACTGTGAAGCTGTATCGACGAGCTACGAGTCATGCAGCTCGATACACAGCGGCATCAATCACAGGTGTAGACGTACAGTGCTACATCACTCCGTCGTCATACCACCATCTCCGAAGCGATTGCCTGTCGGCGGCTGATGATCAGTACCTGAAGACAGAGTGTGTGTGCGCAAGATTTCCATCAGTAAGACTTTTCCAACATGCCGACGACCGCTTTCGATGACAAGTCGGAGCATTGCATTCCGTTCATCCTGGAATGTCTGGATGCACATCGGACTCGGTATGCCGAGCAGCGAGACGGCCCTGCACCGAACCAGCCGCCGCCGCCGCCGCCGCTCTTCCTCGGCGTCAATGGCATTCAGGGCTCCGGGAAGACTACACTGGTAGGTGTGTAATCCGAACATATATATATTTGAAGAACTCTCTGTTATTCCTGTAGTTCACAGTCACTCCATGATCGCTCCCCTACACATCCTGCCAGATGACACGACTTTGGAAAGATATCTTCAAGGGGGCCGTTGTGCCTTTCGAAATCATGCTCCTACAGACACGAACATGCCTTGGCGAAGGGAACTCTGAGTTGCTGCACGATCTGTTCACCTGACTCTCATCTCAGGTCGCGACATTGCAAGAGACGCTCACCTCTCCTAGCTACGATCTGACCACGGTGGTCTTCTCCATCGACGACCTCTACCTCCCTCACGACGAACAAGTCGCCTTGGCTCGATCGCATCCCACGAATCCGCTCGTCCAGCACCGGGGAGTCCCCGGCACTCACGATATTCGCGCCGGAGCACAGCTTTTGCAAGCCTTAACTCGACAGGAAACAGACGTCTCTCTTCCCAGCTATGACAAGAGCGCATTCTCAGGGGCAGGAGACCGCCGTCCGCGGAGCGAGTGGACCATCGTCAATCCTGGCGGTCAGCGACCCGTCGATGTGGTCATCATGGAGGGATGGTGTGTGGGCTTCCGCGCCCTGCCGGATGAAGAGTTGCTGTCCCGATGGCGAAGCGCTCATGAGAAGGCGACCTCGACGGCGGGAAGCGACGAATACGAAGGCCAGCTCGGACGGGTGAAGCTGGAAGACGTGGCGTTCATCAACGACAGTTTGCGGGCGTACGACGACCTCACTGATAAACTCGCGGCTTTGATTTACATGTAAGCACAGCTGGATTTCTGAGCGGAGGCCGGAATATGGCCCTTTCGGTTCGGCACGGGCTGATTTGCAAAATTTCAAGCGATGCGGAGGACACTCGATTCGTATATGCCTGGCGTCAGGAGCAAGAGGCGGCGCTCCGAGCGGCGAAAGGCACCGGCATGACCGATGAGCAAGTCGTCGGATTCGTCAACGGCTGTAAGTGACATGAGACGCCGATGGCAATCCTCCCCGGCAACGAACGGGAGGTGCCAAGTCGCAGGAGGGAGCTGACAGCGTGGGGTGCGTGCACAGACTATCCTTGCTATGAGCTCTACAGTTCTGCGTTGAGAGGAGGTATCTTTTCCACTGCTGGCAAGACGGGCCGCCAGCTTCACCTCGTCGTGGGCCGGGATCGACGTCTGCGGGATGTGCGCCGAGTGCACGGTAGCTGATGAGCGAGGCTGGGTGACCGGAACAGGAGGCGATGAGATGTGTGCATCGCTACGGAGATGGCTCCGCGCTAGATCACCAGAGCTATTAGGGGAATGAATCCTACCGTCCTGGAGGGCATCAGTCCAAACTTGGCGGTGAAGAGGCAGTGAAGACCATGACTGAGTGAGTGCTTTTTAAGGTCCATAAGGTCCAGTGACTGCATCGGGATGGTTTTCAGTGACTCTGCTCGTCGGGAACGACGTCGACATGACAACCAGGTCGCAACGTTTCAGACCGACGACGGGTCAGAATTGCTGGTGCGAAACCCGTCCTGTTGCGGGGATCCCGAGATCTGACTCCAGGGTGCACGACGGTACAATGTTCGACCTGTCTCCGCCCACCGTGTGAACGGTCCACGTAATGTCAGTGCGAAACGACATCGACAACAGCAATAATGACGACGACATTCAACAGCCTGGCGATGGATATCGGCCGTATGCTGTCACGTGAGCCATTACATTGGTGGACGGTAATAACAAGAGCGACAGGTCAGCCTCGGCAAGCGATAATCGATAAGGGTTGTTGTTGTTGTCCAGGCCGAGCGGATTCGTCAAGTAGTCCAAGTCAGTGCAGTGCGGTCCCCCAGATGAACTCGGTCTAGCCCGAAGCTGTCGTCATTTGCGGAGGCCAGCAGCTACGGTAGAGACAAATCACCTCGGGAAACAGAACAGTGACCGACCGGCCGACGCTTTCTCAGTGTGTGCGATATAGTCGTCTTCGTCACGATCCTCTCTTTCTCTCTCCCTTTCCCCGTCCACTAACAACACACTCTCTACAACCACCACAACAACACCTTCCACCACCCTCACCACATACACATCCATCATGTCTCTCAAGGACGGTGAGTGATTGACGATACCACCCTCACGTGCGCGCGCATCGGCATCGCATGCGACGACCACCGAGCAGCCCACTCTATATCCAGCAATGATATGTGACGAGGAGCGAATGAAGCTGACATGCCACCGAAACAGACGCATTCCCTTCCTCCGCCGCCTTCGACGCCATCGCGTCCGCTCTCCAGAGCGACGCCGACCGCAAGGACGCCATCAAGAAGGGCGGCGCCATCTTCGCCTTCAACCTCAAGAACACCGCCGGCAAGGAGCAGGCTTGGTACATCGACCTGAAGGAGACCGGCACCCTCGGCAAGGGCGCTGCCCCGGCCGGCAAGAAGGCTGGTGGTGAGTCTCTCCCTTTTTCCCCTTTCCCTCTTTTGAGCGAAACCCCAACGCGCGAGAAGATTCTTCTTTGGTCATCAAATGGCGTATGGCGAAGAGATGGAACAAAAAAAAAACAGAACCCAACAGAAGACGAAAAAAAGGACTGGGAATAACTACATCGGAAAACTAACACATGTCTTCTTCCTCCTCTTCTAGTCACCCTCAACCTCACCGATGCCACCTTCTCCGACCTCGTCGCCGGCAAGGCCAACGCACAGAAGCTCTTCATGAGCGGAAAGCTGAAGGTCAAGGGCGATGTCATGAAGGCCACCAAGCTCGACCCCATCCTCAAGAAGGCCCAGAGCAAGGCCAAGCTTTGAACGACGATGATTGCCATGTCAACGGAGAAGAACAGAATGAATTTTTCTTTCGGAGGACGGAGTTGCCGAGAGAGAAGTTCTTTTTTTTCTCATCTACGAGGGAGAGAGAGATCTAACCATCATTTCTCTCCTGTGTATGTCTGAATAGATCACGTTCGATGTAAAAAGCCCAACTTCTCAATGCCGCTTCTTCTCCTATGAATTTGCCGACTCTCCCCGTATATTCTATTCTGCGTGTGTGAAATTGTCTACAGAAGCCTTCGATATCCTGGACTCGAGTCATTTCTTGAGTGACTCCCCTATACACGATGAGTTGAAGATCCGCCCATAGGATATTCGGTTCTCCATCGACGGCACTGAGACGTTGCCAGCAGCAGTCTCATGAACAGGCATTGGCACACGATCACGGTCAGCCAGAATCACGTGCAAATAAATGAATGATCCGGCTCGGGGATCTTCTGCGTCTTCTGCTGCAGCGTCTCTTTCACATGCACGCCGCAGATTGACGGCTTTGGCGGGCGGGCAGCTTTTTACATTAAACCTGCATAATTTGCACAATCTGTCTGTCACCGACGTCACTGGGGCTTTTTCCACGGCTTTCGCCAAACCCATCTCCATATACCCCGGGGCCGCCGTACACGATTCCAAACACACAACGTATATACAGCACTCGTCGTCCGAACTCGACATTGTCCTGGAACTAGCACACCTCATCGTGAACAACGGCATATCCAACGACTCCCGCTGCGAAGCGAGAACCTCCGCCCGTCATGACGACCTACATCCCGCACCTCACCCTGCCGGCCGCGCTCTTCCACAACGCCGCCGCCTCCATCCTCCTCCCCATCGTCGCCGGCTCCGCGGTCGGCTACGCCACCAGCCCGAAGAAGACCCAGAAGACCTACATGGAGCTGCGACAGCCGCCGCTGCGCCCTCCGCCGTGGCTCTTCGGCCCGGTGTGGACGGCCCTCTACGGCACCATGGGCTGGGCCGCATACCGGGCCTGGACGACCGGCATCAACAGCCTGAACCCGGAGACCGTCGCGCTGACCAAGCAGGGCGCGACGCTGTACACGATCCAGCTGGCGTTGAACCTCATCTGGTAAGGAGCGAGAGAAAGACCGAGAAGCCCGATGCCATCGTCTCATTCCCGGCACGGGATCCGCAGCAAACGAGGTAGAAAGAGGAAACACGCGTGCTAACCACTACTGCCCCGACAGGATGCCCATCTTCTTCCACTTCAAGCGCCCCGTCGAAGCCTCCCTCGACATCGTCGCCCTCACCGGCACCGTCGGCTACCTCGCCCACGTCTGGAGCAAAGTCGACGAGACCGCCGCCTACGCCCTGGTCCCCTACCTCGCCTGGCTGAGCTTCGCCAACTACCTCTGCATCGGCACCGGCTACCTGAACAACTGGAACTTCCAGGACAAGGAGGTGCCCAAGGCGGACAAGCCCGCCGGCACGAAATATGTGGATGAGAAGCCTTGAGCGTAGACCGAAGAAGGAGGAGGAGGAGGAGGAGGAGGAGGGGGGGATCGATCGGATGTGCGATTCTCTTTTGTTTTTGAAAGATGGGCGAATTTTGCGTGGTCCGGAGCGGGATGAGAGGGATTGGCATTTGTTTTGTTTTTTCCCTGGACCGTTTGATGGAAAAAGTCACAATATGGCCGTACGCCATCTGTATAATATCATAGAGAAGTTTCGCCCCCCAAAAACGTCGCTCCGGTGGTCCGAAATCTCCCCCTGAACACGCGAAACGACCGACGGATGGGGGGACAGCCTCCAAGGTGCCGCAGGGCTGCGAGCGCACCCGCGAGACGACCCGCGTGGTGTCGATACCGATTCCGTACCGGGAGGCGCCGCTCCCAGCGATCATGAGCAGAGCAGAGCAAGCCAGGCCGAACGAGTCACGGAGGCGAAATTCCGAGGGAACTTTCATCCCCGGCGTCAAGATTTCAATTCCTGCGTCTGAACAAGGAAAGCTGCGGGGCCTCCTCGTCCGGGACATGTGGACTGCCACGCGTGTGCATTCGACGGCACAGAACGGCCGGGGGAAAGACGACCATTCTATCCGATGGGGGCTTCGTTTCACCTCGCCTCCGTACTCCACATCCCCCATCTATCCTACAGCAACTCTCCATATCCCGCTGGTGATGTAGACCGAACGACCAACCCACGCTAAACCCTTCGACCAGCCGATTCATCCTGCTCATTCATCCCTCTGCCCCCAAATCTCCTCCCACCCTTTGGGCTCAATCTCCAGCGGTTCCGTCAACCTCCCCGTCCTCGGCGCCCGCCGCTCGCCCGGTTCGGGCAGACAGATCCACTCGCGCACGCAGCCGGGGACATCGGCGCGGGCGTGGCTGATGACGAGGAGGGCCTGGCGGTCGTCGAGCCCCGCGAAGCAGACCCCGCCGTTGTGTTCCTGGATCTCCGCGACGACGCTGGGCCGGAGCGATCCGGTCGCCGGGTCGAGGGCGGAGAATCGCTCGCCGTGCGCGAGGAACAGGAAGGCTTTGGCCCGCGCGGCCTCGTCCACGCCGCTGAGCGCTTCGTCCAGGATGACCAGGTCCGGCGAGGCGAGGAGCGCGCGCAGGAAGAGCGTGAGGCGCTGCGCGCCGAAGGGCAGTCCGCCGAAGCGGAGCTGGTCTGCCCAGGAGGTGTCCTTGTCGTCGTGTCGGAGGTTCCCCCAGGTTTGTTGGACGGTCGATCGTCGGGAGGGCTCGCTCCACTGCTGGGCGAGTCTCTCGAGGGTGGAGATTGGCGGTGCGGAAGGATTCAGCTCCCGCTCGAACCAGCGGAGGAATGCTGTCACGCGCCGGTTGGCTTCGCCGGTCAGGGTCGGTCTCGCGAGCGGGGCGTCGGCCCAGGCGGACTCCAATGCCGCGCGGACGGAGAGCTGGCGGGGGAAGAACGAGTGGACTTCGGGGCTGGAGTGGCCCATGCGGCGCTGGAGGTCGAAGAGGCTGATGCCGGGTCGTCCGGGCTCGGGGAGTCGGGAGCGGCCGAAGATTTCGATCGGGAGGCTGTAGGCTTGGGGATGGTCCGAGGTGATGAGGCTGAGCATCGTCGTTTTGCCGCTGCCGTTGGGGCCGAAGATCCCGCAGCGTTGGCCCCGGCGGAGAGTCCACCATAGGCCTGGGCGGGCGTGGCCATCGATGTTCTGCGACCAGTCGCCGAGGACGGTGTTGGCTCCGTAGGATACCTGGACGCCTCGCATCTCGATGATGGGCTCGCCCAGAGACTGTGTAGTGTTGCTTGTTGTGTAGCCGTCTTTACTGATCGAGAGCTTTTCGCCGGAAGCGTTTCTCGTCGTGAGCATAGATTGGTAAGCGGTTTCGGGGCTGGTCTCGCCCGCCTCCTCGAGTTCCCGAGAAACGCTCTCTACAGAGCCCTGTGCGAGCACCGTCATATCTTGCTTCGCAACAAGCAGATGACTGATCCATTCCGGACAGGCCTCATCAGGATTCAGGCTCAAAACCACCCGAGTCGACCCGCTTCGGACAATCTGCCCCAAAACCTGCGTCATCGTCGCTCGCGTCCTCGGATCCAATCCCATAAAAGGTCCATCCAGAAGCAGAACTTCGGGCGACTCCATCAGTGCTTTAGCAATCCTTGCTCGGCGCGTCTGCCCATTACTGAGGTTCGACACCGGCATATCGAGCAAGTTCCCAAGATTCAATTGCTCTACGATAGCGTTCAGGGCCTGGAGCGTCGCGTCCGAAGGCTTCTCCTCCAGGGCATTGAGCTCCGTGTTGCCGGTGAGGTAGTCTCGGACGGAGAAATCCGTCACCTCCCGCCGGCTCTCATATCGTGCGCTGAGATATGATCCCCGGACATCGCTGCCGCCGACGCTGCTCCCGCGCTCCGCGTCGAAGCCGACGTACTGGATGGCCTGCTGTGGGGACTTTCCCGCAGCGGTCAGATGTGGATATGTCCTTGCGCCGGGCGGGAGACAGATATGTTGACCGCCGAGGATTCGCAGGAACGTCGTCCGGGTCAGCGACGAAGATGACAGCACAGCCCAGCTTGGAGGGGCATTCCGCTTCGAGATTGCTGCGTCTAGGGAGAAGGAGAGATTTGGGAAGAGCGCGGCGTTCGAGACTGGTGGCTTGGTCGGATCCGGAAAGTCACGGTAGAAAGTCCCGTCGTTGATGCGGATGACATGGTCGGAGATGCGGCGAACTTGATGTTGCTGGAGTCTTGTATTGCTTCCTTGCAAGAGATATCGCTGCAGCGGCGATAGAAATCGTGGGTTCATCTCAACTCATCGTATTATGTTTGTGCGTTGGACTGTGAATCACCATGCAGTTGCGAAGCGTATGAGCATTGGTCTGCGCATTGATGTCGTCCAATGTCTCCCGGACAATTAACACAATTCCGCGGCCTATGTCAACTCTTGATAAATTGGCGATTTCTAGCCCGTGACCCCTGAGAATACGCGATTTCCTCAAGACCGTCGAGAATGCCTGCCTGTGTTCTGTTACATGTCTCTCCAGGATACATCTGTTGTTGTTGTCCTGATTATGAAAGTGAGATGCACATTGACGATACGGCGGACCATACAGACGAGATCCCATTGATACGGTGCACCATACACCATACATAGTACCCCTGGGTACAGTCAACTGAAGTGAGTGCATTATCATAAGTTCTATCCAGCACCGAATAGATGCTTGGTTCAACAGCTATTACTTCGCTTCCATGTCATAAATCTCTCCAATGTTCTCCGAACGCGTGATCCTCTCATTCTCATGATCGTAACCCTCATCATTAGCTGTTCATTATAAACGCTTATCGTCGTCATCATATGCAACACCTAGATTCTCCCGATCGCAGGAAGCACTTCTCCGACGAAACCTTCCAACCTGCAAGCACGCAGGCAAAGTGTTTCCCCCCGAAAATCCCACTGCCAAATCATCCGCTGAACCGCGGTTTGTTCGCCGTGTTCACCGGCGGCGGGGGCTCCTCGACATCCGGATACGGCAACCTTCTCGCCAGATCGCCCATGTTCATAAACGTCCTCGGGGAATTGGCCTCCGTGCTCCGACGATGAGGGTGGTAGCCCATCGATGGCACGGGATTTTCGCCGGCGACGACGGCGGCGGAGATCGGGGTTTTGGGCGGTAGGGGAGGAGGGGCGCGAGGGGGAGGTTGATGCGCCAGGGTGGGATCGGTGTCGAAGAGGGGGTTTGGTGGGTCGGAGTACTCTCGAGAGGGACGGGTTTGTTGTTGTTGTTGTTGTTGTTGTTGTTGTTGTTGTTGTTGTTGTTGTTGTTGTTGTTGTTGTTGTTGCTGCTGCTGCTGCTGCTGCTGCTGCTGCTGCTGTTGAAGTGGCGAAGTGAATGTTATTGGGGAGTTGAGGCTTTGGATGGGTGAGTCGGGGCCCTCGTTGGAGGTGGAGTAGCGGTAGTTCAAGGTGCTGTGGTGAGGTGTGTAGTGCGGATCCGACGCTGTGATGGGATATTTCTGGTCTGCGATGTTGTGCATGCGTTCGTAAAATGACTCCTCCGGGAAGGTTTCATCGCCGGGGAGTTCGACGGCGATGGGACCGGCTTGGGAAGGTCGGCTGTTGTATGATGATTGTTGACCTGGCTGACCATACTGAGGCCCGTCGTGGCCGTATTGTCGTCGGGCCTCTGCACGCTCGTGCCGAATCTTGGCCAGATGCACTTTGGCGAGCTTCGTCGCGGTGTTCGCACTCTGTGTCTGGGTCGCGTTTTCCGCGAGATATCTCCGGGTGTTGATGCTGATATCTGCCAAACGGTTCCACTCGTTCATGCCGAATTCTCCGACCCCGATCTCGACGTTGAACCGAAAGTAGTCCTCGACCGCGACGCCTCGCGCGGCTAGATGGTGGTTGACCATGAACTCATGGATGTCCTCACAAGCCTCGAGTTTCGCAATCATCTTCCGCCGAGCGTCCGCGAAATCGTCCATGCTGCTGCCTAGCAGACCTGCCCACCACTCGTGCTGACTACTCGTAGTGCTGGCGGGACGCTTGCCCGTTCCAATGCTGACGAAAACGCCGACCGCCCGGCCTGGCCATTCGTTCTGAACCGCCTCGTCCAGGATCATGGGAGAAGGATTGTATCTGCCTGCGCCTTCGTCGAGGTAGACCGATTGACCGATCTGGATAGGCTTGAAAGCCATCTGAGTCGCGGCGGTCGCTCGGCCCGCTTGCCAAATGGTACAATTGACATCTGGAGCGGCCTCTCGTCGGGAATCATACGAGCGGAGCAATGTGGTGACGGGGGTTCCCTTGAGCACCGCCGTCACTGCCGTCTTCGTCCGATTCTCCCGAGTGTCATACAGCAGTGCGTTTGGATTTCCCAGACGCGACGAGTTGAAAGAGGTTCTGTAATCCGAAGGCGCCCGCCCGATTTGACTATACCGACTGCCTTGGCTCATCGTCCGGTTTGGAGAATGAGGCGTCGATGGTGTGGAAGTATTGATCGGCGAACCGGGAGTCATGGGGACCGCATTTGCCAGGCTGTCGTTTCCTTCGTGATCGAAGACGGTGTGCTCGCGTACACAGTCGCGAATCGACTCTTCCAACTTGGTCGCCTTGAACATGGTCCCCTTCAGAGGCATTCCCAAAAGCGTCTTGTCGGACTCGAATACCCTCCGCGTCATGCGCACGTACACCTCTTTGCAGGTGTCCAGGTCCAGTCGCAGACGGCCGAGCATGATGGCGATCAGCCCACCGGTACCGTTGCCCGCGATCAAATCGAAGTGGTCGCATGGCTTGGGTATCTCATGTCTCTTTGGCGCTCTCCCTTCGATCTCGACGAATGTGCGATGCATCAACTCTTGCAGGATGATCAGCATGGAATATCCTCGAATCCCTCCTCCGTCCAGCGAGAGCACGCGCAAAGGCACGCCTTTGGACGTATCTTTGCGCCTCAACCTCGCCGCGTCTTCCATGTTGACTGTCCGGTTTGTGCGATGTATGTCGCGATAGGTTCAGCGCATGCGCCGCGCAGTATAGTCGCAATGTGCAGAGCAGGTCGCAAGTGATGTGGTGAGCAGATTTGCGCTCGGGTCTGGGGAGCGCTCGGGGAATAGCAAGCGGAAGGTCGGTGACTGTCTGTATGTCTCACTCAGATGCAGCATCTCCGGGACGTCGCCGAGTGACGATACATGACATGGGTTGAGTAAGAATGGTTTCGGTGATGTTTCTGGCGATGTTGTGAAGAGGCGTGGCGGCCCAAGATAAACCAAGAGAGTAGACCAAGACCCTAGAGTCATTCGTTGTCTCTTGGAGCACGCGCGATGTACGTCAGACGTCCACGAGGTTCGAGACATGTGTGTGGTGGAACAACGGGTATTATTAATAAATTTTAACACAGTAAATAAATAGGTTATTTTCGGTGCGGCATTCCGTCCTGTCCATCACGTTAAAGTTGATTATGCTTGGGTGCTATTGTCCTTGTCCGTTCGTGCTCGGAGTCGCAGGTCCGACGACGACGGATCAACGGAATACTCATAAGAACTCAATTCTCTTTGTTGTTATATGCACCTCAGTTCAAAACATGAAAGAGATGCCCGTAAATTTCCCTACCTATCCACCTGCACAAGCAAGCTGCAACAGAGGACGAGGCTAAACCGCGCTCGATCGCTCACGCCATGCAGGTGCGCGCTGGGGCTGAATTTAAGCGAACTGCCCTAGGAACAGGCGTCCAGCCCCTTCAATTTCATGACTAAAACCCCTCGAAATCGATGAGCGCAGCCCATCTCTCGTTGAACCGGCCCAGAGCGGCCTCAATCCTCGACGGCGGAATCCGGAGGGAGGAAATGTCACTGGAGACAACAAACTTTGATCATATCCATCGTAAAGGACAGATCCATCGGTGTGCGCGCGTTAAATCGGTAAAGGCGGTACATGGGAAGGAAGAGAGGGAAAGAGAGGGAAAGGACCCGACGATGAGCCATGATCTCTTCTCTTCTCTTCTCTTTCTCACCCACGGCGCTTACAGTAAACCTTCTACTTCCACTTCTGTCCTCCGCGCCGCATTCGTGCATTTTGTCGTCCGGTGGAAATGCATCCTTTGTGATTACTGGTTGTCATTCGTAAACACACCTCACTTCCTACCTGAGCAAGAATTCCATATCCTCTCCGATATCTTCGCGAACACATACCAGCGGGTGATTTCGCGGGAGAGGGAAGAAGAAAGGAAAAAATCATGTCCCTCCGACCGGACGACCGATCGGGCCGTCAACGGTCAGGCTCAACAGTCTCAGGCCGGACGCGCGACAGATCGCGCAGCAACGTGCGAGCACCTGAAGCACCCGAACCCCCGAGTGCTCTCCGACAATCGCAATACGGCCAAATCCCACCTCCCTCATCGGGCATGCCAGGCGGGTTTGACGACCCATCGGCGCCGCGCTATGAAATTTATGAGCCCTCGTCCGTAAGCAGCAGGAACGGCCAGCGATCAGATCCCTACGAGACCAACCCGAGGAATGTGTTGCCATATCCGGAGCGTGACAACGGCTATTCTACCAAGGATTACGGGGACTTTCCACCGCCGGACCGCTTTGGCAATGCTGGTTATCCTCCACCGCCGCCGGCTCTTGGCGGGAAAGGCTCGCGAAATGACGACGATGACCTTGCCTTTGGGGATGAATTTTCGCGCTTCAAGGAATCACTCTCACGACAGCCTTCCACTTCCCAGCGCAGCCAAGGAGGTGCCTCGGCGGACCCGCGCTATGCTCCGGAGCCGCAGTATGTTGAATATGCTCCCAAAGGTGTAGATCTTCCTCCTCATGGCGCCGGAATCCCTCCACCACCCAGGCGGGATGATAGAGGATATCCTGAGCCAGCATCGGGCCCGCGGGACCCATATCGGGATGGGCCCTCACGTGAGAGCCTCTCTCGGACCAATTCCTACGGCCGTGATGTGCAGACTGTTGAGATGGCTCCTCGAGGAGCGATGAGTCGTCACAACTCCACTTCGAAACAGAACCGTCTGTCAATAGGCCCACCGGAGTCGGCACTGGTCCCTCGGATGAACCACCTGTCGGTCGGCGGAGGAGGGTCTCGCCCGGAAGGTAATGGTATGGGTGGTGGCATGCCGCCCCCGAGTCCTCTACTGGAAGCCTACCGTGGAACCTATCAGTCGATCTCGCCCATGCCGCTTGCGCTCCGGCCTGCGGATGACTCGGACCTTTCCGACCTGGAACCTCTAGACGCGCCACCTTCCCGAGGAGGTCCGCGCTACAACGACCGGCTAGCCAAAGAAGCCTACGAGTACAAGTCCAAAAAGAAGCACATCACCATCTACAGCGGCGAGGACGACGCCAAGACCATCGCCGCCGCGCTCAAACACCACAACGTCGACACCGACGCCATCTGCGACGTCCTCCCGGGCCTCACGCACGACAACGTGATGGAGCTCCGCAAGGAATACAAGAAACTCGTCAAGGTCCAAGGCAAAGGCGTCAACATCTCCAAACACATCAAGACCAAGATCACGGGCAACTTCGGGAAGGCCGTCTACATCGTCTCGCTCGGCCGCTGGGAGAGCGAGGGCTACTGGGCGAACTTCTGGTACCAATCCCACGGCAGCCGCCGGGAGCTCCTGATCGAGAGCCTCATGGGCCGTACCAACGCCGAGATCCGCATGATCAAGGATGATTTCAAGGACAAACGCTACGGGGACAGTCTGACCCGCTGCATGGAGAAGGAGCTCAAGATGGACAAGTTCCGGACGGCGGTCCTCATGGTCCTCGAGGAGCGGCGCCAGGAGGAGCAGGATTCCTACCCGACCGAGTACATCCACCGGGACGTCGAGGTGCTCAACCGGGCGGTGCGCGCCGAGAAGGGGGGCGAGACGGCCATGTTGGAGATCATCGTCCGCAGGAGCGACGCGCATCTCCGGGAGGTGCTGCGGTCGTATGAGAAATTCCACCGGGACAACTTCGCGAGGGAGGCGCTGCGGAAGAGCGGCAATTTAGTGGTAAGTCATCTCCCCCTCCCCTTTAAACCCAGAGGGAGAAGAAAGAAATCCAAAAATCATCTCAAGATCGAGAAAAAAAAGAGAGAGAGAAAGAAAGGCACAAAAAACAGGAAGATCTCGGACACAGAGACTGACGCTTCCAAAAACAGGGCGAAGTCATAGCCCACATCCTCAACGGCGTCATCAACAAACCCGCGCGCGACGCCCTCCTCCTCCAGCACGCCATCCAAGACATCGCCGCGCACAACAAGGACGACGAGCTCCGCTACGAACTGCTGATCTCCCGCCTCGTCCGCCTGCACTGGGACCGCGCCCACCTGACGCGCGTCAAGCGGGAGTACTACGACAAGTACCGCATCACCCTCGAACAGGCCTTGGACCAGGCCACCAAGGGGGAATTCCGCGAGTTCGTGGTGGGCTTGTGTGCGACGAAGTGATTGGAGTGCGGTGGCCGCTTTTTCCCCTCGAAGTGGGAGTGTTTTTTGGGGTTTGAGGAGGGAGGGGGCGGGTCTCGTGAGTTTCAGGCGTGTTGCGGCAAGAATGACCGTGTGGGGAGCGAGAGACATCCCGTGTGGTATTTTCTGGCGGGAGGAGATGAAAACCTGAGACGGAAAGGAAAAAGAAGAAGGGAATTTGAGGGGGAGAAAAAAGGGAACGGTTCACAAAGATATCAAATGCGCGGTATTGCCGCTCCCTCCCCCAACAACAAAACGATGTCCATAGTACTGTACAAGAACGAATCATGTCATTTCATTTCCAAAAAGACGGTGATTCCAAACTCCGACCCCAATGCACCGCATTTCAGGTCTTCCGAGGGAGACAGAGGTCCCGGTTCTGACCACCAAATGATAAAAGGGGGGATGCCCCGCCTTTCTGGCAAAAGCATCCGGAGGAAAACAAAAACAAGAAGTTTGACAGCAATCATTCATGGAAGAGAAAAGGGAAGGAAATCAAGTCATCTTCTTGACCTTCACCCCGGGCAACCCCCTGACGCTGTCCCACACGCTCTCCGACACTCGCACGGGGAGTTTCCTCCCCTTGAGCCTCTGATCGATCAGCCACAGACCGACGACGAACTCCTCCTTGGTCAACCGCCCGCTGCCCGCCACCAGCTTCGCGTCATCCTCCCCGGCAGCACCGCCGCCGCCGCCGGACAGATTGCGCTGCTCGGCGGCCGCACCAGCCGACGATGAAGATCGGAAGGAATCCACGACCAGGTCCCACACGCCCTCGAGGACGACCCGGGACAATCGCGAGCGGCTCCAGATCTCCCGGACGACCACGCCCTCGACCTGATCCTTCAGCGCCTCGCGGAGTTGCAACGCCGCGGGGTCCCCGCGGGGGCTGCGCTCGAGGTAGCGGTGTTCGGCGGGGCGGAGGGCGCACAGGACGCCGCGGTTCGCGGCCCAGACGCCCTCGTAGCGCTTCCGCTCCTCGGCGGTGAGGGCGTCGCGCCAGCGTTTGCGGTCGCCCTCGTGGTGCTTGTTCGGGTGTTTGCGGACGAGGCGGCGTTTCTGGTGTTTGGCGTAGGGGTGGCCGGCGTCGTGCGAGGAGTCGCTGTCGTTGAGGGAGTCGGAGGACGTGGCGGCGCGGAGGGTGTGGAGCATGCCGCCCGTGTGGTTGGATTTGATCGGGGAGGGGGTGCGGGAGAAGCCGAGCTTGTGGTGATGTTTGTGGCGCCGGCGGCGTGGGACGGGGACGGGCGGCGGTGGCACTCGGCGGGGGGAAGGGGCGCGAGTCGAGGCGAGGCTGGAGGCTACCAGTGCATTGGCCAGGTCGTCGCCGGTGGTCAGCGGAGTTGATCGTTTGGGGTATGCTTGTTTGTATTGGGCTGTGATGGATTGGGCGGATGTGGTTTGAACTGAAGATGCATATGAGAATGCAGAGGATGTGGTTGGACGTGCCAGAGTCCCAGTGGAGAAAGTGCCAGCTGTCGAGGGACGCCGGGGAGGTGACTGCGACGATATATTGCGGCTCGGCGGTCCGGCTGGCGGACGTATCGTACGAGCAGACGCAGGACTCAACCTCTCCGCGGATCGACCAGGCCTCGCGCTGCTGCTGCGGTTGGCGGATGGCACTGACCCCTGCGAGGCTGGGATGATCGACACGACAGGAGGTGGCCGTGCTGCGGCTGTCCCATCGCTAATGCTCGTATCTGGCTTGTTTCTGCGATCACTTGTCGGTGTCTCCCTCAGCTCCTTTGCTACCTCGATTTCAAAGAGCGATGTGATCCCTCCCACTGTTTTAATCGACTTTGGGCTATCTGTAGGAATCTCCCGCCTGGACGATGACACAATCGACGCCGGGCGAGCCGTCGATGGCCGTCCCGTCGGTCCCTGTGATTTCTGCTCGAAGAGATTAACCAAGGACGTTGTAGGTGCGATAGAAGTTGGATCAGTAGAGTCTGTGTCGGGCTGACTCCTGGACGATAGGTTCAGCGAAAGCCGACGTGGTTTGGGTGCCACTGCGGGCTTTCTCTGTGGCTTCGATGTGTCGTTCGCTTTGAGTGCAGCACTCGAGGCGGCGGCAGCATTTCCGCGAGCGGCGGCCAATACCGCTGCTTGTTGTGAGGGCGATCGCGACGTTGACGGACGTGACCACGCAGAGTCTCCTGTATTCGCCGAGTCTCCTCTCCATTGACCTCGCGCGGGCATCTCCGGAAAGAGTCCCCCAGCCGTCCTCGAAGTAGACGTTTCGCGTCCAGCACTTCCCGCCCCTCCTCCTCCGCCGCCGCCTCCTCCTCCTCCTATCCCACCTGTCCCACGGATCTGATGCGCCATTTGCTCGTTGGGTCGTGCCGCGACGCGTGGCCGAGAAAGATCACGATGGAATGCTGTCGTGGCACCGACCAAGGCGGTCCGGGCATTGTGAATGGCCTGTGCCGAGCCGTCGATGATTGCTACACTATTGGAAGAGGAAGATCTGGGTGGAGCCGCCATCAGCGCAGACGGAGCGGATGTCCGTCCGCAAAAGCATCGTCGAGTGCGAGGTGGAGATGTCGACGGTGCTGTTCCTGGTCCCGCCTCGCAGCAGGAACCTGTGCTGGCGATGCGCTCTAACAAAGCAGGTCTTGGTGAGTCGCCAGAGAAATGCTGGTGATGTCCGTGATGTACGCGATGGTGATTATGTCCGTGACGGTAGGAAGTCCTCTGACCAACGACGGACTCTTGAAGACGATGGCGTTTCTTTCCCTTTACAAGCGAGTGAAGTTCAACCGGTCGCACGTGTCTATATTTCTGTTGTGCGCGTGCGTGGTTGTCTAGTAATAAAAGGAGTCGTACGTCGTTTGGTCGCGTGTCCGTTACGAGGATGTCACGGGAAATGTGGTTTCTAATAATAATAATAATGAACTTCCCAAGATTCCCAGGTGACAGTACCTCCCGGGCTATTAACGTACCCTACCACCGAGCCGGTCACACCACCGAGCCGGTCAAAACGCGCCCACAACGCGTCTTCGAGCTTCTTCCTCTTATTATATGACAATATTTGCCTACAATGCTCTCTCAAACTGAGGGAAGACTTTCTTTAGCCCTTCAAGCATATATTACCCACCAAGTTCCATCTCTTCGAGCTGCAGCAAATGCATACGACGTTCCATTTGAAACCCTCCGCGAAAGACACCTCGGCATCCACCCACGCGCGCAAACCCTTGCGAACTCGCGTAAACTCAACAATAATGAAGAGCAGCTCATAGTCGAGAAGATTCTCTATTTATCGAAG